GGGAAAAAATACCGTTCAAGCAAAGCAATGGCTTGAAAAGTGTTATGGGGACTCCGCTCCATCAGAAACAACAATAAAACGTTGGTTTGCTGACTTCAAACGTGGTCGCAGAGACACCGATGATGCAGAACGCAGTGGACGTCCAAATGAGGCGGTAACACCAGAAAACATAAAAAAATCCACAAAATCGTTTTGAATGATCGAAAAGTGAAGTTGCGTGAGTTAGCTGACATCGAAAAGATATCAAAAGAACGTGTTGGCTTTATATTACATGAGCATTTGACTATGAGAAGGCTCTGTTCAGAGTGGGTGCCGCGTTTACTCACTGTTGACCAAAAACGAGAACGTGTTGATGATTCTGAGCAGTGTTTGGCCATGTTAAATCGTAACAAACCGGAATTTTTGCGTCAATATGTGACAATGGATGAAACATGGATCCATCACTTCACTCCGGAATCAAAACGATCGTCATCTGAGTGGACAGCAACTAGTGAACCTCGTCCAAAGCGCCCGAAAGCACAACAATCGGCTGGAAAGGTTAAGGGCCTCGGTATTTTGGGATGTGCGTGTTGTAATATTCATCGACTATCTTGAGAAAGGAAATACCATTAACAGTGAATATTATATAGAGTTATTGGAGCGTTTGAAGGCTGAAATTGCAAAGAAACGACCGCATATGGCAAAGAAAAACATTTTGTTTTATCAAGACAACGCACCGTGTCACAAGTCAATCAAAACAATGGCAAAACTACATGCATTGAACTTCGAATTGCTCCCACATCCACGGTATTGAAATGATGAAATGAAATGAAATGATATTTATTTCTGTAAGTAAATCTTTTCAGATATTTTTACAAGTCGGACTTTATAGCTAGAAGGAGCCGGCATTTCCTAAGACTCACTCTGGGAAGAAACGCCGAAACAAACCACAGAGGTGTCTTTTTTTTTTTTAAGTCCGTAAACAAAGTTAAATAAAACTGTGCGAGTACAGTATAGGGTCTAGATAGGCCTTTTGAGGAAAGGACCATAGTTTTGAGTCAACCTGTCCATACAGACGGCATACAGGCTCCAGCCATCGTGTAGCCTAACCGATATTGGTCAAGATCAACGACCCGAAGCATGACACTACCGCCAGCAGGACATTTGGGTAGGCCGTGGAAACACTAAAAACCACCAGAAAGATAATAAAATATGAATTAACATTACAAGCCTACACTGTACTCACATTTACATACTTACACAAAAATAAAAAAATACTATACAGTTCAAAGTCAACGAAAAATAAAATAAAAAAAAAACAAAATACGAAATACACCAAAAAAAAAAAAATTAAATGTCCATCACTTTCAAACTTAACAACAAAGATGTCTACGTAAATGTGGGAGTGAGCAGCATCAATCCCAAGCAAATTTGTCGTCTAAATAATCTGTAATAGTGTAGTAAGCCTTTTCACATAGTTTTAGCTTTACTAAAGAGTTAAATTTATTAATACTTAATTCATGGAATTTGCTTAGCACTTTATTGTAAAATCGCACACCCTGACAACGAAAAGACTTGCTTACTTTTTGTAGCCTAGTGGTTGGTAACACGAGTTTATCTTTATTTCTAGTGTTTATTTTATGCATGTCGCTAAACTTTGTGAATAAATGATTATTTTTCTTTACATACACTAAATTTTCATATATATATTGAGATGCGACTGTCATGATACCAATTTCTTTAAACTTATCCCTCAGTGACTGCCTATAACTGAGATTATAAATTGCACGAATAGCTCTCTTTTGCAACACAAAGATACTTTGAATGTCAGCAGCATTTCCCCACAACAAAATACCGTATGACATTACACTATGAAAGTAGCTAAAATACACCAGTCTAGCTGTTTCTACATCGGTTAATTGACGAATTTTGTAAACCGCGTATGCTGCAGAGCTGAGTCTATTCGACAATCCGTCAATGTGTGGGCCCCATTGCAATTTAGAGTCTAGTGTTATACCTAAAAACTTGGTGGTGTCCACAAGATCCAACTCCTTTCCATTTATTAGAACATTGGTCTTTACCTGCTTAACAGTAGGTGTAAAAAATCTAATACATTTCGTTTTATTCTCGTTTAAAAGTAAATTATTAACATTAAACCAGTTCACAACCTTAGAGAGAGTGCTATTCACGTCATCAGTTACTGATTGCTAAGTTTAAATAACAGTGAAGTGTCATCCGCAAATAGCACTATCTCCTGATTATCATTTATCACATTAGGTAGGTCATTTATGTAAACAAGAAATAAAAATGGGCCGAGAATTGAGCCCTGCGGAACCCCCATAGTGACCAGAGACCCCAGGGATCTCTGTCCATTAAGTTCCACTCTCTGGATCCTATTACCCAAATAAGAGATAAGAAGATCCAAAGCAGTGTTCCTAATTCCATAGTAATGCAATTTACTGATTAATGTTTCATGAAAAACGCAGTCGAATGCTTTAGATAAATCACAAAAAACACCCAGGGCATCCTGTTTATCCTCCCAGGCACTAAATATATTTTCCAAAAGTTCAACACCGGCATCACTTGTCGAGCGACCTCTTCTGAATCCAAACTGTTTCCTGTGTAGAATTTTGCTTGTACTAAAGTGAGTTTATAGCTGATCCAGTATAATCTTCTCAAAAATTTTACTGAAAGTATTGCCTACTTACACTGAAATTGGTCTATAATTTGTAGGATCAGACGTGCTACCCGCCTTGAATAAGGGAATGATCTTACTATGTTTCATCAAATCAGGAAATATTAGGTATTCGCCAGATTTGGCTCCCAGCGACTATTGGCTGTTCGCAGACCTGAAAAAAATGCTCGCCGGTAAGAAATTTCACACGAATGAAGAGATTATCGCTGAAACTGAGGCCTATTTTGAGGCAAAAGATAAATCGTTCTACAAAAGTGGTATTGAAATGTTAGAGCTGCGCTGGAATTATTGCGTTGCTCTTGATGGAGATTACGTTGATGATTAAAGCTAATTATGAACCAAAAAAACTGTGTTTTCTTTGTTAGGCCCTAGACTTTTCAGCCCATGTGTTAAATCAGTTCATAAATATGTACTGACAATATAATAAACAGTAAAGAATAAAATTAAATCAATAACTTTTTAAATAACATTAAAAACAAACAACGTATTCGAGATAATTCACTAGTAATTTAAAAAGCGATATGTCATTACATTTGACTGTAAGCTTCCGTTGTCAAATTAGCGGGTTTTTAGTAAGGTTGGGCAGTCTTGCGTAATTGTACCTATCAGACGATAAACTATATCAGACCAAACCTGCCAAAATAATAAAATTAATATTGTGATAAAACTTGAAGTTATCCGAAATGCTATCTTATACAATTTACACGGTAACTTTAAGGTAGGCGCGGTGGTCAAGGATAACGAGCTATAAACAGTAATATCCACATTTCATATCAAAAGGACATCCGTCGATCACGTTTTGTCGCACGTTTATTTTTTCTTAGAAATTTAAAAATCAATTGTTTATACAAATTATAACTAAAATACATATATATTGCCTAATTGAGCCAATATTAAAACTAAAACGTCGTAGAACGACTGATTTTCATACGTAATTGTTTTAAAAGGAAACCGAAATAGCAAGAAATTGACAATAAATCTATGCATGTAACTATTAAATGTCCAAAAAGTTCTGGAGTGGCGACCACGTACCGGAAGACGGAGCCCCCTACAAGGTGGTCCGACGACCTGATTAAGGTCGCGGGAAGCCATTGGATGTGGGCAGCTCAGGATCGGTTGTTGTGGAGAACCTTGGGGGAGTCCTTCGTTTAGCAATGTTCTATAGTATTTCGGCTGAGATGATGAACTATTAAATACATTGGTGTTTTGTAAGATTTAATCAACTCAATATTATAGTCGATCAAGGATTAAACATCATATACCTATTACCGTATAACAAAAAAAAAATTGTTACGAGTTGAAGCCTCTTACTTTATGGCAATAGTCATATCGAGTTAACAATAGTCATATCGAGTTGAAGGCGACCCTGACCCTTTATAGGTATTATTTGTACTTCCTAGTCCTATGAAATATTCAGTTCCTTCGATTGTCTTCCCTCTTGGCTGGCCTTTCTTTTTCTATATACTTACTTTTAATTTCCGAATATTTAATTTCCATAGCACCCGGTTACCGGTAATCGGCTTATCACTTTTATGTATACACCTGTCACCTCCGATACTGCAAACCCCTTTCGGGATACAAACGTCTGAATATAGGTATGTGAGTATGTATGTTATGTTATAATATGACTAAGTACGGCAGTCAGGTGTGTCACGGAATATTTACTGATAACATCTACAGCCGTTTAATGCATTACAAATGGTGATAAGTAAGTTAGCTATCGCAATTAATGGCTTGTTATAGCGACATAACGAAACTTGCACTTATAAAGGATATAAAGGCTAAAATATATTTATTTTAAGAATTTCGCTATGTAATAAAATAGTTTTCTATTTGTTTTGTGTACCTACATTTTTTGCGTAAACTTTACACACAGGTATTTTTAAACCTAATTGAAATACTCTTTACGGTACACCATTAAAAAGAAAATATGCAAGTATAAGTACCGATCTATAAAAAACATTCTTTCAACACAAATATTTTTAATTGAAGGACAACAATAGACATCAAAACTTCTACTTATTAAGTCTGTTTTAAAACAAATTTCAAAAAGTATCAATTCAAAATAATAATAATAGACAGTTAATAGTTTAAAATATTTGTGTGTCTGAATTAGTTTCCGTATACGAATATCGTAGAGTGAAAAAAATATCTTTATCAGCATCCGCTATTTGTTAGTGAATCTTGAAAGAATATTTTAAATTATTTTATTATGTTTATGAATTTATAAATTTATTATGATGAAATTATATATTGAAATATCTTATCTTATGATTTACTAATATAATTGGCAGTTATATAGTTACTATTTATTTATCTTTATAAGGAGATCAGTGCAAGACGAAATGTGTTAGCTATTGCTCGCGTCTTGCAGGCGTTAACGTCGATTCTGCCATTTAATGTTTTCGGATTAAAGGTAATATGTGATAATATACACCATTGTCTTTTAAAATATATTTGTGCTGATTTCGGTAACCGTGATCCTTTTTTTCGCCCGGTATATATAGTATAGGATTTTGTGCGACCTCTTCAACAATAATTGTTATATTTCAGTAAATTTACATAAAACCATCAGGAATAGGGAATATGCACGTGACTCTAAAATTGACAAAATATCTTTATTTGTAAACTTTATTGCCAAAAAAAGATACCTATATAATTATTTTTGAAATTTATCATCATTAAAAAGTGGCTTTTTTTAAATTCCATCACAAAAAATCTAAAACGCTATTGGGGGAACAAAACGTGACGTCAAATTTCACTAGACGTCTTCTGTCTACAAGTTGTTTGTATGATGTCTGGTGATTATTATTTTGTATTGTTTCGCGGTTGATTCATATTACGTTATTATGTATTAGGAAAAAAAAATATGCTGGTGACTAAGTAAAACTGATCCTCGCAACAATATAAACAGCTAAAACACGATACATTGTTTCTTTTCATCTTGCACCATTTTCCTTATGTACAAATCTTTCGGCATAAGGCAATATACTTTGTCAGATGCAGTTTTAATATTATTTTGGTACGTAGGAAAGACACAATACTTAAAATAAACTTTTCTGTGCTTTGCCATAGTAATAAGTTGATTTTATCACTTAGTTTTTAACTTACAGTAACTTTGTAACCCAAACACTTCGTTGTTTGCAATTTGCAGTCGAAATTAATAAGGTCTTTGCACCTATATTGTCAAACCTTAACGGCTTTGCAATGGTGACCAACGATTTGCCTATGAGTAACACGCTTACCTCATTTATTTTTAAGTTGAATTACGCCATTAGAGTAGGTATACTAATCATCTCTTTTATGAATACTATACCTATATATATTGTGCTATTGAGCTAAGGTTTAAAGGTGTAATTTATCTATAATATGGTATGTATTTAGAAATATATAAGTAAGTTTATCAGCAAACTGGGTAAAATAGCACAGGCTCTGCCTAGTTTGGGATCAGACAGCCGTGTGTGAGATATGTGAGGTTATTATTATTATTCTGAAGGAAGCAAATCAAATTTTCAGCAACATTAGTCTATCAGTAGTACATACCCACTTAAAGTAAAGCATGAAGATCTCACCTACACACTGAAAGATTCTTTTTTTTCGTTTTGACTAAAAGTATATGATAAAGGTCGTGTGTGTCGCCCATGTCCATTGTCATTTCATCGTAACTCATGTACAGAAAAGCCTTCTATTGATTTTGTCAGCAACTTTACCGTTCGGGGCTTAGTATGCCTATTATTACGTTGTATTGAATTTAATGGTATTGAACTGCACTATAACTTAAATCAATTGTTCTCAGTCATAATCGATACAGGCTTGATTTCGTAAATAAATTTCCTCAGTAAACGAACAGTAGAAGATTACTATTACTTGGAATGATAAAACTAGCTCCTAAGATTAACGTATTTAAACAAACAAGCACTGAAGTGTTTGTTTAAAAGCTATACTCTATAATTTCAAATGAATCACTTGAAAATAGCAAATTACGTGGCAAATTTGAAGGCACCTACAACTAAGATACCTACAGCAGAGATGTTACGGGTCTTCGACTTCCGATTGATTTTATTTCAGATAACAACCAACATTATTTTTACTCCCATTCAAGGAGTATATCAAACTATTTGTTTTACTAAGCTGGCATTCAAGTTGCCGAGTTTGCAGGTATAACCTAAATAGGCAAAAAAGAGTTGTTAACCGATTTTCTTTAGTTCAGTACCTATGCATGAGATAAGCAAAAAAAACGAAAACTTTAGACGTCCAGTATAAATATAACTTGTTAATGAAGTAAAACAAATTAACGACTGAAATGCTTTTATTCAATTTCTCGTATCGTACATTTACATACACATATATTTATTTGGAAACTTAACACCTTAACTTACATATACCTAACCTTACATATATCATGGGTGAAGTTAAACATTGCAATGAACTTTTAGCCAATAATATAGTTTAACGACAAGTGAAATTGCGTTTCTTTGCCTTTTTACTAAAACTCACTAGAAGTCAATTAGGTTTATAATACAAAATAGTCTAGTATTAACAATTTATATATGTATATCTATAGTTTATTTACTTTTGTATGCGTACTTAACAAGGATAAAATATCGATTCGGTATCTGTTTATGTATTTGACGTAAATTCCATATTGTGTGTTCAATATACCATAACTGAAGGAAACGTAGTAAAATTAACCTACTAAAGTTAAATACTTATTTCAATAAAATATTGTTGCACAACCATGTTGCTTTAAGGTAAGTGCGATATACATACTCTGTAAAAACTGGGTGACCTTGAATGACCTTGAACAGCAGAGAATTGTTTAGCGGAACTAACTCGAGATCATAGCTGGGCGGTCATGTGACTTCGACTCAATATTATTTTTAAAGTCTGTTCAAAATGTCAGTGTAAGCAGTTTAAACTATTCAAATTCTGCCAGATATTCTTTACCATAAAAGTACTTAATAAGCATACGAATGACGGAAACTCATCAGATCGAATAGAATAGCTATTTTAAGCATTTGTTACTAAATACAGTTAATAATAATCTTCTGGGACTGTTTTGACAGGTCTAACGGTTACTAAGCCTGACTGCCAAGCCGGAGGTCGTGGCTTCGATTCCCACCCAGGACAAATAATTGTGTGATGAGGACAATCATTTGTTTTGTGTCCTGTTGTAATTTATGTATATTTATGTATTTATAATTTTTAAGTATGTTTAGCAGCAGTCTAGTTACCATAGGACAGGTTCTGCCTAGTTTGGGATCGGGCGGCCTTGATTTATAATTATATACACACAACACCCAGATCATAAAGAAATAATAATGCTTGCGAATGTTTCATATTTGTTATAAAGCGTCGACCTACGGTTCGGGGCATAGAGTTGAAAGTGGTGGTAAAATACCCATAGGATTACTTCCACCCACAGCCATCTTTTACAATAAATTTGTCTAAACCTGTTTATGCATGCATGAAAACTATTTAAAAATCGGCTCAATTTCTGTTTCAGGTAAGAGCAAAAATCAGCGACTTGAAGGCGAACTCACGTACTAAAGAGAATATAGGTACACCGTCAAAATGCGATGGATGTTCGGTAGTTATTATCGGTGCAGGACCCTCCGGAGCCACGTGCGCTGAAACACTTCGCACGGAAGGTTTCAGCGGACGCATAACTATGGTCAGCAAAGAAAACTACCTACCCTATGACAGAGTTAAGGTGTCAAAAATTGGGACCGTCACCGACATCCAAAAACTCCAGGCTAGGACCGAACAGTATTACAAAGACTCAAACATTGAAATACTTAAAGGCATCGAAGCTATATATGTGGATACCAAGGAGCAAATCGTTACTTTGACCGGTGCAAAAAAACTTAGTTACAGTTCCTTATACATCGCAACTGGCTCCAGTGCCCGGGTACCAGATATCCCCGGAATATACCTTAAAAATGTTTACACGGTCCGAAACTTCGACGACTCTATAAACATCCTCAATACATTAGGCTCTGAGAAAAGTCTGGACGTGGTAGTCTTGGGTCTGAGTTTTATCGGTTTAGAAATTGCATCCTCTTGCAAGGAAAAAGCTAAATCTATGACTGTCGTCGGCAAAGACAATGCACCATTGGGTCAAGTATTCGGACCTGAAATAGGTGGAAGTTTACAAAAGCTTTTCGAATCAAAAGGTGTCAACTTCCAGTTCGAAACAACAATAACCAAATGTAACGGCTTGAACGGTGTGATAAAATCAGTGGAATTGGCTAATGGCACTACGCTACCTGCTGACATGTTAGTATTGGGAGTGGGAGCAACATTCAATACAGGATTTTTGGAGAATAGCGGTATAAAAATGGAAAACAACGGTGCGATTGTCGTAAATAATTTGTTGGAAACTAATGTAAAACATGTTTATGCTGGCGGTGATATTGCACATGCTCCAGTTTTTGCTAGTAATAATAAATCGATGAGTATAGGACACATAGGATTGGCTCAATATCATGGTCGTATAGCTGCATTAAATATATTAAAACGAGATGTGCAGCTAAAAACTATTCCATTTTTCTGGACCATGCTTTTCGGTAAATCTATTCGCTACACTGGTTGCGGAAAGCCTGCCAGCACACTTATCGACGGAGATGTGGATGCGCTGAAATTTGTTATTTTCTTCTTTGATGAGTCGGATAAAGTAATAGCGGTAGGTTCTTGCATGAGAGACCCAGTAGTTGCTCAGTTCGCAGAGTTCACTAACCAAGGAAGATCTTTGTACAAGAAAGACCTGACAAGCGACCTTTATGCTTGGACGAAAATGAATTAAGGGTCTGGATAGGGCTGTTAAGGTGTTGAAGGGCTGTTATAAACAGCAATATTTCATTGTATTACGTTCCTGTTTTATTTAATATCTCAAGTAATTCTCACATCACATCTTATGTTCAGATCTGATCTTATTATCAGAGTTTATGAATTAGTGAGTCTTCGATTTTCTTAAACCATTAACGTATTGACAAAGAATAGAAGGGGAACATTCAGGGATGTAATTTGATTTTTTAAATCCGAAATGAATTTTGAAATTCGCCTCGACATACCCTAGCATAAAAGTAGAGGATATCATAATCATCATCATCAGCAGCCTTTAATAGTCTACTGCTGGACATAGATATGTGTGTCACATATTTTTAAGATCAAAATGTACCTATAGATTGTCGTTTTCTCTTTTTTCTTGAGTTACATATTTTAGCTGAAAGATATTTATTATGTAGGTACGTTACTAGCACTGCGTGTTGTTTTTGTATTACAAATATTTGGCTTTAAAAGCTTTAACGTTATAAAATAAACGCATTTTAATAGTATATTTATTTTTACAGAAAATATATAAGTAGTTAATGTTATTCAGTTAAAGACGTAATGTCATTGTATTTGTTTCCTCCACGTTATATTTCATAGGGCTAAGCCTTTTATGAACAAGTATTTTGTAAATATAATTTCACTAATTTTAAATTTATGAGGGTTGTATAAATATGCTACTAATGTGGCCTTTATAACTATTTAAAATAATAATTTTAAGTTAAAAAAAGGTTTATTCATGTTTTTTAGTTATTCCGCTTAATTTCTAAACTAACACTTTTTAACGTGAGTTTTAAACGCATTTAAACTATTATATAGATAAACGATCACTTAGCATTTCATTCTTTACAAATAATAGTAAAAAATAATATTACTTAAAATACAAATCTTACTCTACATCTACAATCACATACTTAGTTTTATGATAAAACGAACGGTTGAAAAAGAACAAAATACACTTTTGTTTACTTAAAAAATGTTCTTGAACACAACAAAACTCAATTCAGTGTTTTTTATTTAAGTAATTTTCATTCGATGAATTGTTCAGTGATTCTAGTGAACCTTTCTTACGGTTTCGGGGACCCTACAAGTTGGATAAGCTATTTTGTACTTCATTAAGTTATCCTCACCAAGCAGTATAATAGGGAATATGCACGTGACACCAAAATGGACAAAATATTTTTATTTGTAATTTTTATTGCTAAAAAAAGATACCCATACAATTATTTTTGAAATTTATTACAATTTAATAGTGAAATTTAATCATCAAAAATTGGCTTTTTTAAGATTCCCTCGCAAATTTCTAAAACGCAACGCTATTGGTTGAATAAAATGTGACGTCAACCTACACTGTCAAGAGTGTCAACAAGTTGTGTGTATTTGTAATATTTGGTTTCTGGTGATTATTTGTTTCATTTTAAGTTAATAACTAATACGTTTTCAGTGTTATTGTGTTATTGTGTATATTAAATTCCCGCGTAGAAAGACTCAACACAATGACTGAATATACTTTGTCAGGTTAGGTACTGTTGTGCAGTTTTGATATTATTTGGGCACAAAGGAACAATACAATATTTATAATAAGTTTTTATTGGCTTTTCCATGGTAATAAGTTAATTTTTATTACTCACTTTTTTAATTTTCACAAACTTTGTGAACTTCACTCCGTTGTTGACATCGAATTCGTCTGAAAGTGTAATCTGACATCACAAAAAAAGCGCGCCAAAATGGACGTGTTCAAATTGCCCCAAAATGATAGTGATTTTAATAAAATTTTTTTTGCTTAACGGTTTATATTTCGGATGTGTTATATTTATTTTTGGTAATGTAATAACTAGTAGAATCGTTTAAAAAAATAAAAAAAATACATGCATATTCCCTATTATGGACAAGTGAATTCCAAGTATTAACAATTATATTTTATTATTTATTTAAATTGGTTTGTGTGTCATATAAATAATATTCAAACTCAAAGTTCATCAAACTTAAGCATTAAGTATTGTTTGTTTGTCACAAACTAAAAAATAAACCGACTTAATAAAAAAACCTTGCTTAGTAATACACTGATTTATACTATCGCAGATACTTCATCGTTGTATACATATGTGAGAAAATGATAATATTTATGCGAAAAACATAAGTAGTCAAACATTTTTTAGATCATTACTTAATAACCTTTATTATTAACTTACTTTTGTGTTTCATGAGGCCTGTTGCCTTATCCATAAATGTCTAAATGTTGTTATACATAATTATGTAGCTATAGCTATGCGTAAGAAATTGATGTGATCTAATAGTCTGTTGTGATGTATATTATTACATGAAATAAATTTTCTTTGTACAAATATTTTATTGATTTAATATCTAGTAGGTAAGTACTTGGTTATTAAGTTTTAGTAAATGGTAAATTGTGTAGTCCGTGTGGTGACGGATTAAGAATACAGAGTGTCACCACCCCTAGTCATCCCGTGGGTGTCGTAAGAGGCGACTTAGGGAACAAACTACGCAGGACAACAGCACTGCAGAGAGAAGGAAAACTTGACACAAACCCTTTTTTTTTTTTTAACGTGTGGAAATCCCCTCGGACCGTCACCCCACCGGGGTTTGCGGCGGGGTGCTGTGTCGGACTCGGACCGACTAAAACCACACGGTGTGCCACTCTGCGCCTGTAACAGGAGGGATCCGGGAACAGCTGTTATTAAGACATCCGGACCCCTCCTAGCTCCTCTCTTTAGGCGACGTCCGGCACACGCGGACGCCGCCCCCTCGCGGCTGGCCAAACTAATGCGGGTGGAGGGGAAACCCACCCCGTCCACCCGCGGCCACACTCAGGGCGGCATGAGGCGGTGATAGGCGCGCCTCCGCCGCCCGGTTCGCCGGCGACGGTCCGAGTGGAGGTCGTCCTCCCGGGCCTTCTCCGCCGCCTCCTTCTGCGAGATTACTTCCTCGCAGAAGGTTGCGACCGCGGTAAAACAACTGTCGCTACCGGCCATGGAGCGTACTACGGCCGGTAGCGAGAGATCCACTCCGATGACTGCAGTGAGGCCCCGGCGCTGCGTCGCCCATGCGGGGCAGACCGCTAGCGTGTGCTGGGCCGAGTCCCACTCGGCGATGACCGGCTGGAGAGCCTCCACGGCGGCGAAGCCAGCGCGTGGAGTCTCCAGCCGGAACGACCAACGAGCCATCGTGGCTCGGCGAGCGGCTTCGCGCCACTCGCGCACATCCTCTGGCGGAGGGCGAAATCCGCTCTCCACCCGGGAGTCAGCCACTCGCCGATAAACTTCGCCGAGCACTTCCGCCTCCAAATCCTACGGGGGAGTTCCGGCCAACGCGCACGCCACCTCCGTCGACACGGTGCGGTAACCGCGTATGGCTCTGACCGCCCTCTGAGGGCGCCAGAGGCGTGCCCTATTCTGGGCGGTCAGAGCCGCCGCCCACACCGGTGCACCGTATAGTGCCATTGACCGGACAACCCCCGTGTACAGCCGTCTTGTCGCGACGCTGGGTCCACCCAAATTGGGCAAAAGTCGCCCTAGGGCAGACGCAGCGCCGACCAGCGTTGGAGCAAGCTGTCGGAAGTGCTCGTCGAAGAGCCACCTCCCGTCGAGGATCAGGCCCAGATATTTCATCTGAGCCCGAACCGGTACGAGGACCGAGTTGACCACGATTGAGGCGCCAGGGGGTGGACCACGACGGGGCCCATGAAATAACAGGGCCTCCGTCTTATCTAGGGCCACCCGTAAGCCCAGCGCCTCAATGCGCCCGACCACCAGGGAGACTCCCCTTGTGGCCAGGCGCGCCGCCTCTTTGAAGTTTGCCCCCCGGGCTGTCACCAGGGTATCGTCTGCGTAACAGATTACACCCAGCCCGGGGGGGAAATCGGCGCGAAGGGCCCAGTCGTACCCTATGTTCCACAAGAGGGGTCCAAGAACAGACCCCTGTGGAACACCGCACGACATGGGCCGACACCTCAAATTACCATCTCGGTCCTCGTACACGACGGTACGCTCCTCTAAATAGTCTGCCACTAGCCGCCTCAGGTACTTTGGCACCCCATGATAGTGGAGTGCTTCCCTGATGCAGCTGAATGGCAGACTATTGAATGCGTTGGCGATGTCCAATGACACCGCCAACAGCACGCCGCCACAGCTCACAGCCTCTTCGGTCACGGCCCTCAGGCGCAAAATAGCGTCGATTGTCGAACTCCCCGCCCGAAAACCAAATTGGGCGTCCGACAGATCGGGGCCCACCTCGTAGAGGTGCCGGACGATGCGGGCGGAGAGAACCCTCTCAAACTTGACACAAACCCTATATCAACCCGTCTGGCCAGCGTGGTATAGCAGGCCAAAACCTCCTTCCTAAGGAGAGGCCTATGTCCAGCAGTGGACTAGTAAAGGCTGTTGATGTATGCCGCGCGTTCTGCGCCGAATTCGTGTCTGGTAAACCTATTTCTTTTTTTGTTATCTTTTGTCCTGCAGTCGAATTTTAATAATTTGAGTAACGGGCGTGTATGGCTAGTGTCTGCGTGTAGTTTTATAATGCGCGTCGTAAGGCACGAAATTCATTTTTTTTTCTACTTGGGGTGTTGCGCGAGTGCGCGAGACCCTGAGCGGTTGCCTTTGTCTTTAGAGGTGGAATCTTTTCTTCATATTTGAATGGAATTTGAATAGAAACCCTGTCAAATAAATTTTTCAAATCGGTTCATAAATCAATGAGTTCAGATGTAACAAACGGCTGATGATGAGGTCTTTAATTAAAAGACCTATTCAGCTGAATTGAGAACCTTCTTTTCTTTTAAGTCGTTTAAAAACACAGAATGAAAGACAAGGTCTAGCTTTTTAAGAGAAAAGAGCAGGATACTATGGTCTGGTAGCAGCCTCAGAATATAGCCATTTGAAAGACTGTTAAAATCTGATTAATGCTTACATATAACGATTGTTTTTCTAAAACAAAACAATTAAGTATGACTAGTTGCCCCGCGCAAAGTTTTCTTTGTCTCTGAAGAGGAATAAATTTTCCAATTCGAACCAGTAGATACTTGGTTCTGGAGATTAGTGCATTCAACACAAAAAAAACTGTTCAGCTTTACAATATTAGGAGGTATAAGTTTTTACCTACATCATTGATGCTCAGAGGAAGTGGAAGTACACATACAACAATGCTGAGAGTTTTATTATTTAGGAATATGGTGAAACAGACAACAATTCATGCTTTGTGAATATTACTTGGGTACACAAGAAATTATAAGAAAAACCATCTTCGGAGACCTTCAGAAAAACACAAGACTGATCCATCAAAAAGAGAATCTTTCTTTTTTCGTTAAGGTGTCCAGTGGCAAAAACCCCCCTTAATTTTTTGACAGAGATCCCAGAAACTACCTCCAGATTCCAGAATCTAGCAACTGTCATACTCCTAGAAATAAAGGATATTTGTTCTTTTTTTTTAAATAAATCTGAATTAACAGATAAAGCAGACAAATTCAACAGAGATTATTACTTTTATCATCACCATTATCCAATCCTGTCCTACACCAAACAACTCATCGGGTCCTGTACTGCTTGCATCCAACGACTTCCAGTGACCTTCACCAGGTTGTCAAACCACCTTATGGGGAGTCTCCTCATAAAGTAGTCCTCTAGGACCTAAAAGGGGCTCATCCTGTCTGATACTTTTAATATAGTTTTTATTAGTAACATAATAATTAACTTCTAGAAAAGTATCAACTTCAAGGTGCCTACATCATGCATGATGAATTGTACCTTTTTTCAAATTTTAATCAAACAAAAAGAGAAGAGTATTCCCTTCTAAATAAAAATAGAATTTCCCAAATTGGTTCATAAATGATAGTGAATTATTTTTTTTGAAATAGGTTAAAAACTGGGCAGCCATGTGTAAGATAAATCAAGTTACTATTAACTGACTGTTGACTGGCTTGTTTCTAAGGAGAGGCTTATGTTCAGCAGTGGACTATTAAAGGCTGTTGATGATGATGATGATGATGACTGGCTTGTTGGTCTAGTGGTTTGTACCTGTAATTGTGTGATGAGGACAATCATTTGTTCTGTGTCCTGGTGTAATTCATGTGTAATATTTATGTATTTAGAAATATTTGAGTATGTTTATCAGCAGTCTAGTTACCATAGTAAAGGCTCTGCTTAGGTTGGGATCAGATGGGAGTGTGAAATTACTATTCTTGAGTGTAGGTATTAAGCAGTTTCTCTGTTCATATCCTGTACTTTTTTTAAAACCATGCATGGGTACTGCTTCCAGCAACATAGGTACTGCTTGAAATTAATACCTTACTAAGTTTATGTTAAAAATTGACTTCTTTGGAATCATAAAGGCAATTCAAAGAAAATTTAACTTTTATTGACTATCATATATTACATTCCTACTTATTCATAGATTTAAACTATTCTGTGTGGCTGCAAATATTTAAATTATATAAAGTTAATCCCAAGATTCTGCTACTCTAAGATGTTTTAAACGCTCGAATAAAGTAACATCTTCTTTGAAAATTCTTCTATTCTGATCTAATAATTGTTCTTTTCTCATTCGACTCGTCTTGCCAAGGGCCTTTGCATGGCCAGAACTTTCTGCCTGCAATGATTTGAAAATAATGAGCACCTGACCGATTAAATATGATGCTTACTCTGGAATAAGTAATTATACTTACTTCTGTGAGATACGGAAAGCGCAAATAAAACATATTTTTTTCTTCGACCTCAAAATCTCTTTTCAGTTGACGAAGATGTTTAGGTTCAACTTTTTTTACGAGTCGATCTTTTCCTCTGAACAAATGTCCATTTGGTAAACGGTTGCGTCGAAATAGAATAAGAGTTAATTTCATGTTTGGTACCTGAAAGAATTATAAGAATATTTTTATTTTATTAGATCTTTAATTGTAAAATAAATCAGGTTTAAGGTTATGTCAAATACAAAGACTTAGCCACAGATAACTATATATACTAGGACTTTCTTAGCGACAATATGTTATGCATAGAAAATGCATAGAAATCAGGGTTGTTAGATAGTGGCCCAATAAAGCTGGTACAGATGTCGCTAAAAGGCTCTAAAAGCTGGTATTTAAAAAAATATTGGCACACACAATAACGTTATATTAATAATAATAATAACGATTTATTATAATAATAATAATAAATCGTTTATTTTGTGTTCTTTCAAATAAAATTTTGAATTATAGAAGAAATTCTTGATTTTTTGAAAAAAAAAAAGAGTGAGTGTGCTATAGACCACACGACTGAAGTGGTGATGTGTGTTCGCACCTCTCTCTGTTGTCCCTATAGTAATATTTATTTATACATCATGCACTTTTGGTGCGTAGGGCGTCAAGCGTGCGTAAAGAAGTTTTACATCAAAATAATGATGTATGATCAATGTAGAAAGTTTGTATTTTTACTTGTTATATGGAATAAGACCCTGAAAAATGGTACACTTACCAAGAAATGTCTAACATTTCTGAATTAGAGATATAAGCATAGAGAGAACACGGGGTACGGTTGCCTGTAAGTGGAAGCGATACAGGCAACGAGAGAGATCGATGGCCGATAGTTACCTCTGTCTCTGTTTAGGTAAGCTGCAATGGACTATCGTGAAGTGGCCATGGTTTTGATCATAGAACAGGCTGGAGATTAGAAATTTCCCCAGCCAACTACAGAGCTCGACTAGAAAGAGATAGAGGAAACTATCTATTATCCATTTCACTCGTTGCCTATATTGCAAGATTGGGGCTCTTGTTCCCTCTATGTTTATGGGATAATTGTCAAAATGTCAGATGGAACAAGGATAAGGCAAACTGTTTCAAAAAGTTGTATCCGGTCATGTTATTTATTGCAATTAAGATGTTTGATTTTAATTGTAAACATATGTTATATTACCATTTAATAAATTGTGGATCCATAATTTAATAAATGGTAAATTATAGTTACAGCTTCAAGTAACTTTTTGCTTTTTTTCTATTAAGTAAAAGTTCCCACCTCAACCTCATCACCACTCACTTGACTCCTTGTTGAACTTTTAAAATAGAAAATAAGAGAATGATGAGGGCATTATCGAGTCTCATACTATTTACTAGTTAGCGATGGCAGTGTGTGATTTTATGATAAAATACATAATCTGTGAAATGAGCTTAGAATCGATTATGTACCTATTTCTTACCCGATAAATTTTCCATTTAAGCATTATAAAATATATGTAGTATTAAATTACATGTTTGTGGTTTGAGTTCTGTAAATTAAAAATACATAAGCTTTTCACATCACAAAATAATTTGAATGAAATACTACTCAACAGCACACGGGGTCTACTATTAATTAGTCCTTCACTTGCAATGTCATCTCTAACAGTATTCCTGTACTCTGTGCAATGCTAGTCTATGGATTTTGTATTAAGTCCTAAGTCTATGATCTTACAAATGGCCACAGAGTATAACTTTTTCCTAAAAAATCTCCAAATTCTTTAGTCTATGTCAGAATGGCTGTCGATTGAGCGTAGGGGTGTCGTATTGTCGTAAATAATTTGTGTAAAAATCAATTTATTCCTAATGTAATGTAACTGTTGTTATGTTTAAGTTTATTTACTAAGTATGGGATCGCGGGGCTGACACCTGTGCCTTCTGTTGGAGCTGTCTCCGGAATCGGTTAGTACTTTTTGTATGTATTAAATTAAGCTTTCGTAGATATTTGTGTTTAGAGAGCTTCCAGATAATTACATTTTTATGATAATGAGCAAAACATTTAATTCCATAGAAAGCTGTAGCTACTTTGACTTGGCACCATTCATTTAATTTCATCCGTTCCCGTACAATAAGACTTGTTTCGTTTCGGTACCCTTTCACTTTGTGTACATTATTTTCGTGCTCTACTTATTTCAAGCTTGCTGTTAACTATTATTTCCCCTGATTTAAAAATAAGCTAAGAAATCTCTGGCAACTTTATAACTTTTAATATGGTTAGAACTGTTTTTAACATATAATTAGGAACTCTGTAAGAAATGAGTACTACAAAAATATGACCTAATTAATAAAATGATAAGCTTAATTTTAGTAAGGTTTCAGAATAAACTCTTGTAAACTGTTTTGTTGGATTTAAAATCTGTATGCTGTTGTCAATATCATCATTAATATTGTTCATGTAATGTGAAGTTTGTTTATACTTTTCGTATTTTAGATAAAACCTTATTGTTTATACAATTACCAAAAAACTGCCAAGATGACATTAAAATTTCGGGTTGCTTGCTAGGTTTTCTAATAATCTTATTTTATGTCAATTTTATTACTGATTATAAGTGGCAATGTCAATTTATGTTATAGAGACTAATGTGATGGCTAGAAAATAAGGCTTACTAATTTAGGGATTTAATATATTTATTAGAACCTCTAATGGAGAATACACATTTTATACTATGTTCATTCTTGACATTATTTTATCGTTAACTTTTAATTCTAAGAATAATCATATAGACATTCAAACAAACTTATTATAATATTTATTTATTTATTTATTTTCTTTAAAAAAAAATATTATTACAGGTTTAGCCCAATGCAATAGTGTTATACCATCTACTTATTTATTATAAGAAATAATTCTTAATGCTGTTATTGTGAATTCACTCATTAATTAATTAATATGATTTATACAGTAAGTACAATAGCTAAAACAAGAGCAAAACAATTCAAGCAATCAATCAATCAATGAAGTCAAGTAAGCAAAATCACATCAAAATTTAAAAAAAAGAAATACAATAAAACAATGAAAACCATCAAAATTAAATGAAAAGGATGAATAAATTAAATCAAGTTCTCATTTCAACATACATCTCTTTTAGATGTAGAAGGGAGTCTCGCACACTCATGTTCTCTAATTAACACTCACCTATACCAGACACTTGTGATAGATCCTGCAGTGGTGGCTAGACATTGCCTCATGCCACTTTTCTTGAAGGTCATATCGGTCTGGAAATATGCAGGTGACAATTTGTTAACGAGTAAGTATGTATGTAAAAATTATGTAACTAAACTGTTTTGTTGTTTACAAATAGCCTATGTCTGTTAATAATAATATTTATTTGTTGTATGTTACTAGTTACTTTTTATTATGTTCTATTTTATTTGATCAGGAAATTGAAATTTACATACAACATAGTATAAAAATAGCAATAAAAATTATGTGTGTGCAACAAAAATTCCTTTTAATGTTTTAAAGTATTTAATGAGCATGTTATCTGTGTTTGTACAAAAAGAGGGTAACTGTCAATTTAAAAAATATTATAAACTAAAAGTAATAAAATATATATTACTGACTGTGTTTACTACTCACCTCTATTGCCTCTTTCATTCTCTTATCTTTTTTTATCCATGTCTTGTGCTCTATTCATGACAAATACTGATGAGTTTGTACTCTTCCTTTTCCATTAGATCACCTCCTCTACTATAGAAAATGGTCTTCAATATCAGCATGTTGATGTAATTTCAAATCTTATACTTCTTTATCCAGTGATCATCTTATAGTTAACTGGTACAGAATGCCCTTAGAGTAACCTGCATATATGTAGCGAGTATATGAAAAATTAAAGAGGATTTTCAACATTAAATTTATGTTATGTTTCTTATAAAAACACGGCGCGTTGCGGCGTTTTTATTAAAAAAACAACTCCCGCACTAGGAATATATATATCGCGGGGGACTTTACAGACATTTACAAAGAACACCTAGACTCAGAACAACAATTTGTAAATTACACAAAGTGTTGTCCCATGGGGCGATCGAACCCACAACACTTAGTGTAGTAGGAAGCGACGACCGCTGAAACCACTACGCTAACCGTGCAGTAATGAAAATACACACGACGCGTTGTAGTAATTTCGTAAGAATTTTGTCATGTTATACGACCACATGATTATTATCTACTATCTATTCCTGCGGCCCCGCCCGCTCAAAGTCGGTTATCGCGGTAGAAAGTAGCATACATCTTTCCTCAAGAATCAAAGTATATCCATACCAAATTTCATCTAAATCGGTTCAGCAGTTCTTGATTCCCCATACAAACTTCCACCACCTTTTTCACCCCTAAAAGTATGATTTCTTGGATAAAACTACCCTATGTTAATATTAGTATGGGGATTATATTTGTTGGGCCGCTGTAATTAAATGAAGCATCTAATTAAAATTTAGTAACTAACAACGCGTAAACTTGATAACGAAACAAACTTAAGTACTTGAGTCTACCCATGCTTCATGTTATAACAGGGCATTGCCCCTTTGATATCCTTAATTACTTCTATTTACTGCCTTTGGACCGTGTGCAGTGTAAGCTAATAAAATTGTACGTATGTGTGTCACCTAGATCTACTTTGAACAGAACGCTATTTATGGCTTATTCCTTAGTTTTCTGTATGTGTTTTAATTTATAAAAGTTGTAAGTTATTAACAGAATGATAGAGATAACTGTCTCTATTAATTTGTCAATATCAATATTTTTATTTAAACGTATTATATTTATAAGAAACATTTAAACAAATTCAGTACGAAAGCAAATCTGACAACCCGCCTGATGACGAGCCGGCAATTACCGGCTCTTGAAAACCCGCAACACTAAATAAAAAATATAAATATGCATCTATACCTGCTTCGGCTATACCTTCCCAACTACATTCTAAACTTGCCCTTTTGGCAATGGTGGCACCACTTCAAAACCTAGACAGTTCTAGGCTTACAATCCATTGCCCATGAAGTAGTAATATGATGATGATGAAGTTTATACCGCTTGTGTTAGGTTTCACAGTAAATAAGTTTTACAATACTGAAATATTTTGAAGTAACGATATCTCTTAAAAAACAATATTTCTTCAGAACAAAATAAATAGAAGGAAGTATTCATACATGCAAATGATTGTTCATGTACTCTTAAGGTATACAAGTAGAATCGAATGACTTTTTCTGGTTGAATTGCAAATTTATCGTCACCGTGACTATCGATAAAAGAATACTTGAAAAAGGGGTCAACTACTATCGATGTTAAAGTGCTTCCCCGCGCCGCATACCTTTAACTCTGCCCCAATCATCAGCGAGTAAATAATTTACTATAGTAATAATTTTACTCTCACGGAATTATACCGTATATCACAGCTCTTGAGATGTAAATAGACTGTTATCTAATGTTTTCTACTTTTACAACTACTAGACCAAATTAAAAAAAAAAACAAAATTGTTCAGCCATTCACGAGCGTATTTAATAACAGGAAATTAATAATGTTTTTTTTTCTGAAAATCGAAAAGAAATCGTAGAAATTTTTCAATGATGTAGTCAAACAAGTGTTTTTAAATATCTTCATTGTTAAGCTTAGAGAGAATCAAATACCACATTGTATTACTACTGAGGGAGTTACTACTAAAAAATAAAGTAATGAGAACCGGCTAACAACAAAATTAGATTTTGTTAATAGAAATAGTGTTAGACTTATCTTTAACACTTTTTCTATTAACAAAATCTAATTTTAAATACACGTATATATTTCGCACTGTGTCCGTGTGTGTGGTGACGGATTAAGAACACGGATTGTCACCACCCCCAATCATCCCGTAGGTGTCGTAAGAGCCGACTAAGGGAGCAAACTACGTAGGACAACAACACTGCAAAGAGAAGGAAAACTTGACACAAACCCTATACCATCCCGTCAGGCCAGCGTGACATAGTAGGCCAAAACCTTCTTTGTAAAGAGAGGCCTATGTCCATCAGTGGACTGTTAAAGGCTTTCGATGATTTCGCACTATATTTTACCAGGCCATCGTACAGATTTCCAAGTAAATTAAAAGGACAATACTCCCACTCGCTCGAACATGTTATTATTATTATAAACAGAGATCACGTTCTACGTCGTCTTGTTATGAGATAAATGACAGATTATTGTTATAGTTCTCAAATATCAGAAGCAATTCTATCTACTGTTACCAATTAGACATACCCCTTTGTGTATAGAAACATTACCAAGTTATTCAAGTGTCGTTTCATTGGAAAATATCAATGTGTGGGAAAAAAAAAATGGTCATTACGTTTTAAACTTTTCTAATGTGAAGTGGTCATTATCAAGTATATGTTGTATAAAGTATTTGACATTGAAAAACTAATTGTGTTTTATGTGATTTTTAAGTTTATAAGGGGTTTTTCATATTGTTATAGAGCCCCAGTGATCCTCGAAGCAAGTACACCAACTACATATTGATTAGTGGTGCTAAAGATGGCGCAGGTTGGAGCTAATATGGAGTACCAGGAGTACAAATGGGCCTACTCAATCATGGATTCATCCAAGTAAATTTTTTTTTTTTTTACTAAATATACTTTATATTAAACTAACATGCACTTAAGCTGATTAACACCATGACTCGAAACGGACTGGAAATGGTAACGGTATTACTAAATTCGTAAATACAATGCTAGATATGTCAGGTTTAAACCTGCACGAGTTGTAGTTTAAAAAACGTGGTCACGGTGTCAAGATCGGTAGTCGCACAAATGGTAGAGATAAATGCTCTTTTAACGTTAAGATAATCCAAAACCACCGTGTATGACCGTGAACCCGTCACCACACAAAAAGACCTCTCAGGCAGGCAGTTTCCCGAAGCACTTCCCCAAGTTGGTACAAGTAGCCTGTGGAACTGCCTGTGCGCCTGGAAGGGCGCGTAGGCATTTATAACAAACAGCGTTTCACTTCTAAATGTCATTCTGTAGCACTTCTAAGAGTACGACTGTCACTCCGTTCTCCCCACCGGGCGCTTGTATATAATTGATTTAGGGATTCAATGTTTGAAGAATTAATGTAGGTAAATCATTTATTGAGTGTCCCTAAAACAAATAAAAAAATGTCTAATGAATGGAAAGTTAACATCGCAGAGGACGAAATAATACTTTTAATTCGTATGTCGGACTCGAACCGACTAAACACCGCACGCCAATGCAACCAGCTGTAACCTAGAAAGGACCCGACGGACCCCGGGCCATCTACGGATTACGGATCGCCCCCTCGTGGGTGAAGTGCCTTGACTACGGTGTCCCCTTCTTCCTAAAAGGCGTGTTGTATAGTACCTCGCCCCGCCAGCCCGGCCTTCTACTAGGGTGACAGATGGCCTCATCTGTACTGTACCTCACATGTATCATCTCATGTCGGCACTTAGACCAGTCCATTCGGTGAAACCAGTCGGTAGAGCTGTTACAGTTCATTGAAACAAAATGTCTGGGCTGGAGGTATCCAGTCTGTACTCTCTGACCGTTACTGCGTTATCTGTATTACCTTACTTATGAAAACTGGTTTTGTCTTCTACTGCAGCTTATTTTCAGGTGTATGAATATTATTAACTTTAGGTTAAAGTAATAGATTACATCTATCATTGAACCTTATACTGTATCCGAAATAAGAAAGTGAAACAAACATATAGCATTTACTATAGTTTTATTGCTTTTCAAAATATTCGCCGTGATATCGATGCACTTTTGCATACGTTGGAACCAATTTTCGTAGCACTTTTTCCATTCTGATACTGTTTTTCATTCCATTGAACGCATCAACAGTCTCTTCACGGCTCGAAAAAAGTTGACCACGTAATTTATTCTTCACGGTTGGGAATAAATAGAAGTCGTTGGGGGCCAAGTCAGGGCTGTACGGCGGATGACCCGTTAATTCGATCTTATGAATTAACCGTTTTGTGATCCTCTAGTGGCACTGTAGCCACATGTCCATTTATACAAAAAAACAGCAATTTGCTTCAAACTGCTTTTTGAACTTTTGTTGAGTTCGGCTCATCTTGGAACACCCAAACCGTTGATTGTTTTTTAGTTTCAGGATCATATGCATATATCCAAGAGTAATCACCTGTTAAGATATTATAGACAGCTTTTGACGCATCCTGATTGTACTTTTGTAACATTTTTTTTCACCAATAGACACGAGCCCGTTTTTGGTTAATTCTCAAGGTGAACAATTTTTTTTTACAGCTTAATGTTTTTGTAATCTATACTAATATTATAAAGCTGAAGAGTTTGTTTGTTTGTTTGTTTGTTTGAACGCGCTAATCTCAGGAACTACTGGTCCGATTTGAAAAATTCTTTCAGTGTTAGATAGCCCATTTATCGAGGAAGGCTATAGGCTATATATCATCACGCTAAGACCAATAGGAGCGGAGCAACAATGAAGAATGTTTCAAAAACGGAGAAAATTTATTACTATTGAGAGACGCAGACGAAGTTGCGCGGGTCAGCTAGTCTATACTAATATTATAAAGCTGCAGAGTTTGTTTGTTTGTTTGTTTGAACGCGCTAATCTCAGGAACTACTGGTCCGATTTGAAAAATTCTTTCAGTGTTAGATAGACCATTTATCGAGGAAGTCTATAGGCTATATATCATCACGCTAAGACCAAAAGGAGCGGAGCACTATTGAAGAATGTTTCAAAAACGGAGAAAATTATTACTATTGAGAGACGCAGACGAAGTTGCGCGGGTCAGCTAGTATTTTATATATACTCCTCATACTTATTACCAGAGACGCCTCTAATCTCGCGATATGTAACATAGCGATCTCGCATTATTAGTTCCCGCACATCATCAATATTTTGAGATACAACAACCGATTTAGGGCGACCTTCTTTAAATTCATCCGTGAGCATAGACCAGCCTTCGATTAAACTTACTAAATCAGTGATACAGAGTTGTTTTTGATGGTGCTTCGTCCCCAAAAGTCAGGGGAGTTGATCGATGCACTGTTTTTGAGGTAGCCCTCGCCGAAAATCGTAATAAATCATAGCACGACTGAAATCCATACTAATAAAGACACTCAATTTTCAAAATGACGCCATAAAGGATAAACAAATGACAGCTATATGTAAATTGGCTTCTTCAGCCAGAGAGTTGCATTTTTAAATGTAATAATTACTTTTTTTAATATTGTTCTGTAACTGGCCAGTTCCGGATACATAGCTAGCAGCCCTCGTACAGCAAGATTCACAAAATATTTTGTTTAATTAAATTTTACATAAAAAGGACGAAATCAATTAATTAGAACGAGGGCGAAAATGCTAATATTATTAAAAACAAACATATTTGAAGTTTATTTTAATAGCCCATTTCCAGTTTTAACTTAAAAGAACGAACTTACGAGCATAATACTTAACTCACTTACAACACAAAGCTGAATAAACCCGGACGTATGATAATACTGTTTATTTATTAGCTACTTTGCAAAAACAGCTGGACAAATTGCAACTTGCGAAATCTCTTTGTGCATTGAAAATGAAAGTATCGCTACAAGCAACATCAATGACAATAATTCCTTGCGTAACTCGTAACGTTTTCTACTGATTTGTCATTCAACTGTGTAGTAACTTAAGTGTTTAAGTAAAAATCTAATGTTTGATAATATTGATGACTAGGTGTTATCAGCCACTAAAATCTTTAATTATAAAAACCGGAAACCGGAGTAAATTTCAAATCAGAAAAAAACCGGATGTAACTACCATTAGATTTATCCGGAAAAGCTGGAGCAAAAAAGCCTAGCTGCTAGTGCGTTGTTAGCCTAACTTCTCCATAAAAAAAAACCTAAAGCGGATTAGTGGCATTGGTGCTCGAATGAAACACAATAACGGATAAATAGGAAGACATTGATATTTTCACACATTCTGTGGTAGGTAATATGTAAAGAAAATTATATGTAAGTATACCCAGGCCTCAAAAATACCCGCCAAAATAGTTTAGGGTTCCGTGGGCCTAACAAGAAACTCTTATAGTATGTAATAACGGTATCATTTGATTAAAATATGACTAAAGCCTACCATACCACTAACAATAAAAACTGTTTTTTTAATCATGTAATAAAGGAAATGCCAAATTTCACCATGGACAGGTTGTAGTATATAAATGTCACCTGCAGGAAGTATATCGTACACCCAATCTAAACGAGTCGTGTTCGAGTGACTGTAACGGTACAAAACATTTAGTCAGAATCGTATGAATTTTATCGTTTTATGGAAACAGGTGGCATATGCAAAACATCCATAACAACTGTATTAATAATTGTTTTAATATATTATGTACCTAATAAATAAAATAGTAACAAATTTTATGTATAAAATATAATTTTGATGGTGACAGTCTACTTTTCCACAAAAGCCTCTAGAGATTTCTGTGTACGACTAAACTCAAACTCAAAATATTTTTATTTCATAAAATTATGTAAAATTGTTTGAAATTGTATTTAATATTCGACTAGGACTCAAAATTGGAATAAGTTCTTCCTAATGTTATTAATTTAAATAAAATGTAATCTCTAACACATGCACATTAACTAAAATGACGGCCAAGCCTCAGCATCACATTACACGGTAATAAATATGACCCCAGGTGTTCACAAGCCGTGAGGGGCGGACAGAATAGCAGCGATGATACACAAGTACTAAACTCTTATATTAAATATAGTACTAAAGCGCCTTTTTGCACCTTCTTACTAAACTAAACAAAGCTGATCTTCGTGGCTGTGCGCTTGTGGTCGCCAGCGCCTAAAATTAACGCAGCTCTGTTCCGTCTAAATATATCATGTTAAAATATACCAGCTATATAGCTTGATATCTGTCTAAAGTAAATAACGTGCATTCAACCTTAAAGGACGCGACTTATTTCGAGACCGACAGTAGGGCTTCCGCCTTAATCGTTCTACCGGTGAAAACGGTTAATGATCAAGATACACTGGTCAGCCTTGTAATCGCACATTCTGGTCTAGCACTGAAGTTTTCATCTGAAGTAACAATCTTAAGGAGTAGGCAAGTTGGGCTGCCATCCTTTTGTATAGCATATTAATGTACTACAGATGTAACGTGCAACATGCTTTTACATTGCTGTATTGTGCACCTTTAAGTGATGACAATGATTAGGCGCATATATTTGCCTACCTTCATAAAGCTACTTACAATATCGGACTTTATTAACGCAGTGAAACATCCGAAGTATTTTCATACATTAATCTGCGTTAGTACAAATGTCGGTCAGTCTTTTATGGTCCTTCATTAGAGTCGAAAATAGCTTTGCAATTTCCTTTCAGCAAGTGATATTAAGTGCATGTTAATTGAAGGGGTCCTAGTAACGGTTCATTAGGGAGATGCTGCACGGGCTGAGACGGAAAGGACGTACATTTAATTAGCTGGGGGTCGGTGGGTCACTTTGTGTCTACATTTAGACACTCTTGCTCATTGATTTGTTGTATCTAAAAATTTTTTTTGAGTCAATTTATTGAAACACAGATCTTTACGTCTGATAAACAACTATTAATTTAATAAATAGATGTTGCCCGTTCCGTTTTATGAGTAATGAAGTGTATTTCAGCTTAAATTTTATTATTTTTTTGCACTGCCGAAGATGTTCATGATGTAATATAGAATGGAATCACACAGGCTCACTTCCTATCACGACTTACCTGTAATAAGAACGACATAACATCGTTCGTTTCAGGTCCGTATGCTTCAATTACTTTTGAAAGTACTACGACGACGTTACTATCACAACATAATTCGTTTTCTTGTATCAATGGATTTGGTTTGCTGACAGTTATTAAAACATTATAAAATAACAAAACATTGACTGTCTGACTACATGACTAACTAAAGCAACTGCACTTTGTTAAGAAAACATTGAGTTTCATTATCAAAATTGATCAAGTTGCCAATAAAGATACACTATGTTTTAGACGATACACTCTCGGGATGAATAGGGGTGGTGACACCCCGTATTCTTAATCCAACACCACACAAACGCTTAGTTAGAATCTTGAGAAAAGAGAAATGTATTTACCTTCTGCGATTAAAACTCGGTATGGTGGGCATAAAGACGAGGCTCTGAAGCGAAATTTTCACTCTCAGTGGTATGGATAAGAAGGATCTTTAGCTCCGCTGCGTCACTTATAACATTTCTGGTATGATATACCTATGTATATTTCTAATGTCCAGCTAATGTTTACCTATATTTCTTTAGTCTACCTACTTACAGTCTAAAAATTAATGATATTTATTAGCTTGGACAGTCACGAAAAATTAAATATCTGTTATTGTAATTGTAACTATATGTTTGTAAATCATACAGCAAAGGAACATAATGAACTAAAGTGACCGATTCTTTGTTTCTTCTTTTAAACAACAATAAAAATGCATTAATGCACACACCTACGACAAAATGTTTGTTTGACTGATGTCAGTTGCCAGCCAAAAAGCGTTCTCATTTTGCTTATGACTTATATCAACCTTGCTTAGGTAGATAGCTATGAATATTTGACATATTCCTGTTCACTGTGACAATGTGACGCTGACGTCTCGCGATTCTCTCTTTGTGCACTAAGATACCTTTAGTTAACGGATGTCGGATATCTATAATGGAATAATGATGCTAACTCAAACAGCACCGATTACCAAGCCAAAAGAAAAAAAAAAACATTTGTTTGCACCATTAGACAAGGTCAGTTTATCTGTTGAGCTGTATCTACAGCTGCAACTGATATATGGATACGAAGCTGGTATTCTGTAGATACATTGTTGTCTATCAGTTTATAAATAATAAAATCGATGCAAACATTTATATTGTGTAGTGTATGGTACGGCTGATAAAATACTATCTGTAAAAATTATCTACCGTTATATGGACTTCACAATGGTTGGCGATACAAACTGCGTGGTTGCGGAACGCTATTACTTCCGCGCGGTTATGAGTTCGATTCCCTCATAAATTACATTATTAGTGTAGGCAGATAATGCTAATAATAACAACGAGTAGTTGCATCTTTTTTCCACAATATTTACATTATTATATTAGGATTACAGTTGAGCAAAGTGCCTTTCTTTCTTCCATTCCGTGTTTGCAGACATACCTCAGACTTGCTGTATGAATCTTTACCTACTCAAGTCTTTATAGCACTACTACTAAGGTCATAAACAAGTATAAGGCCTGCATGACGCTACGCGATAACCATAGCCTTTAGGCACTGGTAAATAATACAAGATGTGACTGACCAATTTTTGACTAAGAACATTATCCACGAGGAAGAAGGAGGCTTATTGAAATTATATAGAAATGTAAAATAAATATATACCTTTTTTCGCATCATCACATCAACAGCCTTTAATAGTCCACTGCTGGACATAGGCCTCTCCTTAGAAAGAAGACCTTTTTTAATTGATTGAATATACCAGCCCTCATCATCAAATATTGCACCCATAGCTTATTAAATAATATTACTGTTCTTTGTTCGCCATCGCTCGTTTCTAACCCTATTGGCGAACAAAGCATAGTAATATTATTATCTTAAATCTCGTCTTTTGGCTTCAGTGGTACAATAAGTCTAAGGTGTTTTATGCATTTCTCATAGAGGTTGTGGCACAATGCTGCTTAGAGCAATGTCGTTTCATTTAATAAAAAAATGTTATTATATGCTTAGCTGTCGCCTGCGACTTCGTCCGTATGGAAAGGGAATAACTTGTTATATTATTTTAAGGATTTATCAGAATATGCAAAATTAAATATCTAATGCTTCTTCCTTTATTCACAATATTGGGCGTATGATTCCCGTTAGCTAGAACAATGTTAGAGGCATAGCTCACTCGTGAGTGATGTAATGATTAGCCCTCCTCGCTTTGTAGATCGCTGACAGCTTCTTAAATGTTTGGGATTTAATTATTACGATTCCAGCAAGATTACTGTTCTGAAATCTTTGAAACTAAACAGGATTTTTAAGGTTATTGAGAATGATATGGTCTTTATAGAAACAAATACAGTTAAAAAAAACTTCTCATTACAACGACAAAGTCTGGTAACGGCTGGTCTTTAGTTCCATCTGTTGACTTTTAAAATCACATGACGTGAGATGAAATCTAGACTCCTTTTTATAATGATATAGATTAAAAGGAGCAGACAGGTCCACTTATGGAAAATTGCTACTGCGAGGGATAAAAAAAATACTTTTAAGCGAACGAAGCCTCGGCTAGGAAACTAGTTTTTATCCAACTTTTGTTTTAAAGACGCGTGTGACTTTGTGTGTCGCGGGGGACTTTACAAACATACATGAAAGGACACAAAGAATACCCAAACTCAGAACGATAATTTGTGGATCACACAAAGTGTTGTCCCATGTGGGGTCGAACGCACAACACTCAGCGCAGTAGGAAGCTGCGACAGATTTAACTAACCGTTAGCACTTCGTCAGTCAGAGCTGTTTACACTCAATATAGAAGCAGATTTTCATTCCATTGTATGCAGGGCTTTCACCAATAATCTTTAGTTCTTGGTCTTATTCGTGTTTATAGAATGGTTCGGTTTCCTTTTAGGCTTTATTCAAAAGTATATTAAATAAATAAGACATGATGACATGATGAGTACTTAAGTATAAGAAAGAACCACCAATAAAACATAAACTAAAATGCCTAGTCCTGGTCTACTCGTTCCAAACTAACACTATGGTATTATAAAATACTAGCTGACCCGCGCAACTTCGTCTGCGTCTCTCAATAGTAATAAATTTTCTCCGTTTTTGAAACATTCTTCATTGGTGCTCCGCTCCTATTGGTCTTAGCGTGATGATATATAGCCTATAGCCTTCCTCGATAAATGGGCTATCTAACACTGAAAGAATTTTTCAAATCGGACCAGTAGTTCCTGAGATTAGCGCGTTCAAACAAACAAACAAACTCTTCAGCTTTATAATATTAGTATAGATTTATGCAACATACAAGTCCGCGATTGTGTAAAACAGAAAACAGTTATGCCTAGTTAATGATATACTTTTTATTACTATTAAATACGAGAGTTTCGATGGGTGTTTGTTACTCAATCACGCCAGAAGGGATGAACAAATTTTGATGAAATTTAGCACATATATAGATTGTAGTCTGAAATAGATCATAATCTAGTTTTGATACCTGAATAAATTATTGACAAATTCAATTAACAATTAACGCGACCGAAACTGAAGACAATGTATGTAGGTTAAATAGTCAATAGGTATTTATAAAAACATATTTTCGTTGATAAAGTACATAAAAAAATCCTAAAAGAACAATAGTTTATGCTTATAAATCTAACTTAAAATAAAACTAAAAGTATTTAAGAATAGAATATAATATTATAACTACTTAGTTTTCAGTTTTGTTATTAAAATTAGGAAGCAACAGAAAATTAACAAAAAAAACTAACCAGGAAATAAGACAAAGACGAAATCGTTTGTCTAATCAAAATTCAAACTTTTTTTTATAAACTGTAGTAATCTAGACCGTAACCAAAGAACAGTATTGCCGGATTCGTTTATTTTTTATATTTCAATATAATGCGAGATATGGCCTTCAAAATACGCACTTAACCATACAAAGTGTAGGAACTAACAGATATATTTATTGCCACGTCATTGCCATGTATCGAAATGAAGTGTTAACTTTTCTAGAATTAGGACCTTTTAGAAATAGATTTCTTCTTAAAGAAGTTATTCAAATAAAAACGCTATTAGATACCAGCTGCATCCCCGTTGTTACCCTCGGCTTATCCCACGGGAACACTATATTGTTTTCGTGACAAAAAGTCAGCCTATCCAGGGTGTCAGGTATCTAAACCTATACCAAATTTTATTAAAATTGGTCCGTTCGTTTGAGCGTGCAAAAGTAACAAACATACAACACACACACTAACAAACTTTTGACTTTTAAAATATTGGTGTGATGTGATAGATGATTTTATTAAATGTCATTTATACAAATGTCACTCATTTTGTTTTAGTTCTTCTAGGTAGGTTCGTAAAATTAATTTAAAAAAGTAATCTGTATTTGATAGTCATCACAGCCGTTGAGTGGGACGTCATAAACAAAACTTGGGTTGCAAGTGTGAGGTTCTTAAGTAGTCAAATTGTCTGACATCCCTCTGAGATTTAAATTTCTGAAAAACAATATTATCTTTAAGGAATATAAGATATAAAAAGTTGATATAGTTTATGAACTTTTTATATCTTATATTTCTCATAGTAATATTACAACAGTATGTATGTTTTGGTTTACAACGTTTTTCTTCTCTAAAAACATTAAAGAAACTGCGGCTTTTTAGTCTTATAAAAAAAATTGTAAGTTATGTTGAAATAGAACGTCACATAACCGAATTACAGATTTAATAATCAATGCTTCTTTTACAGAGTATCGGCATGTCTGATCTCGATGTTGCTGATCGTATACGGAAGCTTTCGATCTTTGAATATGGAACGTGAAGCGAGAGAGCGAGCCGAGCGGGAGAGAGAGGCATCACTTCTAGGTGGAAAACCACCCACCACTACTAGCTCTTCTAACAGTAGTGAGTTATTACATTTTATCAATTAATATACTATGTATAGTGTATGAGAACAACATATTTCGAGGTGGAAGGGTGCCTACCTTGATAAGTCACATGTTCGACACCTTGGCTTCAAGTGTTTATTTCTAAAACAAACATATGTTACGGACTAAGTGATTGATACGGCATAATACATAACTAATATCCAGAAAGTTTGATAAATGTCCTACATGGAATATTTTTTAAGGAAACAAATTGACCGGGCTATATTGTTAATGAAGTAATTAAGAAATAAAATATCGGATTATTGATTTATTGTAATTATAATACACTACGTAAGGGATAGAAGATTGATGACTTACAAGCTTGGTTTTACAAGCTGAAGTGACGACACATACGATCATATGCCTAAATCTAAAGTATTAAAAAGTAAAACGCAAAATATTAGCTGTTAATAGCGATTCAGTTCAGTCCAGTTCACAATAATATATTTGGACCGCCTTTTTGTATAATCACTTGACTCATAGCATATGTACCGATAACCACTTATCACAAGTAGTGCCGTATGCTTATTTTGAGAACTTACTTTTATTAAGAAAAAAGCCCTTGACATAATATTTCTTTTCTCCGGCATACGTGTATTTGCATTAATAATGATCGATTAATAGTGACTCCTAGAAAACTTACATGCACGCAAGAGTTCGGTTTAGTGGCATATTGTGACATTTCTTATACGAGAGATACAATGCCTAGCATGGGACTCTAAAAACATAATATGTATCGCGGCGATCTTGATAAGACTAGGAATTACTTTTGTTATAAATATTATAACATAAAGTAACGATAAACTTAAATGTTTTAAATCCATTTAAAACGATATACATAATATCGCTTATCCAATAAAACAACAACGTAATTACAAGTAATTATGTCATTGTTCTTTTGGATGAGCGATATTATTTAATTAATAAATTAAAATCATGCACAAAAAACGGTTAGTGCTATGAACTTTTCTTAGCGAAACTGTTATTTTTATAATGTCAGTTAACGGTTATTGGCATTTATATTCTGCTCATTACAATTAACGGAACACACATTACTTAGATAAACGATGTGTAAGTCCCACTACGTTTTTGTTTGGATTTCATCGTCCTCGGGGTAGAGAAGTTTCCTATCGCAATAGTAAGAGTATACTAAAGTACTCTGCTAACGGTTGCCACCAGTCATGTTAACCTATAAAATTCTATTGTATCCTTGTGTTCTAGTATATTTTTTGAGTGCAGAGCCATAGTTGGTGTTGCAGAGAGAAGGAAAACTTGACACAAACCCTATACCAACCCGTCTGGCCAGCGTGGTATAGTAGGCCAAAACCTCCTTTCTAAGGAGAGGCTTATGTCCAGCAGTGGACTATTAAAAGCTGTTGATGACCTAATTAAAAATCCTTAAACAGATTTTAAGTACAGTATCGAATTAATTAAGCGCTATGTGACGTCGTTATTAATCAAAACGAATTATTTATTTTAAACATACAAACATGAGTTTTATAAATTAATTTAAACACAACATTTTTTTTAATAACGTGTGGTGACGGATTAAGAATACGGAGTGTCACCACCCCTATTCATACGGGAGCCAACTACGCAGGACAACAGCACTGCAAAGGGAAGGAAAACTTGAAACAAACCCTGTACAAACCCACCGGCCAGCGTGGTATAGTAGGCCAAAACCTCTTTTCTAAGGAGAGGCCTATGGCCAGCAGTGGACTATTAAAAGCTGTTGATGATGATGACAACATTTTTTTTTAATAATAAACTAAAAATACTATTTGTTCTTGAAGTATTTACTTTTTACAAACTAGGCATGCTTTGTGGCCTGATCGTAGTTACTTTAAACCTATGTGTAACATAAATTGAGCTATTAATGATCAGTATAAGTTAAACTGTCCGTCTGTAGACTTCTTCCTTTCCCGAGCTATTGCTTAGTATTATTGATTTTAGAGATTTCGCTCTATTTATGTTTTCGAAAAGGTTTTTAATTATTATAGAAAACAACCTGCGTTTTTTTGGCGTCTCACTTTTTCAATATGGCGTGAGATGGATGGTAACACTCTTTGAGTTTGTGAAGACTACAACCTAAGAAACTTGGAAAACCTAAGAAGGTTGGGTTTACTCTCTAGCACAGATAGTAATAATTTTGAATCCTAATCGTTAACAGCCACTAAGTAATCAGGGTCCAGTTCACTCGTCATGTGTTTTTATTCAACGTGGTGATTGGTATCTACATGGGGGAAATATAGAAGTGTCTGTTTGTACAATATTCCTAATGGATATAAATAATGGCTACAGGCTGCAAATTAAAGAAATCGTTAAGCATGAGCCATGTTTGTGCGCCTACTGCACCTTTACTACTTGCATACCCTTACGAAAATAAAAGTTAAAAATAAATAAAGTACATACTCGATTTTGGTTGATTTTTTTTTCTGAGAGAGCAGACCTGGTGGATCGAACGGGTAATTCATCCGTTTGGTAAAAAATATTAAAGATTTTATTTTACATCTTTGTTGGTGCAATTAATATTAAATTCTCGCGTTACAAAAGTTTTATACTGTACTCATGTGTACTTTACACAGTACAAGTCGCAATACTTTTAAAATAAACGTCCCCAATTGCGACATTTACGACAGTATCTAGTCAGTCCCCAAATAGGGCAGAACCTAGATACACATACGTACATGCCTTGGCGCCGATATGTCGCTCCATCTCCACGAGACGCCTTTCATTATATTGATAACGATTAGTTGGAAATGAGGACACTTAGCTCTTTTTGCCGTAGAGTGTTTGATTATACCTTAATAATAACAGATATAAATGTTTCTCGCTGTCAACAATATAACTCTCTCTATATATCTATATATATAAAAGAAAGTCGTGTTAGTTACACTATTTATAACTCAAGAACGGTATTACCGATATGGCTGAAAATTGGTGAGGAGGTAGCTTAGAGCCAGGAGACGGACATAGGATACTATTTATTCCGTTCGACAGTGTTCCCGTGTGACTTGACATAAAACATCAGTCACTATACAGGGTTACAATAAAAGTCGTGCTAGATCCGTTAAGGGCGTGGAGTACCCATCATTTCTGACATATTACACTATGAAACACCCTACCCTAAACTTAACCCTTTTCGAGATAATCGTCTTTTAATTTTTTTATTGAAATTTGCTGATTTTTAGGCTACTACATTTATTTTTGTTTATTTTGTGTATCTTATTATTATTATTTTTGCATTTTTACATGTGTAATGAGATGCTTTAGGACGTCAGTCATTAAAATAGTTCATAAGTTAATTGAATAGATCGTAGTAGACAAGTGAAAGTAAAGAAATAAAAAAAAAAATTAGAAAATTATTTTTCTCTAACGGATATCTAAAAACAATATTATGGTAATTGTTCGGCAGATGTTTTTTTAAAATATCTACGTTTCATCAGCTATCTAACGAGGTATAACAATCTAGGGTTTGTATTACATTTCGTGGAAAAAAAGTAGTTAGGACGCTCCAGGTAACAGTTCTAACGGTCCCGCGCCTATTGTCCTTCAAGTTAAGACGCACCAAGCGAGCGAGACAAGTGACGATTTATGTAGGTGCGAATGAAAGAAAAAATGTGTAGAGACCGGTTAGGGCTGGGAATACAACAGGGGGCATTGTTTGGTTGTCACTAGTTGTCAGTCTGCTTTTGTGCTTCGTACATAGTAGATGTGATATCGTTTTGCTCTTTTTCTCGACTTGGCTGTGATTCTGGACTATTTCTTCTGATTTGTGACTACTGTGCTTGTTAACCGGACTCTGATTTGTACCTGTGATACGGAAGTGTTGAAGATGACGTCCTACACACCTGAGGAATATGCTGATATGCTTATTTGTTACGGATACTGCGATTGTGTGTCTGCGCAAGCTCGCAACGAATACATAACTCGCTACCCTGGTCGTCGAGTGCCGGATGTGGCCGTTTTTGACAGAGTTTATCGAAGACTTCGAGAAACTGGCTCTGTTTTGAGACGAAATACAGACATGGGGAGACCACGAATTGACGACGAAGAACAGGACAATGAGATAGTGCAACGCTTTCGAGCGGATCCGACTACTTCCACTAATATTGTTGCCCGTGATCTGGGACTTTCGCAATGGAGAGTGTGGTTTACAGTGCATACTGCTGGCCTATACCCGTACCATTACACGCCGGTACACGTTATTGAAGAAGGAGACCCCGCGAGAAGATTGGACTTTTGCAGATTTATGCTAAATGCTGACGTAGAAGACCCAGATTTTCTAAGAAATATGTTGTGGACGGATGAGTCCAAATTTGATAAAGATGGCATAACTAACTATCACAACGCCCATTACTGGGCCCCAAAAGAACTAAGGAATCCCAATAAGAAAAGAGTGAAGGGGTCCCAACGAAGATTCAGCGTGAATGTGTGGATGGGCATTATCTCCAATCATTTGATTGGACCTTACTTTCTCCCGGATAATCTAAATGGGGAAAGCTACGAAAATTTCCTGAGAGCAGACTTGAGTGATTTGCTGGATGATCTGCCACTCAACCTGATCAGGGACATGTGGTTCCAACACGATGGCTGCCCTGCCCATTTCAGGAGAAGTGTCAGGGACTGGCTGGACACAAATTATCCAAACAAATGGATAGGACGAGGTGGGCCGTTGCCATGGCCAGCAAGAAGTCCGGACCTAACCCCCATGGATTTTCATGTGTGGGGGTGCATGAAAAGTCTTGTGTACAGCGAGCCGAATCCAGTTTCGTCTGTGGAAGACTTACGAGAAAGGATTGTGGATGCAGCAAATAAAATGAGGACCACGTTGACCACTGGAGTAGTGAAGACTGGTCTCCGTAGAAGGATGCGACAATGTATCAGAAATAGAGGCGGCCATGTTGAACATGAACTGTAGAATAAGAAAAAGTTGTGTGAAAACCTTTAATAAATGACATTTCATGCTTAACTATTGTTTTATTTTACTTTTTTGGGCTAAGTATAAATTTTCTTCTCCACTGTCGCCTATGAAACTAAAGTTTGCATTGCATTTGAATAAAACCTTAGATTATTATACCTCGTTAGATAGCTGATGAAACGTAGATATTTTAAAAAACATCTGCCGAACAATTACCATAATATTGTTTTTAGATATCCGTTAGAGAAAAATAATTTTCTAATATTTTTTTTTATTTCTTTACTTTCACTTGTCTACTACGATCTATTCAATTAACTTATGAACTATTTTAATGTCTGACGTCCTAAAGCATCTTATTACACATGTAAAAATGCAAAAATAATAATAATAAGATACACAAAATAAACAAAAATAAATGTGGTAGCCTAAAAATCAGCAAATTTCAATAAAAAAATTAAAAGACGATTATCTCGAAAAGGGTTAAGTTTAGGGTAGGGTGTTTCATAGTGAAATATGACAGAAATGATGGGTACTCCACGCCCTTAACGGATCTAGCACGACTTTTCTTGTAACCCTGTATAACGTCTTATAAAAAAAAAGAATCAGACTTGGAATAACAAAACACAAATGACAGCTATGTAACAATAATAAATGATTAATGTACTTCATTTTTTTTTCTAAGAAAAAAATTAACTTACTAAATTCGAAAATCGGCTTATTTATTGCCTTTAAGGCGGAACAGAGTTCGCCGGGTCAGCTAGTATACCTATATAACGTTTGTGACTCCTGAGTTGCAGAAGTTCATTGGCGGCGATGGTCACTTTCCATCGGGTCACCCGTCTTCTCATTTTTTTTCTCAGAGGTAACTAAAGAGTTCTGACATAAAAAAAAAACTCAACTGACTCACCAGCGCAATTTCGTCTGCTTCTCTCTAAAGGAATAAATTTTCCCCGTTTTCGCAACATTTTTCATTGGCACTCGGCTTCTATTGGTCGAATTATGATATTATGTATAGCCTACATCCTTCCATGATAAAAGGGCTACTCAAAACTAAAATGATTTTGCAAATCGAACTAGTAGTTCCTGAGATTAACCCGAACATACAAACTCATTTTATAATATTAGTATAATAATAAATATTTATTTCCTTCAAACGTGTAGTTTACAGGAAATGAATCCTAAACAGTCAATAGGTTAGTTATTGTCTATCAACATGTTTTGCCATAGACGGCGTACAAATATAAATTGATTAAAGGTATATTTTGACAATAGGTATTAAATTAGTTTCATGAATAACACAAAAAATCATTAACACAACAATATAATTATATGAGCTAGTTATGTTTGTTATAGAAATGTCAAAATAAAAATGTCGGAATTAAATGTCAAAATAAAAAATAAAAACTGTATTTCAAGAGAAATAGTTATAGCTAAAGATAAATCATTGTAAAATTAATTAATTAAGACTTATCGTTTAGTTTAGTAATTAATATTAAAATAGCATTTATTAATGAACATTTCCTTAACTCTGCTTCTAAACAAGTTATAATTCAGTGATTTAATATGTTCCTTCCAATTCAATTTTTTATCTATATTCAAACCAAAAAAAACCTCGTGTTAAATACTTCCCTTATTGCTACATTATCATTGTTGATATTCATTTCTGACGGGGTATCTATGCGCTTGCGAAAATACATTATATTTGTTTTATTTAAATTAATTTTTAAGTTATTGTTATCAAACCACATAATCCTTGATGTCATTTCCATATAAATTAGGATTTTTGCATGTCACTGTTAATGTAGGTACTATCGTCAGCAAATAGAGTCATTGGATGATTGGTAGAACTTGGGTAAATCGTTTATGTAAATAATGAATAAAAGAGGTCCGATTTCATTACCACTTCCTTGGGGATTCCAAATTTTATTTCAAGTTTACAGGATGTATGTATAGATAGAGTATTTACGGTCAGTTTAAAAACGCTGCTACCAAAAATAACACTGTAGTTGAAGTTTCGTCTAGTTAAGATTTAAAAATTAACCTGTGGTTTTTGTTAGGGTTCCCTACCTCAAAAGGAAAAAACGGTACCCTTATAGGATTACTTAGTTGTCCGTTTGACTGTCTTTCCGTCTGTCAAGACCCTTTATCTCGGGAATGCGTAAAGGTATCGAGAGTTATGCCTCAAAAAACGCATATTTTGTCACTCAAGGGAATCAAAATTTATAAAGTAGTTCTCGTTGAAATAAAACTATGAAATTTGGCAACTAACACATCTTATACTCTGTAACTTTTGAAAACGACTTTTGACTTTGAAAGATTCATTACAATTTTTTACCACGTTAAAACCCTCATTTCAATACAATAGAGTATTTTTTAGATTATTGTCTCTCCTAAAATACACTTCAGAATAACAAAAGTGTTGATCAGGGGTACTAAACCGACGTAAAGAAACTGATTGAGCGTCAAGGCAAAACACTGTAAGTCGAGTTACAGTTTTTTGGATTGGCACGGCAGTACTACAAGTACAGGGAAAAATCTGAAAACTAAACATTTGTAATTAAATGACGACGATTCTGTTATGTTAACGACGAAATGTGTCACGAAATTAATTAGGTAAAGTGATTTCAAAAACACTGGATTTGGACAGGTTACTCATGTTTGTAGTAAGTCTTTGCAGCACAGTTAAAGTAAGTATTTTCTATCGTGTTCAGTTTTTTTTGCCAAGCAATACATAATTGATACACTGTTAATTTAACTGAGGATTGTCTGACAACAACTAAGTACACCTCAATAAGAGCTTAAACATCATGATTAGATGTGACGACATTACCTTACAGTAGGAAGTACGGCGTGAATACATATTCATGAAACGTTTCAGTATAATTCTATTACAATGAACAAATTTACATACGACCGTTTTATAATATATTGCAAAATAAATGGAATTTTAAGATTTATTGTGATGTGCAATTATCTTTTTGACTGTTAAAACAAATCTAAAAGAGTGCAAGTTGCAACTAAGAAATTACACAGAAATGAACCATTTATTCAGAACTTATTTTCAATAACTTAATGTCTAATTTTTCTTTTTTAACGTATTTAATCCCGGATACAGAACCCAGTTTCGAATCGATGTTCTCAATCGAATCGATGATCTTCATAACACCTTGTACATGACATACAAGGACAAGCTACGAATAGTACTCGAATGATATTAACGTGTATGTACTACTGACTTGCACAGAAAAGCTTGACCGTTATTAATAAAATTAAAAGAGATTCTTTTCTTTTTATTTGTTAGCAACTTTATTATTACCGCTGTTTAGTTTCGTAACTTTAACAGTCTGAAATAACACTAATTATAAAACTCTTAATATATAATTAAATATAAAAATAGTATAGACAATTTGTTATATCACTCCTTTACCACTGTTATAAGAAACACACGAAATAAACGTTTCGAAAATTAATTTATCGTGATCTGCTGAATGAGAATGTGTGGAATTTTTTACAGTTAAGACTACTATGAAAGCGACAAAGATATATTTAACGCACCTTTGTTGGCAACACAAACACGTTGGTCATGGAAGATTTAATGTTTTCATATTTCCTAACAATGAGTCCTTAGTGAGATAAGTTCAAACCATTCATTCAAAAAATATCTGTATGACGAACAAAAAAGAGAACAGAAACAGAAGGCATAAAAGTACCTACAGTACCTAAATGTTACACAGCACTAAAATCTTAAAATAACTCCTTAATTTTATCATGGCTTGTGCTAGACAAAACATGATAAGTTTAAGCTTATTTATAGCCTTTTCTTAATATACGTTCGTTATACAATCGGTCCAGCTAACTGGATATCACTGTTATTTTATGATTTTCAGGTAGAATGTCGTAAATATTTTAATTTCTACAGATGCATTATTATTACAAATTATACAACATCGTTCCTCAATATTACGAACACATCCATTAGATGTTTGACAACATCTAGGTCTATGGTACTCGTTAACACAAATGTTAAGCCGAAACACGATGGAGTTTATTGAGTAAATAAGGAGTTCTTATGGCCACCTCACAAATCTATAATGGGAACACCTCTATGAAATATTATTACATTGTCTTTGTCTTTACATGAGTATTCCAAATCTTAGATCAATTGGTTTTGGAAAATGGTACAAATTTCAAAAATCAAACTTTTTAAAATGTTTATGTTTAACCCCCGATGCAAAAACGACGGGGTGTTATAAGTTTAACGTGTCTGTATGTGGCTTCGTAGCTCCTGAAAGGATGAACCGATTTTGATTTTGTTTTTTTTTTGTTCGAAAGGTGAATTAGTCGGGTGTGTTCTTAGCTATGTTTGATGAAAATCGGTCCAAGATGGCCGCTGCCACAAAATGGTGGATTACGTACTCTTTCACAACTCCCTCGATATGGGTATCAAATGAAAGGGCTTGACTAGTAGAAAACTGTACACTATGACAAATTTCAAATCCAAGATGTGTATAGGGGTTTTTTTTAATTTATTGCTATAATATTTTTTTTTTGTTGCAGATGTTCAAACCCTGAACACAATGCAGGCGCTATGCTTCCCGCTCGGCTCGTCAGTGGCGCTTCTCATTATGTTCTTCTTTTTTGACTCTATGCAAACACTAGTTGCTATATGTACTGCAAGTGAGTTGGTTATATAAATACATTAATCTATATTACATTCAACATTGCTACGTTACACAGCCATGGGATAATAATAATAATAATAACAATATATTTATTTGCAGAAAATGTGGTAGTCACAGTAGGTGGTTTACAATGTTTAAAGCACAAGACACATTTCGCTATATTTAGATAGCATGCAAATTTTACTATACTATAATAGATACTCCCTTTGAATGTAAACAGAAGAGCTTTTGTAGATTTACTGTAAATTACCTTCCCGTAGGAGGCGTCACACTTGCCCTATTAATTAACAAAAAATTAAATACCCAAGTTCGGGAATAGAAAAATTTACTATTTATCTGTAGATTGTTTAGCCATAAAATTTAAGCTTCACTTGGATGAGGAATCATAACGGCAGTTAGATGTTATAACTTTAACAAACAACCCACCACAACACGCTAGTCGTTTGCGATACGTTGTGAATCAAAGTTTGTTCCAGTGACCCAATTATATTTGTTATTGCATTAACACGTTGTCTAACGTCTGTGTTTACTTCATGTTTGCTGAAAAACAAGTAACAACAGCAAACCGAATTGTTTGACTAATATTTATTATTAGCGAGCTCACACATCGAAGTTACAGTTGTGTTTCTACTTCCTCAGTAGTGGATCTGAATTTGACTATTTAAAGTAATATAACAGTCAATATTTGTAGTACGTTGTGATATAAAGATGTAACTGGTCTGTATCGTGTAAGTTTATAATACTATTAGGCCACCAATAACTCGCAAATGAAATTTATTGTTTATTACAATCATTAATTAAAGTGCCATACAGCAACGCTTAAATCATTAAAATCAATGTATTATCAAGTGGTAGTAAATCGTCCTATGGAAGTCAGAGGGTGATAAAATTGTAAATTGCCGCATATTGTTTTAGTCAGTTAGTTCGCTTATCTCTCAGATTCGGTTGGTGTTAGATCGGCAGATGCCACTTTATATTGAAAACGCTCTAGAGAGCCATAAATATTGTAATACAGAAACCTCAAATAAATATTTGTGCCATGGGATCGATCCAAGTGGCAACTCGATACCATCTGTGCGGTCATTCTGTTTACTCTACACTAAAATCACGCAGATTACTGTGCTAAAATATCTCTCGAATGCTACGGCTAATAAAAAATTACTTTACTTCTCGTTATTACACGGTGAGAATGAAGTTTTTAATGTAAATGTTAAAAAAAAAGCGTTTGACTTGATTTCCTAATACGAATTCTGACACTGTGAATACACACACTGTGAATAGTCCGTGTGGTGACGGATTAAGAATACAGATTGTCACCACCCCTATTCATCCCGTGGGTGTTGTAAGAGTCAACTAAGGGAAAAAACTACGCAGAACAACAACACTGCACAGAGAAGGAAAACTTGACACAAAACCTATACCAACCCGTCTGGCCAGCGTGGTATAGTAGGCCAAAACCTCCTTTCTAAGGAGAGGCTTATGTCCAGCAGTGGACTATTAAAGGCTGTTGATGATGATGATGATGATGATGATGATGATGAATACACCTGGGCAAGTATCGCCTGGTTAATAGAGGATAGTCACTTGATTTGAAAGTAGCGCTTTTATGCCACTAAAGGTGGAAATAGCTTAATCGTAGTCTGCATAAGGGATAAGGGTAACAGCTTGGCTAAAGTATCTTGAAATCCGTTAACTGCCTATAACGTTACTAATATGTAGTTCTTATTTTATTCTACACAGTTAAGGAGTTTTTATAGATATCATGATATATTAGTAGAGCATATCCCGAATAATGGTTATCGTGTGCAGTAATAGCGTGCGCCGCGCTTGCGTTCCTGCTGACGCCGCTGTGCCAGTACGTGGCCGGGTCGGCGGGGCTGGGCGCGGCGCGGGCGCCGGTGTGCGGGCGCTACTCGGCGCCAGAGCTGGCCGCCGCGCTCCTCGCCGCTGCCATCGTGGCCGTCTGGGTGCTCACCGGCCACTGGCTGCTTATGGACGGTACCGACTTATTGCACACTTACGCACCTAACATTCTTCAATATTACATGTGTACCATTATTGTTTTACTATCATTGATAGTAATAATAATTACCTTGACTCGAATCGAACCCACGAGCGCTGGCTTAACACTAGTGTAACTTTAATTTTTCATTCCGAAGGGTTCTGATTAAGTTTTGTCATATAAAATACTCATACATGTGCTGAAGATTTTTTGGTGAAGTAATTGTTAAAATATTAATTTTATGTTATTTTGTAATGAGTTCAAAATGTACTAAATATTTTTAAGAGGTATTTGAGGTACACTTCTTATTTATTTATTATCATGAAAGAAGAATTTCATAAACTTGTAGAAAGACTTGAATACACAAAAATATCGACCTCTCTTACTTTACCATTAAAACAGTAAAATGGATGTAGTGAGCATAATGCTTGGTTATAAGCTGTGGTGATGAATAAGCATTTTTTATTATTTCAGCGATGGGTATGGGTTTGTGCGTGACATTTATAGCACTTATCCGTCTGCCGTCACTAAAAGTGTCCACACTCCTTCTCACCGGTCTCCTACTGTACGACGTGTTCTGGGTCTTCTTCTCCTCCTACATATTCACCACCAACGTCATGGTCAAAGTCGCGACAAGGTATTTCATTCTTAACAAATTTTCACAAACTCCTATTTTTTTAACATTTTAACGCGTCATTCGCTTCATTTTTATGATTGTAATTTAATCAAATCTCTGGTAATTATAAATATTTAGGCAAAGCTAATATAATGTTTTGGAATATTTAATTGATGAAAGGAAGAAAATAACAAATTGTAAGATGAAAAAAGTATACTAGCCAAAGTAAGCAATTTCAGAAATTGGGTAACTCTAACAAGGTATAACCGTACGATACCCGTAACCGTGCGGTACAGCCTTACTGATTGAGCCACCTGCCTTGTTTTGTACTTAATTTAAAATTACATTGTTGATACCTAATAATGAAGGACTATAATTATATAGTCTATTAAACCGTAGGTGTATCGTATATTATAAACTAAAGTGAGTAAACAGTGTATATATATATATGGTGTGCTTGCAGGCCAGCAGAAAATCCAATGAACGTAGTGGCTCGGCGCCTGCAGCTCGGCGGGGCGATGCGCGACGCGCCCAAGCTGTCGCTGCCCGCTAAGCTCGTGTTCCCTTCCATGCATCATCAGGGGCACTTCTCTATGCTAGGTACAAACTTTTTCTCTTTTTTTTCAAATACACTGTTACAATAATCATTTCATGAGTATTACTTCTAATTATTAAAAACTCTGGCAGTGGCAGGCGTGGCAATAACAGGTAGCTGTGCCCATTAATGAAGGGACCCCTGTTGAATCCTAAACTATTTGTCTTTGCCGAAGTACACATGTAAATGTATCTTAAATAGTTGATTATATCACTCAAGTTATTAATGTTAACTCGAGTTATTAAATTAACTGGCAAAATAAACCTGGTTTGTTACACAGGTGAAATCTAATAATATTTTTATTAATATAGACATGCGAAAACAATTGTGATTCTTTGTTGTAGGCACATAATAAATCATTTTCTGTCTGTGTATTATAAACTATATGCCGTTCGTGTTGTTGGACGATTAATTAGTGGTTGACATGACAACATGTTGAAATTAAAATATCTAATGTATTTAGTACAGCTTTTCACTGTTACATTTAATTTGGGATCAGACAGCCGTATGTGAGATTTGTAAATCTATTATTATTATTAATTGTGGCTTGTCTCTATCCGAAAAAGTTTTAGGCCCGTATTTTAAAAGTCGTCTCAAGTATCGGTTGAACTCTGATTATCTGAAATTCCTTTTACTTTCAGATAAAAACTTAAGCATCGATCTTATTGTAGAACGCTTTTTTAGTTTTATTCAGTTGAAACTAATCTCAAGCACTGATTTGAACTTGTTTGTTCTCAATTACGTTTCCGCTTGATCGACATTATTATAGACTTCTCTAATTAAAAGAAACATTGCTTGTCTACAGAAGAGGGTTTTAAATTATGAATAGGTTTTGACTAATACTTAAAATAATCCATATCAATCTCAGATACAAACAATTCAATAGTTTTGACCTCATAACTATACTATAGACTACTTAGACTGAACACGAATAAACGTCACTTGTCTCGTCCTATATCTGCCTTTGCATCTTTGTTTGTAGATTAAATAAAATATACATAAATTGGCCACTATTTGTAAGAAGTTCAAAATCAAGAAAATTTGTGAATCTAAATTATCATAAGTGTCTCGGCAATATAACTCGTACTCTATAATACTCTTCGTAGCTGTCACGAAACTATTGCGTTATCAGCGATTTAAAGTATTCAGGAGGTATATTTTTTTCTTTCAGGGCTGGGCGACATAGTGATGCCGGGACTACTGTTGTGCTTCGTATTACGTTACGATGCCTACAAGAAGGCCACTCTTGTGTGTCAGATGGGACAGGTGCCTGGCCCTAGATCCATGGTATGCAAGTCATTCTTAATGATACTTTAAACTATTTCTATTAACTATTTATTTATATTTCGCGTCAGCGTATTAGCGAGCTTAGTGTTTGTATGTGTGGGTACGCAGGGGTCCCGGTTGACGTACTTCCACTGCTCGCTGCTGGGCTACTTCCTGGGCCTGCTGACGGCCACGGTGTCGGCCGAGGTGTTCAAGGCGGCGCAGCCCGCGCTGCTCTACCTCGTGCCCTTCACGCTGCTGCCGCTGCTCACCATGGCTTATGTTAAGGTACTCACACTTAACTCCACCCATCATTGTCTTCCACTTTGCGAGGACCCACGCGTCAATAACATGTCGAAGAACGCTTTAGTCGAACGCTTTTGGGGTGGTCACCCGCCGACAACGTATATTTCGTTTGGCATCCACATTAGCAAATTTCTATCAGATAACATGTGATAGAAATTTGAATGTTGTTTTGTCATTATGAGTATTTTTACGCTAATAACATGACAAAAAAGCGGCGACCACGTGAACATGCACATTTGAAAAAAGAATTTTATCCCCTAACTGACATTGAGATTATGGAATATTTATAAAATTTAGAAAATATGTTTTTTTTCTCAGGGAGATCTCAGAAGAATGTGGAGTGAACCGTTCATCGCGCCGCCCAACGGCAAGGCGGGCGCGGACTTCGACGTGTGACTGCGCGAGGCGCGCGCCCTGTGTTGCCAGCCCGGCGGCCCCGCCGCACACACTCTACAGTTAGCTGTCTGTCTCCTACCAACCGTCATTGCTACTCGTACTTGTATACATCGTCTTATCTTAAACTGAATGGAGCTTTATAGGTTAACGACTCTAGCCTCGTTTCTATATGTATGCAGACACACGCGTAAGGAAAGAGAGAGAGCGGATAAAAGAGGCGTTCATTTTAAGATTAGACTTTGTCTACCTCGTCGCCCGACATACTTGACACAAACTTACCTATTACATAAACAATAGCGAACTTGCGTCACTCGATCGAGACGTTTTACTACGAGGGTCGTCTAAAGCGTGGTAAATATATAAACAAAAACATCATTCTTTTCTGAGATATTATGATAAAACGGGGACTGCACCTAGTACACTTCGATACGTTGATGGGCATGAGGTGTGTCACATGATGAAAATAGACTAGCTGTGCCAAGATGCGTCCACCGTGATTTATATCTAAGTGGCAATTCCCATTTACCTTTGTTATTTGTAGTATTCGAAGTAAAAAAAATGGAAACATCACACTAGATAACGTTGCATTTGGCTCTTTTTTGTAAAACAAAAATTTATACAAAAATATGTTGAAACTAATTTACAGTTCAAATGCAGACTATTCTGAATAAAAAAATTATCAATTTTGGTTAATTATAAATGACTTTAAAAGTGAGGATAATGAGACAAGGCGAACTTTTCAATATCTTTTTGTAGTTACACTGACTTTTGAGAACCCGTTGAGATATCAATTCGATTTTGGAGCAACTTGTTACTACTCCATGCTTCAATAATACCCCCATAGCGTCTTTGAATCAGTTTTAAAAGAATATACCAAATAGTTCGAAAATAAGTAGGTAGGTAAAAAACTAAATGTGATTTAACGGTCATAATTACTTTTATGAAATGCATTTAACAATAAAATATTTAGTCAACACCACTACTTACTACTTTAAACCGATTGGTCTAGAGTAGATTTATAGGAACTGTAACATATGCTACATACAAGTTGTAATAATGGTTGGTACACAACACTTTTCTTTTCTCTTCTTTCGAAACTAACTGGGGTTTAGATACTTAGTATTATTCCTGTAAAATATGTGAATAGCGAGTCGCACATGCGTTTATGTTTGCTGTTTATCTAACTAACTGTACACGCATTACCGGGCCAATCGTTAGTTTGGGTGTTTATTATTAACATATAAAGACATAAGTTGTACTTTTTTAGGTTAGTGGATACGCTTCGTTTTTGTTAAGGTTAAACGTAAGATTGGAGTATCTCAAATTATGTACTAGATGCGAGAAGCCTTTCAAAAGCAAATGATCTATAACGCGGTTTTATATATATTCACACAGTTTTTTTATTAATAAACAGTTGAATGCAAATATCTTACAAAAAAAATATTCTATTCAGACAATTAGTTGTTTTCGGTAACTAAGTGAAACTGCTAGGAACGCCCCTTTTTATGTACTCACACAGTCGTGTAATGAACTAAAGTTACAGCCAGTATATAATTTTATACCAGATAAGATAGACATCAAGGCAACACCGAAAGTACCTTAGTTGAGTGTCAAAGTGGACCTGGTTCAGAAACACCCTTCTGTGGATTAGCCAACACATCTTATGAGGATATAATTATGAAATCACTACTTAGGATGTTAACTTTTATTATCTAGTATATATCTCTTGTATTTTTACAGGCAGGGTACTTGAGTTGAAATGGATGTTGCAATGTACAGATTTTGTATAAACTTCGTACGTAAAGACTACACTAAAATTGGTATTTCGGAAATACTCAGCCACTATATACTATTACTTTCTTTAAATTATATATCAGAAAAATATAACTATTAGCAATCGACTAAAAATATGCAAATGACTAAAAACTGTTATTTTGATTGATGTTTCACATTTTATAGTATTTATGTGAGACATTTAAAATCGGCCATAATATGATCATACTATTGACGATAGATAGTTTACACGAATTATTTCTTTTTATTGATAATGATAACACATTATCTAAAGACAAAACAAAACATTTCAAAAGGTCTATCTTTATTTTAGCTGTCGAACATTTTTTGCTTTGTTTCAAATCATCTGGTTGTTTTTTATTAAGTTAAGATCTAATATGAATCTCATGAATGTATAACAAATAAGCATATTCTTATGTCCAAACTAGATATATTTTAAATAGTCATCAGTTGAACTATTGGAACACCTAATGCCATTTACAGATTTTATAAGCAATTGCAACTCAACGTTAAATAACGTTTAGGGAGAAACAAAATACGCAATACAAGCGAGTACGTACCAATTTGATCAAATTGTTCATATGCTATAAACAAGTACCTCGATTGTTTACCCTGTCAACTACTATGTTGTTTTCGAATGAACAAACTTTGTTGTCACTGCCTTAGACTGATGTTTTCAATGCAGATTTTTTCTATATGTTGAATGGAGTATTATAGACAAATGTTAGACTAAAATATTAGTATATAAGCTACTAACTATTGTTGTTATTATTATGACAACTGTATTGTTGTTGTAAATTATTTGATTGAATTTAATACAAGATGTTAAGACACTACATCGTAAGAAGTATACTTGGTATGTGTGATTTAATTTTTATAACAATTTATAACATTTTAATTTTGGATTTATTTTTAATAGATTTATTTTGTACTAAGTGATTATTATTGATAAGTTATATGGTGTGCGAGCAAGACACGTGCTATTAACATGGAGCAGTATTCTGACAAAAGTGATGTAATATAATTATTGAGGCTTAATTTTGTAAAATAACTAATAACAGTGTCTCTTTATGAATTTTGCTGAGGTCATCTCTCACCCCAATATTAATTTAATTTTTGAAGTTATTACTTTGTGTTTTCAGTGTAAAGTATAACCAATAGTGTTGGTGTATTTTATAGATATTTATATAAATAGTCACTGAAGATTTTCCATTGATGTACATAAACTCATGAAAAATTAATATTAAGATTGATGTTCCACTGTTTCATCTCAGCATTGAACTTAAGAATATTACTGTAAATATTTGATGCCCACACAATTCATCACCTGCCAAAACTTGTAAAAGAGCATGTAATATTTTTATATGTATCTGTGGGAGTATGTTATATTGCTATAAATACTTAATAAAAATATTAGATGGAATTATGTTTGTGTTTTAATTTATATGAAGTTGGTGTTGTAGATTGTTTCTAAAGTTATGGACATTTACAACCCTGGAAACGTCTATGGTAAGAAAAGGATTTTCTATAGTAGATTTATCAACGGGCGTGTTGGTCTAATGGTTAGTGACCCTGCCTGCCAAGCTGGAAGTCGTGGGTCCGATTCCCACCCAGGACAAATAATTGTGAGCTCATCACAATCATTTGTTATGTGCCTGTGTGTAATTTATCTATTATATGTATGTATTTAGAAATATATATTAGAATGTTTACCATTATCTTAACTATAGCATAGGGTCTGCCTAGTATGAGGCTATTTTTATATTTGACGGTAATCTAAACTCAGTGAGTCAACTAGAAATAACACATTATTGCGTCCATAACCAACTCATTATATCTAAGTGTTTATTTCTTATTTTTTACTATATATATATATATGAATTTGAGTATATGAATTTGTTCATGTATAGAAAGTTTTGTTCCTAGGAAATCAATGATAGAAAACTGAATTTGCGCTTAACAAGTTTTCACTGCACAGCGATATTACACAAAATATTGGGCTATCAATTTAGCAGCATGACAAAGTTCTTGTTGATTTTGGACGCAAGTTCTTTGATTTTATTTTGTGATTATATAAATACTAGCCACAGAGTATAGTAGTATTATTAGAGAATACTAGCTTTTGGCCTCGGCTCCGCCCGCGTGTGTCGGTTATCGCATTAAAACTAGCGTATGTTACTCGCTGAAAATGTTGCTTTCCAAGAATTTTTAAAATCTGTTCAGTAGTTTAGCGGTGAAACGTAAACAAACTCACTTTCACATTTATAATATATTCTGCCCCGGCTTCGTACGGGTACAATGTAGATACTGCTATTGTGGTGTCAGTATGGGGTAAATAATTATACTATTATTATGATAACTTGATAAGACTATAATACGGGACATCTTTAAATGTAATATTTGGACCAAATGTTCCTATGATTTGCAAATATTTGTTTCGGAGTTTGGGTGTTTTCTACGTATAATATGTATGTGGTTACAAAAAAAGTATATAAGTATTCTATCACTCAATCTAGTTTTCATAGTACAAGCTCTGCTCAGATTGAAACTAGATGGCGTTATGTGTCAGATGGCCGAAATATTATTAATCTATACTAATATTATAAAGCTGAAGAGTTTGTTTGTTTGTTTGAACGCGCTAATCTCAGGAACTACTGGTCCGATTTGAAAAATTCTTTCAGTGTTAGATAGCCCATTTATCGAGGAAGGCTATAGGCTATATATCATCACGCTAAGACCAATAGGAGCGGAGCACCAATGAAGAATGTTTCAAAAACGGAGAAAATTTATTACTTTTGAGAGACGCAGACGAAGTTGCGCGGGTCAGCTAGTAGGGAATATGCATGTATTTTTTTTATTTTTTTAAACGATTCTACTAGTTATTACATTACCAAAAATAAATATAACACATCCGAAACATAAACCGTTAAGCAAAAAAAAATAATATTAATATCACTATCATTTTGGGGCAATTTGAGCACGTCCATTATGGCGCGCTTTTTTTGTGACGTCAGATTACACTTTCAGACGAATTCGATGTCAACAACGGAGTGAAGTTCACAAAGTTTGTGAAAGTTAAAAAAGTAAGTGATATAAATTAACTTATTACCATGGAAAAGCCAATAAAAACTTATTATAAATATTGTGCCGTTCCTTTGTGCCAAAATAATATCAAAACTGCACCTGACAAAGTATATTCAGTCATTGTGTTGAGTCTTTCTACACGGCAATTTAAAAATTTAACACTGAAAACGTATTAGTTATTAACTTAAAATTAAACAAATAATCACCAGAAACCAAATATTACAAATACACACAACTTGTTGACACTCTTGACAGTGTAGGTTGACGTCACGTTTTATTCAACCAATAGCGTTGCGTTTTAGAAATTTGCGAGGGAATCTTAAAAAAGCTAATTTTTGATGATTAAATTTCACTATTAAATTAAAATAAATTTCAAAAGTAATTGTATGTATATCTTTTTTTAGCAATAAAAATTACAAATAAAAATATTTTGTCCATTTTGGTGTCACGTGCATATTCCCTATTTTGACATACATTAAATGCACAACGTATCTAACGTATTTATTTGGATAAGGAATAATACTGTATTGGTCATAATAGCTTCGTAAATTACCCATTATTTTTTGTATTACATAAATGATAAAAATGGTTACTTTAAGTTAGGAAATAGACATATACTTTCCTCTTTCTCGTAAGGTTCAACCAGTGTTTGCAATGTGAGTGCAGAAAAACATGTTTTTTACAACTTCACATTATGAATTTTTGATATTCCTGGATATCCTCTATTATATAAATGTATTATATATATATAAACCCGCCTCTTGAATCACTTACTATTGGTAAAAACCGTACTAAAATCGTAGTTTGAAAGATCTCGGCATACAAGAAAAAAGCAACTTCATTTTATACTATGTAAAGAAATATGGATGACTTGATGTTTTACTGACCATTCAACACAATATTATTACTTTCAATGTTATTGTTGTAACTTGCAACATTTAATTAAAGAGAGAAATATCAAATTACTAGAAGAATATAGTAGGAAATAAAAGTGATGTTACTTGGATATGCCTACCTATTGCATTTAAAAATAATAACTTCCATTCCATTTTACTGAATTATGAATGAGAGGCACTGTAATAAAGGGTGCATAATCTAAATTTCACAACATTGAGCAACAAGCACAATGTTGTGAAATTTAGATTATGTGTGACAATTTCCACATAATGAGGGAGCATTTTAATGCACCTGGGTAAGTTGCATTTATATATTAGGATCTTTATTTTGCTTCATAAAGCATTTTCGGTGGCCAATTACAATGTTTTGGGTATTCATTATTAGCTTATTTGGCAGGTGTTAAGTTAACACTCAGATTGAACAAAAACAATTGTCATTAATATTTTATTTATTAGCTTGCACATGTTGAGTAGTATCTCTTTTCTCAATAAATCTTAGCTGTTTCTTTCTCATTCGTTTTAGTTTGGCTGTATTGGTAATCACTTGTACTATTTCAGCTTTTCGTCTATTTTCCTCAGTGCGCTTGATGTTCTCTCTTCTTCGTTCTTTTTTCTCAAGTTCTTTCTGTTTCATCTCTTCTAACATCTGTCTTGACAGCTCTTTTGTTTTCTGTAACTCCAATCGTAAAGCAGCTTTCTTTTCAAAACTAGCTTTTAAACCTTTGGTTTTATTTACAGTAGCGAATCTGAAAGGAAATAATTACGACTAATTTTATAAACAGTTTGCTATTTAAAGTTATTGTATATTCAAGAAACAGACATGTCAGTATAAGCACCTTTCTTTTTTAGACTTCCAAAACCGGCCAGATTTTGGTAGACCTCTGATAGGTTCATTTTTCTTTACACTTTTTTGGTTATTCTCGTTTCCTTCGTCATTAGTCTTTTCCACAGGATCTTGGTTTTTAACTATATTTGCGACTATCGCTAGTACTTGATCTTGTGTATTTTCAGCCATAACTACATTTAATTCTTACTATTTAAAAATTACAATTTTAACTCGTGTCAACATAAAAACAATACATGTGCTTTTACGCACTGCTTTGCTTTGCTTTCAAATTCAAAGTCAAATCTGTCAAAAGCGTTAGTGTCACTTTGAGACACTGGTCTATAGCATAGCATAGTGTTCGTAAGAGTCCGTAAGAGCGGTTTCGCACGACGTCTTCGTCCTTCGTCTACGTCCGTTTCGAATCCGATCTTAACCCGTGAAACTACGGACCTAGAAATCTCAGAATGATTTCGCATATCGCTTTTCACACTACCTCCGATTTCTGACACGTTATTACCGATTTAGAAGGATAACTAACTGACTGAGTTCGTATATTGTTTATTCACTATTGCGATCTCTGATTCTAATCCATGCAGTTCAGGGTCACCGTTTAGTATACGTCATTTTAAGCGTGCTTTCACGTCGTTGATTATGAATCCTTTCTTTCGGCGTCAATTTCTGGCAATGCTATTGTACGGAACGAAACAGAAGTAAAGAATTCTGGATGCGTTGCGAGTGTTGCGACTAATAATTTTGTACGGAATTGAGATTCACGGATAACAGAAGTCGAATCTAGTCCGTAAGCTATCATAGTTATAGTTCTACTTTTACTACTTTGGACCGTATTTTCACAGATTGGAATCTGATTCTGATCGGGAATAGTGAGAAACCGTTCTAATACTTTCAAATTGCCACAAGTAGGAACTCTATAACGGATACTCAATGCCTTTTCACGATTCACTTAATATAACATTCGAAATAATGCGTCAAAACTATTCTAAACATTCAAAAATTAGAGTTGACGCTTTCATTGTTGGCCAACTAATTACTAAATAACATATTATCGGTCTGGCTGTCAACAGGAAAGATGGTTTTTGGGTAATGAAACACTACACGATTGAAAAGGTGCACTAAAGACACATTTGGACACCAATATAGATCTACACTTCCTGGGTTGCTTGTGTGGCTTACTGGAAGTGGTGTTGTGCAAACTGGTTGATCGCGCCATATGTAATGTTTGAATTACTTACTTTTCACTTAGCCTTTTTGATGAATGCATATTAATTTACACTGTGCTACTCTGAAAATATGGAATTTTGTTGTAGTTTTGTTTTATTGTTTTTATTTTCAAATAATGATTTTTTATTTTTTATTTATTTTATTATTTATTTATTAACTTATTTCTACAATGAACATCTAAAAGAATTGAGGAATAAATACTAATCTAGTCATGGGACAAAATCACAGTGAACTATAAAAGACCGGTGATTTATCATTAGATTTTTCGTACGTAGGTTAGGGTTACTACTTACTCAAGCGTTGTTGCCAATAAGCTGTTTTCAGACGATGCATAAAGGCCCTATTTCGCCTATTTAACAGTAAATCTAGTAATTATTGTATTATACATAGCCACCATTCCCTACATAATACTAGATTTAATGTTAAATAGCGTCCAACCTACCTTCCTAGCAACCCTTTTTTTTCAGTGGGGAAATCCCCTCGACCTTCCTAGCAACCCTAACCTACGTTCGTAAAAAACTAATGATAAATCACATTTCACTGTGATTTTGTCCCATGTCTACACTCATCTAATCAACGAAAAATATTTGCATTAAATATTTCAAAGTTTTTTACTTAGTAGTAGTACTTTACATTTATAGGGAAATAATTTAAAAACTATTGTAGCTGTAGAATACTATAGTTGAAAATATTATGTGATACTATGACATAATATTTTCAATTAAGTCTTTAGTCAATTATTATTTACTTCATAGTTACTAGTCAGTTAGTTTTACTTTATGGTTTGATTCAATTTGACTTTTTTGACTTGACATCTTGCTGCAGACCATTAATGTGACATTGACAGTTAAAGTGATTAGTGATTCACTTCCTGAATTTCCTTATATTTTAAAAGATTTATATATGAATTAAGAACTTCGTTTAAAATTATTAATAATATTCTTGTGTTATAGTACATTTTCTAAAATTCAACTCCATAAAACTTCAACAAAGTCTAGTTCCCAGTTTGTAAACAAAACCGGTGTACATAATCTTGTTAGAATTTATAACAATTGTGTTCAATAGCTCGTAACATGCCTGTAAGTCTTATTTTAAGGTGCTATTAAATATGAGTATGTAGTGAATAGACTAATATATAGTAATAAATATTTGACTGTTGAAACAATTTTATTTAACAGGCTTATCACTCAACTTTGACAGACTACACCCAGTCTGTAGGCAACTTAGCTTTGCTGCCACTACGTACCACATTCCGAGGTCCAGCTCCGCTGAGCCCAAAGATTGAACTTGACATTGTTGATGAAGCCCTCAACTATTTTAAAGCTAACGTATTTTTCAGATTTTATGAGATTAAGGTAAATTATTTGTTGTATTTTCTTCCAAAAATTGTTCTTTAAAGATTTGTATGATTAATCCTATGATTTTTTCAGTCGGATGCTGATAGAGTCCTCATTTACCTGACCTTGTATATTTCCGAGTGCTTGAAACGTCTCCAAAAATGTGCCAACAAAAACCAGGGACAACAAGAGATGTATATGCTGGCCATATCTAAATTTGACATTCCTGGAGACTACAGCTTTCCTCTTAACTCTGTGTATGCTAAGCCAACTAGCACTCAGGAGGCTGGTATGTAATTTAAAATATTTTAAAATTTGGATTTGCATTGTGATTAGATAGTAGTAGTTTAAGACATGACAACATGCTTTTACACAACTTTTCTATTCAAAGTTTGTATTCCACCCTCTTATTTAAACCCTTGTTAAATACATGCATTATTATTTAAAATTTAACATGAACAATCTGAGTAAGAACAACCCTCTGTGGCTACTGTGGCTGTAAATTATCTATAACTATATGCTCTTTATCTAATTTTAAGATAATTTCTAACATTATCTTTCATTGGTTATACCTAAAACAGCCAAAAATAAATACATCACACAGCACATCAAAGTCATCAACAACATAATTGAAATACTTACTTTATGTAATGGCTGTAACTTTTCACATCATCATCACACTAACAGCCTCAAATAGTCCACTGCTGGACATAGGCCTCTCCTTAGAAAGGAGCTTTTGGCCTACTATACACACTGGTCAAATGGGTTGGTGTGTGGTTTTATTCGGTCCCATTCCGACACACCACCCCGCCGTAAACGGCGCCCGAGGGGGGATGAATAGAGGTGGTGACACTTCATATTCTTAGTCAGTCGCCACATTATTACTTTTATAATATAACATGTAATATTTACTACACACATAATTAACAGAGGGGGAGCCTTGTTTGGCACATATGGATCAGCTGGGTGTAAGATATGGACCAACATATTCCAAGAAACCACACAGTGACCAATTCTCATAATAAAAATTTGGTCTTAATTCAGTTCCTATCAACTTTTGATCTCACAACAGTCATAATAGTCTTTCGTAGGAAAGTATTATTGTAACCTAAAAGTGATATATATAGTCTTAGTAATACTTAACTATTTTACTATCAAAATACCTTTTATGATAGTTGTGAGATTGAAAGTTGATCGGAACTAAATTGTAGTTTTGATGTACACTGTGTGTAGAGATTTTATACAATTTATGTGTTTACATAAATATATTTACAGATTTGATGCGACAATACTTACAGCAAATGAGACATGAGACTGGCGCCCGTGTCTGTGATAAGGTAAATTGTATTATTAATATCTGGTTGTTTACTTGGAAGTAAAAGTAAAACCTGCAACAGGAATGTTCATCTTTACAGAATAATACTCTTGCAAACAAGGTTAATTTTATTTTAAATTAACAGATACCCATACATTTGATTTTTTGATTATTTTATAATCTGCAACTAACAAGAATTTGCACTATAAAATGTATATTATATACTTTAAATTTGCATTAAATATGTTTATTAAAACTTTTATTACTTACTATTTTGTGGGTTTGTTTACTCACTGTACCGGCTGTAAATGTATAATATGTTATTTACTGCGAATAGGTGTTCACACTCACCAGGGACTTCCTTTCTAGGGTATACCTGGTTCCCCGGCTATTAGTACCCGAGACGGCGTGCGGTTTTAGTCGGTTCGAGTCCGACATGCCACCGACAGGTGGTATCCGAGGGGATTTCCGCACGGAAAAAAAAAAAAAAAAGTTCACACTGGACGGTGTCCTTTTATTATCAGTGTGATAATAAAAACTGTTAGTTGTGATTGCCTATAATTGAATGAGCACAAGGCATGTTTTGTATATTTCTAACTTATTGTAGATTTGTGTGTATTTGTATCAGTTGTTGGCGATCCAAAATAAATAAAATAAAATCTCAAACCCTAAGATCAGCAATATCAATGCTTCTTGTGCAAACGCAGAACTTCTTAGAGATATTGTGATAAAAATAAGCAACATTTTTTAATTGTTTATATATTTATAGGTATTCGATACAGAGGATGGTAAGCCAAGCAAGTGGTGGCTCTGCTTTGCTAAGAGGAAATTCATGGACAAGTCCCTCTCGGGTCCTGGACAGTAACCAGTAGTATCCTAAACTAGAATTTATTTTCCTCAGTGATTGTATGTAAAAATAAAAAAAAATTAAGGCCATACAATGATTATTCACTACTTAAATATGGTGCATTATTTTGATATTTTACTGGTCTATTACCTACATAACATTGATCATTTAAAAAACCGTGAATTTGTTATCCTTATATTTTATGTTTCCTGACAATGTTTATGTACTTATAAGGAAATCAATAAACTTTGCAATACTGTAAAATATTATTTTTATTCAACAATAAACAATACAGATACAAAATATCTGCCACAATTCACACATAAAAGATATATTAAATCTATGCAAAAAACTATATTTTTCCGCATTTTCCGATTCAATAAAATATGCATACAAGTTTCTGGTATTATAAATCTATAATTTGTACACGGTTCATTATATATGATCAACTATATAAATATAATGTGCATATTATAATCATAAAATTGACAAATTCACATGTAAAACACATAATACTAAAGTGGGGTGGCAATAGCCAAAGAAATTTTCAGTTTATTCACTCTTAGTATTTAGTTCTACCTTTGTTTATCTGTTTGGAGTATCTGGGCATTGGCTGGTCGTAGTAAAAAGATTATTAAAAGTAAAGAGTATGAGTTGATAACATTTAAGGCAATAAGTCGTACACTTAAGATTATAGTTTCACCTACAGACTACAGGAAAAAAAAATCAGTTAAGACCATATTCCTTGATGAGCTGGCCAGCTATAACGAGTCTCTGTATTTCAGAAGTGCCTTCGTAAATTTCAGTGATTCTGGCGTCGCGGTAGTGTCGCTCTGCGGGCATATCAGACACATAGCCCATTCCTCCTAAAATCTATAAAACAACAGACAAGAATGTAATACTTATTCTACAGTTTGATAAATAAATATATAGCCGCTTTATGCTCATGAACTGTAATCAAAATAGAGCATAATTGCAAGAGTTTATGAGTGGACCACTAAGTTTGAATTAACACAAAATCTTCTGTTAACACCATAGTTCTATCATTCAGCTTATATTACACATAATTTATCATGGTATGATACAACGCAAAGTGCAGGCTTTCTTTTGAGAAGTATTCCACGTGTAATAGAATATGAACTCACAACATAGGAAAATGTTCTTGTGCCACATAGTATTAATAATTATTGTTGTCAAGATAAGAATAAACGTCATATAATTAGTGATGCAACGGAGCTCTGTTTCTGTTTCCGCAAGTGCGGAAGTTCCGCGCGCTTTTCAACATTCGTTTCTGCTTCTGTTTCTGCTACTTTTATAACGGAGATACAATCGGAAGTTTACGACGGCTGAGAGTTACGCATGCGCGGCGCGAGGCGCGTGCGAGTTGCTGGACGGTTGAGCGCGGTTAAATTCACACAAATACCGTAATCTTTTGCCATTAGTGCGCCAATATTTGTCGGAACTTTGTTTTTTTTTTTTTTTTTTTTCAAATTATTTACATATTTACACTTCTGTTTCTGCATCTGTTTCCGTTTCTGCTAAAATTTACTTTTGACATCTGTTTCCGTTTCTGGTTCCACTAAGACACTTCCGTTGCATCACTACATATAATGTATGGCGAAAGCTACACCAGCTGAGGTGGTTGATAAAGATGTAAGTTCAATTATAATTTACCTGAATACATTGGTGAGATAAAAACGTAGCTGCCTCTGAAGCTGCTAACTTAGCCATTGCTGCCTCTTTAGTGTAAGGTTTTTTATTATCTTTCAACCAAGCTGCTCTCCATGTAAGCAGTCGCGCCGACTCTAGTTGTAATGCCATGTCGGCCAATTTGTTTTGTATAGCTTGCAACTTCATGATTGGTTTTCCAAATGCCATGCGTTTTGAAGCATATTCAGCGGCAACATCCAATGACGCCTAAAAATAATAAAGCTTAAGTTCACTTTGAAGTCGATAAATAGTATTAATTCATAGACACAATCTCTAAAACTAATTGGACTGTAAAAACAAACTATCAAAACAATCTTGAGACTTAATTACAAAAAGGTCTTCTCTGTCAAATATCCTTTTTTTCGTACTTTATTATGTACTGCTGAAAATTTATAAGGAGTTAAAACCATTACAATTAAAAAGGAATATGAGTTGCAAAACGTTTTATAAATGATAGAACCCAGGGTAGGGCATCCTGCTACCACCTTAAATATTATAGTTTTGATTGTGTTTCAATTCAGGTTATAAACTAAATAGGTACTAACAATGTACTTTTACTCTTGTTTCAAATCAGAAGCCTTTTTAGGCCTAGGATACGAAATCCATGTGAACTCCAAAGGTTAGTGATTAAGTGTGGAGGAGCATTCATGCAGTCTTGACTTTGGATTAATCTGGAAGCAGTATAAAACCTAAACTAGTGGTATTTTTGTTATTGTTGGCTAGAACTCAGCTTTTAAAGTATGCCAACCGGTATAGTGTGAGGTAATGAGATGTGGTAATATTTAGTAGCTGACTTGATCATCACACAGCCTCCCAGAAAACTGGTGTTACGTTTTGTAAATACATATTATACATAGAAACACCCAGACCAAATCAAACATTAAATGTTCATGCACACAAATGTTTGACTTGAGCGGGAATCGAACCCGCGACCTTTCGAATAGCAGTCCGTTATACAAACCACTTACGTAGTGGTTTGTCTAACCCAGTCGTCAATAGGCGTCAAAATTAGATGATGTTTCTATTTCTTTATTACAATAGCTGTTATATACACATTAACATTGTTGTAAAAAGATCAATGTTTACCTGAGCAATACCTAAAGCTTGTGAAGCAATACCAATCCGTCCTGAATCTAATGTTATCATTGCAATTTTAAAACCCAATCCTGGTTCTCCAAGAATATTCTCTTTAGGAATTGCACAGTCTTCGAACATTAGTGAACATGTGGAGGAACCTCTTATTCCTAACTTATCTTCTTTCTTGCCCAATTCTAAGCCTTGAATAGGCTTTGGTACAATGAAAGCTGAGATCCCTTTGTGTTTTTTACTTTTATCTGTGGTAGCAAATACAACTGAAGCTTTGCTTTCATAACCATTTGTGATCCAACACTTTGTGCCGTTCAAGATCCATTTGTCACCACTATCTTTGGCAGTGGTAGAAGCTGCACCGGCATCAGAACCATTTCCTGGTTCTGATAATGCAAAGCACCCAACTATATCACCTGTAAGTTAAGTTATATTAAAAGTTTAGTATAGCACTACTTTTACTTTTTTTTAGACTACAATTATTATATAAACCTTCCAGAGAATAATATTAACAAGTGATAGAAAGATGAGAAAAGTTAATCCAGCAGTAAGCAAATAATACACTTGCCAACAATTATATTTAGAATAAACGATTAAACCTCTTTATTTATATGGATTAGGGTAATTTTTTTGTCTTAGTACAAATTTTGTATTCCCTTCCTCGTTAGCATACTGCTAACATGTCTCTAGTTAAGTCACTACTAGATCAGACAGCCTGCTGGGTTGTCCTTTGTGAGGATAAGTTCATCTTTAATTATTTATTCTTATTTCTGTGTAAACTCACTTTTACAAAGTAAACTGAAATATTAGTGCATAATATTCAAACCTGTGCAGAAGGGTGTAACAAACTCCTGTTTCTGTTTATCATTGGCCCAGTGTAAAAGAGGCCCTAAATATAATGAGTTGTTTACAGACATTATCACTCCAGCTGATGCACAACCACGGGATATCTCCTCCAAAGCAATGGCATAAGCAAGATAGTCTAATCCAGCACCCCCCAATTCTTCTGGAGTAGCTATGGCCATAAGTCCCAGTTCGCCCATTTTCTTAATAGCTTCACCAGGATATAGATGTTCGCGATCATACTTAGCAGCATTTGGTTTCAATTCTCCTTCAGCGAAATCACGACAAGTTTTATAAAGCATTTGATATGTATCAGGCAATGCTGACAGAGAAGCAATGCATCTCGTCTGTTTCAATGTTGAAGGAGCTGGAAATAAATATGTTAATTTTTAAAATATAAATTTTAATGAAAATAATAATATTCAGACCAATCTTACCAAAAGCTTTTACGATTTTTGTAATGTTCATCATTACACAATGGTAAACACAAAGTTCTATTTAGTAACCAGTAACCAATGACAATTTGCTAGAATAGAGTATGAATACAAAACTTATGTAAATATATATTAATTGGCAGTCGGGACTTTGAACTTTCACAAACAAGCGGGCAGATTTGTTTGAAAAATATGTGAGCGAGCGATGTGTCAGTTAACTCGGTCTCGGGCATAGAAATATAAGCATAGAGAGAACACGGGGTACAGCTGCCTGTAAGTGGAAGCGATACAGGCAACGAGAGAGATGGATGCCCGTTGGTCCCCTTTGTTTCTGTTTAGCTAAGCTGCGATTAGCTATCGTAAAGTGCGCATGGTTTTGATCGTAGAACAGGCGGGAGATTTGAAATTTCCCTAGGCAACCACAGAGCTCGAGTAGAAATAGATAGAGGGAACTATCTACTATTCATCTCTCTCGTTGCCTATATTGCAAGTTTGGGGCTCTTGTTCACTCTTTGCTTATATCTCTATGGTTTCGGTTTGGCAAATCAACAAGTCCAACAACTAACAACCGAGCTAAACTTGTAAGTGTATGAGATCGGATCGGATATAACAATGTTCTACCGATAGACTACCGTGACTTTAAAATCAGTCGTGTAAAACTGTGGTGAATGTAGTGAAAATACTGTTCAGGTACTATTTTATTGAAGTGAAAACTTCTTTAGCGGCGTTGTACACTTTTTTTTTGTAATGGGTAAAAAAATTTAAACTCGCGTCAGGACACGTGACCTGATCGAAAATTCGTAAGACGGATGGAGAGTAGACAGCCGACGCGGCGTAGGAGAGGAAGTATCCCCCTCTCTTTCTACGGCGCGGTAAAAATGTATGCCTGCGCCTGCTGTTTCGTTTAGGCGGCGCAGGGCGCTTGCGCGAATGTTCGTTTTTCTGAGAGATAAACTTTTTAATGTAATATAAATTGTCATGTTTGTGTACGATAGCGCAATAAATAAATATTGTATTCTACCACATAAATGACTAACCATTCCAAAATATCAAAAATGCACAACGTTAATATTCAAGTTTTCACTTCTGCCGGCACTCCGAGTGCAATCCGTCGTTTTTTTTCCCTTCTAGTATTTATTGTGTTAGTAGTTCGTATTTATAGTCTAATATTAATCGTGTGTGAGCTAACACACATTCAAACGGAGATTTAGCTGACTAGTAAAAATGTTATGAAAATATAATATCACAAAAATAAGAAAATTCATGTGTTGCTAATCTTTTTATTCAGGTACCTTATTAAGTATTTACAAATATTTATATATACATACATATTTTTGAGGTGACAAACATAGTTTTAACAAAACAATGTGCGAAATGTGCTAACAGACAGTCCTATCGTTGATTTCAATAATACTATCAGAAGTATCGATTGGCACTATTACTATCGATAGAGATCAGTATAATCTAATTTTTTTAATAAACAAATTTTTTAATAAATAAAAAAACCCCATGTTCCCTCTGCTCCCTGGAAGCGAGCGCGCTTCGCAACGCGCTCGCCGCCACCCCGGCCTGCTTCTGCTAGTTGCTCCTAGCTGTTGGATATTGGACAATACCGCAATACACATATACACCATTTTATTGACAATTTGTATTTTATTGTCAATATTATTTAGTGTGTATGCTTAGCCTAATCTATTTTGTTTACGTACGATATGTACATTAATGTATTGTGTTTATCACGTGTAACATCCATAAAAGTTTTCTTTACGGGAGTTAACGTGTTCACGATATCTATACACAATTGTGATTGTACCTTTGAATTATGTGACGTCTTGACCAGTTTGCTCTGGCCGTGGTCATGGGCTGACTGATTAAATAGATTTCCGTGATCAGTTGGAACCCCGACCTTCCACGCTTTAGAGTGGTTTAATTGTCACTGTACATTTAAACCCACTTTAGTTTATCTTTGGTAACTTAACGGTGCGATCAAATGTATAAATAAAGGGTATAAACTCTAACCTCTACGCTTGTACGAGTATATTTATTTAACTTTGACAGTGTTAGCACCCCTATTTATCTCGTGCGTGTAGTAAGAGGTGACTAAGGGAACATACTACGCAGGACAACAGCACTGCAGAGAGAAGGAAAACTTGAAACAAACCCTATACCAACCCGTCTGGCCAGCGTAGAATAGTTGGCCAAAACCTTCTTTCTAAGGAAAGGCCTATGTCCAGCAGTAGACTAGCAAAGGCTGTTGATGTGATTTAACTTTGTTTACGGACTAAAAAAAAGACACATTTGTGGTTTGTTTCGGTGTTTTTTCCCAGAGTGAGTCTTAGGAAATGCCGGTTCCGTATTTATTGTGCCAATAATATAAAGGTCACGCACAAAAATCAATCCTTAAACACGAAAAAACAACTTCTATATTATTTTTTTGTAGAGTTAGGTCTAAATGCCAATATTAAATCAAAACAAAAACTATACATCTTATATATCTACATTGATTATTAACCATATTATATAAGTTTTATTGTAAACAGGATCTTCTTGAGATAAACTTCATTCCATCCATCCATAGAGTATATTTTTGTCGCTGTAAAAGGTCAATCTGGTTAATTAATATGAGCAATGAACACCTCTAACAACTTTTGTCAAGGTAGTCAACTGTCAAACAAAAACATAAAAAACAAGAAATTACAATGATAAAATGGAGATATTGTTAAGATTTGTACCAACAAGTCCAGTTAGATTATCTATTTCTAGAATTTTATTAACTCAAGTAGCTCGTTATGCTAGGTAAGGTACTGAAAAAATATTACAAACACATAACCTATACAATATTTTTTTCATTGGAAATGTTTTGCTTTCCAGACTGGCGGAGGTTGGTAAACTCGAATCACCAAAGACTAGTGGCAAATATGATACAGGCCAGTTAATATTGCATAGGGTATTCGGTTATCGAGGAGTGATTTTGTTCCCATGGCTGGCTCGAGTATATGACAGGGATGCAACTAATAAAAAGGAGAACAAAGATGCTTCACAATCAACAGAATCTGGAGATTCTCTGTCAACCGTTGGCAAGGAAGTTAAAGGCAGAACCCACACATTCTATCAAGTTCTTATAGATACCAGAGATGCTCCCTACATAGTAAGACTGCCATTATAATATTTAAAATAAAGAATATTTTTTAAGCATTTATTATCGGTATACATCATATTTTTAACTCAACTATATAAAACTTTAATAAAAAAGTTGTCAAGTTGTAATTTTTGCACATGCATTTTGCATTACATAATAAGAAATATCTTAAGTCACTTGAATAACCTTACGAAACCTGTACGTATGTTTTACTCACATATAAATAATGTAATATTTACTTATTAGTGAGGACAACAAATATACAATCCAATAGTCTGTGTCACAGACTTTACAATAGTACTACAATCAAGCACTTATTTTTTCATATAGTTACAATATGTATCAGCTACAAAGTCTCAGATTCTTGTCAAATTAAATCTGTGAATTGACATTGAATGAAATTGCAACTAATGTCACTACTCTCTATAGTATATTTAGATTAATATGATAAAACTTTTAACAATGTCTAATTCTGTTGGTTCAAGTCCAATTGATTATAAATGAAACCTATTGGTATTTCATTCCACTTGGCAAAATAATTTTGTTCAATTAAATACAGTTGTGGTCTAATTTAGGTTCAATCTTTGTTTACAAGTCCTAAAATTGACCAAAAAATTGTTTCATTGTGATGCGTGGATGTGTGAAGAAGGGGCATGGATGGATAGAGAAAGCAGTGAAGTGACAAATGACATAAAATAAATAAAATTAATGTTGGAAAAACCCTTTCCCTAATCCCTTCTTTCTACCTCAGGATTTTCCTGATGATTGAATGCAAAAAGAAAAATGCATGTTTAAAATAAAAATCTGAAGAGTGATAAGAATAAAATGCATTTTTTTTTTAAATAACATCTCACACATGGCCGTCTGATCCCAAGCTAGGAAGAGCCTGTGCTATGGTAACCAGACTGCTGATAAACATAGATACATACATTTTAAAAATAAATTATACTCATATACAGAACTAATGACCGTGCGTAACACACCAGATTTGTCCTGGCTGGGATTCGAACCCATGACCTCTGGCTTAGCAGTCAGGGTCACTAACCACTGGAGCAACAGGTCCATCAATAATGCGCATATCTAAATGATTACAAAACATCCATGTCTAACTCTAGACATAAACTTACTTTTATAATGTCCCAGTCTTTAGATTTGAAAACAAGTCTTTAGGAAAAGGATCAAAATAGAGGGACTTACCTCTACTATCCAATAAACTTTCACACATAAAGATCAATAGGAAAAAACAATTGCTTGCCATAAGTTATTCTCCGTCCTTTGTTTTTAGAAAAAGCCATTATTTGTCTTATCACATTTTTTTCTTTTTCAGCGCGCTCAAACTGAAGCTGTAACTTTTCTTGGCAACCAGGAATCTAGTCGAAGCCTGTATGCAATACCTGGACTAGATTATGTGGCACATGATGATATTATACCATACACATCTGTAGAGAGGGTTCCTTTGCAACATGAACTTTTTGATAAATTTCTTATGCATAATCCTGACAAAGGTAGGAATAAATTAATCTTAAGACATCATCATCAACAGCCTATACTAGTCCACTGCTGGACATAGGCCTCGCCTTAGAAAGGAGGTTTTGGCCTACTATACCAAGACATCATCTTGTACAAGAATTTTTTGAAACAATACATTAGAACTTACAGTAGATTTTCAAAAAATTAGAAACACCAGATTTCTTCAGATTATAACATAACAAACCATAGAAAACGAAATGGGATTATTTTTTCTATATGTACACATGGCAAATGAAATGTCTGATCAGGTTAACATGTAAATTGTTATATTTTTACATGTGTTTGAATTGTGTATTACTAATTTCTTCACTCATACATCACAATCAAAATCAAAATCACAGGTACCTCATGCTGCTGACCAAGTATTTTGTTTGACAAGGGGTCCATTTTTAAAAATTAATATCATTTTTTTTTATAATTTTACATATTATACTTTACACGAAGCAATCTATTGTTGTGATGACTCTGTGTTGATCTTGTTAGTAGTTTTTGTAGTAGTTAGTTTTTGATAAATTTTATGAAATGAAGATTTTGAATTTGATCTTATTTATGCCACACTACCAAATTACGGAAATGCTTCAGGATCTACCCAAATCTCAAACACAAAAGGTGTTTTGCGAAAAGAACTTTGGAGGACCTCTGATGGAAAGGTAGAGCAAATGCTCATTTAGGTGACGAGATGCACGCAAACTTACTTAGTACTTGTTAACATTTCTATTTCAGATCCTCCATTCATATCCCAAGAGACTCTGCGAGCATGGCAGAAGAAGAATCATCCATGGTTAGAACTGAGCGATGTACACCGCGAGACGACAGAGGGCGTACGTGTCACCGTAATACCATTCTATATGGGTAGTCGCGAGTCGCAGAACTCTGCTGTTTATTGGGTGAGATAAGTTTCATGATCTCTGTAACATAACTTCTTATATCAAGAAAATTATGGATGACTCATGAAATCAGACTTAGATTTTTAGGCAGAAACGAGATGAGCACTGTAAAATATAGATGTCGTCCAAGCTCACTCTATCAGTATAGATTCTACTTTCTCACAATGAGTGCAAAGTCAATGTGTCATTGCAGTGGCGCTACTGTATTCGACTGGAGAACCTGAGCTCGCAGGCGGTTCAGCTGCGTGAGCGGCACTGGCGCATATTTTCGCTGAGCGGCACGCTGGAGACCGTGCGCGGCCGCGGCGTCGTGGGGCAGGAGCCCGTGCTGGCGCGCCACTCGCCCGCCTTCCAGTACAGCAGCCACGTCAGCCTGCAGGCGCCCAGCGGACACATGTGGTGAGGGTCTCGCCTCTACTGATACGTAATATTACCCTGCCATGGTGATATCCCAAAATAGACCGAATTTGGAAGCGATACAAGATTGAACGAAATATTCTTGAAACTATCTATTTTTACTATTTTATCTTCAACTACCTATTGCTTATAATGACAAATTTTGACGTGAATATCACGTGTTGTCGCTTGAAAATAAAGGAAAAAATACAACGTAATCAACAGGCAGAAATTTGCGTTATTCAAAAGCGTGAAAGTCATAATTCGGTCTATTTTTGAGCGTTCATGAAAAAAAAACATAATTCCGGAGGTTATTTACATCTAAACAATTTGAATCTTGCGTAATATTGAGTCTTGTTTGATAAATAATCGAAATAAATATGTTTTTCCCTAGGGGTACATTTCGAATGGAGCGGGAGGACGGTTACACCTTCGACTGCCGCATCCCGCCGTTTTCCTTGGAGAGCAAACCCGACGAAGGCGTGCCCGTGGCGCCCCCACCAACCGCGTGACCGCTGCCTGCTACCCATCAGTTCACGGTTTAAACCACTCACCAAGCGAGCAACTGAAGTTACGAACATATAACTACTTCGAAGCCTCCTTAAATAAGAAAACCGCGAACGCCCCAAATTGACGATTGTTGGGATGTAATGAATATAATATCTTTGATTGTGATATTACACACAATCCGTCATTGTATATTTAGCATTCTCGCTATAGATAAATAATGATATATCCTTTAATTTAGCTTTATTTATTATATTGTTAATAGATAATATCTGTTGATAATATTCATTGCATCCATTGTTTTGTAAGATAGAAATTCCTTAGTTGTTTTTAAAATATTATCTAGATCTGTAATAAATTACAGTATTCTGTTCACAATCCCTAGACTTTAATTTCCTAGTTTATTTAATTTGTTGTATTCCCTCTCTATTGGCTATGGGAATGAAGTCCAGTTCTGAACATAAAGGTACTAAATGACCTTGTAGTTGTCATAATTATAAACTCAAGATTTACCTCTTAAAAACGCAGGTATGTGTTATTGGCAGTACTAGGTTTACTTTCAAAAACTAACTTGCAAAGATTGCGTATTTTTCGCCCGGTTGCTACTTAGGCTGCACGAGCACAAGCGCTTCTTCCAATTCTCAACTAAGGGAAGGTAGACCATCTAAATCCCACTAAAATACAACATGATGAGTTTGAGTAACTAAGTTTTAACTGCTTGTTTAACATTCATATGACTAGAAGATTTGGCACTAGAGATGCTACTGCATTCCACATAATTTTATCAGCCATTTTGTACTATCAAAGCTGTATGCTTACGGAATGTAATAAACTTTTTTTTTATGAAAATGGTTTACAAATTTTACTTCAGACCTCCAAGTAAACGTTCCAGTATTATGTGATTTAGGTAGGTATAATTGATATATTTCTTGGAAATATATGTTTATATTTATGAATGATTTCAACTATCACCGGCCTGCAAAACTTTTTTGAGAAGAGAGAAGAAATTGAACATTGATAGATATATATGATTGATTGATATCACATAAATTGATTTTTAGTTTTGGGGGTGAAACATAAATTATATCCATCATAAGGAGTATGTGCATATGTGCATATCAAGCATAAGGTATATGATGTTATTAGAAGGAAAGGAATAAGACTCCCGAGGTTAGTCTGAATATCGATAAATATTTGTAAAAAAACATGATTCATAACTTCCAAGAGATTTTAATAACTTTAAAAACAATTATAGGTAAATTTAGAATTGCACATCAGTATACCTAAATATAATCTACTAAACGAGATAAATAACTAACTTTTTAATTAAATAATACTTCAAGTTTTAACAATATCTATGTATGTGTATATAAAGAGAATGTCACTAGATAGGCAAATATTCAATTAGATGTACACTCTAAAGCAACAGCAGAAGGCCAGTTCTTGTAAAAAAAGTTGGGTCACAATTCAGTTCCGATCAACTCTCGATCTCACAACTGTCATAAAAGATATTTTCGTAATAAAGTATTAAACATCCCACTTGAACTGTAATTTGATTATAGCGTATTTCAACTGAAAACTGAATCGATAATCTGCTGGTCTTATAAATACTTTACGTCGAATTTACTACGAAAATACCTTTTACGACAGTTGCGATATCGAGAGTTGATGGGAACTGAATTCCGACCGAACTTTTATTACGAGAATTGGTCTTCAGGACATATTTATGGTTAATTCTAATCCTTGTATCTCGCAAACCATGGGCGCGATATGAGCGTTTGATATATATATTTGTTTAAATATGTCATTTTTATTTACTTTAGAAACTGCTTTTCAAACCGAATAGAATTCCTTAAGAACTAATTCAGTATATAGAGATATCATATCATTATGTAACATTTCGTGATTTTATAAACAGATAAATTATTTATAACATTTAAATTTTAATACAAAGCAAAACCCATTTGGTACATCTTTAGGGGAATGCTACAACAAGATTAGGATTGTATGCTTGCAAGGCACTTTCTATTGCTTAAAAAAGGTTTGTTTTTGATCTTTGGTAAAATCACTTTATATTAAATCTGCAATTGAATCAATACTAGAACCATTTAACTACAAATTATAACAATTTTAGCCAGCAACAAAACTATTACTGGCTTACAAATTAAAACATTGCCTTCAGAGGCAGTTGAAATTAAAATAAATGTAATTATTATTTGTCCTACCCCTGGTTGATAATTAAACACAATTATACGCGACTTTTTTTTGTCTCGTTGACATTTAATAAATTTTCAAGTGTTTTGTTAAATTACATAAATTTTAAGCTAACCGACTACCTAAATAACAAGATGTATACGCTCACTACCGAGCTAGCTGTATGATCAGTGCAGCACACATTTCAAAGAACTCCATTGTGTGGTGGCCCTGCAACTGTGTGGGAGACACGGGCGGCGGGATGGGAAGGGAGGCGACTAGAGGTGAGGACGCGTCTTCTTCAGTGTCCTCCTTCTCCCCGGACAGAGATTTGAAGTCTAGCAGGTATGACTTGTAGTCCACTTGATATAATTGCAAAGACATCTTCACATATTTCTCTGTCATTTTGTTTAGAGTACGTACTCTGAAAAATAAAATCAAACAATTGTTATTAAAAGCAACCAAAAGGTAACTCAAGGTATGCAACTAAATAAATTGAGCATCCCTTTGTAATCACCATTACAGGTTTTTACTATTATGTATCTAAATACTTACACCAAAAAAAACTATTTTTAAAATTTATGTTTGTCTATCTATCTGATTGTTGCTGCTAATCTTTGGATTGCTGATTAATTACCACCGGACAGCTAATACAAGGAGTAACAGACGACTATTTTAAAAAACAATTTGAGTTCCACGCAAAAAACAAATATAGCAAACAAATATTTTATATTATATAGAAAGCCTAAAATAATATAAACAAAGAAAAGATAATTAGTAATTTATTTTCCCTTCAGAAAAATAAGATTTTCTATCCGTGAGTCACGAGTTTGCAAACATCAATCATCAATCAAAATGTGTCGTAATCGTACAATCTTCAAAGCTTATTAACCGATCAGCAGCCTTGCTCATCTTGTCTATAGTTGGCGTGAAGATACAAATAATAATTTGGTAAGTAATTGATTTGAATTTGTGGCAAACTATTCAAGTACTTCTTCATTATGTTCTTCTGAATACAGAAATTATAAAATTTATATGTGAGTATAGTGCCAATTTTCAAACAACAATTTAAAAGTTATATTTATTTTAATTTTTAAAAAGACAACTCCCGCACTAGGCATATATCCTGACTTTACAAACATTCATTTCACACATCACATCACACGTCAACAGCCTTTAATAGTCCACTGCTGGACATAGGCCTCATCCTAGAAAGGCCACCGTGGTATAGTAGGCCAAAACCTCCTTTCTAACATTCATTTAAACGAACACAAAGAATACCCAGACTCTGAACAACAATTTTGTGGATCACAGAAAGTGTTGTCCCATGTGGGGATTGAACCCACAACACTCAGCGCAGTAGGTGACCACTAAAACCACTACGCCATCCGTGCAGTTATATAATATAATTATAGGCAAACACTCACCTGACGTGATATGGGTTGATTACTTTCCACTCGTAGTCAAGAGCCTTCATAGCGCGGAATACTTCTAACATAATATCGTTTGGTTTGCTCTGAGACCGAATGCCGAGATGCCACTTCGCCCTTTAAATAAACAATTAAACAGAATTACCTTTTTAATTATGTTAACCAAGGACTTTGAGGTGGAGCAATATCAAAGAACATAAAGAAAATACCTAGTATTTAGAAACAGAAAATAGATGACTATTGGAATTGGAACTTTTTGGGAGTGCCAAAAAATTTATTATTATTTATTATATATAAATTTATTATTATTATTTGTCTTGGTCATTGGTTTCTTTCTTGAGAGTACTGTGACTGAGATTACATTTACAGCATACAGAGTAGCACACGTCAGATATAGCGCGCATATGTGACCCTACAAGTTAGCTGCCAGTTTTAATTTCGTAGTAAACCGTTAAGTGACTGGTTGGAATTACTGTTATATAAATGCATGGTATATTATGTAGTCTACGTACCTCTTGACGGGCGTACCCCTTGTCTTGTCTTGCGGGCCGTGCGGGTGTGGGTGCGGCGCAATACGCTCAGGGTGAGGCCGCGCTGACTCCGACGGAACCGATGGCGGAGAGTTGGCTACAGAAGAAATTTATCTCAATATTTTACTGGTATTTTATTTACCGTGAAGTTTTTACACCAACCACTTGATGATACCCTGATAGTCGACTAAATGTGCAAAATACATACTTGCTGCAGAACAGATATCATTGGCATTTTTCTTAAAATGATTAAGATCTTCAGAAATTTCACCAGGGTACATACCATCATTCATTAATTAGGCAAGTGAATATTTGTGGTTTACATTACTAGTGGTATTTAAATTACTAGTAAGTATTTTAATTACAATGGTGGGTTACATACCAGCTGTCTTATTATATAAGTGTAATGATCAAATTAGTATCATGACTATCATTTACTCAATTGTATTCACCTCACACATTTACTAAAATTACAGAATAACAACTTATCACATACCAGCAACATAGAAGTCCTTTATTTCAGCTTTAGCTGCCTCATCTGCAATCCGCTTGTTGTCTATGATGAGATGGTACGCAATTGCTAATTGGTCATGTGGATCACCACTCAGTAATGCATTATGGACTTCATGTTCCTTAACCCCAAACTTGTCACATACTTCTGATATCGCTTCAGTGTCTATTACGCTGCTGTCCTAAAAAGAACTATTAGTGTTAAGTTAGGCATAATATTTTAACAACACAATTGACATGTTAGACTCGAATTATTTTTTTGCACTAACATTATCAAAGAAAAGAAGAAGAATATCAAGGAAAGAACTATTTACTTTACTTATTTTAAAAGGTTATTTGATAATGTCATGCTACTATCATGTCATTAATAAAAAATGAAATATATTTTACTTTAAAAAAAAGAGGAAGGGCACCTACTCCAATTACCTGCTCAACAGGAGAAGGGAATAGATATCCAGGCAGATCTTTTTGGAACCATTCATGTTTCTTAACATCTTCAATAGAGGCCCTCTTCATTGGATCCACTTGCAACGTCATACAAAGCAGGCTAACTACATTCTTATTCAAATATTCAGGTATTGGAAATATGCCAGATTTAATTTTTCTAAACAATGTAGGAACATGTTCATCATCAAATGGTAGTGTACCGCAGAGCAGGGCATACAGTATCACACCACAAGACCATACATCTACCTCAGGACCTGCATATAGTTTTCCAGATATAACCTAAAACAATAATTTGATTTAACAATAAAAAAATATGACCTAAAATATTTATTTTTTTATTTTCTAGCAACTGGCCCCAGCTCCTAGCGAATAGTGGAGCATATAAGCCTATTTGTTTCTGTCTTAGTGTTATCTCAGCCATCAAGTATTTATGGAAATTTAACTACTGAGATAAAAATGCAGAAAATCATGGTCTAATAAAAAAAATATGCATTCAATTAAAGATATGTTTAAAAATAAACAACATAAAGAACTGCTATATTTTATTTTATTAGATTATAATTTCTATCATGTTAACTTTGTTGATAGAAGCAGCAAGGGGCTTTGTATATTAGTGACCACTTACTAAGTCCTTATAACAAGAGTTTATAAACAAGACTTTTGCCATCTCATTAGTTTGTTCAATAATACATTTTCAAGTACTTACCTCAGGTGCTGCATAATTAGGTGACCCACAGGAAGTTCTTAAAAATTCACCATCCGTCATCATATTTGACAATCCAAAATCTGCTATCTTGACATGCATGTTGTGATCAAGTAATAAATTCTCTGGCTTCAGATCCCGATGCACAATCATATGCCGGTGGCAATAGTCCACACCAGATATTATTTGTTGGAAGAACCGTCTTGCTTCGTGCTCTTGTAATTTACCTCGTTTAACAATATAGTCAAATAATTCTCCACCAGATACATATTCCATTATCATAAATATGTCTGTTGGAGTTGATATCACCTGAAAATATTTAAAAAAAAAATCTACTTCTAAATTTTAATAAAGTTTTTAACCATTCGGACCAAAAGGCAACTTGATATATCCATTTTCATCACTTGAACATGGCCACTATCTTATAAGCAAATATGAATAATTGGGTGCATTTCATAAAATATGTTAAATTATATAAAAAATATTACGGGATAATTTGTTACATATTTATTTATGAGTCATATGCAATGTCATACTAAGTGAAAGAAGGTTTAACAATGTAATGAGGCATTATTCGACTTTTACATACACAAACCACATATCAACATGTTGATAATATTACCTGGTACAATTTGATTATATGCGGGTGTCTAAACAGCTTGAGATTTTGTATCTCACGTCTGATTTTGCCCACTACATCTAGATTCTTGATCTTCTGCCTGTTGAGTATCTTTACAGCAACCTTGTGCTTTGTCAGGACATGTTCGCCAATCTTCACTTTACCAAATGTACCCACCCCAAGAGTCACCCCTAGAGTATAATGCCCTATCTTGACGATAGGTTGGTTACTGCCGCTGATGGTCACTATTTTCTCAGCCATCTTCTAGACTGTTACTATTATAATATTAAGAATTTTGTCATTAAGAACTGCACAGTAAAACTAAAACAGTTGCAATTTAAAATGTTAAATTACATTACACGATATATTAAGTGGAAAGAAATAAGTTTTTGCCATAAACATTTACTTTGCGCTTACGTCAATTTTGTATTCTTCATTCTCTCAACTCGTTAATTAAACGAACGAGAACGAAGAGTGAGCGATACGCGACACAGAGTACACTTCAATACACTTGAGTGCAGCAATATTACGTGTAGTGTCGCTAACAGTTAAATGAACTCTCCACCACATTCAGCATTTAAAACCACCAGAAGACCACAAACGAAAAAAGAACTTATATGATCTAGTATATGAAAGTTCCTTAACACGTTGGGCATTAGTAGACAACAACGGACCAGGTTTTATTGGTTTGAATTAAATTAATCTTTATTTATTTTCTTCTACGCAACCGGATCATTATGCATAAAGTCGGACACTGAATTATATCGCTAGTTTGCCCAGACCAAATATTGTCAACTTTGAATTTTCTCCTATGCCTTCTGGGGACATCAAAAAGATCATCCTGTCTGTCTGTTGTAACGCAATGGTTTTGCAAGCTGTAGGATAATAGTTACACTCCTGGATTACGTTCGAAGTTTTAGCCCATTATTGACTTCGCTACTAAAAGGGGGGTCAAAACCTAAAGCTTTTTGTGGAAATCTACTTGGTTGGTAACACTGATAACGTGAGTGAAGTCAATCTAAGTCAAATATAAACGTCAAAATCGTATTTTTATTCACCTCTGTTGGGCATGCAAGTTGTCAAATAGATGTTTTTACAAAATACCATAGATAGATCAACTAGTGCTGTCATACTATACACGGACTTTTGATTGAGATGACTGATGAGTTTAAGAGGGCACTGAAACATGACAGCGAAAGCTTAGAAGTTAATGCTACAGAGATCTTGGAACAAAGTTCCACATCGCGCGTAACATGCTCTGAGCGAGACCGAAAAATGTGTAACAAGACTTTTTTCCGAAACTTCTTGGTCGTCCGGGGTTCCATAGACGGGAGAACGAAGTTACACGATATGAGCGGAAGGGAGCGAGACCGAAACATGTGTAGCAATACTGTAACTTTTTTTGTTCAGATGTAAATAAAATATACGCAAATTATTACTTTTTGTAAAAATACTTTGACCAAAATTCATAATTGAAATATTTGTCAAATAGCAAATAAACTTCATTCCTATCGGGTGTCCCACGACACCACACGGCTTTTTATATTTGAAAGATTTAACATAATCATGAGTGAAATAATCTTGGACTATAAAAAACATAAAAAGAGCTATGTTAAAGTGAGGCTTAAGTTGTTGTCTATGGTTTTATGTCTTCTCCAATCTCCACAACCCCGTCCTGCACTCCCCGCTCCCGCCCCGCCCTGTGAATTTTCGGAGTGAGAGCAAATTTTGTTAAAAATATTTTCAACTTTTCTATGTTATTTGTTTTAGTTTGATTATATTGTGTGAGTCCGCTATGGACAAATGCGGGATATGTCTTAAACCTGCCGTTGTGAGTACGATTTTCCTTATTTTATGCCTCGTCTTAAAACATTTCATCAATATTTTTTTGTTTTCTTTACGAGATTGTTATAAAAATAACGCCCCTAGTCATTGGGGCTTCTATCGTTTGCCTGTGGCTCAAATTTGTATATTGATTTCGTTGAAATTCCGTGGAAGGCGACGCAGAAAATGATAAAAAAACTTGACATTCGAAACCTGCCCGCGTATTTTTTTTCCTTTTATCGGACCGTCTGTTTTTTTTTACGTCTGGCTCAGGGCAGTAAAAAACAACGAGCTCTTTTTTTCTGTACTTGAATAGTAAACCTTGGCATATTATGCTATTGGAGATATGTAACTGTTATTTATTTCCATTGCTCCTCACATAAAACAAGTATTATTTTTATTTAACTCCTACCATGTATTTATGGGTGACAAATGCTTTTGATATTGTTTATGTAAACAATCTTAATACTCTTTAAATAAGCAACTGCAGTCTATTTATCCAACAGAATTCTGTTTTTGTTTTATAAATTACTATTTATTTCCTACTATCATATAAACTGCATTGTGATGTAATATAATATTATTGAAATAGTATGTTAACTTGCCATTTAACTATATAAAAATAGTTGCAATGTTAAGTGCATAAACAGACTGACATGAGAGCAAGAACATTGAGTAAAATTGTGCTTATCATGTGGCTGGAACGTTATTTCAATGCATTTATTATACTTAAAACTTACTCAATCAATTACATGTGTACAGGAAATTATTTTAAAAAGATATTAAAACAATATAATATTAATAATAATAAAACTAACAATAACTGCAAACATCTCACACTCGGTTGTCATAAACTAATAAACTAGGCAAAGCCGAAACTACACCTGACTGCTGCATACTTGTGTGTAAGATTCTAGCAGGAATATATCAGTAATTTTCTAATTAGATTTTTTTGATCTGTACTTTTTAACTCATCTTATTAGTATTCTTCCTATTACAAAAACCTACTCAGGACCAGAAAGTTATGGTTAAAAATAAGTGTCAAAATTCCTGTTCAATTTTGTTATATTTAGTTGAGTATGCCAAATGGAAAATAAAATTTCCTTTATTATACTATTTCAATAATAATAATTCAATAATTGTAAATCACCCCTGTCTACCGCTTTGGCAACCAAAGGCATGAGTGTATTGTAGGTTAGTCTAAATGTATGTATGATATACTGCTTTAGTTTGAAAAAGATAAACTATCTTTGAATATCTATGTATACTTTTAGATCGTCTGTCCAGACATTTAAGTCTGTCTGGGGTGTTGTGATTAGAATGAGAGAATGGTGTACTGGTACATGTTCAGTTCGCAACAGAGTTTTGTTATTATTTAATTACCTGTTAATCAATAAAGTATTTTGCTTTTTGCCTTTCATTAAATAGTGAAATATCAAGCATTGTATCCATACTAATATTAAAATGCGAACTGTGTCTGTCTGTTAACTCTTGAAACTTAAACTGCTGAAAAGAATACAGGTACAGAGATAGTTTGAGTACTGGGAAAGGACATAGGATAGTTTTTATCCCAGAAATTATCCTTTAAGGGAGTGAAAGTGTGTAAGGGGAATCAATAACCGCTGAACCGATTTAGATGAAGTTTGGCATGGAGATAGTTTGATTCTTGAGGAAAGATATAGGCTTCTAGTTACCGCTATAACCAACATACACGCGAGCGCAGCCGTGGGCAATACTAGTGTGTTACATTTTATATAAATACATTTATATTGTATTATATTATAGTGTATTTTATTTTGTGCATTAATTATTAAAAAAATATATAGAATGTAATCAAGTTTACAAATAAACTGTAAAGAAAATAATTACAAAGGGACTGTTTATTGTATTAGCCTAGACCCATATTGTCCTTACAAGAGATTCATTGACATTAAAATATTAGAAAAATAATATTAAAATTCTTATAATAAAAGTGCAGCCTTAATTTTGAAATCAAAGTAATATTTAGAAACTTCTTGCTGCTACAACTGAATTGAAAATTATCCTAATGCTAATTTTAAATTCTGAAACAGTAATATTTTTGGAAAATATAATTGAGACAGTTATCAACATGCTCATGGACAATCACCAAACACATCACATCTTTGCTCTTAAAGAAAATTATAATCAATGTATATAAAAGTGTTAAGTTGGTTTGTGTATGTTTCAAAAACTTCTGTACCGATTGAGACCATGTTTGTTTCTATCTATTTCTGAAGTGAAAACTTCTTTAGGCGCATTGGGCATTTTTGAACAACAAACAAAAGAATATATTTTTTGAGATGGGAAAAAACTATTGAACTCACAACACTGTTACGGTTACTGACACCTCTGTATATAAGTATCTACTCTGTATACATATTGGTCCCGTTTACACCAGAGTTGAGTTTGGATTGATATACATTGATAATATAACTATATATATTAAAAACATATATTGTGTAAATACATACAACATAGATATTTATTCAAGTCGTCTTTTCGAATGTAAAATAAACCCGTCAAAATTTTTAAAGATTTTTACTTCTGTCGGCACTCCCGGAGTACTACTGTTTTTTTTTTTGCGTCAGTTTTGTTCCTCATTGCTCATCAATGTGCCACAGTTGCAGCTTGGCAGGGCGCAGCTAGTATTTCAAAAATTTAAATTAAATTTACAAATAACTACTAAATCTTTGTTTTCAGCAACTGTTTGAGACAGGAAAAGATGGCATATATGCATGCTTTAAGTGTCAACCACTTGTGCCTGAAGTGACCATAGGAGAAAATAGCACTGAACAACCACATGCTTCTAGCACCAACAGTGAGGAGGTATTTATTACTACTGCTGTATTTATATATTTCATAATACTACAGTTACTTTCCTCAGTTATGTCAGTTTCTTATAAAGATTGGAATATTAGAGTGGTGGTTTCTGGCTGAAACCCATTGTATCCTTATTGAGTCTGTTAATTTTTTTTTATTATTGTTCAAATTGCTCTAGCCATGCCCTTTGGACAGATGTCATAAAATTTTATAATAGTACTGTTGTTGCTAAAAGAATACTCGTAGTACCAAGTACCAAGTAGAAAGAATAATGTGAGCATATAATAATAATTATTATTATTTTACGACATTTGACATACAACGCCATCTAGTTTCAAATTAAGTAGAGCTGTATTAAGTAGAGAGTAAAAGTGACTGATAGGATACTTTTTTTGTAAATAAATACATACATACATATTATACGTAGTACACATATAGTAGAGAACTCTAAACGCCGAAACAAATATTTGCTGATCTTAAAAACCTTCGGCCCGATCAAGGAATCGAGCCCGAAACCTAAGTACAGCAGTCGCATACGCTACAACTGCACCACCAAGGCAGTCTTATGCAGTATGCAAAACTGCTTGGTAATACTAATAAAGTGATAATTTACTAAAATATTATTACATACCCTCAGTGTTAGTGACAAGTTTTTAAAGTGAATTCATATTTTTACCCCATGGGGGTGGAAATATGTAAGAGTACTTCAAATTATTTGAATTGCAGGAGGCAGACCCATCATTGTATTGTGGGATTTGTCACAAGTCTTTTCAAAAAAATATACAATTGCAGAACCACTTACGCAACCATCGTGCAGAGAGACGCTTTGTTTGCACCTACTGCAATAAAGGTTTGTAGCAATAATTTTGTACTATAAAGATCATATTACACGCGCGGATCTAACAGAGTTCCAAACAGTGTAAATTCCATTCAAAAATGAAACCTAACTATTGTATAGAACCCTGAATTTACACCGCCTACCCCGGTTAGTGGAAATAGTACTTGGGCATTTTTGAACAAAAAACAAAATAATGTATTTTTTGAGATGGGAAAAGACCATTGAACTCGCGACACTGTTACCGTTACCGACACCTCTGTATATAAGTATCTACATATATTGGCCCACACGAGAGTTGAGTTTGGCTTGAAAGTCATTGATATTATAACTACATATAATATAAACAAATACGAGTATTGTGTATATACGTTTTGTTTTAATAAAGATAATACACATTGTTACAGCATTCTCTCAATCCAACAACTTGAGGGCGCATCTCCGCATCCACACAAATGAACGACCATTCAAGTGCTCTGAATGTGGCAAAGCATTTACACAGGTACGTTTTACCTAGTTTTAATTGATGGGCAGAAGTCGTATTTTTTAATTTATTTAAACATACATTCTGAATGTACAGTCAATTAAAATAAATTTAGACAATTAACTAGTATTTACAGAATATGATACAGACTCACATTTTATGGATAGATCAGTTATGTTCCCAAATAAGGCGATATGCATAAGATTAAAATGTGCATTTGTTGCTGTACCTTTCATTAGACATTTAGCACATACATTATCAGAAGTATACAGAAAGTGTAAGTATAAAAAATTTACCTAAAAATGCACTGTTCTTGAGTCTTAGAATTTTTTTACTCTAGCAAATCCGCGGGAAAAATCTAGTATCTATTAATTACTAAAGCTGAACATAATGCATTAACTTGTGATTAAAGTTTAATTAAAAAACCTTGTCTCCTAGGGGTAGAAAATGTATCACAAATTATTTCAGATAATATTATTATTGTCTGAAAGGTACAGAAAATTTATTGAACTCTAAAAAGTATAAGTGAAATAAATCTAGCAAAAAAAAAAACATTTCTCTCTAAATAATAGCAAAAAAATAATTAAAACCAATTGTATATGTCAATTTACAAACCTATGAAATTATAGTACATTATTTAACTTCATAAATTGTTCGCAGGTCACAAACCTAAATAATCACGTTCGACTTCACACTGGAGAGCGGCCATTTGTTTGCCCAGAACCTGGCTGTAATAAGGCTTATGCACAGGTATTTAATTTCTTTTCAGATGTACTTTAAATATGACAGATTATTAAACCTTTTCACAAAATTGCCTAATGATGTTTAAAGCCTGATCAGGCCAATTGGCTCTGTTTACAGTGTGCAATTTTTAAATATTATAATCTATTTATACTCGTAACATTAGAAATGTTGATGAAACAATTTATTGGTAGGTAACGAATCTGAACCAACATCGTAAACGTCACTTGAACGGACGACCCGTCGAGTCAACGTACGACTGTACCGTGTGCGGCGAGCAGTTTCAACAACGGAACCATATGTATAAACATAGGTAAGCTTGACGTGATGTATCCTTTTCGCGCTGAGATTAATGTACAGTGTGTCTGCGTAATCGCTGAGCCGGTTTTACTGGTGTATTTGTAGCAAGGTTGCAATACCAGTGCCGGTAGTTATAAGGATATCGAGGGTCTTCTACAAATGTAAACTAACATTTTAGGATTTTATTTTTTCTCCTTTCCTTTCTACTTAAGCTTTTTGCCATTATAATAATAATAATTAAACAAATAAATAACAGCATTTAAATTTATTCAAATATCTTTGTGTTCTAGAGACATATTTTACGTAATAGTTAAAGTATTTTGACGAAGTGTGTATAACCCAGTATAACACGGTCCGTATGGTGACGTTAAGAATACAGAGTGTCACTACCCCTTTTCATCCCGTGGGTGTCGTAAACGCCGACTAAGGGAATCAACTACTCGGAACAACGCACCGAAGAGAGAAGGAAAACTTGACACAAACCCTATACCGACCCGTCTGGCCAGCGTGGTATAGTATGTCCAGCGATGACTGTTAAAGGCTGTCGACGTGATGTGTGTGATGTGTATAACCCAGAAGAGAAGTCCACTCGGAGACGTCGGGGCGCGTGGTGTCGTGGCGCCACGCGTGCCCGGAGTGCCCGCGCACGTTCCCGTCGGAGCGCCACGTGCAGCGCCACGCGGCGCAGGCGCACCTGGCGCCGCCCGACGCGCGCACGGAGAGCGGCCGCACCTACACGTGCGTGTTCTCCACGTGCGGCGCGCGCCTGGGCTCGGCGCGCGAGCACACGGAGCACCTGCTGCGCCAGCACCAGCTGCGCGTCATGGCGCACGCGCACCACCCGCCGCGCCGCGGCCGCCCGCCCAAGGTACCCGCTCTACTGCTCGCTCACCCTCACCGCTGACCTCCGGGTCACGAGTTCGATTACCCCCAGGATGCACACATCTGTAATATGTATATATTTAGAAATCTATGAGTATGTTTATCGGCAGTCCGGTTACCATAACACATGCTATGCCTAATTTAGGATCAGACGTGTGTAAGGATATTATTATTATTAAACCGACAGTACTTTATTTCTGATTCTATTACCGACTTAATAGTTAAAAACGTAACAAACACCTGCCTTTGTATTACAAAATTAGTTAAAATTTAATACGACGTTCATGTACCATCATTGTACCCATCGTTGAGTTTTCTACCAACTAGCTTGCCATAACACTCGATTCCTTTATCCCACATGTAATTGTAAATATAAATATGTTCAATCGTGTACTGATTACATTAATTTGTGAATACAGGACGTGAGTCAAAAGCTAAAGAATGTAATAAGAACGTTTAAATAGTATAATTTATTTTTTCAGATGTTGAAAGATCCTTTGGAGATAAAAGAAAATGCAGAATTTCACGAGGCAAGTAAAAATTAGACGAAAATTCTATCATCCCATCTGTTTTTCATTGAAAATTCTTATAAACATTTTTATTATCAAATCAAATCAAATTAGATTTGTAGGCAATGTAAATCCTTTTTTTTTGCTGTTGACAATCTCTCCTTGTTATCAACGAAACCAATTTAGAAACATTTCTTTCCTTAATTTTGTGGTTTTCAATTATGATTATTATTCGACCATATAATAAACACAAGTTTACATAATTATAAAACTAGTATGACCCAATCAAATAATTCTGATATCCATATGGTCCATTGCTGAAAGATTGCCAACTGTTACATTAAATAGTTTATCTTTTCTTTAGGAATAATGGGTCCAACTAAATAACTAATTACGATTTCAGGTTAAAATCACGAAGCAAACGCCGCAATATTTGCCGAAACTCAAAGTGCAGAGTTTATTCCAATGAGTAATGTATGTAGTTCGTGTACTGGTGCAGTTGGTTATATAGTGTCAAATACTTGTACGACATGTTTGGACATTGTTGTATTTTCAATATAACTTAGGGCCAACTAGATAAGTCAATTTTAAGGGCACGCTCAGAATGGATACTTTTTATTACAGAATACTGTGTGGATTAAGTCGAATCTCGTCAGGACTTACTTCCCAGTTCGTTATGCAGATATACAAAAATACATATACATCATTTTGCGAACTACGATTTTAGCCCAACTTATGTAATGTAGCTTTTTCTTGTTGACTGGGCACTTTAGGGAAAAAGAAATTGGAAGTATATTGAAATGAAAGGTAGATAAGAAGAGAACGTGATATTAGGAAAGGGATATTACTCATAAGGATGGATTAAGGATTGTAACTCGAATTAGCCAATCCTGGAAATTCTGAGCCCCCTACTTATCACAGATGTTTGTTATAATTTCGTCTTTGTTTCTTATTGTGGTTATTTGGTTTAAGATAGGTCCATAAAATTGCTGGCAATGAGGACAAGTTTTACAAATACCACATTTGGCATTTCGATTATGTATTAAGATAAATGAATACTGATAGAAACCAGCAGAATCTCAGGTAAAAATTGGAATGGCACACCAAGAGTATACAAAAATCGAATTTCAAATTTTTTGCTTTACTTGTAACACTAAATCTGTCACCAAGTGCTGACTGATATGTTCGAAATCTTGAAGCGTCAGCAAGAGCAAAGTGAGAATCTAAAATATATTAATTTAATAAGAGTTAACGAAAGAAAGTGTTCCTTAATAATTGATGGTTGTTTGTCTGCTCTAAATCAATCAATGCAATCTGTAATCCTTCGAGATACCTAACTTTTTAACATATATAATAAATTGGCAACACAATGCACAGGTTGGTAATAAAAAGTATCTAGCCTGATAAAGCTTTGTACTTAAAACATATTTTTATGCTTTGTTCAATTGCAAGTACAGTTTTACTGCAAAATATTATTATAAATTATTAGTATTAAGTTTAATGAAGTCACATTGACGCAGTAGTACACGAGTAGTAGTGTCAGTGTGGTAAGACTTAATTGAGATTTTGCAGATTCTTCATTGGCAAATTTTCATAGAGATAACATTATTTTGTAGTACCCTAAGCAAAAATATCTGAATACGGTAGTTGACTGTCAAATTAAATCAGTTCCTCTTTATTAAGATCAAATCGGTAAGTTTTGACGTCATTTTAAAATATTGCCAAATTATTGACATTTTAATATTTGGTTTAACAATGAAAAATTATAAAAAATAATGAAAGTTTATCACAATGTTATGTTATAATTTGACGAGGACTGTAAAATTATTTATTGTAACTACCTTATTATAAACGGTTCAGATTATTTTTTAAAGCAGTAAAACAGGTTTTTTTGATACGCGGCTAATTATTGTGGAACTAATGTGGCATTATAGATCACTGCTGAAATCGTTAAACATTTTTTGATGTTGCCATACATAAATTTGTTCCAAGTGGACGCGTATGTAGTAACTCTGGATCTTAGACATTAGAAAATCGATTATATATTTTTTTTTAATCAGATGTTTAAAAGAAAATCTACATTATTAAATGTAAGTGATAATAAATAAGTGCAATTTATTGTAACAATTTTATTAATATTGTTACATTAGTGTAAGCATTAACTTTGAATATTTTATTTAGAATCATGCAACAAGTATATGTAAGATATTCAGAGATCGTAAATGTAAATAGTTTATTTCACAGAATTACTAAAAATAGGGGTTATATATAGTTTGTGTTGCGCTCGTATTGTCACTGGAACTCATTTATATATAAAAGACTGTGATGTTTGGATTTGAATTTGGCAAGATATTATTTTATACATATATTTTATGTTCGGCAAGTATTTTTTTCAGTATTATTAAAATTAACAATATTTTTTCTAAAATTTCGCCTTTTCGTAATAAGGTACCTTTGGGTTTATACTCATAGATGTAAAAGAAGCTAGTTACAAGCAGACGGCAACGGAGCCGTAGAGACTTTTGTTTGTTTATCAAGTAGCTATTTAATAGTTCTTTATGACTTACGACTGCTTTTATTTTCTCATTATATCGCCTTTAGTTACATAATTATAAAAAAACTAAAATAAAATGTTATTAATACAAAAGTTTACTTAGAAAGAGAAAACAAAAAAAAACACACACTTAAATACCCTAATAACTGTAAAAAAACTCATTTTTTGCTGTTTTTTTTATTTTCTAGATATTGTAATAATTTTGTTTCAAGGTTTGTCATGGTTTCGCTATGGTGTGCGCAGAGAAATGGTTTGGAACATTAATGGTTTATTATTTAAAGCACACACACTACAGGACTAAAGTTTGAGACCACATTAATAAGAGTAGATTGAAATAAAACTTATAATTAATAAAATATAGCAAGCTATTTAATTAAATAGAAATAGGGTTCTGGTGTGATTAACCTCCTTTCGTCTCTAAAAAATTTGATATTTATATGTAATATCTATAAATACCTAGTACCTATATATCTGTAGGATTTTTTTCCTTTTGTAACAAACTTTAATTCAGTCTCATCCTTATCTGTCACAAATATATACCTGCCACACACACAGCTTTGCAAAACCTAAAGGTTTGACTGAAAGAAAATGCCTGTGGCGTTAAGTCCACCTAATGCAAGTGCAGGAAGTCTCAATAAATAAATAAATCTGTATCAAGTGTATCACTATTAGCTATATGTTGGATTATAGAAAATATAAACCATTTTCAACCTTAGCTACGCAAATGCGTTATGCCAAAGAATTAATTTTCACATCTCGATTTTCAAGGCTTTAGAAGGATCCCAAGGGTATTAGAGTACTACTATGCTTCCTCAGAGTGGACTATCTGTATTACTTCTTATATTGAGTTAGTGTGTTAGGAACACAAGCTTTAGACAATCTCAGTAACAGTAAATCAAACCAACTACCTGTTTCTTGCGCGTCATTTGCGCATAACGTTTGTAGTATGTGAATATATCATCATCAGCCTATCACAGTCCACTGTTGGACATATGCCTGCCCTATTGCACACCACTTCGATCGATTTTTGGCATTTCGCCGAAAATGTGAATATATTTTTTTAAACGACAGTTCAGTTCAAGTTCAGGACGATCAGTTCAGGTTATTAATTCGACTAAATATTTTTTATTGTTTATGTTACTTAATATCTTTGTCATTTGTCAACCGATTTCTACTTTTTCTTTGTAATTGAATTGGCTGTTGCAAGTGGTCTCAAATTTTTGGCCTGTAGTGCATGTACAGAATGTACAGATCAGTGTAAAGATTGTATAAAACGTGTGTAGATATTATACAGGTGTACCTATTTACGCATTAGGACTTGTTTAGTATCGTACAAGGAAGGGAAAATGCATTTTATGGATTTAAAAAATGTTTACATATAGAAATATGACTTTTTAAAACACGATTAATTCGGTTAAACATCAATTTAAAAATAATTACATCAATTTAAATCGAGATTTTAGGTTTAGAACTACATTCCTGTATTAATTTCTTTTATAAAAGTTCAAAACTACAAAGCAATAAACTGTATATTTTATCGCAGGAATCATGATGTGGCGAATATCTTGGCACATATCGGTTTGGATTCAAGTTCAGAAAACTCTGCAAATTTATTAGTTTAAAAAGTAGCTAAATTAAGTAAATCCATGAATTGCAAAATACCTTATCATCTCCTGTCGTCTGTTACGGTTAGCAAGCATTGAGCTAAACTTCGTCGCACATTTGTGTAATGAGACTGTATTGGTATTACGTTTGAAGTTTATTGTCAAACTAGTTGGTAGTAGGTACATCAGATACAAATATACGATAGGTATCGTACGAGAATAACTTTGGCAAACAACATTTGTGTAACATTATTCCTGTTGCATTACTGCAATCTGTTGGAGTAATTTTGTAAAAAGGGACAGAACAGTGTAACAGGAAGTCTATTTGATTTGATCAAGGCATTTGGTGTAAGAGTTGGCTGTCAGCTGGTGGGGGGCGCGTTCGGCGTTGTTATTGGTGAAGAGTTTAGTTCGGGTCAACGCGGTCGCCGTGACGATCAAGTAAAAGTGAAATAAACTTACGCTAGGCCCTCTGATGTTACACATAATACGAATACTGTAAGACTCGCTCGCTTTGTTTTACTTGAGACAATAAATATAATATCCACATACACATAACGAAAGCGCGTAAGAGCAATGTGCAAAACTGCTTATCTATTTTCTAAATTTTACAAAAGGAAGAAACAATTGTAAATCTGGGTAAAAGGATGCATTTTTGCAACTCAACTTGTTTCTGATTCCTTTGCATGTCACCACTCATAAATTTAAATATGTATATATATATATACATATTTAAATTTGTGACATTTGTAAATACGCGGCCATGCAAACTGCTCTTAAACGTTTTTGCAGTATACACAAAAAAATCTATATATCGGAAACCAGAAAAGACAATTTGGTGCTTTATAAGCTGACAAGTTGAAAGTGGAAGTTTAGTGTTTTATCAGGGCGAAATGGAACCTTCTATGTTAAAAACATATTATTTGGCATGTTTCCTATCATTGGTTTTGAAGTGAATAAGTTTTTTGTACAAAAAATGCAATGTTTTACCCGCTAACTATGGTAGTAATAGGCTTATCCATGGAGCGTAAACTATAAGATTGATGTTGAATGTAGGCACTGTAGGCATTATTATGCATATCGAAGTGGGCCATACGCGCTTGCCGGCATAAAATAAAATATATGTAGTTGTGAGAGCCTAAGGCTGTGTGCATATTTATCTACACAGATATTCATTGTACTGTATTGAAATGATGAAGAGAGCAAGTCTACATAGGTACCTACATTTTTTATATCGCAAGACGGACTGAGAAAAAAGATCGCTTCTTGTGTCTTATAATCCGTAACCATTCAGTACCACTGGTACACTGGCGATTACATCATGATTGACCAGCAGTGTTAAGCAATTCTTTCCTTGTCTTTCACCTAGTGAGGAAGGTTGTCGGGCCACCAACCCCTTCCCCCCCTCTCTCCCCCACAAGCAATATTCCACTACATATTCACACAACGCCATCTAGTGCGAACTAAGCAGATCATTACTATGCGTACTAGATTATAGATAACGCTGTGTCCCGTCTGCTGACGCCACCAGGCCTTATGCCAGTAGTAGATCTTTTAGTGTATGCTCTGTGGGCTTATCGTAGACCGTGTAGATCTAGTGTAAATGCATTAGGTTAAGGTGCAAATGTTCCTATGAATGTATCAGAGTTGGTTCGATATTATCGGTGGATATACGCCGCGTGTGTACTCGACCATTTCAATATTTCTAGCCTTGTTAAGTGTCAGCATGTCGAAGATTTTTCTATTAACATACAAATAATATTATAATAATAAAATATGCAAACACTTACTTGTTTTATTTGTAGAGTAGCACTTACCCACGGACTTAAAACATTGTTAATCATTACGACGTTAAATGTTTACGACTAAAGATTTTAAGCTTGATTTTTTTTTTATTTCTAGCATTTGCCCGCGGCTCCGCCCTCGTGTATGTCGGTTATCGCGGTAAAAAGTAGCCTATGTTACTCGCTGATATTGTGGCTTTCCATTGGTTGAAGACATTTTAAATCGGTTCAGTGGTTTAGGCGTTAAGGCGTAATAAACAAACAAACGAACAAACATTCACTCACATTTATAATATAAGTACCTATCCTTAGTATTTAAATTGTCTACTCACGCTTCATGAGATCATACAGTAAACACAGCTAGACATTTCCAATACCTAACTGATGTCAATTCACAAATTAATTTTGCCGTGTGGGAGAGTCATACTTGGCACAGATGGGCCAGCTCGACCGTAGTGATGCAAGGACCTCACAGGAAAACGGTGTTAATTCTGACCTTCATTCTGGGGAAGGACTTAAAGGATGGCAACGCAGTTATAATTCTCGTGTCCATGGGCGGCGGTAGCCACTTAACATCAGGTGACCCGCAGTGGCGGATTAAGAAATGTGCCGCTCCTATTTTCCAAAGTTGTAGTGTCAATTGAAATTGATAAGTATTATTAGTTTTTTTTTTTAATATTTTCGTTCAAGTGCCACCCCTATGCACAAGCATAGGCCGTTAATCCGCCACTGATGACTCGGGTTGCTCGTTCGGGGGGCACTCTATACTATAAAAGAACATTAACACCAAGTTCATTGTAAAATTATTGATTCTAGGAGACTGCCCACAACATTATTACAGGTAATAAATTAGTCATAACACAGTGCATATTAACATATCTTAGAAGTGATTGCACTGTAAAGTCAGTAAGCTGTTTTAAAAGTATGCAACTTGCCGTGATTTAGTTATGAAGTTTTAGTATGTAAATAGTATTGGTAAGGAATAATCTGAAGTTAATCTTCTAATAAGTTAGAGTTTCATTCATTCTTGAAACAGATACGCATTGGTAGATTGCATAGCATTACTCCGTTGAACAAAGGGCTCATTTAAAAACCGTTTACTTTCGATAGATCTAAACTGCGTAGTTTATTTGAACATTATCCCTACTAATACATAAAATGCGAAAGTAACTGTCTGTCAGTTACGCTTTCACGGCTTAACAGCTAAACGGATTTCAATTAAATTTAGCATGAAGATACTTTGATTCTTGAGGAATAACATTTTACCTCGTTAACCGACACACGCGGTGGGAGTATGTTATAAATAAGGTTCCTGAAGTTGATTTATATTACAGATGCGATTTTGTAGGGGTATGAAACACTCGCAGGCAACTACTGAGACGAACTAACCTACTAGATCATTACAGGACGATAAAAATATTTGAGATTTGCTCAGCTTAATGCTTTTTAAACTACTTTTAAAAGGCCGTGTTAGATTTACGATACTGTGTAAATGCATAATTTTCAAAAATAATAATAAGTATCTGGATTGTACAAACGTCTGCAACATTTTAACAAACTTGTAAACTAAAAAAAACGAAGAACCGTCCTACAAACCAATAAAATATTTCTTCCTTGAATTGCATCAGTTGATCTTCGATTTATGGCCCTGTGTGTGTAAGTGTATGGTGCAAGCTGTAAATCCACATAAGCTTTGTACACACCGGATAGAACATTCAAGGAAGTGACAGATGTTCTTACGCGCTCATGCGTGCCAATATGACAAATTTTGTGAATGACCGAGGAGGGACGTTGCTTGGTTTAGCAATTCGAGTGGCGCAACTGTGGCCGGTAATATCAATGCTCGCGGAGACCTTCAAAGCGGGCGTCACACGCCTCTCACTACAGGCTGTATGAAAAAATAAACGAGGAAGTGGCTACGAAATAAAAAAGTAAAATAAAAAGGAGTTTGTTTTGCCGGCTGACCATCAACACCGAGATTTGATTGCTTTTTGAAATTTTAAACAGTTTATTATAATCATAGCTAAGGCGATACCCTTAACTTTTTATTATTATGTGCTGCAGATATTTCTTGAATAACTTTAGTGGTAAAAAGGATTCCATTTTTAGGATCCAATACTATTACTTTTAGGAGGTACAATGATCAACAGTTTTTTTTTTGGTGGATTTACTTACTTATTTTGTTTTTTCTAATGGTTAAAAGACTGGCAAAGTACCTAATGGTTTTTAAATTACGAAATTAATATAACTGTAATATTAAATGAAAAGTTTACAATAAATTTGTCTCACTTGATTATACTTGATTTTCAAGTTGCGTATGTGCAAGTTATTTCATGTGTCAATAAAAGAACAAGCTGTATATTCGACAGGAACGCAGTTTTGTTATAAGATATTCCTAGCAGCGAGTACCGTATCAATCAACATATGTTTACCGCTACGAACACATCTAGTCACACAGGTATGACATTCTTATATTATTTCACTAATCATCATTGCATTCTGTAGGTACCCTAATATAGTATCGGCCCTACACTGCCCAGGTTAAAATTAATAGGTCTTTACTTATGGCTTTAATATGTATGTCGTTATTATTATTGTGTATTTTGGATTGTGTATGCCTGTAAAATGAACAGTGAAAAATAAAAAATAGTTATGTTTTAACAAACGGTATTCAAATAATTACATTAAATTTTTACCGTCATTATTATTAATGATCATAAGTTTAAGAAAGAAAACAGCTAATTGTTTTTAAGCTATTGCATAGCTTCTGTCGAGGGCCTTGAGCGCGGGGACCGAATTCAGAAATTCCGTAACGAAAAAAAACCTCACGCTAAAAACAAAACAAAAAACAGTACCAAAATCAAATGCTGAACGTCAAAGGAAATTTCGTCAACATAATGCAGAAAAATCTTACATGGATATGTAATTTGATTTAATAATAATATTTTTTATTTATTTATTTAAAAACAAATTGTAATATATGCTTCAATATTTTTATTTAATTAAAGAAAAAAAATTGTTTTCTTATCGGTCACCACGCTCAAAAAGTGTAACTTGAATTAATATCAAAGAAAAAGAAATACTGCATAAATAAAATAAATAAATAATTATAATTGCATAAGTTGATACAAAATGCTATGCAATAGCTTTACCGCGGCAGTCCCCGAGTGCCACACGTCTTTTGTTATTTTTTTTCAAAGAAAATTATATCTGAACTGCCTGTCTTAAAGATAAGCAAATACAGTAATGCCCCTCTAAATACCTACTAAAAACATAAATAATTATAAGAAATACCATTTTTTTTTATAATTAAATGAACGTGGTCGTAATGGGATTAAATATTTTTTTTATATAAGGTATCACAGAATGCTGTATGAGTGTTAGTTGTATGTTTTAGTAAATGATGTAGTATCAAATAATTACTTTGACTCTTGTATTAACGGAATCTTTTATTTTTGCGAAATGATATACACCTCGTCTCGTGCCTAGTTCTGCGTGCCTGTGCATTAAATATTATAGGTACCTAAAGAGCTTAGCAAATTAAAATATTGTTTTTACATGAAGTAAGTTGAGTTGGTGACTCAATTATAATATATGTAGCAGTAATGAATTCCCTGTAGCAATGTACTGTAATGTTAATTATACTTCATTATAACATACTAATTTAATGATAATTAAATGAATATTAATTAAATGATATAAATGCCCTAATTTACAAATAGAACATGTTCTGCGGCATTCTCATCACTCATAAATAGTTTATTTGAAAGGTCAGAGGCGTAATATTAATTTAGTTTGGTTTTAACAGTGTTTTGCATCAGCTGAAATGGCGTGCAGACGTAGTTTAGCTTTCTTTTTGGTGCTGTCTTTGCTGGCGAATGCCTTATGCCTCCCGCCAAACGTAACGTTTCGGAGGCGGAGAGACTCAAAAGACAGCGACGTGAATTTGGACTCTTCGGCAGTAAATACAATTACAGAATCAGTGAGTACAGATTATTATTTTTTGTGACTATTTACTTGTTAGGGTCTTCTTGCACATAAAATGAGGTATATTTGTTTAAAAAAAAAATAATTAAAATTTAAGCTGACGATAGACATCGAACGATAAATTCAATGATGGTAGACTGTGACTTAGATTGCAGAATTCGAGAACCAAATTAAAAAGAAAAGCATTTGCCTAGAATTTTATCCGGAAAAACTGTTTCTGACTCGAAAAACAAAGATAGAAAAGATTTAAATTCAAGTTGAACTTCAATCTATTCTATCTATATAATGCACAGATGGCGTAGTGGTTTTAGCTGCGTATACGCTGAGTGCCGTGGCTCCGATCCCCACCTGGGACGACACTTTGTATGATTCACAAATTATTGTTCTGAGTCTGGGTGTTCTGTGTGTCCGTTTCATGTATGTTTGTAAAGTCTTAAAAAAAACAGTCTATTTCTCATAAAAGTTAAAAAAAAAAAAAAAAATTCAAACAAAATATGCATTAAGTCACGTGACAGTAAACACCAATCATTTTTGTTGTTGACGTTTTCATACAACAGAGCAGGTTACTCCTTATTGTTTTTCGTTTTCAGCATATTTTCTCACCTTAATACAGTTTCAGGTGAAACTGGACACAGATGTAAACAGTTTTGTTTCGCAGACTGTGACGTCATTTAATACGTCATGATATTAAAGTAAATAATTAACAAAGTTTTTAAATTGAGTCAACTAGTCTATTATAATTAGTAGTAGGTATCTGCTATAAGTAAATGACCACAAGGCAAATAATTCAATATATAATATAATGTGATATCTTCCTTTTTTTATGTTAAATTATGTATATCATTTGTTGGCAATCCTTTAAAAAAAAGTACGTAGCGCCATCTTCCAAGTAATCAGTGTTGACACTATCTAGAAATAAGAGTCTTTAACGAGTTTTTATCACAAGAGATAGTAACTACGATGTAGGTGAGCTTTGTATGTTTTGATACAATGACATAAAGTAGTCTTAAACCATAGTTAAAACCATTCTGATATGCTTTGTCAAGATTTCTGATGATGTTTCTAACGAAATACATCGCACATTTAATATTTCAGAAAGATACAACAAGCGATTCGTCACCGACGCCGGCGACAGATGACGACGATGATGATTTTGATGAAGATAATTTTAAACCCACAACGACGAGTAGCGGCGGTGGCAGCAATATATTCAGCCTAATTAATCTGGCTACTGCTTTCTTGCCGTCACTAAGTGGCTCGAACAACGTAAGTCATTGATTTTTATTCTCTATTTTAAGTTGTATATGTTCTTGTTGTACATATTTCGCTATTTTACCTAAAAACACTTATTTTCTGTCATCTTTTCATTTATAGTTTTTTTAAGTTTTTTAGTGACGGTGGAGCATTTATGTACTTAAGTCCTTTTAAAAATTGTTTTAACAATTCTTGTGCTAGGGCAACTATACGTTATATACACCGATGATATTACGTGCGCCTTCTTTACTGAAGGACGATGGTAATATGTAATGGTGAATTTGCTAATTTATTATTAAAGACGCCACCATATCATGTTTTATGTCCCAATTTAATGTATTTGCTTAATGTTTTTATAAGAAGCAAATAATTCAAATTACGAACTACTAATTTGAATAAGTTAGAAATTGCTTATTAAGGATTTTGTGTTTTTGTTAAGTGTTGTGTAGTTTTATTGAAGTCAAAACTTCTTTAGGCGCTTTGGGCATATTTAAAGAACAAACAAAAGAATATATTTTTTGAGATGGGAAAAAAACCATCGAACTCGCGACTCTGTTACCGTTACCGACACCTCTGTATATAAGTATCTACATATATTGGGCCCGTTTACACGAAAGTTGAGTTTGGGTTGAAATACATTGATAATGTAACTATATATACGAGTATAATATAAACATATATTGTATATATACGAACAACATAGATATATGTTCATGTCGGAACTTTTCGAATCGAAAAAACAAAAAAAACTTGTTATAATAAAAATAAAAATAAAAAAATTCAAGTTTTCACTTCTGTCGGCACTCCGGAGTGCCACCGTTTTTTTCTTGTTTTTACACATGTCAAAACAACCAGTCAGTTTTACATAGTCAGTCATAAATAATATTGTTCTCTTCCTAGAATTGTAAGTCCACGACTTAGATTTACCGTCACATTGTGATTTAAAACACGTTTAAATGGGCGAGGTTATTGCTTTTAAATGCACACCTGCACGTAGTTTATTGTAACGCACACAAGTAGGTTGTGTCAGAAAATTTCGGGAAGTGATTTTATTATACAGTATGCACCAGCACAAACACGGTGTGCGCCGTCACTAAGGTAAGATTCACCACAATTCTATCTTTTGCACCGCTTTGGACTGTATGGCTTTAAAAAGTAAGTCTTATATTTCATATTTTGAATTCTACAATCTTCTATAATCCCAAATTAATACTTCTAGCGCGAATTGCAGGTGAAAAAAAACAATGAATTTGTAACAAAACTAATACGTGACGTTATAAAACAATACCAAACCAGAACCATTCAGAAAAGACAAGATATTAAAGATAACGTTATCGAAATAGATTATGCATCAAAATTAAAACCTCCTTTCTTCGAAAGACAAGAGAGTGAGCAAGCTGATGATGAAAACAGCGAAACCTCTGAGAGTGATTCTGAAGAAGATAATGGCGGAGAAGAAAGTTTGGAAGAGCCGACCAGTGAGACTGAAAATTCTAAACAAGACTCGGCTTCTAATGCATCAAACGCTAGTAGCGACGATGATGATGACGATGATGATAATAATTCAGATTACGATGAGCCACCTGATGGTGACGGTCAGGGAGGTGGCATATTAGGTGTCCTTGCTGGTCTCAGTGGTGTGAGTTTAAAAAGTTTAATGCTTTATGGAACGTTTCCACTTGCAAGATGAATAGAGCGAAATTTATTAATTTAAAATTATTTATGCCTAGTATTAAAAAGAAAAATACAAAAACAGAGAGGCTGAGGTATAAAAAAAGATAAGATATACTGTAGACTTTATGACAAAAATTTTAAACCAAAGTCCTGCAATACCAATTTGCATGTGGAAATTGCCATTTTGAAACGCAATTAATCGCGATATACAAGTCAGTAATATAAAATACATACTTACAGGATGGTGAATCAGACTTGGGATCGTTATTGGCTGCATTCGGTGGTATAGTAGCAAACTTAAGCGTAAGTTTATAAGGGAACAATTTAATACAATTAGACACAACTTTGCAGGATGATTGAAATCGTTACTTTATTTCAGGGAGACGGTATTGACCTAAATGCAATAATAGCAACAGGGTTAGGCCTTTTTGTTGGCTTGTTGGTACGTACATTTTATTTTATTGCCTTAATGTAGCTTTAATATTTAAAGCTAAACGTTTGCAGGGAATTAGTTTGCCAACGCTTTCTGGACTTTTAGCATGAATCTAATAACTTATAGTCCATCTAATCTAAGAGGTACCGTTTTACAGTTCTGACAGATTGAAGTATAGCGATGGTGTCAAATAACTCGATTACTACAATATCCGATACTTAAAAGAGTACGAAATAATTTCTTAGTATGTACTAATCGATTACAATTTTACAGATTTTTGTTTTGTGTTAGTATAAATCCCGTGTAATGGTACATCATAGGTTGTACTAGTAAATCTTAGTATGCACTAGACTTGGACACGAGCGATTTTTGCTTACAATGATTTATTTAAAATTACATTAACTTACACACTTTTAATTTTAATTTTTCGGTGTCATTGACAGTTGGATGTCAGATAAATTTTAAGTAATATTTAACACTTTAAGACGCCTGGATTAAAAATTACTCGTTTATCTCGATTTTTCGTACATTTTAACGATTATTCGTATTCAAGTGAATTTGAAGAGCCACAACACTACGGTAAAGGACCTAACTACGTGACTTTGAAACGAAGTTTGAAAAAAAAAACATCTATTGTGTATTAATTGGTTATTTTGCTTTATTTCACAGATTAAAATTAAAATGTAGTAATTAGGAATTGTTTATCTTGCAACAAAATTAAAATAACTTCATAATTTCATGGTTTTATGGAAAAGGTTATTGAAATTGTGCGAGTTACGCCTATACAAAGTTATTTTGTCTTGAAAACTATGAAAAGTCAATCGGTACCTCTTAGATTAGATGGACTAAAGTACCTACTAGTTATAGTATGTAAGCCTTGCTCTTTAATAATTTTGCATATAAATATTAACTCCTGTAATTGTACGTTTCTCGAAGTTCGACTATTTACATGTGTAATTGGCGTAAACTGCTCCATTTTTGGCTCGGGCAAACAGGTTGTTCGAGCCAAACGGATGAAAAGCAATCTTTTAATTAATTATTAGACGATAGCTAATAATGAATTAAAAGAAACCAGTAACAAAACTATATTTAGATAATTAAAAAAAAAAACATTATATCGGAATGAAAGTAAGTTACTGCTTATAGATTAAAAATAGTTCATTGATTTCATGAGACAGGGTGAATCTTTTTCTTTTACTAAATTCTACTAAACTACTTCTAAATTTCATATTTACTAAATATATGACGTATTTTTAAAGTCTGATGAAGGTTCCAACCCTGGAGAAATAATCGCAAGTTATCTACTAACTTCTCTGGACACCATCAGCGGAGGCGGAGCAGTAAGTTTTTAAGTTGATTGAAATCATTTAGGTTTTTATTTTCCAATCTGTACGAGATCTTCATATTTTTTATTATTTCAGACAAATAATGGTGCTTTCTTTGGCAAATTCTTGTCTACGTTAGTGAAAGGAACAAGCGCGGTAAGTTTCTTGTTCCTACTGACCTATAGGTCTATTCCTATCCTTAGGTTTACTCTCTAAAATGTTAAATAATAATAATAAATAATAATAATATATTCTACCACATACACACAACGCCATCTAGTCCCAAACTAAGCAGAGCTTGTAAATACCAACATTGTTAATATTTTGTTGATATTTAACATTTTAAAGAATTATTGCTATAGCAATCGGTTGATATTTAACATTTTAGAGAATTATTGCTATAGCAATCGGTTGATATTTAACATTTTACAGAATCATTACATATCTATTCACTACAGCAAATCTCAACTTTAACAGGCAAAAACCTTTTTCAATGCAATTAAATGCGATCGTCCTGAACAGATTTATTTAAGGTATATGTTCTGCAATGTTTTTATCCTTCTATTTGCCACATTTTTGTTTTATTTATTCATTCTCTATGGCCTAGGTTTCAGTATTTGGTTCGGTTCAGTTCGTTTACCTTCAGCTAATTCAAAACTTGATAAACTTAATACTACGTAAATATACAGAAGGCATCAAAGAGACGCACCCGTCATATATGTTTACGTCTGATTACCGGCGATTGAAGTCTGTTGTGTTTTTTAAAACTACTACACTACAGAAACTAAATCTAATGTAGTAGCTAGAGGCAGGTAGTATTTCAAAATGGTTCTAACTTCCAACAATAAATGGTATGAATAATTGGCTTGGCTTCGAAATCATATACTCTGTTAGATATTCATTTGTCTGTGTAAGCAAACTTTTTCTCAATGATACCATTCCCTGTCTGAATCGACATATAACGAGTTAATGATTTTTCGTGCTCAAATATTTGTCGGTGAAAGAGGCTTAAGTAACAACCTCACTATTGTTTCATCTGTTGTCTTTCTTACGTTAAATTTATATAAGGACCCCCAAATACGTTTACGTAATCTTTTGTTTTCCTTTATTGATCAAACTGTTAATCTATACTAATATTATAAAGCTGAAGAGTTTGTTTGTTTGTTTGTTTGAACGCGCTAATCTCAGGAACTACTGATCCGATTTGAAAAATTCTTTTAGTGTTAGATAGCCCATTTATCGAGGAAGGCTATAGGCTATATATCATCACGCTAAGACCAATAGGAGCGGAGCACCAATGAAGAATGTTTCAAAAACGGAGAAAAATTATTACTATTGAGAGACGCAGACGAAGTTGCGCGGGTCAGCTAGTAATATATATTATTTTAACACAAACCACTCGCTTAAACCATACAGGTTTTTATGCGAGAGGAAATTCTTAATAATTGTGATATTTAATAGCAACAACTAATGACAGCAGTAGCAATATATCCTTTATCAATGTTATATGACAGGGTGGTGATCCTGATGACTCTGAAGAAAATGGAGGCATGAAAATGGCTGATTCGGCAGGTTTCTTCCTGAGCCTGCTAATGGGTCTTTATGGAGAGATGTCGAAGCACAGCTCTGGAGGAAGTTGGCGATAATAAGGCTACAACAAAGAGTTCGCTCACTTATAAAAACTTTTTTTCAGATGAAGACAAGCTTCAGTAGAGATGCGTACTATGCCTATTTGCCAGTTCTATGCTATTATCGTGGTCGTAAGAACTGAGATAACAGTATTTACGGTTATTCAAACTGTTAGAATAAGTACCATATACATACTAAGTTAGGAGTAGCTGAAAATATTTTTTTTCGGATAGATCGAATTCGGCAATTCAAGGCAATTTTCTTTCTTTGGACACCGAGTTTACTCTAAGCCAGTAGGAAGCATGTTGCATTGTGCTAGAAATGCTACCAGCGTCATATTCTGTCCTCATATTGTTGAGGAAGTATTATTAGTGTAATATTATATTAGTTCATTTTACTTATAAAGCTAGTTGAATTAAAATTTGTTGAACTCAATGAGTTGGGAATATTCTTTATTAAAAGACTATTTTGTGTCCAAAAGGCTATATAACTTTATATACTTATAACTGTATAACTATTATACACTTTTGAAGATTCTGTTCTAAATTTATAAAGAAATAAGAAGGTAAAAAATTAAACGTCATTTACAAATAACTGGTTTATTTACTACTACCCATCACAAGCACCAAGTATGAAATTTTAGTTCGTATATTTTTTACAAATTGTAGTAAAGAACTTTTGTAATAAAGTCTTTTTAGAGCTTCTCATGAACATTTTATACATTCGAGTGGTCGCCTAGATATAGAAATTCGACCACAAATCAATATTGAGAACTATTTTTATTTGTAGCCTAAAACTCTTTTTGTTTGGTTTGAAATTGCCTTTGACTATTTAAGATTGTACAATTTATCAATTTTTTTAATTTGTACAGGCCCAGAAATCGGATGGTTCAAGTCCGCCACCTCAGTGGCCTTTGTGGACGCTCAAGATGGACATAATACGAGCCGTCGTCCAGTTCGGCACGAGCATGATTGGCCTTGCGTCTTCAGGATCCACCAGTGGCTCCCCCCCTACTCACACTTAATACTGATACGCCTAAATACTGTTAACGTTACAAGTTGGTAGGTAACGTGGATGCCATTATATGCCATATTATCATCGTTGTGAATTATGACGACCATTTTTTTATTAGAAAATCAGTAAATAAAATGATTGTATATAATTTCGTGTAATATACTCTTTTTTGTATTGATTTTGTTGGTTTTGCTTCACCATGTCCGTCTGTTTGTTCGTCCTTCCGTCTGCAGCTTAGCGACTTAATCCTAAAAGCTACAATTTCGTTTATCTTATAATGTCATGGAAAAAAAACAGTGTAGATCCCAATCATAAAATGGGGTTTTATTTTTTTCTAGTCTATCCCATAGCTACTGTTGGATAGGTCTTTCGAAAATATTGAGAGACAATAACGATTATTTTGCACTTTAACGATGCGAAAACGAAATATTAAACTTTAAAGGCTTAGTCAAACGTAAAAGCTAAACTGTTAGTTTGAAAAATCTGAAAAAAGATCTTGACGGTATCATGTACGAGTATAATGGGTTGAGAAGGAAAACCATTACGATTAAGTTAGATATTAGTTTATTGATCACCCAATTTATATAGTACTTATGTAGTACTTACTATGATTTCGAACAAAATACAAATTCCTTAGAAAAGAATTGTTTAGTATAATTAACAACTGCATTTGTTTCTGTTTTTTACGTGTGTTGTCTATACCTTATTGTTTCTTTTTTATAGTATATATATGTAAAAAATATTACCTAATAGATGATGTAATAAATATACAAAATGAAAAAAATATGTTGGTAACAGAGAGTCTATGCCCTTCTTTCTGTCACTGAAGTGATGGTCAGCTCATCGATCTGCAAAGAATAGATTTTGGTAAATCTTCATTTTACGATACAAGAATAGAAACATTATTTTAATAATTTCATTAGTAAAAAAATATCAGACATTTAGGTAGGTATTTTAGAAATTTGAAAGCTAGGACAAGTTTTGCTTTACAATAATCTATACATACAAGATAAATAATTCACCGCGTGGTGAACATCTAGAAGGCATTAGCTAGCAAAACGGCAATTAATGTATCCAATTGTAACTATTTATCAAATTTCGTCATGCCGTGGACGTCGTCTAATTGTTGTGACTTCAAGAGAAAAAATGAGTAAATGTGTATGACATTTCATTTGTAAACCGATTTTAATAATTATGTTTAATTGAATTGGTTGTAGTAGACTGGAGTCTTTAATTTTAACACTATTACATATTAACATAAAATATTCCATCCCTAAGGCTTGAATATTAAAGAATTATAAATATAGATGGCGAAATTTTTTTGAAAGTTAAACTTGATTTTAAACTACGAATTATTTATCATACTTATATTTTAAAATTAGATATCTATTTACTGTAGGTTTTGATGAGTGGATTTATTATATTTCCATCCTCCTATTTTCTTCTGATTAATTTCGTTGCGGGTTCCAAGACAGTTTATTTTTTTCTGAACTGCTCGAGTTTCTTAAACTCTGTGTGTTCGTGGGTCACTGCTGTTGATCCTGGTATGGCTATAGGTAGAGCAGTTACAGTGGTGGGCGTGTGGGAGGGATTAGTCCCGATTACTACGATGTTAAATCTAAGTTCAACCAGTTCGGTAGTGTCTTGTCTCTTGTGTGTCTGTCTTCACGTCAGTTCTGATACTTTTTTGGTTTACGGCTATGGAGATATATCTTAGTCCTGAACAAAGTATTAACTGACTATTAAACCAATACTTACGTTAACATGAGGCGGCGTTGATAACACATAAAGAACTGCGTCGGCAATATCTTCCGGTTCAAGTGCTGGGAAGTCACCCTTCAAATCAGTTAAGCCTTCCAACTCTGTGATCACCAGTCCCGGAGACAGGCTCTGTAACACATGTTATCTTTAAATAACTATTTTCTATGTACTACTATGAAAATTATAAGATAAGGTATTTTTCTATAATTTCTGCTGCATTTGACCTTTTTTGTCATTAATTAAAAGAAAAAAAAAAGAAAAAGGAAAGAAATAAAGGAATAGAAATTAGTACACTTGTGGATGGAGTTTCGGAGAATGTGTAGGAGGTAACGTATGACTTAGGTCAACGGGCTTTAATTTTAACTGGTCATGAGTTTTACTAGTCTAACTTTATCTGTAGAATTGCAATTTATTTGTGCCACTGTACGTGGGTCGGTCATTGATAATATCCATACATCGATTTCTAAGTCCCAAATTTTTGACTCAAATTTATTTAATAACTCACGGTAACTTTAATTTTGCACTTGTGGGTCGCTAACTCGTTGAGAAGGCTGGCGGTGAATGCTGTCACTGCGTGCTTAGTACATGGGTACACGTTAAACTTTTCATAGAGCGGAATATAGTGACCGGCAATACTAAAAAGAAATATGAATTATTACTTAATTATCTTGTGCACGAAATTATCGATTTTGTCAAGCAATTTTGCCGGGCTAAAAATGGGCTATAACTTTAATGCTCAAAATTGGTGACGCTTACTGAACTATTATTACTATTAATTTCAGAGTACAAGGTTTATGCGAACACCAAGTAAAGTGACGGAGATTTGTCACGAGAACATAAGTACCTGTTAATATTGATGATGTGTCCGTTGATGCCGTGGCTCTTCATAGAGTGGGCAGCGTGACGCGAGCCCAATATAGTGCCCTTCAGGTTGATGTCTAGCATAGACAGAATGGCCTCCTCGCTTAGCATATCGTTATTAGCATCTGTAAGTAAACAGCAAAATAATCATCTGCGAGACGCGGTTTTGCAATAGTAGTACAGGCTAAGAAAGTTCAGATCGAAAGAAATAAACTGGTAAAAGTATTAGTTAAAAAAAAATACTTTGGAAAAAATCGGTTCGTGGTAAGTTATTGAAAAAAAAAACGAATAGGTGCGAAAAACCGGTTTATTGATTGCGCACGGTTTTTCCAAAGCACCTATTTTTACGTTTTCGCAAATTTTGCGTAAACCTAATATTAGAGGTCTAAACGGAAGTTTATTCATGCCTTTACAATAGAACTCTAGGGACTTTGACAAACTGTGTGCAAGCATTCTGTATAGTTGATAGTTGAAAATCGAATGTTGCACATTTTTCTAAAGAAGAACCTCGTAGGTATCATATGAAAAAAGTTTCACACGAAAAACTCACACCATGAAGGTTTCATGCCAATTTAACGTATCTATTACTATACAACGGCAATTTCATACTTAAACCCTATTCTCTGCCGTAATAAGAAGTAACTTAGGCTACTTTTATTATAGAAACAATTGGGTTTGTTCGAAAAAAATATAAATATGTACCTCCACTTAATAAGTAAGTATGAAATCAAACGAAATCCAATTAATAGGAAATATGCATGTCTTTTTTATTTTTTTAAACGTTTCTACTTGTTTTTACATTACCAAAAATAAATATAATACACCCGCAATATAAACCATTGAGCTAAAAAAAATACAAAAATCACCATCATTCTCGAGCGATTTAAACGCGGCCCAGTGGAACGTGGTGACTCTGAGGGCCAAGTGCGAGTTTAATTTACATCAATTCGGTCTCGACAGCGAGCGCGTTCGGCGTTGCAAATTGGTTAAGATTTCAGTGCGGGCCAATCGCATCTCTGAACGCAGTCACCGTGACGACGAGTAGATTTGAAAAAAAAAACTCGCACTTGGGCCTCTGAATCTTTGTCTTTGGCATAGACACGTCAAAACCCTACCGGCTTAATATTTTTCTTTAAGAAAGAAAGTAAAAAGTTTGATTTCAATCTAAACAATTTTTATAATGATAAGGGAACTTATTTTATGTTACAATAATATAAGAACTTAATTTATTTTATTTGTTACCTTAATGTATGTTTTCTCGTGAACTAGTGATTTTACTCAACACTACTAGCTATCATAGGAATAAAACTTCAAACATAGTTAAATTAATGGGAATATCTAAATCTGTTTTGCTTGCTATATTATTGGTGCCGATCTGATGTAACTAACAAAACTAATTTAGATCTAAATATTAATATAATTTTACTGGAGTACTGAGATATTACGTCCCTACCAAAGACATACACGGACCTTATCGGTGTTACCTTATGGGGGACTACCCACGTTCCGTCTTCCGGTAAGCGTTCACCACTCGCTAACCTTTTGGCCATTTGATCATTTCTACGAGCAAATAAGGAGGAGAGGGCAATGCTCGGAGTTTCTCTGCGTGATCAGATCAGGAATGAAGAGATCCGCAGATGAACTAAGGTCACTGAAATTGCCTGGAGAATTGGTAAACTGAAGTGGCAGTGGGTGGTGATTGTTTATTTAATATATATTATAACGTTGCGCATGGTGACGCGTCGCCACACCAAATTACATGTTACATTACTACCATTATATTACTACTCCATATAAGATGTTTCACTTCAAAATAACATAATTTGTACGAACAACGTCGCCGCTTCAAATAATAACGATTAAAAATGATATTGTATAACTGACCGGTGATGCTGCCGCAACGATTAACGCCAGCATTGTTGATCATGATGTGAACAGCGCCGACGGTATCCTCGATCCACTTGAAAGTGTCCGACACTTCTGACGAGTTAGATACATCGCACTTCCTTGATATTATTGTTCCTGTACCACGCACTTTTGAGTTTAATGCCTTAAAAAAAAATTATAGACATTACAAATAGATAATATATTTATATTATTTCCTTGTTTTTTTTTCTGGCCTGTTGGGCTAGTGGGTAGAAATCCTACCTAAGAAATAATTGTGTGGCCCTTAACGAACATTTGTTCTATGTCTGGATGTAGTTTATCTCTAGGTTGTGTTTATCCGAAATGTGGTTACTACAGTACGGTTCTGCTTTTTTTGGGAGCAGACTTTTAAATATTTATATTTTTAGATTGTTTACTGTTGGTAGGTAATTAATAATTATCTTTATAATTTTGTCAATGTTATCGGGAAAGTGCGAAACAAATTTTCAATTTAATTTCGAATAAGACAATGAGTCTATTAATTAAAAGTTTTATTAAAACTAAGGTAACCCTAGGAGAGACATGCTTCGGCATATGTGGACCGACTGGAGTGATATCATAGTCTCTTAGTTTCCGTTTAATCTCAATGCTCTATAAAATGTATAGTAACAGTACTTACGTGGATTCGTTCTGCACGTCTGGCAAGCCCGACAACACGAATGCCTGCATCAGCCAGAGCCACGCATGTGGCGGCGCCGATCCCTGAACTCGCTCCCGTTACTACCGCCGTATTACCGATCCAACGGTCCATAGCTAGAGAGCTAGGAGACATAAATAATATTTAAATTGCTTGCCTATAACTACATACTTTTGACTACTATTACAAAAACAGGAGAATCTCTGACACCCGCATGTGATTTCCCTGTTTTATTGTTATCCCAAGCATCCATGCTATGCTTAGAAAAACACTAAAATTAAAGTAGTTGCGGTTGCTGCACAATCTGCTGCACCCAACATGCATTAGTAATTTAAGGGGTGGGTTTATAAAATGTAAAAAGACACAAAATTAGATATTAAGTCTTGTTTACGGTTACAAGCTGCAGTTACACTTAGCCCTTTTATTTTATTTTTCTGTGCGGAAATCCCCTTTGGATACCACCCACCGGTGGCTATGTCGGACTCGAACCGACGAGGACGGAGGTCGTTCTGCGACTGCTGGCGCTTGTTTATTTTTTACTCGTAATACGTAATATTTTTTACTCATATTTAATGTTTAAACAAAAATAATATGAACTTTGCTTGCAATCTTTAAAAACCAGTTATTTCATTTTATCCTACCCGGCGTGTGGTACCCGTACAGGTATTTAAACAGCAATTTTTTTAATTGCCTTTCCTGGTACCTAAAGTAACTCCAAGTTTTTATTAATCTCTTCAGAAACTTGGGGTAGTAGTCCGTTTAATAATAGAAATAAGCTCTCAGTCTTTCCGAAACATATTCGGTTCATCAGCTTCTAACTAGACCTTGTACTCGTACATTAGTAGAGAAAATAATGTTAGACATTTTAATACGGGAGACATTTATTTAAATTTATTTTATAACTATTCCTTGTTATATATCTTAGCTTTGGTTTTGTTAATAGCTCAGTAAGAATAAGCCTGTGGATCGGTTTTTCAACGTGGCGGTTCCTGTTTTCATAATAACAAACATTTACAACATCAAAAAATATTTCTTATTGTAAGTGTAATAAAACAGATAGTTTATTAATATTGGAACGTAATTTGTGAGAGGTTATTTGTATATTATTGCATTATATATACTGCCTTGATTGTGCAGTGGTAGCGTATACGGCACTTGTGTTGAAGTCTCGGGTTCGATTCCGGGTCCTCAGTAATATATAGTTGTATTATCTAATAATAAATATTTGCATGATCTGCAAATATTTGTTTTGGAGTTTGGGTGTTTTCTATGTATAATATGTATGTATTTACAAAAAAAAAGTATATAGGTATTCTATCAGTCAATCTAGCTTTCATAGTAAAAGCTCTGCTTAGTTTGAAACTAGATGGCTGTGTGTCAGATGTCCGAAATATTATTATTATATAATGTTCTAAATAATGTTCAATAATAAAATATTCACTAATCTGTAACCGTTTCATTTAAACCATAGTCAATATTGTTGTGTATCAATATCTCAGACCCGGCTTCATTTCGTCAAAAATCGAAGTTCAGCTGTATCGTAAAAGACCCAACCTAGTTTAGGAAGGAAAGTGTTAACATTTAAAATGCATTTTATATTGTTAGAAACACATAAAAATGAAAGTTCTAGAATATTTGTGTTTTTCTATGGTTTTACCTTCTAGCCAAGTTAGAATTATTACAGGTAAGTCATCATCATCATCAGCCTATCGCAGTCCACTGCTGGACATAGGCCTCTCCCATTGCACAGGTAAGTATTTGCTTGTAATATTATAAAGTCATGCAACAAAAATATATAGTTGGTTGACGTTTGAAATTTTCAAGCAAGTTCAAATATGTGCAACGAAAATATAAAAAATAATCTTACAAATTTGAAACAAATGTATTATTTCTTAAAAATAGTAACACCTTTTACTTACTGATAAATTACTGCAGTATACTGAACTGGTAGGTTGCACACTCACAGAGCAAGTCATACTGATTGTTACGGCCAAGAACAACGACAGCCTTGCATGAACACGTAGTATTGGCCAAAGTCACAAGCGTTTACACAACAAACAACAATTTTACTCAACATTATCGGTTAAAGACCTTATTATAGCAATCGGTAACTGGTACATTTCATTACTCACCAAATACTACACTACCTACACCAACAATCAGTGGGATGCAATAAATATGCGAAGCCAGGTCTGAGATATTGATATCCAACAATATTGACTATGGTTTAAATAAAACGGTAACAAATTAATGAATATTTTACTATTCAACATTATTTAGAATATTATATAATAATAATATTTCGGACATCTGACACACAGTCATCTAGTTTCAAACTAAGCGGAGCTTTTACTATGAAAGCTAGATTGATTGATAGAATACTAGTGATTGATTTTTAAATAAAACAAATTTTAGTTTTATAGAGCGTTTATATCGGTACATACATAGTAGACTGTAACGGCAATCATAACTATTATTAAATGATTAAACAGTGTGTTCTGTAGACTTCTTTGAAATAAACGAGTAGTATGAAAACAAAAACACTAGGGAAGGAATAAAACCCAATCACCTGTGATAAATCATTTGTAAATTATATAATCACACCTGCGACGAATTTACAAAATCACTGGATCTTATTGTTAATATTACGATAAAAATTTAAATAATAATAATAGTAATATTTGATTAAAAGAATTTAGATTGATTTTGATGGTATTTATCTTTGTCTATGACCGAATGATAACCACATGTGAAATGGCAGTGACTACTCGTAAGAGCAATCATTTCATCATTTGATTCTGATTTAATAGTAGCAATAATTTCCAAGTCTAATGAAATACTGTGTAACCGTTATAATACGTATATATATATATAATACGTAATCTTACAATTAGTGTGATTGGAATTGCACTTAAAAGAATAATATGCAGTTGCATGATTTATTTTTTGCTTTATTTTTTTAATGTTTTTTTACGTCTATAGTGTAGGATCTTAAGGAAAAACATTACACACATTCTTTTACACGATAAACTGGGTGCTTGACACGTGTCGACCGCACTTCACAGATGCTTATGTCGCGGCAAGATCTTTGAATTGATCACATCAAGATGTGATGAGTAATGAGGAATAAACTAACTCAAAAAATAGATATAAACAAATTTTGGAGTGGATTGTAGGTATATCGTGTCAAAATTTGATCTCAATCGGCGCAAAACTTTTTGAGTTTTTGAAGCGTACACAAACTAACTAAACATTTTTATAGATATCGATTTTAAGATATTATTTATTTGCATTAAATGAATTATTGATCATATCATCATGTGGTCTGGCCAGATTCACAAAATCACTTCCACAGATTGCAGGAAGATCAGTAATACAGATCAACAAAAAAAATGTATCTATACTATTCTTCCTGTGACGGAAGTAATGGTCAGCTCCTCGATCTGCAAAAGAATTTTATTATTGTAAAATATTTTATGATTCAAGAACATTGTCACGAAAAATCACGCACATTCCAGAAAAATCATTTCACCGCGCAATACCGGCAATCATTTTAATAATAATGCAGGCTGACACGGAATAATGAATTTGCTTCCAATACGTATAAGATCGAAAATAGATTGTCGCGAGATTATCTTGTTTACATCTGAAACGAATTCATTTTTTTCAGAAGCGGACAGTTCACGTAGGGATTGGAGTCTGCTAGAATGTTCCTTTACGAGTTGTATAAATACAGGCTGTCTTCGTCTATGAGTTAAGTCCAGTTCGAGCTACAGTGGGATAAACATCGAAGCGATTGAAGCGAATAGAAGTGTGAAGAAGCGACCTCGGTGATCATTCCGGACTATTCTTCAGTGTTTTTAAATGTAGTGATAATTGAGTCTCTTTAGTCATCAGAAGGTTTACTATTTCAAATCAACGAACCTTGACACGTAAAAATATAAACCTTATTAAACGTTTATTTATTTATATTCAGTATCCTTATTATTGAAAATAATGGCGTAAGGACCATCTTAAGCGGTTTATAATTAAAAAATACTGTCCTACATTTTCTGCATATTTTAAAGCTAGAAGTTTTGCTCTACAAAATTATGTTAGCTGTAAACAACTAGCAGGAGTGAGCAAGTAAACAGAAATAAAAAATTGTATTTATCATATTTCATAACGCCGTCGTTGCCGTTAACCGAACGTAAAAAATAAATTTCCCAATTCGACTGAATATGTGTATGTTATGACATATCTTCACCATTTGTGAATCGATTTAAAAAATTATGTTTCCCTTTACATTTGAGGATTTTAATACACCATCTGTAAGAATTGGCAAAAAACACTCGAACAGTACAGTTGGTACCTGCTACTTTTTTAATGTTAATTATTTAATACATAGTCTAATCTTATTTTTCAAAGTCAAAATTAAGTTCAGTAGTACTCTTTTTTATGTTATTTCATTTTCGCCACGGTTTACTTAGATATATATGTATGTTAGTAGTAAACATAGTATTAATTAAGTATCAAACAAATACTAACATTAACACGAGGTGGCGTTGACAACACATAAAGAATTGCGTCGACTATATCTGCCGGTTCGAGTGATGGGTATTCACCGAGAATGGGAGCTACGCCTTTCAAATCTGTCATCACCAATCCCGGAGACAGGTTCTGTAACACATTAAATTTTGTCAATTTTTTATCCCTAATTTTGTTGACGTTCGCCCATCTTTTTTTTAACTTACAGTAACTTTAATTCTGCATTTGTGACTTGCAAACTCGTTGAGAAGGCTGCTGGTAAATGCTCTGACTGCGTACTTAGTGCATGGGTACACGTTGAACGTAGCACGCGGAATATAGTGGCCGACGGTACTATCAAGAAATACAAAAAATACTTGATTATTTCAGACTGATATCTCTTTCTGATCCAAATTCATCCAAATCAACTTGGCCATTCTAGCGTTTTTGAGTACCTACCTAACTTTTATAACCTCAAATTTCACATTTGAAATTATACTAAAATTTAACTCATCATCATCAACAGCCTTAATTTGTCAACTCCTTTACATAGGCCTCTCCTTAAAAAAGAGGTTTTGGTATTATTTATGTACATATGTATGGATATATGTATATATATATTGTGTTTTAATATTTATATATTATTTAACTATTATTTTTATGTATACCTAATGTATCTATATAGTATAATTTTGTAATAGATTTCAATTAGCCATTTATCTTATTAGCTTTAATTTTACACTTGTCACACACAGCTTTGCATCACCCATAGGTCGAATGGCAGAAAACGCCTATGGCGTTAAGTCCGCCTTATGTAATGCATTTGCAGGAAGTGTGCTATCCAATTAAATTGTATGCAATACTAAGCTAAAAAATGTTTTGGAAACAAATTTCTAACTTTTATGCTCAAAATTAGTGACGCTCACGTGTTTACACGTACACTCAGAATAATGACGGGGATTTGTACGAAAATAAGTACCTGCTAATATTGATGATGTGTCCGTCGATGCCGTGGCTCTTCATAGAGTGGGCAGCGTGACGCGAGCCCAATATAGTGCCTTTCACGTTGATGTCTACCGTGGACAGAACGGCATCTTCGCTTAGTATGTCGTTACCAGCATCTATGGGTAAACACTACTACAGTGAAATCTGGAGGTTTGCGCAATTCTTTCAAAGTGAAATCCTACGTGACCGGTATGCAATAACGTTGGTTTTTAAGTAATGCGATGGTTTGCGACAAAATTTGTAAGTACCAAAATTTTACTTAATTTTCAACTTTTTTTATTTTTTGGAATTATTCCTTTGTTTGTGCTATAAGACGTTTCTTTTTGCCAAATTTCGTGATTCTAGGTCAACGGGAACTACCATATAGATTTTCGACCCAAAACCTATAGGTTACTTCCGGTTAACCTAAAATTGACAATTTTGGTTAAAAGCAAGGTCTTACAGCACAAGTAAAGAGTAAATTCTGAAAAATAAAAAAGTTGAAAATTAAGGTCAATTTTGGTACTTGGAACTTTTGGCGAAAATCGAAATTTGCTCATATCTTTTTATGGTGTTGACTCAGGACCCTGATTTTTATACTAACTAATAGGGCCATAGACCTCAGTTTCTGGTATAAATTTCAACTTGCTAGGTCTACCTACCTTGCTAGGTCTAGGTTCCTGAGAAAATCGGTGGTGACACACGGACAGATGGACTCCAACATATATATACCTACTTGTACAAACCGCTCTAAGCAATAATAATGAAAAATAATATTGTGTAACTTACCGGTGACGTCGCCACTATGAAAAACCCCTGCATTGTTGATCATGATGTGAACACCACCGAAGGTATCCTCGATCCACTTGAAAGTGTCCGACATATCTCTCGCGTTAGATACATCGCACTTTCTTGATACTACTGTTCCTGAGCCACGCACTTTTGAGTTTAATGTCTGAAAAAGAAATATAGACAGCGTAATACATGTTTACATTATATTATTATTATACATCGTATTTCAATTCATCATCACCCTGATCACACAGGAAGTAATTGTGAGATGAGTGCGATCGTAGTTGTGTAGTACTAGTTTGGAAGACAGCCGAGTGACAGGTTCAGAGTGTTTAGACGGCCGCGTGTGTGACGTTTCAAAATATTATTATTATCATTCACACCTACAGATTATTTCAACATTAAGATATCTTACGCTTAGATACGCATTAGACAGGATACAAATGTCTCTAGTTCTTAGTGGAAATTTAAAAAACGATTGTTAGAACAGTTGTGTTAGACCGTAAGAATTCCCTTTGCAATTAGTAGTCTACGGTTAGAATGATAAACACTGACTTCGCTAGGAATATCACTGGTATTCGTCAAAACGATAACCAGAATAGGCATGATGACAGATTTTGGAATACCTTTCTACAATAGCTCTGAAGTGTCATTTCGTCTGCGATGACGTCACGCCTAAGTAATTAAAACATCTGCGCTCAATGAAGCGGGTTTTGTGTGTTAAAAATGAATTCCAAAATTTAGAAGTGGTGTGCGGTACCTGATTGCAAAAATACATCAGTAGCAACACCTTACAAATTGTTTGTTTACGTTCCAAATAAGAAAAAAATGATAGATACATGTCTAAAACTAGCGCGGCGAGATCCAGCAGGTGTAGTTACGAATTGTAGGATGTATTCCCCATAAATTTGACTGCTAACCAGATAGAAAGTCACGAACATGTAATACCGTAGACCGACCATATATAAGTAAAAAACTAAAGATGATGACTCTTGAAGAGTGTGAAAAGCAATCGGAAGAAAGTAATATGGTTACAGAACATTTGAATTTTGAAGAAATTGAATCAAAGAGTTCACAGGTACTTATATATTTTTAAGATTGCTGTCATGTGTTTTATTATGGTTTAAAGAAACAAGAAAGTAAAAAATGTTAAAGTGAATCTAATTTATAAAAAATAACAAGTTGGAATTAAATTATTTTAATGTTTGGTATTTTTGGTTATAATGAAAGTCAATAGCTAATGAGGAGATAACTCCGAAAAGTGTGTTAACCGTCTGTGTATTGTTACTTTTTCTATAGTATTGTATACACATGTAAAGAATACATAATTTATTGTGATATTTTGTTGACAGTTCAACACAATCCTGAAAAAGCTTCTTCCAGCAAGCAGCCAACGACATCAAAAATGATAGACAAATCAATACAAGTCTATATGACAAAATCATTCAGAAGTAAAGATAGATTACCGCCCTTAAAGTGAACTTTACATATGATATTTAAAACGTTAAGAAGGTTAACAATAAATATTAATAAAATGTACTCACAAAGAACCTTTTACATTTCGATATTCAGATATTTATTATTATTATTATTATTATATATTTTGAGTTTGTTAATCTCCCTGAAAGGGGTATAATTATCTAATTTCACGGGCCATAGCCAAGTGTAATCAGAGTTTAGCTAATGGTGTATGTAGATGAAACTGAAGATGTGGTGAGAAATTTCCGTGTAAGTCTGCAGGTGTTCAGTAAAACCGCTTTCTGGAGTAGTTGTAGGGAATGTTGTGGCATTTCTAAAATGTCTAAGCTACGTTGAAGGCTTTTAGGTATAATTCCGGTTGACGATATGACTATTGGAACTATATGGATGTTTACTGCTCGCCACTGCCGTTTCAATTCTATTGCTAGATCCTGATACTTGGTTAGTTTTTCAGCTATTGTAGATTGGACGTTATGAGTGTTCGGTACTGCTATGTCTATGAGGTATATAATTTTGTTTACTTTGTCGTGAAGTGTTATGTCTGGTCTATTGAAATGAATGGTCTTGTCCGTTAAGATGGTTCTGTCCCAGTATATTTTAAGGTTATTATTTTCTAGTACTGTCTCTGGCTGGTATTTGTAATAAGGTATCTTTTTGTCTATAAAGTGATGTTTGTGAGCAAGATGTTGGTGTACTATGGCGGCTACTTGGTCATGTCGATGTTTGTAATCGGTTTGAACAAGAGATTTGCAAGCTGAGGTTATATGTTGAATGGTTTCGGGGCAGGCATGGCAGCGTCTGCAGGCGTCTGAGGGCAGATTTTGTGCGCGTATTATATGCTTTTGGTAGTTTCGCGTATCAATGACTTGATCTTGGATTGCTGTCACGAATGCTTCTGTCTCAGGGAACAGATCTCCACGCCGCAGCCATTCGTTCGACGCAACTATGTCGACGTTAGGTTGCTGCAGGTCGTGGCGATGTCTGCCGTGTAGGGATTTCTGCTGCCATATGGTAACCTTTTCCTTGATTTCAATAATACGTTCATTGCATTGTGGATTTTGATCTGCTAAATTAAGTGGGGTGAAGCGTCTGTCTGAATGCGTTACAACTTCGTGTAGTGTAGAGTGTTGTGATCGTTGCTGAAAGTACTGTCTGAGTGATGTGATTTGTCTGTTGTGTAAATTGGAAACATCTATTATACCCCGTCCGCCTTCCTCTCGCGGGAGGGTTAATCGTTGTATGCAGGATCTAGGGTGGTGTTTTCTGTGAGCTGTTAATGTCGTGTTTATAGTGCGTTGAAGTTTCGTGAGTTCAGTTTTGGGCCATCTTATTATACCGAAAGAGTAGATTAGAACGGGGATTGCGTAGCTATTGATCGCTTTAACTAGGTTACGTGAATTGAGTTGAGAACGGAGTATGATATTAAGCCTATGTTTGAATTTCTGTTTAAGAGTGTCTTTTGTTACGTTTTGATTAATTTGTCTGTCTTGCTGAAATCCTAAATATTTGTATGAATTGTGTGGTTCTAGAGGTTCAATTGTTTCTCCTGTCTGTAGCATGTAGGTGCTCGAAGTAATTTCTCCATTAATTACTGAAAAAGTTTTACACTTATCAATTCCAAATTCCATATTAATGTCGTTTGAAAAAGCTTGTGTAATGTCTGCTAGACAATGTAGTGACTCTATGTCATTTCCATATAATTTTATGTCGTCCATGTACATGAGATGTGTAAGGTTTGTTTGTTTTTGAGGTGTAGTGATGGTGTAACCTAGACGGGATTTATTCAATATATGAGAAAGGGGATTGAGAGCTAGGCAGAACCATAGGGGGCTAAGCGCATCACCTTGAAAGATGCCTCGGCGTATCGGGATTTTAGGTGTTTCTGTGTTGGAGTGTCCTTTGATATTTAATGTCGTGGTCCAGTGTTGCATCGAGTTTTGTAGGAAGTCAATTATCTTTGGATGAATTTTATAAAGTTGCAGGACATGAAGTAGCCAGCTATGTGGGACAGAATCAAAAGCTTTCTTATAGTCTATGTACATGGTACTTATATTTATCTTTTTCGAAATTGCTAGTTTCATTGCCACTGAGTCTATTACTAGCTGTTCTTTGCAACCTTGACTATTTTTACGGCATCCCTTCTGTTCTTCTGCAAGGATGCTGTTTTCGATGGCGTGTTGATGAATTATTTCCGCAATGCATGCTGTAATTATTTTATATATTGTTTGTAAACATGTGATAGGGCGATATTTAGCTGGATTCTGGTAGTCTGTGTCTTTTGGAATCATGTAGGTGAGGCCTTCAGTTATATAATGTGGCATTACGTCTGGTGTCTCAATGAAAGTGCTAATGTGTTTATGTAGGAGAGGATGAACAGATGTAAATTTCTTATACCAGTAGTTGTGAATATGATCGCTGCCGGGTGCCTTCCAGTTGTGCAGTTTTTTCAATACATTTATGAATATTTCTACAGGAATTTGTTCAAAATCCATATGGCTAATAGAGTCTGTTAGGGAGGTATTGTTCTGAAGCCATTCAGCTTGTGAATTATGAAGTATAGGTTTTGACCAAATATTGGACCAGAAGTTATGCAGTTCATCAACCGGTGCTGTTACTGAATCTTCCATATTTTTATTTGTATATTGTGTTGTGTTTGAAGCTAAATGTCTATAAAATTGTTTTTCATTGTTAGTGAATTCGTTGTTTTGTGTTTTTCTGAGTGTACAGTTTATATATCTTTTTAATCTACTTGTAGCTGCATTCAGTTTTTGTTTGAGAGTATCGAGGAAATGTTCGTTACTTAGATTAGGTTCTTCATGCTGTGAATGGATTTGATGTTTATCTTTTATTATTTCAACTAATCTTCTAACTCTATCGCTGCTATTTCCTCTTATATATTCTGTCATCCTTCCAATATCTTTCCTTAACTTTTGTATTTTATTTTGTAACCTTTTCTGCCAGGGCGGTATTTTTGCTTGATTTTGAGTAACAGGTGTGATATTATCTTTAATTTTAGATCCATTGCAGGTAGCTGCCGTGTAGGCGGCACAGTAAATAATGGCTTGAGTCATTAAAAAATCTTGTTCAAGGGAAATGTGGTTTGGCAGTATTTCGGTGTCAATGAAATGGACTATTTTTGTGAGTTTCGTAGATATTTTTTGTTTTGGTATATATGGTCTAGTCGTTGGGTCACTATATCTGAATTTAAGTACAGCAGTCTTAAATTGTTCTTCAATTTTATTAGGCTCTAAAGATGTGGATTTGCAATTTTGTGATAGCAATGGTTGGATGAATAAATCTGTCTCCATGCTGTTTATTTCTTGTTGTGATTCAGCTGTTGGTGTCATGTATTGTGTTTGTGTAATGCAGTATTCTTGATCAGTATTTTGAAGATCAGGGGTACCTGCTATTTCGTTACGTATTTCCTGCTGTCGTTGTTCACTAATTAGTTTGTTTTTTAGGATTACTCTGAGTTGATCGGATATCCTTTGTTCGCTAACTCCTGACAAATCAGGGTGTTCTGCAATAACTGCTTGATAAAGTGGTTTACGATAGGCTGTTCTATTTGATCCTAATTGTGTGATTTTGTAGTAGTTTTTAATAATTGATTCGTTATATTCAGTTGTCCATCTTCTTCTCTGTGTTTGCTTATTTGAATCGTGCGCCCGCGTACTTGTATATGGTGGTATCATGCAATTGGTTTGTGTATGTTGTGTTTGTTGTAGATAAGTAGAAACTTCATCTTTAATATTGTCTAATACCTGTTGAGGTAGAAGTTTGTTTCTAATTATAGCTCGGCATTGATCTCCCAGTCTTTGTTTAGATGCCTGCATGTGTGGGTATGTTTGTGTGAATTCGTGGTGTAGGTGGTTAAGGTATACTTTGCTAGTATTTAATTTTGTAGCTATGAGATACGTGCGCCAGATGAATTCGTTAATTTCTTGAGACCATCTCTTTCGCGTACGGTTTGTGCCTGAGGCGGATGCAGGTGTAACGGCATGTGCCCCCTGCACAACATCCTCAGACAAAGTTGATTCAGTAATTGATGACGTTGAAGACTTATAAGATAATGAGGATGAAGGAGGTGATTCGAATGAATGAAATGGTGATGGAGTCAATGGGGTATCGCTTGAGTTATCGGAGTCCTCATGGATAGCTAGAGTCGTTTGACGAGTTCTTCTTCCCACCCGGAGATTCTTTGCACCCCTGGGCTCAGTCCCAGGCTGGCTATCGTCGTCACCATGACTGGTACTGGGTCCGCCGGGCACTTGGGGCCGTTTCGTACTGCTTCTTGTTAAGACCATGTTTCTTCTTCTGGGTTTGGGACCGTTAGTTAGAAAGGGTCAAGCCAAGCTGTTGTTGGCTTTTCGTTATAATGATTGTACCTCCTGTTACAGGGTATAGTCAAGTTCTTAATGACCGTGTACTAAGTTCATGCCTTCCCGTAAGCCCCCCCACCACGCCAAGGTGGTCCCCCGGGGGGGTTATTATTATTATTATTATTTGATGAAAGAAATTCTCCCAACATCAACAAGTCCATCCTGGGCAAATTAGAGCTATTTGCCTTAATAACACCTTGTTCCATCGTCGATGACTCTTGGATCTTTTATCTTTATCACAATAACCACGAATATTTATATATATATAACCAGAATAATAATATTTATATAACCAGAAATTAACTAATTAAATGATGCAACAACAATTGGAAAGCGTAAACACAAACAAAATTCGAAAGATTTTGTGATGTTTACTTAGGCTTGACGTAAATTGCTCTGATTGGTGTTTCAGCTAAGATGGCTGATTAATATTTTTATACTTTTACTAGCTGACCCGCGCAACTTCGTCTGCGTCTCTCAATAGTAATAAATTTTCTCCGTTTTTGAAACATTCTTCATTGGTGCTCCGCTCCTATTGGTCTTAGCGTGATGATATATAACCTATAGCCTTCCTCGATAAATGGGCTATCTAACACTGAAAGAATTTTTCAAATCGGACCAGTAGTTCCTGAGATTAGCGCGTTCAAACAAACAAACAAACAAACAAACTCTTCAGCTTTATAATATTAGTATAGATTTTATTAAAACCTTATAAATCTGGGTGTTTTAATTCAAACTATGTAATTTTGCAAAACCCTTTCAATATTTTTTTTTAACTTTTCAACCATTTATTCTATAATTCTTTAACACTGTCATCATGCCTTTTTTTTTAACGTCTGGAAATCCCCTCGGACCGTCACCCCACCGGGGTTTGCGGCGAGGTGGTGTCGGACTCGGACCGACTAAAACCTCACGGTGTGCCACTTTGCGCCTGCAATAGGAGGGATCCGGGAACAGCTGTTATTAAGACATCCGGACCCCTCCTAGCGCCGGCCACACTCAGGGCGGCATGAGGCGGTGATAAGCGCGCCTCCGCCGCCCTGTTCGCCGGCGGCGGATCGGGTCCGAGTGGAGATCGTCCTCCCGGGCCTTCTCCGCCGCCTCCTTCTGCGAGATTACTTCCTCGCAGAAGGTTGCGACCGCGGTAAAACAACTGTCGCTACCGGCCATGGAGCGTACTACGGCCGGTAGCGAGAGATCCAATCCGATGACTGCAGTGAGGGCCCGGCGCTGCGCCGCCCATGCGGGGCAGACCGCCAGCGTGTGCTGGGCCGAGTCCTCACTGCAGTCGCAGTGGTGGCAGGCGGGACTCAGTTCCCTCCTAGCGACCGAGTGCAGGTACTTTCCGAAACAAACGTGCCCGGAAAGCACCTGCGTCAGCCGGAAGGTAAGGGTCCCGTGCTGCCGCCCTGCCCACTCGGCGATGACCGGCTGGAGAGCCTCCACGGCGGCGAAGCCAGCGCGTGGAGTCTCCAGCCGGAACGACCAACGAGCCATCGTGGCTCGGCGAGCGGCTTCGCGCCACTCGCGCACGTCTTCGGGCGGAGGGCGAAATCCGCTCTCCGCCCGGGAGTCAGCCACTCGCCGATAAACTTCGGCGAGCACTTCCGCCTCCAAATCCCACGGGGGAGTTCCGGCCAACGCGCACGCCACCTCCGTCGAAACGGTGCGGTAACCGCGTATGGCTCTGACCGCCATTACCCTCTGAGGGCGCCAGAGGACTGTCATCATGCCTATTACAAGCATAACTGTGACAGAGTGAAGTGGGATCCTTTATTCCAACTATTTCCAACTTACTGGGATGTGATATTCAGTTGCAGATCTATTGCCGGAGGGTCCTGGTGTAAGGATTATTCCCTGCTGTTTGCAGTCGATTTTACTGAATGGTAATCTTGGTAGGTTGAAATGAAACGATAGAGTATAGTTTAGTGCTTAAAAATAATTACTGTTGGTACATAATTTTATAATTTAATAACGTAGGTGACGTTAACGGGAAATTTTCGAAAAAACTAAAGTAACTTGTGAACGCGTATCGCCCTGTTTAGACTAGAAATTCCAAAGGTCGATTAATGTTGAAACAAAACCTCTGAACATATTATGTATGTTTATATACGACAAAAGTAAAATGTGTCACATTGAGTATATATCCAAGCTTAAGGAGGTACGGAACAGTACTTACGTCAATTAGTTCTGCACGTCTGGCAAGCCCAACGACACGAATGCCTGCATCAGCTAGCGAAACGCATATGGCGGCGCCAATCCCTGCACTCGCTCCTGTCACCACCGCTGTCTTACCGCACCAACGGTCCATAGCTAGAAACTAGAGCTATTATTGAAATTGAACACGTCATTTCAAAAACCCAAGTCACATTTTTTTTCAAACATGTAAATACTTCGACGTATTCTGGGTATGAACCACGTGTCTCATACATTCCTTTCTCTTAAAATCTAGGTAATAGATGTTCATTATATGAATAACGTAAGTCACTAACTTAACGGGTTGGTGGTCACCACTTGAAGTCATTCATTTTTACCAAATGACCGTGATATTGGAACAAAGAAACGTGTTTGTCGAAAACATGATCGTATTTGCGCCCGGACCTTACATTTCATTAATATGGCTTCGAAATAAAGCTCAAAATTTGCAGTCAAAGCTAAACACTAAATAAATTTTAGACTTTAAACAATATATTTATAGTTACGTAACTTATGTCCCAAAAGTTCGACAAACATAAGTTTTCAATATGATACAGATAAAAAGTACTATCATAGCCGAGGAAATGTAAAGTATGGATGGATTAATTAAACATTTATTCATTCTAATAAAACACTTACAACTTCTGTTCAATCAACCAAGGCTAATGTTTAAGAGTGCCCAATTTATTTATATTTTTAAAGTTTTTTATTTTGAATCATACTACATTATGATTTTGGCGCCCCCTGACTTTCAGGGGGTTTATTATTCTGGTTAGGTCTCTTAATCATCACTCAGATTTGTGTCAAGTTTTCCTTCTCTTTGCAGTGCTGTTGTCCTTCGTAGTTTGTCTCTCTGTTTGTCTCTCCCTTAGTCGGCTCTTACGACACCCACGGGATGATTGGGGGTGGGGACAATTCGTATTCTTAATCCGTCACCAAACGGACAAATATACAGATAGGCAGTTTTTCGTATATTTTACCAGCCACTAGCATTATTTTCAATTGTTTAGTAAAAAACATGTAGTTTCTTTAGACTATAAGCGATGAAAGCTAAAATATTTTAATAATCGTCCCTTCACTTTTATTTTAAAGTTAGAAAAGATGACAGGTCTGAAATGACAGGTCGCCATACATAATTTTATTTGAACTGAAATGGTAGCGTTTAAATATCTAAAATGCCTAAAACTTTAGAGAATTTATTCTTGACCATTCTCATAACAAAATTACTAGCGAAAGAAGTCTAGGAAAAAAGATATTGGATTTTGAATGTTTAGAGGTTAAGTACTAAAATATTGTCAATGTTTTGTTTGAAATTAAATGGAGTTGTGTCTCATATACACATAGCACAACAACAACAACCCTTTTTTGCTGTTGAAAGTGTTAGCCGACTCTCTAAGAGGGTGGAGGTTATTTTACCAGTACATGGTAAAACAAAAGAAAACGTCTTCGTTGTGTAATACTAGCTATGAATAAATAAATCAAGAAAAAAATAATTAACAATAATAATTCGAATAATTGTACTTGTATTTATGTAATTTGTTTTCTATTTAAAAGAGATTTTCATTGTTATCACATTAAAATTATCTTTTACTTCACATATCATTGTCTAGTGCCCCTAGTCACACATTTCAGCACCACCCTAAGGTAGACTGGGAGAAAATGCCTGTGGCATTAAGTCCGCCATTGTAAAACTCATACTTGTGCATAAAGAAATAAAATAAAATAAATAATACAATTTTAAAATATTATAAATGTTTTTCAATTGTTTTTCTTTTAACAGTCAAGTAGTTAAAATTAAATAGATTGATAATATTAAGAAGCTTTAAACATAATTTTCTACATCTGAACTTAATAAGGAAAAAAAATGTATTAGATTTGCAAGATTCCAAGTTATTTAAATTCTGTCTGTACATATAAAGTAAAACATAAAGTAGTAAATAATTACTTACTAATAAATTATTTCGGCAGTGGTAAGTTGTAAGTCCAACTCACAATGCTTGCTCCGGCCAACAAAATACAACAGACTCGACAACTGCAGTCACAAGCGAATACGCAAAGAACAATTTACAATTTTCATAAATACTATCGGTAAACGGTAGCATTATATCTACCTTTTTCATTTTGTTGCAAACTAAACGTCACACCAGCAATCAGAAAGTCGTAGTAGGTATACAATAAATCGTTAGTGATACAATGAGCGGACTTATCGAAGGTTGCGTTTTTTTCTAGACAATCTTTAGATATAGATTAAGTAATTAATAAATAAAATGGGAAGATTGGGGTTTTCTACTACGCAATAAACGCATATCGGTATCCTTTGTACAAAGATTGTTAGAAAAATTTGGAACTAATTTTGCTCTAAAGTGACTTCCTGAGAGCTTTTTTCCCAACCCAGGTTGGGGTCGGCTTTAAGACTACTACGATAGGCGGAACGACTGTCATCAGACCTTCACAATATCGAAGTTCTGTAGAAAGACTGTTGTTGGACATTTTAGGGCTCCAACTATCCGTAACAATTGCCACAGGTGTCTGTATGACAACCAAGACCTACAGCTTAACGTGCTCTCGTGAAGAATGGTCACCCATCCATAGACTGACCTTGATAGGATTACTTTACTTTGCAATGTGTTAACTTACGCGGTCACCACTTAGGCACGAGCCCTAAAGTGACTCTAAAAAGTAAATCAAATTTGTGAGTAAGAACAACATCTGATGTCTGTACATCGGTTTTTTCGTTAATCACGCTATCAAAATTTTGCATTCTTTCCTAGATTATTTCCCACAAATTTTGTTATGAGTTAGGGCACTTTCATTGTAAGGATGTGATATGGGACTAATCCCACCCACACGCCCACCACTGAACTCCTGTACACCAGGATCAACAGCAGTGACCCACGAACACACCGAGTTATGACACTCGGGGAGTCTCAGGAAAAAAATAATTATCTTGGAACCCTCAACGAAATTAATCACAAGAAAATTGGAGGAGTTGGAAATACAGACAAATTCATCTAAGAATGACAGATTCCAAATTCAGATCTTTTATTACGTTTTTTTTAATTGTAACAGTATTTAATGGACAGACTAAGTAAGTATAAAGCTCGCCACCTTAGAGTAATTCTGGAAATGCTCTGGAAACAGAGCGGGAATGGTTTCATTATGTTACCATGCTGATTCCACAGCGTTTCCAGACTTTCATCAAAGTGGATACATTCTATATTAAAAACAGACAATATCAGACTTTATTAAAAGAATGAGTTACTGAAAAACGCATTGTACAAAGATATTCCTTTGACGGGCCTGTTGTTCTAGTGGTTAATGATAGCTCATCATTTCCTCATTGCAATCAGACGTGTTTTTAAATTAATTTTTAAATAACAAGTAATAATTAGCTGAATCTTGACCTCGTTTTCACCAACGACCAGTAGCAACGGAAAGTGTGTCTAATGTTTAGTACATAATTTTATGTAAAGCGATTTGGAAATAATGTGCTATAATTAGATAACACATAATATTTATTTTATTTATTTATTTACACATCATGCACATTTGGTGCAATGGCGGACTTAATGCCTAAGGCAATCTCTACCAGTCAACCATTGGGTGATGCAGAGAAAACAGGAAGTAGGTGCATTTTAGTTACAGTTGATTTAGACATTTAATATTGTATGTATACTTTGTACAAAATCAAATACTATATACACATACATATACAAATCTGTCATATACTACACCTATACATATTAATAGTACACATAAGTACATACCTTATAATACATAAATACAGTATAAAAGAATACATACATACACATGCAAATATGTAGATACTGATAACAATTTTGTATTAAAATAAAAAGAAATCATGAGCTAGTCGATTCAGCCAGTTATTTGACCAGATACTGCTTTACTTTTAGTTTAAAGGAAAAAGTTTTGTTAGCCATTCTGATTGCGAGTGGAAGCGCATTCCAAACGGACGAACGGACTGAACAAAAAAGGATGAGCCAACGAACTCAGACAGTGGGAGTGAGTGGGAGTGGGAAGGACAACGAAGAAGAAGGTTATTGGAGGACCGAAGGCTTCTGTCGTGATTACTATTTAGGAGTTCGAAACAACTTATTAAGAATAGTGAATAAGACAGTGAGAGCGCGTAATTTACGACGTAGACGAATGGGTAACCAGTTGGGCTACGAACGGAAAGTTGACACATGATTATATTTACGGAGGTTAAAGATGTTTTAATAATATTTTTTTTTTAATATTGTACCACATTCACACAACGCCATCTAGTCCCAAACTAAGCAGAGCTTGTACTATGGGTACTAGACAACTGATATAAATACATATATACCTACTTCTTTTTTGTAAATACATACTTATTATAAATAGACTAAATCAAACATTAAATGTTCATGCACACAAATGTTCGACTTGAGCGGGAATCGAACCCGCGACCTTTGGAATAGCAGTCCGTTACACAAACCACTACGCCATTCGGTCGTCGAATACAGTCATAATAGTCAGTCATAATAGCACACGTCACTATAGTCGATTATTGGAAAGATAAGTGTTTGCATAAGCATGGTTTTGATTTTTGGGGGTAGAAAGTTTTTAGGCGATATAGAACTCGAAGAGTACCAGTAGCCCTCCGGCACAGATTTGCAATTTGATCACGCCAATTCAGTGTGTACCAATCGAGGAGCAAGCCAAGATCCTTAACAGATTGGCAAACAGGTATTATAGTACCGTTAAAGATAACAGATGTAAGCATCTCAATGTCTACTCTGCTCATCAATCGGTGACTTACAATTGTTATAGCTTGACATTTCGTGGGATTTACTATTAGGCCGAACTGGTCAGACCATGCCTTAATTTTTTCCAGGTCTCAATTGACCATATCTATTGCTATTGAGATATCTTGAACCTTACTTTGTGAATAGAGCTGCAGGTCATCGCCATACAGATGATAAGTGCAACGAAGTCTCAGGGTTAGGAGATTAATATACACGGAACATAGCAAGGGAGAAAGAAAACCGCCTTGAGGGACACCAGAGCCAAGATCACACCAGTTTGTCGAAGATTCTTCGACACAAACAGACTGCTGGCTTCCCTGAAGATAAGATGAGAACCATTCCAGTTCTTCGGGCAAGACCTTATGATAAGGAAGGATAGATACAAGGATATCGTGATTGACGGTATTAAAAGCATTCGCGAAGTCCACCAGTACAGTAACCTTATTGTCCTCCATGCCCACCCTAATATCGCCACTTTAAGTCACTTTAAGAAGAGCGGAAGTAATGCTATGACCAAACCTGAAACCGGACTGCAATGGACTTAACATTTTGATTTTGTAGATAAATTCGGAAAACAGCTTGAGAACACAGGATAGTAGGACCTTTTAGAGGAAGGGAGAATCGATATGGGTCTGAAGTGGTTAGGAAGTCTGGGATTTGCAGTTTTAGGTAAGGGGATGACATAAGTTTTTGCGCCAAAGTGATGGGAAAATTCCGGAGTCTAGTTATTTATATGGGTGATTACAGGTAAAATTTTGTCAAGGATTGTTGCAATCATGCGTCGGCTGATTTGATCACAACCAACAGCGTCAGATATAATAGAGAGTATTATCTTTCTTATCTCACCCGATGACCAACCAACCATTCAACCATCAAACCAACCATCTCCTGCAGACCACCCGATCGCTGCTTACAAATACCGAGAGTTCCAAGGAACTTCCAAATATTGACGGGGAAGAATGGGTAATGTTGTTAAGAATGTGTCGGCGTTTAGCTTTACTTATCATCTGATTGCATCTATTTCTTGCAGCTTTGTACAAAGCCCGCTTTTCCTCAGTGCGATCCCTTCTAAATTTACAAAGGGCCCTATCTCTGCGCCGCATAGCCATAAGCACCTCATTCGTCATCCAGGGTGCGGGTTGCCTCTTCAGCCTATTTTTTTTTTTACAGGTGTGTGAGCATTGTATAGACCAATTGCGTGGTTAAAATTATTCACTTTCTCGTCCACACTTGTAACCGACGTTCCTTCGTCCCAGTTTAGATTAAAGGCATCCCTAAGGAGCCTGGATCATAATATCGAGCTATGGACGGCAGTTCAATTAACAGGAGTATCAAGATCGCCCGCACACCGCCTCCGACGCCATCACCGGCACCGACGCCTTCACCTGCATCAATGCCTTCTCAAACACCGCCACGCCTTCTCAAACAATATCTTAATGAGGAATGCACTATTGCCTCGGAAGGGAAACTGAAATCGGAGCAGAAGTTACGTATCAGCACATTGTGTCGAAAAGTGGGCAGCGGTACCTCCCAAAAGGCAGTACAATATCAGTCTCTCAAAATGAAAGCCGTTAAAGACAGCTGCCCAAACTCTTCAGGACCAACTGACCTATCTAAAAACCTATATGACCTTAAGTGCACCATTGATGAATCGTCCAAACATACATCCGGAACATCATTTGCCGACATGGTTAAAAAGGGCACCAACAATTATATACCAAAAACAAGCTTGAATTCATTGGCTATTTATCCCAATGATAAAGGCAGATCAAGCGATGACACCAAGTCATTAGTACAAAAAATTATCTGTCCTGATTAAATTAAGTTGCAAGTAAGAGGGCTGCGCAAAACAAAAAATGGTGGCGTCATAATCAGCACGGACACAAAGGGAAGCCAGAAGCCCAGCTTATAAACTTAGGCCTTGTCATTGACGACCAACATAAAACGAAGCCGAGAGTAATAATTATCGGGGTACCGAGTACTTTGCAAGAAAAGGAAGTTTTTACTTACTTATACTACTAGAATCTAGCAGATAAGCTGCAGGGCTGTTGCCTTGAAACGTTCCTGAGCTCAATTAGGTTAAGGTTAACTATGTTATTGAAGTATCTGCAAGCATCCGAAAAGCCCTAATAACTAGGGACCGAGAATTTGTAAAATGTCATCTTGTCCTGTTATAGATTTTACTCTTGTGACTCGATGTTACAAGTGTCAGCAGTATGGGCACGCAGCCAAAACGTGTCGAGAGACATCATACACCTGTGGGTACTGCGGGGAGGTAGGACACTTGCTAAAGGACTGCACCAAGAAAACGGAAGAAGCAAAATGCGCTACCTGTCTGCGCTTTAAAAAGCCGAACAATCATGTCACAGGAGCTCCTGACTGTCCGGTGAAGCTGATGGCTGAAAAAAGATACTTGAACTCCTGAACTCCATTGATTACGAAGGCACCTAAGAGCGCATTTAACACAGACATTTGCTGAATTTTCTCTGTTTATAGAGATTTCATTCATAAGTCTTTTATTAATCTAATTATGCAATGTATCATTCTGTACCCAAACATGAAACATAATGTTGTTAGTGGTATAGCACCACCAAATCTGAACACAAAACAGCACTCCAATCAATCATACATTTGTTTACACGCACATATTAACTAAATACCCAATACACACACGCTGCATGCTCCCTTTGCTAGTTTGTTATTTATTGTTTGTTTGTTGTTGATACAAATTTTGAATACTATTAAAAATTTGTACGTATTATGTGGCCAGAGCGAGAAACCACTGAAGACTCAAAACACAGGTACACACCTAATTTGAGGGTCAGAGGCAACCCGCCCTTTGACTCATGTATATTTTTTGATGTACTTTAACTAGACAGCTGTTACTAACTTTGTAAAATTACCCGTATAAAGATTTATTTATATAGATTTATCCTGATACCAAAATGTATCCAAAGTGGTATGTTGAAACTATAGTGGATAGGTTTTGAAAACAGTGTTTCTCGAGTGATTACATATTGAAACTATATTGTATTCATAGTGAATTCATACTGAAACCAGAGTAAAACTATAATGAATACATGTTGACATTCTGGAACCATCATGGTTACAAAAACTTTCCATACTGTTTACATTGTGTTTCCTGACTGAATTGAAGGTCACGAGGGAATATATACATGGGTAAAGTTTGACAATGCTTTAAATGAAACGATCACATATTAATGCAGACTTTATTATTTACCATTATTCGTAATATTATAATATACAAATAGCCATTCACAAATAACATTTTGATATAAATAAACTACATTATCGTGATTAGACAAACATGCATAGTATTTACAGCGAATAAAGGAATTTGCTGCATACCTATAATAATATAGGTGCGGTACGTATACTTGGGTATCTTAGTGATTATTAATATTATTTGACAATGAAACACATTTCTCAAACTAAAAATCAACATTTCTAAACTATTATATATCTACATATAAAATAATTATACTATGTAGGTATATTTAATAACATAATCTCAATTGTGAGGGGAACAAGGGGCTTCTAAAATACTCACTAATAAAATACTGCATTGGTAAGTCAAAACACGTTATAACCGACTTCAAAAAGAAGGAGGTTATCAATTTGGATGTATATATTTTTTTATGTATATATATATCTATATGTATATCTCTTTTATGTATATATACGGTTTATATATATATATCTGTCAGAGAATATTGTATATATAATATTCTCTGACAGATACTAATCAACTTTTATCCTGTTGTAGAATGAGTAAATAGGTGTTCAATTTTGTTTATAAATATTCGCAGACCAGTAGCTGTTACCATTTATATCAGTGCGGCAGTCAGTCAGTGCCGACGGCGGCGTCGTGTCGGGGCGGGCGCATGCGCTCCATGAGCGGGAGCGCCACGGCCACGAGCTCGTCCCACTGCGCCAGGCGGCGGCACGCGCGGCAGCAGCACTCCGCAGCCTCGTCCGGCGCGTCCGAGCCCTCCTCGAAGCCCAGATCCGAGCCCCCGCCGTCCGTCTCCCACTTGTCTTTGTCGTAGCCCGGTTCGCTCTCTCCCGACGACTTATCGCTGTCCTCTTCGAACGTTACCTGTTAATAGACAATAGTTTTTACATGTACATGTGAAACAGTCAATTCAGTTAGAGTCGAACCTCACCGACATTTTTGAAGTGAAAACTTCTTTAGGCGCGTATGGCATTTTTGAACAACAAACTAAATAATGTATTTTTTGAGCTTTCAAAAGACCATTGAACTCTCGACACTGTTACCGTTACCGACACCTCTGTATATAAGTACACGAGAGTTGAGTTTGCGTTGAAATACATCGAAATAAATTGTGTAAATACGTACAACATACATAGATATATATATTCATGTCGGCACTTTTCGAATTTAATAAAACCTGTAATAATAAAAAAAAAGTTTTCACTTCTGTCGGCACTCCCAGAGTGCCACTGTTTTTCTTTTAAATTAAAAACAACTCCCGCACTAGGAATACAAAGAGAAAGAACACCCAGACGCAAAACAATAATTTGTGGATGTGGGGATCGAACCCTACCGCATTAGGAAACGCGAAGGCGAAGTGACCGCTTAAACCGCTTAAAGTACGCCATCCGTGCAGTCTAATTTAACTTAACCGTCTTCAAAAAAAGGAGGAGGTTCTCAATTCGACTGTATTTTTTTTTATGTTTGTTACCTCAGAACTTTTGACTGGGGATACCGATTTTGATGATTCTTTTTTTATTTGAAAGCTGGTGCTTCCCCTGTGGTCCCATTTCAAACCTACCTTAACTATGTACATAATATATACATAGTTATAAGTGGTTGTTGCGCCGCGCCAGTCAATAGAAAGAAGCGATACGAATCACTTGATCACGAACCGTTTCAGATTCTTTTCTCGTTCTATATCTAATCTACACCGTCCTTCTTGTGGTAATTCCTTGTGTTTAATATTGGCTATATTTTCGTATCACCGTTTGCTACATTATGTCACAGCATAGTGTCGTATTAAAGTTCGTTTGTTTGGTTTAATTGTTTATTGGTATTTTTTTCGTTTCAAGATCGCAGATATTGTCACAGTCGTATAAAAGTTAATTTGTAAATGGGTTTAATTAGGTATTGGTATTCTGTCACAGTACTGACAGTATGTTGTCGATCGTATAAAAGTCAATTTGAAAAAAATATTCTCATAGTATTCTCATATTATTATTGCTAGGTATATCGTAGTGTTTCCTTGGCTGACACCGACTGTAAAAATAACAATACTTGTAACTACATTATATTATCCTAATAATTTGATTGACTTTTAAGTAGTCTAATATTTTTCATTTCATTTTACTTAGGAGAACTCCAAAAAATATTTTGATCGCTGTTTGTTATTCATAGGTATATGTTGAGTTAGATTTGAAGTGGGTAGGTGCCTACCTACCTTCTTGCGTAGTAAACACATAGATCATACCTAAATATTGATGAGTAGAAAAAGTAAGTGGATTTTTAAGTTGTAGAAGGATACGCATTTATTTTTTTACTTTTTAGTGCATATTCATTTGTTTTGAAACAGTGTTTTTTGAAGTCGGTTTTTTTTTGTTAAGTTTTTTATTTATTATGTAGGTAATGCATTACAAATTCAAAATATTTGTAATGATACAGAGATTTTTAGACATTTTATTTAGTTTTGTTTTATACCAGAAGCGTTTAGAAGAGAATGAAAAAGTAAACTATAAAAACTGGACCATACAGTCTAACAACAAAAAATTGCAGTGAGAGGCATCTGCAACCAATAAAACATAAACATTATAGACACCCAGCTATTAAATTTATTGTTTTCAGGCTACAAAGAATACTGAATACTCATAATACCTAATGAATTAAAAAAAAAAACTTTTTTTTTACAAAATAATACAACAAAAACATTGTATTATTGAATTACGAAATACACATTTCGACAGTAATATACTCAACTTCCGTTTTAAACGCACTATAAAACGCGAATAATGATATATAAACAAGTATCATTACAATATTTTAATATTTCCCAAATTACTGTGATTAATTACCTGCCCTTCTTTGTTAAATTCCAAAGAAGAAACGGGCAACACAAATTGAATATAATATTATGATCATTTTCGCTTCCGCCTTACAACTATTTTGAATAAAAGTTATTTATTAATTGCTACAGTTTTCGTTACTTAAATTTTTTTTACTGACCTGTTGGTATATCGTTTAGTGACCCTGACTGTTAAGCCGGAGGTCATGGGTTCTGTGCCCAGGCCAAAGTGATTTATCTATAACTAGCAAACCCGTGCGAAGCCGGGCTTCGCACGGGTGCAATGTAGATACTACTAATACTACTAATGTGGTGTCAGTGTGGAGTAATTATACTATTATTACGATAAGACTATACTAAAGGACAGCTTTACATGCAGTATTTATGGGTCTGCTTTGATCCTGCCCGGCTCGACGGTCGTTGAGCCCTCGCATTTTAAACCTCTAATACGAGTATCTTCTAAAATATTAATTTTAATGATATGCTGTAAAAAGCGTATAAGGGGCATTATTTGTAGAAAAGAATCCCCTGGTCGATTTGTTTAGTGGGTTGTGCCGAGTAGACAAATACAAAAAGTCGTTCTTGAATTAAAAATATAAAAAATATCTTTGTTACTTTTTTTTTTCACTGTGTAACTTGAACTAATTGAGAATAATATTAATTATTTCTTACGAATTGTAGAAGTTAATTAACTTTTTTAGTATAATATAATATTTCACAATGATATATATGTATATTTTAGTTTAATTATACTGTCTAACTCCATTAATTATTATTCCACATATAGAAGAGATGGCCCAAGTTACGTTAAATACATTAAAATGCATACATAGACAGTTTTAAACGTCTATAAAATTGTAGTTAAAGTTGTATTGATGTATAAAAATTAGTCAATCATTTGTATATAATATACTTTAATATCGTTTAATATATATAATGACGAAGTGTGCAATAAAACCGTTATACTTACATGGAGCTTAGCCAGTCTTGACATACTATCTCGTCGCTCCCCCGTTTTGGAAACTTCGCAAGCTACAAATACCGACTCATCATCTGTAATAATAAATATAATTCTTATAATGAATAAAAAACAAATAAAATATCATAAATATTATATACCGATCCTTATTAATGATAAATTCAATAAGATAAATTCAAAAAACAATATTTTTTTATACAACACAAAAAGAGTATTTGACCCCGACGTGATTTGAACACGCAACCTTCTGATCTGGAGTCAGACGCGCTACCGTTGCGCCACGGAGTCATGTTATTAAATTTTTAAATAGGTACCTATATTATAAATTAATGTGTGTCCTAAAAAATCATTTTTATTATGATATAAATCATATTTTTTGTGTATCTTTTACGAGTTACTTTATGAGTTTTACCAACAAACTGTCAGAATAATTGGAGTATATGATTACATATTTATCAGATAAGCCTAATCTCGAAAAAGAACAGCGCAGACACAAAATTTCTAATGGGCGTGCAAAATTTCTACCTACTTATATTACATGGGTAAAATAAAGTGATATATTAATTTAATGTTTTTGTTATTTTTGGTTATTTGAGTTTGAATACTGTTTTTAAATTACTCATTTTAAATTTAATTTTTAAATTAAATTTAAAATGAGTAATTTAAATTAAATTTAATTAAACTTAACAGTGGCTAGAATACTGATGATAATTAAAATAATACAGCCACACCGCATGAGTAAACAAAGATCAGATACAAAGTTTCTAAGGAGCATATAAAAAGCTCTTTTGGTATTCTTTTACACAAAGATAATATTAAACATACAGTGTAAGTAAATGTTTAGCAGATTTAAAAATATTTACTTATGTTTATTTATTTGTGCCAACTGAGTATCAAACCCGAGTCCTGGACGTGATAGCCAGACGTGGTATTCGCCAAATCACAAAATTAAATTAGCCAGGCAACATTATAGGTACGCAATTCAACATTCTTAATAAATAGGTATCTGTCGATGGTTAAACGTAAAATCTAGTTTTATCGTGTGATAAAAATAACAAACCGGTAAAGTATTTTCACAATATACACCAATGAGATATACCAATGACTGAATTTGAACTTGATTCAATAATAATTATTTCAAGTATAGTTTTTGTGTATACATGGCAGTGGTCATAGAGCAATCTGGTCGAAACGTCAAACAATTCTAAGTATGTAATACCTATTACGTGACACCGTAAATATAAATAATTATAATAATGTTATAAATTTATAAAAGCGTAATGAAATATTGATCACCGCCATTTTGTATTGATGCTGTTTACTAGCTAGCGTACATTACCGAGTTCGTACTTGACGACTCTATGTCTCATAACTTTATACATTTTAAGTCCCTATGTCCAGCAGTGGACTATTAAAGGCTGGTGATGATGTTGAGGTGTGCAGTATTAATCGCTGGACCAAAGTCTCGTCGCGTAGTGACATAGAGCAACACCACAACACATACCACCGCTCTATGCGTAGTAGTATTTAATGAAATCGGTGATTAAGTACTATTTAAATAATAATAAATATAATATACCTAACACATCTCACACATTGCCATCTGATCCCAAACTAGGCAGAGCCTGTGCTATGGTAACCAGACTGCTGATAAACATACTTATATATTTTTAAATACATACATATTATTTATAAATTACACCCAGACACAGAACAAATGCTCATTGAGCATGAGCATTTGTTCTGTGTCTGGGTGTAATTCACACAATATTTGTCCTGGGTGGGAATCAAACCCATGACCTCCGGCTTAGCAGTCCGGGTCACTAACCACTAGACCAACAGGCCCGTCAATATATGCTATATGCTATTTATCAATATACGAGTTTTGTTTGAGCAAGTAAACAAGTACATGTACATAGAGACACAATATTTAGGTTTAAAAACACAACTTCAATTTTTTCTTTTTCATAGAATTTATTCAGTAAGTACGAAACCTTCATTAATATTCATTGATTAAAAACAAACGTAAAACAACACAATATAATCATTTTCAAACTATAGAAAAATATTTTACGCTTTACACAGTTGTTAATTAGCTTTGTCTAAAACCTTAGTTTGTGTTAGGACAAGTTATTTTAAATCTAATTAAAACAGTTAATTTTAATAACGTTCATTTAGACATTTTCAAGTGATGCGCTAAATAATGATCCGTATTTTACTTTTAATGGCTAGTTTACAAGCTTCCCGAGATATGGCAAACGTCCACAAGCTCCAAGCCTTTGCTAACGCTTGGATGCCATTTGCACGCCTGCGAGTGTGTTCTTGACAGGCAAAGATTTCAGACGTAGACGTTGAAGTTGTATCGGCTATTGCGTTTGGCTTAGATATTTTTATTTAAAATATAAATAGCGAAATTAAACATGCGATACATAAAAAAAAATCCTCTAGTCCTACTGTTCAACTAGTAGAGCATTGGGATTTAATGTCAATTCTCGACTGCTTAATTATTTTCAACTTGAGCAGTCCAATGGAGTAGTGGGGAACGAGCACGTGCCAATATGTAAATACGTCGCAAGCGATTGCCGCAAGCTTCTTTTGATCTGGGTTCAAAAACGGACACTAGACCGGATCGACAAGTTCACGCAAGTCAAGCTAAACGCTCCGTTTAAACGCTTGCGTTGTGGACATTTGTCGAGCCTTGCCGAGCGTGTAAACGTATTTTAAGATGCCTATATCACTTCGACAGCCCTGAAAATCGATTTGCCCAAATACGGTCGGGCGAGTCAAGAAATGCCGGTGTATCACAGTGTGCTGGCCTACGACGTAGTAGGTATATATTTAAACGAATTAGTCAGATCTTCCCATACCTATGAACCTGGCGAGTGCGTTAGCGACGTCGTGCGCGCGCGCGGCGTCGAGCGGGTGCGGCGAGTGCGCGTGCGCGTTCCACAGCGCGCGCGCCAGTAGCGGCGCGGGGGGCGCGTCGGCTCGCGCGGCGCACGCGCACAGCGCCCGCGCCGCCAGCGCCGCCGCCTCGCCGCACGCCGCGCCCGCGCCGCACACGTTCACCAGCACGCCCGCCGCCGCACACCGCACCGTGTCCGACTCTGAACACACGCCCGTATCGTTCTACTTACACATACAGCCTTAATAATCACGATCGATTGTACTTTTAATACTTTGGTTCGGCTCTCGGCGCAGAATAGATTACGAGACTTTAGGATGATAATAACTTTAGGGGTTTCTATACAGGACCAGGTTTAAAAGCGTGTTGCCATAATTGTTTGTTTGTTTTGTCACTCTTGTCTGATCTATGAACACGTATGAAGATGAACGCACATTAATATATCGTGACTTTTGTTTATTTAGTAAGGGCGACAAAATTATTAGCGACAAAAGAATGCAAATAAAGTTTCAATCGCTTTGTAAAAAGTGAATACTTCGTCCAAAAAACTAAAGTGATAGTGTCGATACTGTACAGACCGTGGTGCAGGAAGGGGTCGAGCGTGTCGAGCGCGCCGTGCAGCACGATGAGCTGCGCGGTGCGCGCGGCGCGCGACATGTTGCCGAGCGCGCGCACCGCCTCGCACGACGCCGCGCTCGACACGCCGCGCAGCCGCACCCAGCGACACGTCACTGCAACAACACAAGATACTCTCCTACTCCACATGCTTATATATAACGGGCGTCATAACTACTGTTCTCCTGAAGCTCTCCAGCTAGGCGTGTGTTAGAAATGGTTTCAACACACCACCCGACCAAATACCACGATATATCAGCAGATTGTACGAAAAATGAGCGTACATCTGACATCACATCTACCATCTGACACCCAACTCTACACTGCATGCGCACTCTCAGATGTCAAACCAAATAACGTGCACTTCCCCGCCTCCTGTCAAAAACTTGATTCTCTTTTTACAGAAAAGAAAGACAAATTGTAAAAAAGAAAGGAAAAAGGTAGAGTAAGGAGAAAGAAAGGCAAACAACTTAGTAACTGAACACCAGTTAGTTCAAAAGCAACTTTAAATACGTATTTTTAAGACATTTATGTTTTATAAATGTCAGATTAGATATATTGTGCAAAAAGACAGACCTTTACAGATGTCATCAAAGTAGACATGGAGGGGATCTGGCGGGTCTGGCGGCTCGCGGTAGAACGTCAGATTGTTAAGCGTGGCGAGAGCCGCTGTCGCCAACTCTTCATGGTGCTCAATGCTGTTCGCAGACTCCACAGGTGACATTTTCTGATACACACGATAATCATACACAGTAAACCTTCAAGAAAAGAGCGTACTCCTTTCTAAAAGGCCGGCAACGCGTTTGTGACTCTACGTTGCAGACGTTCATGAAAGGCGATGGTACCATAAAAAAAGTGTATATACTGATTAAAATTTGAACTGAAGCATGTTTGACTTTCAAATGCATAAATCTTTGTGTAAGATAACAAAAAAGTAAGAGAAAATTGAATAAACTTGAAGGGTAAAACACATAAATTAGGCTATATCCACTAAGATACGCTATTGAGGCGTCTGGAGTAACAATTTAGACTAATTCAGTATAAATCTTCTAATTCACATAACAACATTTGCTTGAACAAATAATCCAAATAGATCCCAAAACTAGGTAATCAAGCAAGGGATTGTAGTATGCGAAGCTATAAAATAATGCTGTATCGTATGTGTGTTCTCCACACATTTAGTACCTCTTGGTCTATCTTCTCGGCATGTTTAAGGCACGCCAGTAAAGCCTTGACCATCCTCTCGGCGTGTCCTGCGGCTAAACCCCGCCCTGCACGCTCTGACAAACATAGATTTGCGACTACCCGCACAGTCTGAAAAAATATAACGATGTCCTTCATTTTCAATCAAAGTAGTAAAATTGGTTTTTCAATTTACAGTAATTTGTGTTTTGTGATTTAAAACATTTAACCTTAAGGGACTAAGGGTGCAAAATTAGCTACAGAGAGAAGAATACAGTATGTAAGTGCGAACGAACTCCAAGCTTATGACTAAACTATGATGTTGCCAGATCGGCTTCTATAACGATTTACAAAAAAGAAGGGGCAATATATTGCAGATAAAATTAACAATCAAGATTCTCCATAAAAGCAATATCTACACAAGCCACATTATATCATCGGTATAATCGGGTAACGGGTAGTAAAACAATAAAAGATTGCTTACTTTAATAAGTACGTCTTCATCGGAACCGTCGGACCCCCCTAAATCAGTACCTGGGGTGAAAGTATCTATTTAGTTTCAGGTTCAAGATGTAACACATGTTAAAGGTGGACACATATCTCTAAATCTTATGGCCTTATGAAATAAGTGTCATATCTATACTAATATTATAAAGCTGAAGAGTTTGTTTGTTTGTTTGTTTGTTTGTTTGAACGCGCTAATCTCAGGTACTACTGGTCCGATTTGAAAAATTCTTTCAGTGTTAGATAGCCCATTTATCGAGGAAGGCTATAGGCTATATATCATCACGCTAAGACCAATAGGAGCGGAGCACCAATGAAAAATGTTTCAAAAACGGGCAAAATTTATTACTGAGAGACGCAGACGAAGTTGCGCGGGTCAGCTAGTTTAATATAAAATCAAATCATGTTTCTTTCCGTTAGTGTCACTTCATATTTATGTGGTAATTCGGTGTATATAAGTTAAAGCAGTTCAAACAGTTTAGAAGTTTATAATGTTCTTACTTGAACTTGTGGGGAAACGATTCAATCCACAACACAACACTGCTGGCCAAATTAGTAAGTCCAATTGACTTTCCAAAATTAGTTAAGTACTGGGTGAATTACGAAAGTGATTATTGTTGCTAATGTGACTATTCATTTTAGTCATTTTCGTAGTCGTGGTGGCAAAGAGGATTACAACAGAGAACCGTTTTTCAGAAAAAAACATTTTGCAAGAATATTTAACATTTTCATTTCATTAGTTTGGATCGTTTCTGCGCAACACAGTCCTATTAAGGGCAGTTTGTATGAGTTATTAATTAATGGAATACGGCTATTTTCTAGCAAGTAATCTAAAAATAGCAAATGTGGAATGTTACTGCAATGGGCATGTAATTAGATTGTCATAGAAACGTTGTCATACCAATAACATGCAAGTCAGGATCGCTGTCGAGATCCCGAGATCCTTGAGGGCTTCGCTTCGTGTATGACTCCAGTATCGTTAGGAGCACGTCTATGGAACCCTCCTCGTTGTAAATCTGGTGAATACAGTGATATCGTTTGTAAGTACACTGTACATATTTAACTCTTTTTTAGTATTTTAGTTTTAGAAGCCGAGCCACAGAGGTCGCTGTTTCGATATTTTCCCGGGGTACTTTAACCCGATCGTCGGAGTCGTATTAACTCATGGAGTACGTACGTCATCTCTGGCTTGGTCGTGGTCGGCGGCCATGTTCCCGAGCGTGTAGGCGAGGCGCACGGCGAGGGGCGCGCGCGAGGCGCACGCGGCCAGCGCGCGCACCAGCGCACGCGCCGCGCCTGCGCACGCGCACAGCGACGCGCAGCACGCCGCCGAGCCCGACACCACGCTGTAGTGATAAACGATTCCAGTCAACGAGTCCAGATATGTAAGCGATTATATGATTACGCAGAAAGGCGGTTTCAAAGACTTTGATGAAAGTGAACATGTGTCATGTATCAGATCATCATTTTCAGAAGTCTGCATAATTTGACATTGCGATTTAGAGTCGAAGTCTTAAATTAATTGATTAGTATTCCCAATATCAAGCGTGAGCCGCGGTCCACCAGACATGATCACCTCGTCTAGTTGGGTTGTAGATTTTCCCCTCCGTTTTTTCACAATAGCGAATCCAGAATAAAATTTAACAATTGAAACGCTAACAATAAACTGAGAATTAAACAGTAAAAAGTACCTAAGACAGCGAGCGACGTTGGTGAGAACGTCTCTATCGGTGTGTAGACCGAGGGCTGCGACAAGTTCAGGCAATGCCCCGCTGGCTATGAACTCCTGCGCGTGAGTGTCCACTACGGTCGCGAGGCTGCGCAGTGCACCCGTCACTTGGAACAGTGCGTGAGTGCATTGCTCGTTCAATGTACGCGGATTTTCTGCTTTCTGTATCAAAGGTACATTTTATTCATCATACATATGTATTATTGTTTTTATCAGAGGTACATACGTAAAAATATATTAAGAACACGACAATTATTCCGCAAAAAGGATTTAATGGTTTTAAAGTACCTAGTTTCATTTTATCACTTAATTAAAGTCCATGTAAATTATATAGATCGAATAATGAGTAAATCTGGTCTTTACTTTTTGCACACTGTATATTGTATTGTATCCATTTTTTTTTTTCTATTCGTTTGGTAAAAACGCCTCTAACGATTTTTAATTTATGATGATAAACAAGGTTTAAGGTTTCAGTATGATTTGTAAATCATTAAGTATCTAAAAGTATTTAAAGTCCTCTGACCGCGGTGTTGAGTATCTTGAGGTGCAGCGCGGCGAGGTGCACGGCGCCGGCGCACGTGGCGCGCGCGGCCAGGCGCGGCTCCAGCGCCAGCACGCGCAGCGCCGCGCAGCCGTACACGCAGCACGCGCTCTCCGACACCGGCTCCGCGCGCCCGCACCCCTCCACCACCAGCTCTGCACCACATCACCGCGACCTCACTCACCGTGCTACACGCGACCCGGCATGCTCCTTCGAGCGATAGTATGGTCCGTCGAACAAGTCAGCCGTCGTTAAGTAAATACAACGACTTAAAGAATTAAACTTGCCTCGCTCGACCTGACATAATTGTGAAAATAATATTGTATAACGATTGGAGGAAATTTAAATCACTCCAAACTCCACTCCACTCTTGAATAGACCATCTATTCAAGAACGTTATTAGAATCTTCCTTCTGATAAGAAACTTGAGCAAAATAGGTGGAATTCATTAGGCAAATATTGAATGTATAAACTGACTCAATTTTTTTTTTTTAAGTATCAGAAGATAACATAATTACAACCAATAGATAAACTACTCACATGTTCAATATATTTTTGTTACGACTTACCAAGTAAATTAGTGTTCCTAAAGAAATGGTCATTCTTATCGTCTTTAGCTATTTTAAACACTATTTTGCAGGCAGCTGCCAAGTTTGGTCCAGTTACACGCATCTGGAAGTAATATATAAATTGAAATGCTACTTTATCTTTATTTGCATTTAATAAATAGTGGTTTTATTCAAAATATATATTTTTCGACTTCACATCAACAGCCTGTAATAGTCCACTGTGACATAGGCCTCTCCTTAGAAAGGAGGTTTCGGCAGTAGGCCGAAACCTCCTTTCTAAGGAGAGACCTATGTAAGTATAGTAATACCACGCTGGTCAGACGGGTTGATAAAGTATTTGTTTCAAGTTTGCCTTCTCGATCCTACTTTTTCGACTTGTGTATCTTAAATTATTAAAATATCACATGTCATTCACTCACACACACAAACACACAAGATCACGTGTATTAAATCCGGTCAGGGCGCGACCTATATACCTAATTACTAAATTCTATAAAATAAAATAGTATACTTTTCGGAACCTTCGCGCATTCATAACAATAACATATTAACACTTACTTTCTTATAAACATTACATATTAACATTACCCCATTAACTTTAGTAACATTCAATACTTTTAACATAGTTTGGTATCAGTGTTTTATGATCATTTTTTAGTAGTTTATTTAACAATAAACATTTTGTATTATTAAATTACATTTTTTAAACCCTCCAATTGCACCCTAAAACAATTCGAGTCATCAGGAATTTAGTTTAAAATAAATTCAGTAAGAGTTATTGTATGCTTAGAATATCTACTTGAGAAATCGTTAGTGTAAGAGGAGTAATCCAAATCTTGAACTTGAGTAAGCATATTGACAATTGACTGATGACATACTAAGGGCCGCAGTCACCACACAATGCACAGACATACAAATTGTTGACCCCTTCACCATCCCAAGATAATTCCAAGTGTATACGAACCGTGAGAAGCGCTCTAGCGACAGCTACAAGCACGGCATCGTCGTGGTGGTCGGCGTGCACGAACAGCGCTCGCAGCACGAGCTCGCGCAAGCTGCCCGAGGGCGCGCTCACCCCCACCGCGCGAGTCAGAGCCTCCAGCAGCTGGAGCGTGCGGGCAGTGTCGCGACATCGCTGCGACAGGGCCTCTGACAGCTCTAATATGCTCAAACTAATGGAACAAAAAGCGGTAGCAGCTCAAGTCAGATCTGTTTCTGTACAACAGCTGTATGGAATAGCAACTTATGACGTCATACTGTGCTATCGTCAAAACATTTGACTATAAATGTTTATAGTCGCTATAAACATCTTCGCTTAAAAAGTTTTTCAAATTTTAATCTCATAGGGACTTTGACAAAATTTATTTTAATAATTTTAGTTCGGTTATTTATTCGCATAGAAATAAAAACATAACCATTTCGACTTTTTCAATCCATATCTCGGCAATGGTAATTCTTAAGAAAACAAGTGCACGGACAATATATAAATAGAAATAAAAATCTATCACTGTTTCGTTGGAATGACCATATCAGTGTAACGTAAATACACAGTAAGTCAACTTACTTATCAATGTGATCATTAGAGATAGTTGTGTTTGGCAGTTGCACGGCGAGTTGTTTGACGGAAATATCGTTGCATGTTCCACCGCTGGCAGAATCGCAAGACATCGACTTGGATACAGTGTATTGCGAACGGCTGTTGCCGTGCTCTGGACTAGGAGCTATTACAAAATAAACATCAAATCTGTGGCATCTTTTTTTATTATTATACTTCATCTTAGCTTACGTAAACTGTAACTTAAATAAACATTACTATGAATGGCGCAGGAACAAGACCAATCAGTACTTGCTAGAGGCGACATGGCTACGCCTATTATCCACACATTGTACACTTATTGGAGCAAGTTCTCTCAGGTAATATATATTCTTCGAACTACCTTGTGGTATAGTCAGAGAGCGAAAACTACATGACAGGAATCGTGCACGATTCATACGGGATTTAGTAACATACGTCAGTGAGGTTAGTTAACGTTTCGATTGAGGCTATAGTGTTGTAATTCTGTCCATGGTTCAAAGCGAGACGACTCGGGATTCTGGCGAAATAGGCGTCGGATTGGAAACAATAGAGTATAAACTACTAAATGGAAAACTAAATTGGAATCCGATGTTAATCCAATAAAGTACTTCTAATATGAAAATAAAGAAAATTGTACCTAGGTTTATTTTTACGAAATTTTTAAATTATAAGTGACATTTTTATTGCAAAAAAAAAGTTGAATATGTTTAGCATTTCGTAAAAGTCTACCCAAGAAATGGTCATTTATGAGTTATACCCACGGAGCAAATACAAAGAGAAGGTGCTGTACTTAATTAGATTTCCCTATCAAACAACGCGTGACAATTTGCGGGGTGAGGGGATATTAAGTGTACTTAACTATGGGTGAAATTTACAAAACTTTTTCTCCGTAGTAGGGTGACAATAGGACGAAAAGATAAGCCGAATACAGATAAAATAAGAATAAATAAGAGAACAAATTTCAGAATTTACCACAAACGTCTCACGCCAGCAATCCCCAGCGCCTATAAGTCCAGGTAATAATCTATCTGTATACCACATTTTAACCAAATCCGTCCAGCCGTTTCAGCTTGACAAATGACACATACACAGTTCATAGCGTGGGATAAATCAACGAGAAGGAAAGAACACATAAACTTTCGCTTTTATAATATTAGGGAGGTACAATTATAATGTGAGTAAGATTTTTGCAATAGATTTAAGTATCAAGATGGTACAGAAAATTAATCTTAAAAAAACTCACTGGAATGAAACTTCTGAGTACGTCCCTTACATCCTACACTTAGTGTGAGATAGCTAAACTAAATAGCAACATTGACACAGAACGATGAGAGTAGTTTTTCTATTATTTGGTAGATGGAAAAAAGTGAAGTGGGCGGAGCTTAACACCCCCTCACCCCGCAAATTATCACGCGTAATATCATAGGAAAATCTAATTACAACACCTCCTCTTTGTATTTGCTCCGTGATCCGGAGCCATCGTTAAGATAATATCCAATGAAGTTGCCAAGATGGTTACATGATGACGGCTAAGACTACGGACCTTTGCCCCAGTTTTACTTAAGTAAACAGACATTATTTATGCAATAATAAATATGTAAGGTGAAATATCTCTACATACGTACACACAGTATTAACATTTCCATCGTCAACATCATAGTCACCTAGTGGACGAATTACGCATATCGCTTGTGCAAGACCAACTTCTGGTTTCAGATCTGTAATTATGAGCGTTGCAATGACTCTCAATACTTCTCTTTGTAAGATTAGTCAACTATTTAGAAATGAATATTTAAAGATCCAAGTGAAGAAGACCAAAATAGATCTTAGTGGCATGCAATGGGGGAGTCCTATGTCCAGCAGTGGACTGCGATAGGGTCGATGATGATGTTTTAAAGATACACGCAAAAGTATCTGATAATCTTCATTTTATATTAGACTACCTTTCACATGCAACACCATTCTAAGTTTATAAATATAAAACAAAACATTCTTGGTTTCAATTTATATCGTAAATAGTTGCATAGTATATTCAAGATGAAACCATTTTAAAACATTTATGCGGCTAGCAATATAAAAGCGAAATTATTGAACAAGCAACAACAAAAAACGCGACTGCGTGAGAATGTATAGGTACCTAATGAAACTTTAGAAACGGTCGATTTTAGTTTTTAATATTTTCATTAACCCAGTGTCTCAGAATTAAGACAAATCTAACGACACCTCACATGCTAATATCATTGGGTTACCATAATGTCATAACCTTAATAGTGCCTTGGCTCATTGATTATCTAAGTAAGTGTTCTGTATACGTACTGTCCCCATGTGCTTGGCCAGTGGTATGCCGCCGATGTAACGGTTTGCTGCGACCGCTGAGGTGTGGCAGCTTGGTGAACCCACTCCAGCCTTCACTTGATCGCTCTGGAACTTGCAGGCGTTGACTAGCGCGGCCCTGTTTGTACGAATATTGAATTTGGAAATCAAAAGTTTATTTGGAAATCGATTCGTTTAAATGAACTCTTCTCTTAAGTGTTATGAAAGCAGTGCATTTGGATCTTAGATGTCCTAGGATCTTCAGGCATTCAACTGCCTACTGAACAGTCGAGCGTAGTGTCTCTATTTTAGGGTTTTGTATTTCATATGTCTATCGAATAAAGTGCCCTATGTGTTCTTTAATTATTGTAATGGGCAATAGTCAATAATAATGTTAATTATAATAATGTAATTTATTTTCTCACTACAATACACAATTTACAACAAGCAGTTACTTGATTGACTGACTGAGACTGGTGCCTAAGCTAGGCTCTAGGTCTGTGTTTCAGGACACCAGGTTCTCACCCCTTAACGTTTTCGTTTCCTAGATTATGTACTAAAGCGCTGACAGCGTAGCAAGATATCCACATCACTTTATCATCACATCAACAGCCTTCAATAGTCCACTGCTGGACATAGGCCTCTCTTTAGAAAGGAGGTTTAGGCCTACTATACCACGCTGGCATATAAGGTTTGTATCAAGTTTTCCTTCTCTCTGCAGTGCTGTTGTTCTGCATAGTTTTCTCCCTTAGTCGGCTCTTACGTCAGCCACGGGATGAATAGGGGTGGTGACACTGTATTCTTAATCCTTATAAATGTCACCGTCATCCGGCACCGGATCGTCACGACATGGCGAGCAAGATATCCAAAAATGTTATATAAAGACAGTATGTCTTGTAAAAGTAGTGTTAGTATGATGGTAGTTTGTGTGTAAGTGTGTGTGTTTGTATAAGTGTACATATACATGTAATTTCGTAGTGTATCATGCGTTTGTGTGTGCGTATGTGTGTGTGTGTTTGTGGTTATTTGAGATTGATTACACCACATCAAAAATCATATGCTCGGTATCATCATAGTTTAGCTTTAATAGCCATTGATGTAGAACTATTGTAAAAACTATTTATTTATTTATTGATAAAATAATTATTAACAGTTAGGTTAGGTGCATTGTTAGTATAAAACATTGTAAGTATATCTATTAGATGAAATTAAATATAACTCACAAATATACGTAATAATGTGTATATATCTATGTATAATACATATTTTGGCAATGAGAATGGCATCGTTCGCACTTTATACTGAAAGAGTTCTATATTATTTTATAAATGAAGAAAAGAAATAGCGCCAGTACAGATAATGATTTTAATTTTGATTGTGCTTTTACGAAAATATCGTCCGCAGCGTCAAAAATTCGCGAGTTTTAACTAGTAATGTAAGACAGTTATTTAATACGACTATATTTCGAGTAATTTTGAACAATTACCTGTGGCTTCTTTTTGGTATAGAGGGTCTCCATGAGCATTTCATTAAGCGATTCTTCGTCGAGGTTGGCTAAACGCGCATCCATCGCCTCCAGCGTCTCTTCTCCACTCTCCGACAGACTTAGAAACTTGAGGCTGGAACGAAAGAAATCTCTAATTTACACAATTATGTTACTTTATAATTTTAAAATGGCATAGTAATTAAGTAAGACATTTTTAACATTTATTTATATATTCATTCATTAATATCAATGAATGATGTATGAAATACTGTTTGTAAAAACTGCAGCATCAGTGAAAAATTCAATAAGGTTTCAGGCACACCTAGGTACATCTGCCGGGATTAATAACATAGCTATATACAAGAATGTGAAGCCTAGGTTTTAACAGATACAAACAAGTACGTTTTTAGAGTCTACGGATACCCTAGACCAATAGCATATTATAAAAATATACTTAAATCAATACAAATTATAAATACATACTCATATGAGCTGGGGGGTCTGTTATCTTTCTTCCGTGTGCGGTCTGTGAACAGTGTGCGCTGCGGTTCACGCGGCGTGTACGGACGCCGTGTGCGCAACGGGCGCAGGGCTCCAGCCGCGCCGCCATCGCCGTTTGACATACCACTCATCTCTGAGGAAAAATAAGAGTACATACAACATCTGTTGTTCTGTTGAAGAATCATATCAACGCCAATCTTCTATCTTCCCTGTTGGTCTAGTGATATTCCCACCCAGAACAGAACTATAATTGTTTGATGGGCATGATCATTTGTTCTGTTTCTGGGTGTAAGTGTTTATATTTATGTGTAAGTAAGGTGTAATGTGTTTATGCATGTATTAAGAAACTTACGGAACAGGCATCAATGTGAAACTTGTGAAGATATGCCATGTTTTGAGAAAAGTTTTGAACAACTTACGCTAATGATCATTTTCAGTTACCAAAGTTATCTTCTTGACGATAGATTGACAACTTTAGTAAAATATGCTATGTCATAGCTTGTGTTTCGATATCTTCCTGGTGTAAATAGTTATTTTTATATATTTCGAAAAACAGATGAGGATATAGGATAGATTTGTTTATCTTTTGTAGGTCGAATACAAATCACTTAGTTCATTGAAAACAGCCGTAAGTTTACTACATGCAATACTTTGTCTGTACGTTAAACTTTTAAAATAATTTGATTGCTCTACACCAAAAGGTAAATAAGAAATACTAATTAACACAAAAAATCCGGACATGTGCGAGTCGGACTTGCGTACCGAGGGTTTCGTACAAATTTCAGGAATCGAGGCTCGCAGTTTCTGCCGAGCTTTTCCCGAAATGCAGTTTCCAAAACTAATATTTATTTAAATTATTGTGTTTTAAAAGTGAAATTGCTCCTCGATGATTCATTACGTACTTTAAATAAAAACTAATTTTTTTATGATGTTAGTTAGTTCGATTTTTTGTGATGTTAGTTATGTTGTAGTTGTAGTAAAAGACGATGCTACTTGCCAAATTTCATAGTTCCCTATAAATTTTAATTCCCTTGAGAGTGTCGAAATATGCGTTTTAGCCGCATAAACGACCGTATCTTTTTTTACGTTAACTTAGAATTTTTTTTACAGCTTTAAGGAACTGTAGAGCGTAAGTGTGTAAGTATATGGTTTTAATAATAACTCGATATCTCCACGCGTTCCCGAGATAAAGGGTTTTGACAGACGGACAACAAAGTGATCCTTATAGGTTCCGTTCTGTCCTTTTAAGGTACGGAACCCTAAAACGGTTATTCTTCATTTATTATGAGATTCTAATCGCAAATATGTTTAAATATTTAGATTAATGTGATGACCTTGATGTTTTGCTTATACTTACGCAAAACTAAAAGAATGGCACACTACCGAGGCCCATTAGTAATAAAATAAGTTTCGGATTTGTAGCAATATTGATCGCCTTGTAAAGGTCAAGTGTTTAGCAACTTCCAAAAATATCTTAGAATTGTAAGGTGAAGTTCACATTCAGCTTTCCAAAACTTTTTCGGGCCGTGTGCTTTTATAAACTAGTATATTTTATTGGAACTAGGGATGTTACAAATCTTCGACTTCGGTTCTGATAGCTTTGAGTTATTATTAATAAGAAGCATAAGTTTCGATATGTCTCACTGCTCCCTCAGTGGGGTTCGTTTTCTTCAAGCAGGGTCTAGGATTGAGAATCGCGACAGACCTATATCCAGCAGCGGACCATTAAAGGCTGTTGATTAAGATGGTGATGCAATATGCAGATCTAAGACTTAAAATGTTAATGAAGTCTCGGCTGTAAGGAAAAACATCATTGTTTTGCTCATCTTCAAAGATGTCTTTGAAGACATGGAAAACCAAAGACAAGCAAAATAGAAGAAACCGTATTCAGCTTTTAGTTCCTTAAGCTAGGAATATCAAGTGAGTTTCACCTGTTTTCAAGACATCAACGTGTGGCATCACTTCTAACTTGCAGGCGAGGCAAGCAAGCATACAATGTTTAACCGGATGTTACTCCCCGTTCCATAGAAAAGTCATAGTCTAAGATGTCTTTATCTTTAAGATGAATACCATATCTCTGCGTCCTACAGAAGTATGTAATTTCTAGGTTACTTTGATTATAGTCTATAATAATATCACGGGTACTGGAAACGTGTATTACTAATTGGACCTCAGAGACAGTTTCTGGCGGTCATATCGAAATCATTTTAAAGAATTGTGAACAGAAAAAATGTTTGACAAAATCAGAAAAAATGTTGTTTCTTCTTCTCTTCTCTTTAAAAGACAACTCCCGCATTAGGAATAAATCCTGTGTCGCGGGGGACTTTACAAACATACATGAAACGGACACAAAGAACACCCAGACTCAGAACAACAATTTGTGGATCACACAAAGTGTCGTCCCATGTGGGGTTTGAACCCACAACACTCGGCGTAGTAGGAAGCGGCGTGGCGACCGCTTAAACCACTACGCCATCCGTGCAGTTACATCTATATATATAGAAAAAATGTTTGAAAAAATCAGAAAAAATTGTTGTTACATCTATATATATAGAAATGTTAAGTTGGTTTGTGTACGCTTCAAAAACTTGAAAAAGTTCTGCACCGATTGAGCTCAAATTTGGATGCACAATGTACAAACCGTTCCAAAGAATGTTTTTATCTATTCTTCGCGTTAGTTTTGTTGTTCCTCATTTCTGATCAATGCAAACACAATTACAGAATGTACCACAGTGAAACTTTTCATGGTGCAGTTAGTTTATAATAATTATAAGGCTTAACCCTTGATCTTGAATAATTGAATGGAAAGCTAAATTATTAAATCTCATATTACTTTGGGCGGCAATGACCTCAAGTTTATCCAGAGCTTTAAGGCGTTGATTTCAAATGTCTGCATTGTATTACCGAGCTATTAATGTAAGAATCGCGTGCAAGATTGTTCACCGTGGCAACCAAGCCGGTAACAAAACAACAAGACGGAATGACCGCGTGACCTCGCCTCCAACATACTTGAACGAAAACAAAGAATAAGAGAGTGCGAATGTACGGTGATCGGTACGAAATAAAAGAACTCTGAAAACTTTCACCTACATACGAGGGCTGGCATTTATGTATTCGGAATAAAAAAGTGAAACAAACATATAGCCTTTATTATAGTTTTATTGCTTTGCAAAACATTTGCCGTGATGATAGATGCATTACATACGTTGGAACCAATATTCGTAGCACTTTTTCCATTCTGATTGTAGTATCTCCAAAACGTGCATTTTGAACGAATCAACAGCCTCTTCACGGCTGTAAAAACGTTGAATACGTAATTTATTCTTCACGGTTGGGAATAAATAGAAGTCGTTTGGGGCCAAGTCAGGGCTGTACGGCGGATGACCCGTTAATTCGATCTTTTGATTTTCCAAATACTGAGTTGATTCGGGCGATGTGTGGCAGCTAACATTGTCATATTCTTGTGCAAGGCATATAGGACGGTTAGCACTGAGGCTTTGCCGGTGTTGGCGGGTGTGCTTCCGGTCGATCTCGAGGTGCAGAGACGTGCAGCCATGTACTATTCAAGACAACAAAACATGGAATGCGATTGTTTTGGGCGCGCGGGATCGCGGTAAAATTACAAGATTGCTTCAACAGCAGCCCGATGTCTATAATGACCTCATAGACGAATGGCAACAACGCTGGGATGAATCATCCAAAGGGCGCCATCTTTACCAATTCTTTCCATCTGTTCGCGAACGGTTGTCGAGGACATGGCTTGAGGTGGATCACTGTGTCGCTCAGTTTCTTACGGGTCATGGTAACTTTAAGAGCAAGCTTTATTCATTTAAATTAGTCGAGTCACCATTGTGTCAATGCTCAACACCTAACTCTCGCTATGAACAGTCTGCTCATCATATCCTCTAGGAATGTAGTCTTTGGTATAATGAACGTAATATAATGCTGACTAGCTTGCAGGTGACATCTGGGGCGGTATACTATGGGGATCTTGTGTCAACTAGGGTGAATTTCCGTGCGTTTAGGCGATTCTGCCATACATATTATAGAAATCAAATATAGCTCACGTAGGACCCGTAATATTTATAGCCGTGGTGCTTCCCTGTATAAAAGGGTGTATGCCCATTTCACTTCATTTTGTCTCCCGCTTTGCTAAGGAGGGAAGTGGATTTACTGTATTTCCAACTCCTCCAATTTTCTTCTGATTAATTTCGTTGCGGGTTCCAAGACAGTTTAATTTCTTCCTGGGACTTCCCGAGTGTCATAACTCGGTGTGTTCGTAGGTCACTGCTGTGGATCCTGGTGTACAGAAGTTACAGTGGTGGGCGTGGGGGTGGGATTAGTCCCATAAAAAAAAGCTAACATTGTCATAATGAAGAAGGATTCTGCGTTGTTGGTTATTTTTTCTTATTTCTTCAAAAACTGGCAAATAAATGGTCGTGTACCATTCAGAATTAGCCTTTTTACGATCCTCTAGTGGCGTAGAATAAAATAAGAGACCATTTGCTTTAAAGCGCTTTTTGAACGAATGACTTTTGTTGGGTTCGGCTCATCTTGGAATACCAAAACCGTTGATTGTTGTTTAGGTTCAGGATCATATGCATACGAGTATAATTGGTTACTGTGTCATCGGATCGCTACCAACCTATTAGCATGTATGCATCGTAATTGCGCGCTTTTTTTTACATATTGATTATAAACAAAATATGCTAATAAATAAGTATTTTAATATTATTAGGCTGTGTAAATTATATTGTTTATATTAAATGTTTTATTTACAGTACGTAATGATTACTACAGGTAAACTCATTATAATAATGTTTTTTGAGCTTTGACAATTGGCAGCATTGATTTAATTATTTAATATTCGATGACTTCCGGGTTCTAGAAAGTAGAGGGTCAGTTGGTCAGTTGGTGCCGGTGCAAGATTTTGTGTTGTTTTGCAATGAGTCCCGCTGATTTTATTTTGAAAGTATCAATATTAGTTTTGTTGTGGAGTGTGTGTGTGTATGTGTGAAATTAGGTTTCTTACTAGTGCTTTAATTATATTGATTTATCGATATTAACATTCATAATGCCGCGAGTGACCTTTACAGCCGCGGAGTATACTGACATGGTCCTAATTTACGGGAAATGCCATCAAAACGCTTTTTTAGCTTAAAGTGTTTGTCCTACAGACGGTCTAACTTTTGTTGTGGTTGTCAGGAAGCGTTTTAATCACATTTTTGGTGAACAGTGGATAGGACGCTATGGGCCTACACGATGGCTACCTAGATCACTAGATCTCACGCCTTTAGATTGAAAACCTAAAAATTTAAATTAGATTTACATTAATTTGATATACTATTGTATGTATGATGTACTAAACTGGTGTACAATAAAGTTTATTCTATTCTATTTTATTAAATAAAATTTTAAGGAAAGATTGATTTAGTGAATAAAAACAGTTGCGAGCGGTATTCATATTTTAGTAAATTGATAAAGTGATTTTAAATAAAAAGCAAGTGAAGTAACTGATTAGTGATAAGAATGTAATATTCGGCAAATCGACGCGGCACCCGCGCCGTCGCGTCGCCGCGTCGCTAGGCTCGTTTCGTTGTTGGCGCCATTTTTGCATCGCTGCCGTCGCGGCGTCTACAGGTGAGTGACCCGCGTGATCAATGGTGCTCCAATTTGACAATATTTTATTGTATTTATTTTGTTCTAAATTTGCATTTCTGTATTTTATAAAAAAAAAATTTTTTTTTCATTTTAACCTACTTATATTGACCTGTGTAATCCACCATTCAAAGGGTTGTTATAACTCTGGGGCCACGTTGTATATGATTTATCACCTGTGTAGATATTATAGACAGCTTTTGACGCACCCTGATTGTACTTTTGTAAAAAAAAATACACCAATCAACATAAGCCCTTTTTGGTCAATTCCCAAGTTGTGCGGAATCCAACGGGGACAAATTTTTTTTACAGCTAAATGTTCATGTAATATTTTATATATACTCGTCATACTTATTCCCAGAGACGCTTATATCTTGCGATATGTAACATGACAATCTTGCATTATTAATTCTTGCACAGTATCAATATTTTGAGGTACAACAACCGATTTAGGGCAACCTTCTTTAAATTCGTCCGTGAACACAGACCGCCCTCGATTAAACTCACTAAACCAGTGAGTGATACACAGTTGTTTTTGTTGATGTGAAAAGTCGAAGTAAGCTGATCGGTGCACTGTTTTTGAGTTAGCCCTCGCCGAAAATCGTAATAAATCATAGCACGAAAAAAAGTTAAATCCATAGTGATAGACACCATTTTTCAAAATTTTGCCACAAATGATAAACAAATGACATCTATATGAAATAAATTGCATTTGTATTGAGTTCCATTTTTAAATGTTATAATTACTTTTTTAATATTGTTCTGTAACTAGCCAGTTCCAGATACATAAATAGCAGCCCTCGTATAAACGTCAAAGAATAAAAAAAATACGTCCTAAAGTTTTCAAACTAAATATACACACCCGCTATAATGGAGATTTTTTCAGAATGGAATATTAAGTGTGTGATCATTATTTTACACATTTTTAGCACAATACATCTTAAACCCAATATGTCAACAATTATACTAGGTTCATAAATACCAAGAACCCGAGACTACAAATCCATAAGCAACATTACATAGGTATTTCTCAAATAATTCTTATCAGTGGTTTATCAAAGCTAAACAGTTAATCTGTTATATGACGTCATACTAGGCAATATGGGAAAAAGATAGATTCGGAATGGTATTATTTAACTCGAGCGTGACTGTTCGACCTCAGTTCACCCTCGCACAGCAGGTATATGGTGGTAATGTGCCGTGGCGTGATAAATTAACAGCGCTATCACAAGCGATGTGCGAAAACGATATCGCTTTGATCATTTTCCCGATATTGCATTTGCTTATGTGAAGACTATTATTACTTAGTGGGTATAAAAAAAATTGTTTGATTTTTTTTTATGAAAACCAATATATAGGTATTTTCATTATCTATGTAACTTACATTGTCTTTCTTATATTAGGTACTACTTCTAATGTCTCTAGAAAGAGAAAGATATGATGAGTGGATGCTCGTGAAGGACATTTTGACTGGTTTTGTGAGATAAGTTCTTGCTATAAAAACCAGAACCAAAACCAGCAGAATCAGATTGTGTAGACACAATCTGATTCACACACTGATACAGCGGGTGACAAGTTGCAGCTAGCTAATAGCCCATAGGTAACTACATGCGATTCTGTTTTATTTTTGTTAAATTCAGATTTTTGAATTTTGTTAATTTGGTGTATAAATCTATGGTATGGTATTAATCTAATCAGGAAACCCTGTAACCCGTAACAATGTTGTTAACCACGATAACATCCCAATGAAGACAATAGTAGTGTGCTGAGCAGACAATACTCACCGCCGTATATAGCAGCTCGCGCTTCGCTGATGATCTCAGCAGAAGTCTTGCGTCGCAGTGGCGCGTAAAATGGTGCACCGGCACCACGTCGAGCTCCCCGCTCACTCATGATCTATCCTGTATTAGGCAAACATGTACGTATTTTATAAATGTTTCATAAAACTACTAACTCAGAATAACTCTTCCTAGGTTAGTGAAAGTAGTTAAGAAATTTAATTTTAAATGTATAATAATGATTAACTTTCAGTCGAGTTGAGAACTCAGTAAGTCTTTCTCCTTTTTAAGTCGAAGTTGTTATTATTTTTTAAGCATTACCACAATTAGGTCGGACTTTAATAAAAAGTGTCACCCGAAAATGTTTAAGATACAAGACAAGAAAAGAAAAACAATATTCAGTCAGTTAGTCAGTCGCATCATTAAGAGTATACATAGTCGTTTGTTTCTTTTTTATGGTCTGTGTTTTACATTTGTAATACTCGTAGGATGTCGTTTAATTTTGTTAAAATTAGCATAGATATAAGCGATTTGGTGTACACTGAGATGCTTATATGTTATTAATAAGTTTTTTAGCCCCAGCAGTTTAGGTTCTGTGTTGATTTGATGAATCAGTCAGTACAGTACAGTCTCAGGTTTAGCCTCAAATTCAGTCAGGGCACATAATTTTTATATGTATAGATATATATTCATCAAAATAAGGCGTAGTCACACCTACCTACATATATTTCACCTAAATGAAAAAGCCAGACAGACAGAAGCGGCCATCTGATGGCCCAAGACAGACAACAATAATTAGTTAAATTACTAAAATAAATATATGTCAGTAGAGCCTTGTAAAACTAGGCCGACATGAATAAATAACACGTGTCTGTACTGACAGCAATTTGTTAAAGTGATGATGACCCAATTGATGTTATAATAACTGTTCGTTGTCGTGCTACATGACATGTTTTTGCATTTGTAATCGTCGGCTTTTTAGGTCGATATTGTTTGTATTAAAGGATAACAAAAAAAGAGTTATAAAATAATATTCATGATCATATAATATATTTACATACATATTTATAATACATTTTAACAAGGTACTACTTGAGGATCCAATAGCTGGTAACTCTTACTTGCTTAATTTTTTTAATAAAGCTCTTTGTCAAAGTTTTCCTCCAAACAGGAGGTTTGAGCTTAGGGGAAATAAATTATTTATTTGGGAAAATAAATCGCATCAATAAACAACAATAAGATCAGAAATGATATTGTTTCGGAATACTTTGAATTTTATGTGTCTTTATTCCAGGCTGTTAAAAAGTACAGACATACCCGTTGCACCATATTGTTTAAAATTAATTAAACCTAAACAAAATTTTGATTATTTTTTACTTGATTTGTATTGTAATCAGCTGATAAACATGACGCAGGCTTTTGATTATGTTAGACATGATACTTTTTTAAGGAAGCTCGAAGCATATGGGGTAATGTGCTAGATCTATTCAAATCATACCTGGTCAATAGGAAACACTACACAGAAATTTCCAGAATGAATATAAAGAGTAAACGTGAAGAAACACATCAGTCTGAGCAGCGAAATGTAATTTATAGCGTTCCTCAAGGGAGTGTAATTGCACCTTGCTTTTTACACTCTATATTAATGATTTACCAAAATCTGTTCCCTACCATATGAAGTTATTTGCAGATGATAGAACATTGACAATTTATAATGATAAAAATGACATAACTAATTATAAAAATGATATAGATAATTCACTGAAATCTATTATTGACTGGTTAGAAATAAACAACTTGCACTTTAGTCAGCGATTAGATGCATCAAGGACTCTACAATATGAGGATAGAGTAGTGGAAAATGTAAGCACAACAACGTTTCTCGGCTTATTAATTAATAATCATTTAAACTGTAAGCCATATATTAACACACTGTGTAAAAGGATTAGTGGTACTGCCTATGCCTTACGTGCCCTATAAAGTATAGTTGGCAAAGACGCACTTATTACAGCCTACCATGGGCTATCTGCACCCCTCTTACGTTATGGACTGATGTTCTGGGGTAACTTAACTGATGCTGTTATAGCATTTAAATGCCAAAAAAAGGTGCATTAGATCAATGTTTAGGCTAAGAATTATAGATAGCTGTAAAGCGTATTTACAAAAAATAAAATACTAACGCTACCTAGCCTGTACGTCATTGGGGTTGAGGTGTTTGTGAAATCGAATCCGCACTTATTTCCCGCCTTAGAATCTCACGAAATAAGCGAGATAATAGTAGACTCCGACTCCGTGCACAAATCTACAACGGCTTTTATGCGCAAGTGTCATCTGCATGTCTCCAATAATTTTTAATAAATTACCTATAGACTGGAAGAGGTTGAATAATATTGCATTCAAAAATCGCCTTAAAGACTTTCTTATACAAAAAGCATACTATAGTGTTACAGATTTTTTCGCAGATGGCGTTCAGTAAATACTTGAATAATGTAATATAATATTAATATGTAATCTCTTTTTTAATCAATATTATTTGTGTATTTTTAATTTTAATAATAAAAATATGTTTTTTTTATTTGTACGCCGTAAAAGAAACGGGTAAACACGTTGGAACAAATTTAATTTTTTATTCTTTGCACGTGGTTATACAATACGTGGTTTATATAACAAATAAATGATTTTTATTTCATTTGAATAAAGTCGTGAAAATGACAAATTAAAATTCTAAACTGTTTTAAATACCTACTGAACACAATTTTACTGTCAATTGATTACATTCGGTGATTCATATTCATTCATGATAAGTTGGTTAAATGTATGTTACATGCAAATAAAAAGATAAAGTGTGCTTGGGATTTGTATTGGCTAAATTAGTTGCATAAAAATAATCAATTTTTCATTTTTATGGACTGATATTCGAAAAAAATCCTGTAGGTCAGTATGCTATAAAAAGGAAAATTTTGTTTGCCGGTTTGTAATAACTATATGTAGTTACACATGTTATAAAAACATGTGTTAACTTTAAATGGAATCGACTAATAAATATAGCATTATTGCTGGTCCTATACAAATAAACTTCTAACATTTTTTTTAAATCAACACCGGGAGTTGAATCTAATCAAGACTATTTCAATTTTCTAATTTATTTGTCAAAAGGTTAGTGATTTACGATTTTATGCAACTAATTTAGAAACCGCTAATGTAAGCCATTTCGATGACCAAATCTGACTCACGATTTAAAACACCATTAGCGAAAGAAATCAAGCACGCTGGCGCGCTGGCGTGCTGGCGTCCCGAGGGTAGGCGGGTGATGCGAGCTACGAGCTACGATAAACTGCTACGAAAATTGTAGACCTCCCACTACAAACACGGGGCTTAACCGACTAAATTCACGCACCAATCACTTAAGTTCCTCAGTAACTTTAATTGGATATACGATAAATTATAAACGAATGAGATTGTTATATTTCGAAGTTTCCTATACTCGTATTCTTAGATAGTGTTAAAAAGTATACTATTATGTGCGCAACAGCTCCGTTGCTACTCCACAGTGCTTGGTTTAAAAAAATGTGACACCTATCTATCGCCACCTCCATCAATTTAAGAGTCAAGCAAAAAAATATTTTCTTTTTATATAACTGAGTGGAGATTCGGTCCACACTATATATCGATATGGGCCAAATAGAACAATGAAAAGATGCTTTTAGGCAATTCAGTCCGCGGGCCGAAACGCCCCAACACCCCAAAAATGAAACGTCAAAACGCGGTCGTTTTGACGTTTCATGAAAAGCTGATTTGACTTGACATTCAATCTTCGGAGGCTTGGTGTAATTACACACATCAAAAAAGTCTTAGCTTTCATTAAAATAAAAGTTAACATTTGTTTTCTTTAATTGATAAACTTGGCATTTATCTCAGTTTTATCATTTTGAGATATACCGTGTATCACAAATAAATGATTTGATTTGATTTGATTTGATTTGACCGTTTTTATTTAGATTGGGCGGTGAGTCATTTTTACGTCAAAGAGCGACGCTATTTGACTGCTGATGAAATGCAGAGCTGTAGGAATGCTACAAGCGGGCAGAAATCAGTAACAGGTATCACGGCATTTTAGTGTCAATAGGAGCGTAATTTGTCGTCTTTGGCAGCGTTATGTTACAGGGGATCCTGCTAAGCAGCACTCAGGATGTGGAAGGAGTACAACTGCTCGACAGGACGGATACAGCGAACTGCAATACGTCAGCCATTAACCGCCCGGGAGATACGTTTAAAAGCTACTATTCTCAAGCGGTTTTGTTGTTAGCTACCAAACCGTGAGAAATAGGCTGCATGAATACGGCCTACGAGCACGACACTCAATTAGGTGCCCACTTGTACGCCATTTGAATCGCACCCGTCGAAACGTGTGGTGTAGGGAACACTTGACGTGGACACAGGAGCAATGGGATAAAATTTTATTATGCTAAGAGTCCTGGTTTGGATTTATGCCTGATACGAGAAGGGTAAGAGTGTATCGTCGTTCTGGAAATACTAAACGGCTGAGATGCGTCCAGTAAGTACACACCCTTACAGTGGCTCCACAGTGATGGTGAAGAATGAAGAACAGACGAACTGAGCTCGTTTTTGTAGATGGTAATATGAACGAATAAAGGCAATATGAACTTACGTTGAAGATGTCCTCTGGCCTTATTTTCACCTATTTGCACAGTCTTGTCTCAGATTTTACGCTGATGCATGACAATGCGCGTTCGCACACAGCTCGGAGAATCAGAGAGTACTGTGCAAAGGAAAACATCCGGGTATTGCCGGGGGGCCTGCACTATCGCCAGACCTTAATCCCATAGGAGTACGCATAGGGCATGTCCCAGAGACGTGTTCTAGAGAACCTGGACGGATTGTCGGAGGACGGATTTCATTGGGAGCGATTACCGCAGCATCAGATCAAAAGTTTAATTCCGTTTTAACTTTCTTTTATACGAGTACTATGTGTGTTATCTACAGTTTTATATTGTTAAATATTGTGATTAAATGAATAATTGAATGAAGCATTTTGTTGCTTTAGTTACTAATGCATCAAAGAATACTAAGTTATAGGTGCTAATTCTGTTGTTAGAAAACTCTCTAAACTAAAAATCAGTAAAAATTTGTTTAGTTCTGTCAAACAACGTTTCCTATTCTGAAAACGTAATATTTGACAGGACAAACATTATTTTTAGTGATTTTTAGTTAAGATTAGAGAGTTTTCGAACAACAGAATTATAAAAGAAATTGAAATACATTACAATAGTAAAAAAATTCAAAAGTTCAAACCATACATGTTGCTTAGTCTTTTTTTGATGTGTGTATTTCTATCGATACTTTGTGGTTTTAATCATCGGAATATTACTATAGTTTATTAGATAATAAAGGTCGGGGTATCTATCTAATCAAAGGCTTAGCTAGGAGTACGCAGATACAGATATCGAAGCTACTTAACTTCTTGCAATGTAATGCTGTGTAACCTGAAACTATCACCCATAGGTAATTTTCCGAATCGGTCACATAAATTTTAAAAACGTTAAAAACTCTTCCCAATTTCAAGTTCACGAAACCAGGCGTAAAAGTTAGTAAATAAAATTAATTGAAGATATGTCCGTCCGTGTGGTGACGGATTAAGAATACAAATTGTCACCACCCCAATTCATCCCGTGGGTGTCGTAAGAGCCGACTAAGGGAGCAAACTAAACAGGACAACGGCACTGCAAAGAGAAGGAAATCTTGAAACAAACCCTATACCAACCCGTCTGGCCAGCGTGGTATAGTAGGCCAAAACCTCCTTTCTAAGGAGAGGCCTATGTCCAGCAGTGGACTAATATAGGCTGTTGATGTTGATGATGTATATATACATATGACATTCATAATGAGACCTATTAATTTAGGTCACATATATAGGTACATATCTTCAAACTTTGAGGATAGCTATACAATTAAATTTAAATTAATTCTAAGTATAAATATAGCCTTTAGCCTATAACAGATATAAAAAACTGTAACGATACAGACGTAGATAAGGCTTTTATAGCACAAAACGGGGCATTAGGTCCATATGTGATATCGCTCCGGACGTATCTTGACTTAACGACCATATTTTGAAAAAACTAAGATCCTTACCTACATTACTGTGCTTGTACATCCTCGAGGTATGCAAATTTATAAAACAGCACCCTCAAACATTTAAGCAAGCGAATGATGTTACCAAAAGGAACTACATTAGAAATACAAATAGACTACTTGTGTTGAACATGGTACCTAGGTCGACCAAATTATAAAAAATAGTTACGCGATGTGCGTTAAAGTCTTCAATAAAATCCCAGAACAATTCAAAGAACTATCCTTAAATAATTTTGTCCCAGCCCTGAAAGATTGATTAATTACTAATACATTTTATTAGGTGAAAGACTTTTTGAATGGTGGATAGTAGTAGGTATAATGAATAAAAGTTAAATTATAATTAATACATAAAAACTGATAAATAGTAACAATAATAATAATATACTTATGTAATACCTATATGCCATGCCATGCCAAGCCTTTAATGGTCCACTGCTGGACATAGGCCTCTCCTTAGAATACATAATACAATAAATACTTACCTATATAACCTATTTAAAGAAAATGTTAAATTTGCATGTTATTTTTCAGATGTAGATACTACCCTATTTATAGAAAATATACGAGTATAATTTGAATTTGAAAAGTGCCGGTCTTGCGTCATTTTTATTTTTTGTAGTCGCATTTTATGTTTTCAAATTCAGTATTTGATAAACAATTCTTTTTCAATTAGAATATACTCTTTTTGTCATAGTATGCTGTAAATGTGAAAATGTCCAAGAAAGGCTATGATAGAAGTAAACGAACAGAAATATCAACACAACAAAAGATATAGAGAGAACTCATTTAAAAACGAATTGCGAACAAAAAAATTTAAGTAACACGCTGATTGCGTGTTACTTTTATTTTATATTTTTTTTTTAATTCTTAGCAGTAAAATGTTTGTGTGTGGAATTTTACTTGCATTTTTTTCGGGTCGGTGGGCGAGATACCTTTACATTTAAAATAATTCAATGGGGACTTTTTAATCAAAAATAATATTCAGTATGTATAATAAAAACACACTAAAGTTTTAGTTTAAACCTTAAGCATTCTATTATAATGTATATTATGGTTAAAAACAACTTACCTCTGGTCATTCTTGCAAATGCCTGTTCTGCAGGTGAAACACTTTATGTTATGTTAATTAAATATAACACGTATGGCATGTTTAAATCAAAGTTAATCTATTTAAAATTTTAGCAAAAATTGATTTTAGACGAGAAGCATAGCGTAAATTATCTTTGTAATTGTATTATGATTATAGTTTCCAAGGATACTTGATTCAAAACATTGTCAGTTATTTGTATAAGGTATGAATTAGGATGGAGAATAGTCATTAAACATTACTAATGGCTCAAATAAATGTAATAAAAGGACACTTACTAATTAACAAAAGTTAGTATTCATTATAAAATCGTAGATAAAGTATTAAAAATATTTTTTTAAATAACTATACAATCACAATTCACATTATACCTAAAGAGTCCAAAAATAAATATTATTATATAATTTAGAGACCCTAAAATCTTTTAAATAATAAACACACAATAATAGTATAACAACTATTTGTTTTTCTAGTTTTAAATTGCCAAACGATATTTCAAATTGACCGCCATATTAATCATAGTGCAGGTAAACATTTAAGTCTCATTGGACTTTCCTGACATTTATTCGACTAATGTTACTTCGTATGATGAATAATTTAGTCGATAACATTAATTGATTCGACTACTTGCTGACTACCGCTACTTTCTAAAATTAAATTCAAATGTGAGTTTCTTTTGGTTACACTTTTACACTTCAATTTATGACAACTGATTTGTCATGATATTTTGCATACATGTGGCAGGGGTAGTGAAAAGGATTCAGAACACGTTTCATCCAAAGAAACTGTGAAAGGGAAGAAAATAACTTTTACGCTAGCAAAGCTAAAGCGTAAACCAATGATGTTCTCGATAATACAGCGTAATAGAAAGTAGAGGTCAGCTTAGCTTGGCTTGGCTGTCGATAATTGTAACATTACACAGAGGTATAATGTCTAAATTATAGAGACAAGTTAAAGTTATTTTAACAAGTACATCTCACATTTAAAAGTGACTGCAGTTTAATGTTTGTAACTAGGAGAAAGAAAAATTTCTTGCAAAATATAACTCAAATTCCGATGTTTGACAATTTGTTCAAATGTGGTCTTAAAATAAGCTGCCATTGGTCACGAGCAAATGTCAAACGCACATTCTCTATTTCAAATAATGCAAAGAAGAACTTGCAGAATAGATTATTGGATTTTGCACAACATTTAATCCAACCGCTTTAATTGTTAAGCTTAATTTAATGTAATGTACAATTTCAAAAAATCATAACCAAAGAAAAATGTATAATAATTTATTATTAATTTTATAGTATAACTAATATATGACAAAAAGAGATATTAAAAAAATAATACAGAATATTATTTACTTATACATATATGTTAGACTAATACTCTTATTAGTTTATAGTTTTAGTATAAATAGTATTGGATGGGTATTTTACAGCTTGAGAGAAAACTACTGTCTTGATTCACTATTTAATATATTAAATATTCCTAATATATATGGGTATGTGTGTATTTGTAAATGTGTAATGTCCATAGATGTATATTTGTGTATGAATGTGTTTGTTTATTTTTATTTAGAAATATTCACGTGATAATGTGTTACGTGTATGTATACTACCCTAAACTGTTAAATACCTAAAATCCGTATTATGGAAGTCTGGAAGAGATAACTGTGAGCGATAAGACCGCCGATTGTTACGTCTACTTATTTGTGCCTCATCTTTTGTTATTTTCTATTAAAGTGTATACAATAAAGATATAAAATAAATAAAAAGGAAACTAATTATGATACATAAGTAATAATTTAATATTCGTAATATCTAAAAAAATGTTTTTGTTTAGTTGAAACTGTAGCGACTATTGGAGTAGGGCGGTTAGTCGTTAATGGTTTACTGGTGGTTTTAGATGTTGAATCTGGTGGAGAGTTAATTTCATTGTTGGCGACACTATCGCTCTAACGTCAAAACTGTCAGTCCAGGCAAGTCTATTTTCAGTAACCGCATGGTTGCTTTGTTATTATTAATACCATGCCGCTGAATTATCAGTGCTCGTAACTAGTTACATCTGGTTTGTAAACTCAAACTTTTTAGTGCTTTTTAAAGGTTTACAATTAGGAGAGATGGATCAAAGAAAAGAACTGGTTAGTTCAGAGTTATGCAGGCTCTGTCTAAAAGAAGCTGGGGAAAAAAAATTGTTTGAAAAGCGAGATTTGGTAGAAGATATTTATCTATGTACAGGTGTAAAAGTGAGTACAAAATGTTATTTACTCAGCTACTATAATTTACATAAAATATTTTTAACCCGGAAGTCGTAAACAAATCAGCACGGATGGTAATTATTAATGCATACAGAAAACCAGTGTTAAGCAAATCATTCATTGCTTTTCATAGCCTAAATCCCTCTCCCTCTGATTCTGGCAATCATCATCATCAGCTTATCGCAATCCACTGGTGGACATAGGCCTCTCCCATTGCAAGCCACTTGATAGATTTTGAGCATAATGATACCTTATACATACTACTTTTAAAGGCTCAAAGAAAAATCTAATTGGTAAATGGAATTTAATCTTGTGTAAACAATATTTTCCATTATATTATGACAATGATGTGTTAAACGAGAAATTAGCAAAAAAATTTTTCCTATTAAGAAAGCCACATTTTATTCACTTTTTTGATATTCTGTGGCACTTATCTACAATTAGTATCTATTTTATATTTTTATTCAACAACATTACTGACTAACAATCCAGTTGACATTTTGTAAAAATAAATATTGTTGATGAGACTGCAAAAGTGTTTGAGAGCATTTTGCAAAACTGCAAATCACTCTTTTCTAAATTTTACAGGAGGAAGAAATAATTGATTATCTTGGTCAATACTTATAAAAATGTACATCCAACTTGTAAAAATATCTGAAAAGATTTACTTGCAGAAATAAATATCAATTTATCATTGTTTTTAATAGAATTAATTTTTGTATTTGAACTTGTTTTTGCAATTACTTTGCATGGTATTTTATAAAATACCATGCAAAGTAATTGCATATATGAATGTGTTAAAATTTTACATTATCTCTATTAAGTTTTAAGATATATCACTGTGTTATTGCTGCCTAAAGATAGGGATTTTTTTCTGTTTTAATAGTTCAGCAGTTTTGAAATTAAACAGTTTATGATTTTAAAATCATTTATTGACAAAAATGGAGTGACGCTTTAACTCTCCAAGAAAAGTACTTCTAGAAAAAAAACAATTGTTTTTAGGCAGAAATAATGAAAATAAAAATTTTCTTATAGGAACCACTATATTATAGCATTTGGAACATAAATGTCAAGATGATAATCACATCACACGCTGGCCAGATGGGTTGGTATAGGGTTCGTGACAATTTTTCCTCCTCTTTGCAATGCTGTTTTTCTGCGTAGTTTGCTTTATTAGTCGGCTCTTAAGACACCTGCGGATTGAATAGGGGTGGTGACACTCCATATTCTTAATCCATCACCACAAGAAAATCTAGAAATCTGACATACCCCTCTCATTTCATACTCTGATGCTTAATTTTATTATTTTCCTTTCTTTATCTTGAACAGATTTTTACTCATATTCTTCGATTCTTCTTTAATTTTTCTTTCAGGAAAAAAATAAATATTCTTTCGTTGACAGATAGACTAAAGAAGGATCAACCACTGAATCTTCAGATGATATAGCAAGGTCACTAATGATGCTCTATGACATTAACATTGAATTCATATGCTATGGGATCAAAAGATGTTGTAAGTCTAGTCAATTCTGGTGTATTATCATCATATTGACTCATGTTCTAAATGCTCTAATATAGCGGTTTCTTCAACTAATTGCAATTTAAGTTCATTTTTATTTTCATTACTTCTGCCTAATAATCGTTTCTTTTTTCCTAGTAGTACTTTTCGTGTTTCGTATAGGTAATACTTGTAAAGTCAAAGCGTCACTACAAGTACTTGCATTTTTTAAAGAAGACTGGTCACCATTATCTTGGTTTTCCATTGTAAGTTGGATCTACTTAGGATTATCACCCTTATCATCTGTTAAATAATTTAAAAAATATAATAGTAGACGTTATATAGAACACCACGTAAATAACGTGAACATCAATGTAATAACCACATCACTACAGATGATTATTAAACAGACTTAAATGTTGATATTCCTGACAAAACAGATGAATAACATTATTAATAACATGTAATGCAAATATAATACATATAATTACATGGTTATTCACTTCAACTTTTGTAAATACGCAATATTACAAACTGCTTGTACGCTCTTTGTAGTCTCATAGAAATTTGGATATTCTCTAAGCAATCTTTTTATAAAACAATTCTTTTTCAGATAACTAAATCGAATAACTTGCCTGGAAAGATATGTAAACAATGTTTGAAAACTGTCAGTGATGCAAAAAAGTTCAGATTAATGGTTCAAGATAATGAAATGCACATGAAAATATTATTTGATCATGAAGACTGTGCAACTGAGGAATTGGATGAGGTATGCAATATATACTTACTTTTTGATACCATCCAATAAAAATAGATTCCTTCGTTTCCACCTGTCAAAAACGGCGACAGGTGGTTTGACGACCGGATGGAGTAGTGGGTTCGATTTCCGTGTTGTGTTCCGATGTATATACACGGTGATTTTGAAAGCGTTTTGGAAAAGAAAATTTTGAATTATTTATCAGTAACAGAAGCTATATATAACGTTAATTTAATAATATTGTATATATATTTTTTATCATCAAAGTCGATATTCATATCGTTTACAGAGAAAAGGTGAGAACCAGTAGTAGGGCTTTTCAATCACAAGTAGGTAAATACTACGAATAGAAATACTATGCGTTTTAATATCGAGTTACATAAAATCGTATTCGCCATTAAAAACAAAGCTACCCAGTTGCGCCGGAGTCGTCCAACCAATGACGTCTGCCCCGTAGGCGCATGCGCGGGACTCACCTGTAATCGTGAGGCGTCCTTCGCTTTCAGTCGGTCAGTAATACCATAACATCGTGACGGCACGCTACATTGATTAGCGCTAAAATGAGTCGACAGTACGAATTTTCAAACGTGGAATACTTCTTGGCAATGGTACAGCTGTACGCTACTGCCAACTACAACTTGGAAGAGGCTCGGCGTTTGTATTCCCAGCCGGAGCATTGAAATGCACTACGGCTACGTGGAATTGAAAGCCCTCAAATTCCCTCCACACCTACCATCTTGGCTGCAACCCAACGTCTTCTCGACCACGGACAATTTCGTGCGCCTACTCACGCGCAAGGTCAAGGACGTTTAAATTATTATTCGCCGGAGTGTAGTGCGTGATCGCCTACTGTGCGCCTACTTGTGATTGAAAAGCCCTACTACTGGTTCTCAGCTTTTCTCTGTAAACGATATGAATATCGACTTTGATGATAAAAAATATATATATTTTATTAAATAAACGTTATATATAGCTTCTGTTACTGATAAATAATTCAAAATTTTCTTTTCCAAAATGCTTTCAAAATCACCGTGTATATATATATGTATTTATATCAGTTCTCTAGTACCCGTAGTACAAGCTCTGTTTAGTTTGGGTCTAGATGGCGTTGTGTGAATGTGGTAAAAAAAAAAAAAGTATGCCACGTTTTTTTAATGAAAGTCACACTTCATGAAGAGACATACAACAACACAGCGTAAATCACTTAGTGGCTTTTGGGTCTGTAATCTGCCAAAAGACCCAGGAGAATGATTAACATTGTTATGATACTGGATCCACTGCTTCTGTTTTTAGAATTTTTGTGGGCTTTTATAACATGTCCGCTGTTAGTAGTTGTTGTTGATATGTGGTAATGGGAAAATTAGGAGTAGAAGAGAAGGTAGCTTTTTTTACGCAGGGAATACAGAATTTTTGTGGGCTTTCATAACATGTCCGCTGTTAGAAGTTGTTGTTGATATGTGGTAATGGGAAAATTAGGAGTAGAAGAGAAGGTAGCTTTTTTTACGCAGGGAATACTTTTACCTACTAAACGTGGCAGCCTACTTCGGGAGTTTTAGGAACGCATCGGCGTCTTCTGGAGTCCACCCTGCCGTACCCAAAAGAGAAGTACCGAATGGTAGGCAAGAAATACTGTTTGAGTAGGTTGGGACCTGTAATTCGAACTGGCTGTTGGCAGAAATTCTGATCTGAACCCACTTACTACTATGACATACAAGATTATATTTTATAACTATGTCTATTTTTACAGCTAAGTAATGAGAAAGACAGCAGCACATGTACCACACAGAGTGGATCATCTATAGAAGATAAAGATACCACTGATGATGATGAAAAAATAAATGTACCAAACATAAGAGAAAAATCCATATTTGAACATGTATGTACTAATTGCACATGATGAGTATTATCCATTGTAGAACAAGGTTTTTTAAATTCAAACCTAAGAATACCCTAATTGAAACAAAAAAAAATGTGTTACATAAAGTCTCTTAACTTAACCAACTACTACATTTGATAACTTGTCTTTTAGACATAATTATTATTGTCATGTTTTTTTAATATTTATATTCTCAGTTGTATGATTTGTCAAAAAAAATACCCTTCCTTTTACCTATACTACATTCTCTGTAGACAGCTAAGACAGTAAATTTTCCAATAAATAAACTAATTTCTTGTTCAATTACAGGATACGAAAAATCAAATTGCCGTTAGAAAAGACTTGTTCTACTCTTCAATTATGGTAAGTACAATAAATTACTTGAACCAGCAAATTAATTGCTCAGGTTATATTAATATGTTTTATGTACTGAAAAAGTCATACAGAATACTAGATTACTAGTGGTCGCCCAGTGGTCGAAATTAGACCATAATTCATTAATTTTTGAGTTTGAACTTTATTAGGGACAGATTAAGAATACGAATTGTGACCACCCCCATTCATCCCGTGGGTGTCGTAAGAGCCGACTAAGGAAGCAAACTACGCAAGACAACAACACTGCAAAGAAAAGGAAAACTTGACACAAAGCCTATACTGTCAGTCAGTAGTACAACCTGGTCTATGACGATAACAAAAAATTGTATGTTCAGTCATTACCTGTATATGTAAAAGTAAGTAATTTTCATTACAGAATTCTGAGTCGAAAAACTGCACATTCATAGAAGGTACGAAATACGGTATATCAAAAACCTCTATTGTAAACGCGGACAACGATGTGAAAGTTACATACACATGCGCAGTAAGTGCCAGTATATAAATGTTAAGTTAGTATGTGTACGAGAACTCAAAAAGTTCTGCACCGATTGAGCTCAAATTTCGATACGATATACAACCTGATTCCAAGATTGTTTTTATCTATTTTTACCGTTAGTTTTTTTCTTCATATCTCAGCAATGGTACCACAATGTGCCACAGCGAAGCGTGGCAGGGTACAGCCAGTAATAATAATAATATCGTTTATATCTCCTCACTATAAAGAATTATTTATACACATAAAAGTGAAACAAAGCTTTGTTATTTTTAGTGCTGCCTAGCTAAGAACTAAGCAGGTTGATATTATCTTCTTCTTCTCTCTCTTTCTTTATCTCTTTTAATTATTGTCAAATTTCTCAAACTGAAAGTCTTCTTTAGCGTAAGAGAGAAACTATAATCTTAACGAAAGTTATCGAAAGCCACATAGTCTGAGTTTCTAAACTAATTTTAACCACCTTCAAAAAAGAAAGAGGAATTCAATTCAGTTGTATTTTTAAAATGTTGATTACTTCTAGAACTCCTGTCCCTTATGAAATTGAGTTTAAAAAATTCTTGTTTTGATTTGGGAGACTGCGCTTCCTGTTTGGTCCCAATCAATTTCGAAGAAAAAAGTACCTCTAAGGATGGAAATAAGGAATTAAAAATATAGTTCATAATAATTCGTCATGATGTAGCCACATTAAGTTTATTATATGTACGATTTTTTTATTTGGGTTTACTAATAAATGTTATTTTATTGTTTAGGAGTGTCCAAAAACGTTCTCATCATGGAAGAAAGTATACTGTCACCAGCGGGTACACAATAAGACTGTCGTATGTTCAAGAAAGGATTGTGGAAAGAAGTTTGCTACAAAGAATGATATGGTGAAACATATGAGAACGCATACGGGCGAACGTCCATACACCTGCGACATATGTGATAAGGGCTTCACACAGCGAGGTACCCTTAAAATTCACAAAGAATCTACTCACTGATCGCTATGTGAGTCCCCTTTAGTCCTATTTGTAAAGGATTACGACTAAATATTATAAGTGAGTTTATAGCTGAGGACTACGAGTCTTTGGTGCACTAAGAGGTTTCTGGGCAGGAAGACATTGTTGCAGTTAATGTTGCCAGTACATGAACTATGAAGGCGAAGCAAAACAGTGTGTACAGCTTTTTGATAGATGATACCAGGGGTGGATAAGTAAATTTGTCGGGCCCTGGGATAATACTTTTTGTTGACGAGGTGGAAAATACCTTCCTATCTCTGGCGCATTGGGGGCGCAGGAGCTAGGAGTATGTGGTGTTCAATCAACTCCGACAGCCATCCACAGGCGCTCTACTCGGGGAAGGACCCGGAGCCTGTAATTTTAAGTTCCACTCAGATCGACGACCTCCTCACATCTGAGGAGACCCTACACGATCATTCTTCATTCTTAATTTTAACTTAGAAATAGGAATACCTGCATGAATCGGTAGGAGCCCAACCTTCCTCCCTACTCCCACTCACACTCCCTACTCTCACTACCCGCTCTTCGAGGTTAGGCAGAACGACACGGACAGGGCGGTAGCACACACCCCGTGGCTGTTCTAGCCGCGCGCGCCTCTGCACCACTGCTGTGTGGGTGTTCCACCGCATTTCGAGCCCCGTCTTGAACCTGCTCGCTTTCACCCCGGTGGGTCGCAGGAGTCTAGTCCCTAGCGCACATATCTTTCAGAATATCAAAAAGTGGGAAATGTGCCAGGACTGTCGCCGCCTCTAACGAGTTGGTGCGGTATCCTCTTTCAATCCGAATGGCTGCTACCTGCTGCACCTGATTGAGTTTAGCTCGGCAGCGGAAGAAGGCCGCTTGGTCCGTATCGCCAATCCATAGAGGGCCATGGGCCATATGACCACACAGTAGAGGCGGCGAACTTCCTTCCGCGGATCCACTAGATAAGTCAGCAGTCTCTGTAGAGCCTGTCATCCCGCATAATTGGTGTATCTTCGACCTCGATCTCTGTTCCCCCTACTCTAATGAGAGAGCGGACGGAAACTGCATCTCCATATTTCCTGTGTCTTCACATACAATGAGGTAGTGGTGCTGTAGTGCTACCCATAGGCCCAAGACTCGGTGAGCTGCAGGCCGGCAACGTGCTTGTGACTCCCGAGTTGCAGACGTTCATGGGCGGCGGTAGTTGTTTTTTATCAGGTGACCCGTCTGCTCTTTTGCTCCCTCTTCCATAAAAAAAAGTATGTATGTATGAAACCTCCCTTCCACGTTCTTCACCGTATCATTTATATACGATATTGATTTGTTGATTATATTAATTTAAAAATCATATATTAATATAATCATAAAACCCTTACGATATGATTTTTTAATTATAGATTTTCAATGGGGACGGGGGGTTTCTTTGTATACACGGGGCCCTGGGCTGCATCCCATAAAGCTCATAGGTAGACCCGCCCCTGGATGTTACTAATGTCTATTGTGGACGTTTATGAAATAAAATGATCTCATTTAAGTTACTTGTTTCAATTGTTACACTATGAAGTTAGTTTTTCAGTAAATGATTTAGAATGTCAGACATAATTGAATTGCATTGGATCAATGTGTTTCGATGTCTTTTATTTTTTTAATTGCCTACCTTTTTAATGTCACTTACGTATAGTATTTATATTCAAAACATATATGAGTATCTCATTAACTAGTCGCTCCTCTAATCTCATACTATAAATAATTTACTCATAAATATATTTCTGTTCCATAAACTTACAGAAAATAGGGTGTTGCTCAGCACTGATTTTCTTTGACTTTTTATTTTAAAAAGAACTCCCACATTAGGAATATAATCTGTCGCGGGGGACTTTACAAACATACATGAAACGCACATAAACAACACCCAGACTCAAACAATTTGTGGATCACAGTGTCGTTCCACGTGGGGATCGGACCCATAACACTCAGCGTAGTAGTATGCGGCGAGATGACCGTTTAAACCACTACCCCATCCGTGCAGTCGGGGAGGAGGGGGGGGGGGGGGCTCGTGCTTTTGTCACTTGAGTTACTGGTGTCCATGGGCGGCAGTCACTTCATCATTAGACGACTTGTTTCAGGAGTATATTAAAATTAACAATAATCCAATGACTTTTTATGGAAGAGGCGGCGAAACGATCAGATGGGTCACCTGATGGAAAGCGACCACCGCCGCCTCTGAACGCCTGCAACTCAGGAGTCACAAGCGCATTGCCGACCCTTGAGGAAGGAGTACGCTCTTTTGTTGAAGGTCGTATCGGTCCGGTAGTGCGAGGTAAAAAGTGTCTCAAAAAGCGCACAGTGGTTGGATGCCAATTATCCAAAACCAACGACTTCAATCAGATTGGCTATTTTTCTTATCCATAGAGACAAATTAAAAGAAAACAAGTTGTTTAATAAAAGATAATATCAAAATAATGTTTTATTTCAATACAGTAATTACATAGGTACAGGATAAGTATTTACATATATCTATATTACATATAACCTTAGGCCTATGATAATAAACATCACCAACAATACATACATCACTATAAATATTACATAATATGCAACATAGAATTTGGTGCAAATAGGTTTGGAAAAGATTTCTTTCACAGGAAAATAGACAGTTAACCGCCGCTCACAATAGTGTCTGTAATAATCCTTAAGTGTTAACAAAAAAAAAAAATTTGAATTCCAACTCTAGCCAGACATCAAATACTTTTATGTTTAACTGGGGGATATCCTTTACTACAAAACCATCACCATCTCATAGTGGAACATTCACTACTGCATCCTCGCCTCTCCAAAACATCTACATAAATAAAATTATTGCAATGTTACTTTAATTAAACGAGAGTCACAGCTGACATTAATAAAAATTCTCTATTTAATGTCCATTGGATAAAACTTGAAACATGATTTCTGATTATGAGAAGTATTTGGGTGAGGCTACTTTCAGCAGTGGATGACGCATGACAAAAGATATTGCTTTTATAAATAAGTCTGATAGTTGAATTTGGACTATAAGCTTTTATATTAACCAGTATCACTTAAACTGTTTTTTAAAAGATAATTCATACCATGATAGGTACCAATACCACTGTGTACTCGATATTTGCTTTAAAGCACAAAGAATTAGAGTAGTATTATAATATTTAGATCTATTTAGCCTGTATAATACTGAATGGTTATTTATAAATATCGGCTTTGTAAAATTGTATCTATCTACCATATTATTTCTGTACTGACATCTGGATGACACTACGACAATGGCGGAAGAAGGGAAGTACTTTCCTGCAGGTGAATCTAAGAGTAAGACAAAATTTGCCAGTTACCAAACAAATATTACTACACATGATGGCTATAAGATTTCAAAGTAATTCCAATGGCCTTATTTTTTCTCTTGGCCTTCAAGATGATATGGCCTAGAGAGGAGACGATTCAAAATCCCTAAAGAATAGTGCGTAGGAGCTAAGTTCTTATGATTAAAACATGTGTGTAATGTAGTTTATACGTGTTTTGAAACGTACGGGCGATTCCAAAAAGATTTAATTATCCTAAAATCCAATCACATCTTGTAATGGAATCAAATATATTAAAAAACGATACTCTTCCATTCCCAATTCTTAACAAACAACAATTTACAAATAAATATATGAAAATAATGGAATAAATGCTTTGAAACAATGAACTCTCATCAATGTCAGATATATACAATAACGGTAATTAATTCCATTTCTTATATATCTCTGGTGCCAAGACTGCGTTTGTATCTAACGCCTACAGCTTAGGTAATGGACCGGTTTCGCCTCACGGCATTTTCAAACGGTATTATGACAACTAAATGCCGAGGCGAAACCGGTCAGGCTTGATAAATAAATATTGTAAAACAGTACATGTCACTTAATTCAATATGTTTCACCATCAGTCAACAATATAAATAGGATCTTGCAACATTAGTTTCATTAGTTAGAATATAACTGTTCTAGTTACCCCAGAAATAAGTATGGTGTATGTGCCTGACCATGGACTAAGCATCACAATAATGATATTTTAACTGCATCTCTTGTAAAATTTACACAATCATTTCAATGTCTATTAATTTCTTTTTGTCATTTTTGAGTAAACAAAAGTTATAAAAGGTTTATATTTAAAACAATATTAATTAATAGTACATCAAATTTTTCCTGTAGATTGTGCACATCTTTTAGTTAATGGGTTCAAAATGCAGTTAAAATTAATATCACTTTTGGCATTTACACACAAAATACATTGTAAAATTAACATCGATATTCTAAACTGAAAAAGTACACTAAGCATGTTCAACTCAACAACTGCAATACAAAAGGTTATTTTCAACAAATCGTCTGCTTTTAATAGTACTTACCCTTCTGAAAGTTTTTTCACCCAACCATTCAACCTAACCTGTCTTAAAACCTGGACTTGAGAACTCCTCGTTGAAAACCTAAATGCGGAAACCGGAGCCCACAACCAATACCAATAACAATCCTCATGAAAATTGGGATACACGTTTTCACAACCATCATAACTATTATTTTTTCTCAGTGTACAAAAGCAACAGTTGTTGTGCAATGTTATTGTTGTAAAATGTCCAGTGATAAATCTTGCAGACGGGATTCGTTACGAGTTAACCTATAATGTCATAAGGGAGTGTATAATCAGTTGCTTTTCTAATTATTCTATACTGACAAAGATATAGAGACAGTCTATGATATTTAAAACAATGTCATCCTGCTCCAATAACTTTACGAGCACTTATTCTCACGCAGTAGTCAGAGCAATCTGCTAATGGAACGCGTACATTAGCAGGAGGAAGGTGCAGACGGCGACCACAAGACCAAGGATGAGAGAATCACGTCGTTTGCGAGCGTTAATCCGGTACATTAGACTGTTGAGCATCGGGAACCTGAAAAGTTTAATTTTTATTTCATTTATTTCTTACTCGCTGACAAACAAAGAAGTGACAATTTTAAGTGAGATCACTCTTTACAAAGTGTAATCAAAGGTGAACAGAAAACTAGGAATGACACAAACAAAATGGATGGCAAATTTTTAAGTAGTCTATTTATATGTTTTATACTAATAATTTCCGTGGTGATGAATTAACAATCTGGAGTGTCACCACCACTATTCATCCCGTGGGTGTCGTAAGAGCCGACCAATGGGCTGATGTTAATATACTTATATAGTTCTAAATACAGACACATTATAGATAAATTACACACATACACAGAACATGATCATGTTTAACACACATTATTTGTCCTGGATGGGAATCAAACCCACAACCTCTGGATTAGCAGTCAGGGTCAGTAACCACTAGATCAACAGGCTAGTCAAGTGGTATAATTATAGTTTACTAGCTTGTCAGTGATTGCGGTAAATAATAGCCTAAATAATACCTCTTTAAGAATCAAACTATCCAGATACCAAATTTCATCTAAATGGGCTATATATATTATAGCGGTTGCCTATATAAACTTCCACCTCTTTTAAAAGATGATTGCTGGAATAACACCTACCCTATGTCCTTTCCTATGACTCGAACTATCTCTAAACCAAATATCATCTAAATTGGTTCACCGGTTTAGGCGTGAAGAGGCAACAGATAGACAGACCCACACATTTATAATATTAGTACAGATAAGAATGTTGAAAAGTGTGAAGACTTCAGGACCAGATGGATTTAAAAACTTGCTGCACCACCACTGAAGGGTCTTGGCAATTCAGACAGGTGAAACTGGAGGTGATGGCTAGTTTTGTGTGTACCTGTTAGTGATATTGTTGAAGGTAGTCTGCATGCGTTTAAAGGTTTGCCGCTGCGACGCGAGGTGATCGCGCGCTTCCATCGCTATGTTTATTTGTTCATCTACCAGTATGTGCGAACTGAAATGACAAATATTTCTCATAAATTTTTATTTACAAATTAGGATTGCCTGTGGAAAAATGTTAACATTTTAAAATTTGACAATGTTAAGCCTATTACTAATATCTACTGTTTTCAATCTCACTACAAATCTCAGTAATAATATATTTTACAGCTACATCTAATACTAATTTTTTGTATGCCTTCATTTAGGTGTGCCATTCATTTGGCTTAACTGCATTTCTTTGAAGCCCTTAGACGCCCTACGACCGAGTTGTAGGTAAACAATTGTGTCTAGACTATTCAGATATTCACCAGTATGTACAAATAACAAGACAATACTGATTTATTTATATATTTTATCCAAACAAAATCCCCAATAATAAACAAGTACACATGTCCTTTATCTGTGTGGTGTTGGATTAAGAATACAGTGTCACCACCCTATTCATCCCGGGGCTGTTGTAAGAGCCGACTAAGGAAGTAAACTACGCAGGACATATATAGTAGGCCAAAACCTCCTTTCTAAGGAGAGGTCTACGTCTATATTTTACAGCTACATCTAATACTAATTTTTTGTATGCCTTCATTTAGGTGTGCCATTCATTTAAAATAGTTACATTTCTTTGAAGCCCTTAGACGCCCTACGACCAAGTTGTAGTTAAACAATTGTGTCTAGACTATTCAGATATTCACCAGTATGTACAGATAACAAGACAATACTGATTTATTTATATATTTTATCCAAACAAAATCCCCAATAATAAACAAGTACACATGTTCTTTATCTGTGTGGTGTTGGATTAAGAATACAGTGTCACCATCCTATTCATCCTGGGGCTGTTGTAAGAGCCGACTAAGGAAGTAAACTACGCAGGACATATACAGTAGGCCAAAACCTCCTTTCTAAGGAGAGGCCTACGTCCAGCAGTGGACTAGTAGAGGCTGTTGATGATGATTGATGACTACATTTTTATTTTATAAGGAAATGCTTGCCATCTATTTAATGACTCACTCATATCCATATTATACTTGGAAAAATGTACATAGTATAAGCATAGGTAAATGTAGGTACAGGTATGAGATATATGGGACTAATCCCTCCCACACGCCGACCATTGTAACTCCTGTACACCAGGATCAACAGCAGTGACTCACGAACACACCGAGTTAGTCTAGGAACCCGCAACAAAATTAATTGGAGGAGTTGGAAATACAGTAAATACACTTGCCTCCTTAGCAAAGCGGTAGATAAAAAAGTAAAATAGGCATACACCCTTTTGAACCGGGAACCACCACGGCCACAAAATATTATGGGTCCTAAGTGAGCTATATTTGATTGCTATAATATGTATGGCAGAAACTCCTTAACGCACGGAAATTCACCCTAGTTGACATAAAATCCCCATATTATACTGATATGAGATATGTAAAGACCTGTGTAAGTGGTTGGCCTCCTTAGTGTACTGGTCCCGACGGCTGAGGCCGATGGTGGCGCCGGGCGGCGGGCTGCCCCCGCGCAGCAGCTCCTCGCGCTCGCGCCGCGCGTTCACTCGCGCTGATGTCTTTGAGAACTCTTGCTGATAATCCTGTGCGAATTTGCAAATTCACTATACTAAACTATATTAAAAAAGTACTTAGATTGGATTCATTGACAGATAGGGAACTGAATTATTGTTTACAATTTCTGCAACAATTTGTTTGCTTGTACAGTTTCGTTCAGTTGTTTTGTGAACAATATTGTTTTACAAATAAATTCCTTAAGCTGAAATTATTAACAGTCATTGTTTAATGATAATGTCTTACCATGAGTATTTCTCTATGCCTTTTAATAGTATGCATTGTAGCTGTGCCGCTAGGTGCTAAGTCTCCCATTTTATCATTTATGGCTGAAAGCTGAAAATAAATAAAAATTATAATATTACCTCACACATCACTGTCTGATCCCAAACTAGGCACAACCTGTTCTGTGTGCAGCCCTTATTATGTATTTTGTTTACTTTTATTATTGAACTGATTTCAAACTAAAGTAAATAATACTTTATCAATAAAAAAGACAAAAGCTATAATACATTTTCAATTCAAAAAACTAGACTTCACATAAATCTAAATTTACCAAAAAAAGTAGTTATGAATTGTCACACCACAACGAACTATATGTGACTGTTAATTTTCCAACTGCTAAATATAATTTAGTACTCTCGGAATAAAGTTGTTCAAATTCCACAGAGAAGTTTTCAAAACTGACTTTAGTCTATGAAAGAGTTTTGAAATCTTCTATATATATTTTATTATAATATAGTTTTGTAAAAGATGTAACGCCTAGTTTACATGCGTACTGACGCTTGGTCGCTTACCACAAGCTGTGTCCACAAGCTCCAAGTCTTTAGAAAAGCTTGTGTGCCATTTTTGCGAGTGTGTTGTGTTCTAGACAGGCAAACATAGCAGACGTGGGCATATTTTTGTTAAAAATATAAATGGCGGTAATAAAAATTCTCTAGCTCTACTGCTCAATCAGTAGACCATTGAGAGTTAATGAAGATTCCAACCCAACTACAACACCTGTAATATCAAATTGATCAGTAGTAGCCAAGCAGCAGCAAATGCTTGCAGCGAGCTTCCTTTAATCTGTGTTAAGAAACCGACACTAGTACTGATTGAAGATGAGCATATGCGAGCCGAACCAAACACCCATTTACACGCTTGTGTTTTTAGACACTTGTAGAGGCTGGCCATGCATGTAAACAACTATAACAACATCTTTTACAAACTATATTCTTAACCTAAAATAAGCAGCAGCTGTGTATTTCTGTCCCTACACATATCTGTATATACACAACCACTAAGCCTACTATTATTATGGCTATTATGAAATAAATTAACACTCAAACAAATTATTCTTTTACTGGATTAAGATTTATTCAGGAATAATATAAACTTTAAAAACACCCTGCCATCCTTGAAAACTCAGCAATAGTTCAGCAATAAAACTTCAGAGAATGCCTAGTGTTTAATAAAAATAATGGCTTAATTGATCTGCAATTACCTTATTTAATAACTGTTGTAGCTCCATAGACATGGTGTCGAACATATCATCACTGTTGATAAGGGGTACACTTTCCGAACTGAGACCTGAGCTGGCAGAGCTCACCCCCAGCTTGCTGAATGCCACTAACTTTACATCAATATCATTCTCAAGAAGACGTGCTTGCTTCCTTACCTCTAAAAATCATGAATTTGTTTTAATTATTAAGAAAACTATGCAGGACAACAGCACTGCTGCAACAGAAGCAAAACTGGACACAAACCCTATACCAGCCCATCTAGCCAGCGTGGTATAGTAGGCAATAACCTCCTTGTAAGGAGAGGCAAATGTCCAAAAGTGGGCTGTTAAAGGCTGGCGATGTGATGTTTTAATAACATTGTTTGCAATTAAAACTTATGTAGTCATTTAATGAAAAACAAAACTGTATCATAATATACTATAATTTTCATGATTTGATTAAACTGATTTAGAGGTAAAACAAATCGGAAATAGGAATAAGTAATTTTATCATACGATTTTTAAACAACTAATATGAAACACTGGAATATGTTTTCTTATTTAACGCCATTTGCATATACACTTGTAAGTTAGTTAACGAAAGAATATGTAAACTATATTGATTCTAATGATTATTAATTTATTAAATATAATGGAATTATTGCAAGTACTGATAACTTTATATTGCAACGTCATAAAAGAAAGCAAATTAACCGGTGCTTAGTTTTCTGGTTGAACATTTACCTTCCCAAGAGGTGCCCGTTATTGGAGACATTCTTAATATGAAAAAAACACTGCCTCTATGTTTAACTGCACTTATTTATTATGATCACAATCGTTCTCGCGACTCATTCGTTATAAATTACCATTGAATTACAATCTGATCTGATGACATATTTTGTCAGATTGTGATTGTCAGATTCTTTGCTACATGTCTGTCGTGAAATAAAAGATTTAGTTTGACATACGTGTGAGAGAAACAATCCAAGTATCATGCTAAAAGTACACACGTAATAAATAAGATAGCTGTCTGAAATATCTCTATTATGTTAAATTTTGCAGTGTTGCAAGATGAAATTTACAAGAAATGTGGTGAATAAAAGTAGGCCACAGTCGAAAAACTGTACATTTTAATATTGGTATAACATTGTATATCAGTCTTGATTTTAACTATGAATTTCAAAAATTGAAGAAATCAAGTTGTAATTATCTTAAATTATATTCCCAAAGATAGTATAGTACGTAACTAATACAAGTATCTTTTTCTTTCTCATAACACACCCACTTTGAAAGACAGAGATAGATGTATACCAATAAAGAAATGCCCGATGTTGAACATGGTTTTACAAATACCTGGAATAAAAATAATGATGATTTTAGAGTACTTAACTATTCAAAATCACGTTAAACTACATTGTGAACAAATAGTCATATTTAGAATAATAAATTGAATAATCGTATTTTTTTGAGAGGATCCTAAACAACTCCATAAATACCATTTGTAAACCTAAAAAGCACCGTGAAGCCTACATGTTAGGGTTTATGTCACTCTAGCACGTCGTATAAGAAGGTATCGAACATATTCAACTATTATCCATCTCTTTCACACGAGTGTCATTTAATATTACCTACCGGAGACAGCATAATCACTCGTTCTAAATCGTCACCCCACCCATCGTCGTGGTCTTTCTTTCTTATTTGGTTTTGTAAGCGACCAGTGGTGAATTTTATTGATACTGATCAAATAATAAGCGTCTTGTTGTCGTATTTTTGATTTAAATTTTGTTGCCCTTTAATTTTTATGTTAGTTGTGGATGTCGCAGTGATAATTCGTGCAGTGAAAATCATTATCGTAAAACAAGGACAAATACATCTTCGTGGTGCAGCCCAACATGGCTACTACTGCTGCTATTGTCAATAAACTTCAAACTTTGAACTTTACTAAAATATGTCGAGCTTGCTTGGAGACAAAAAAGGATATGAGACCTTTGTTTGAGCAATTGACTGCTACAATGCTGATGGGAATATCAAAAGTGCAGGTGAGATGACAAACTGTTAAGATATTTTGGGAATATATTTTTGTCTCTTTCGCACTTACGGTAGACACCGTATGCACGCAAGGACAGCTACATCCTTTACATCGCGTCATCTTTGTTTAGAAGTCATCAGATATGAACAATTTCGAATTCCTAAAGTGCTGCGTGAATACACGAAATTTTGTTGAGAAATGTCATTCTTTCTCTGTCTATCACGGGTTTCTTTACGCACTATGATTGAAACACGAGCATTTGAATGTAGTCGAGAGACTGAGATAGGTGTCGAATCTGTTCGAATGTTATGATGTTGTCCTTTATTAATATTTTTCGCCGCTATGAGACTTGAAATTGGCGCGAATCCGTACAGTTTACCTAATCGTCTAAATTAAGTTTTATTAATTACCGAAAGAACTACCAACTGCAACTATAAAATAATAATAAAAACTACGGCTCTTTCTTCCCCTTCGAGGAAAAAGGCGTGAATGTGTATGTACCTTTCGAAAAATATATAGATAAATATAATAACATGCTAAAAAATCACTGATGCGGTGAACCCAGCTTTAGGAACGATGAAAATCACCGATAATGAAATCTAAAAAGTTTAATTGAATTAATTATAGTTAGGTACCTACTTAATTTATTTTGAAAACATTAGTCCTACGGATCCTTGACATACCTCAAAGAATAGCTGCAATAGTATTAATTTAAAAGTTGGACGAATATTACTATTAAACTATCAGAGCTAACATAGTCTTACTACTTACTACCATTATGATTTTTTAGCGGGCTGACGGACATGGCGAAATCACATAAAAAACTAAATACGTAACTTGACATTAGCTGACATAATTCTAAGAAAGAGCATAATAAATACAATTGCAGCATTTTATAAAATTAAATGTATACTGGGTTGAAGAATCACTACAATTTTGTAATGCTCACACAGGAGTTAAAAAATATATTTTTACCGTTAATGTCAATGGCCAACATTTAAAATTAGTAAACGACTTGCATAGTCCCTCGGACAGTTCGTAAGATGGCAATTTCAATAGATCCTCGCCAGACCCCATGACGTGACTTCACCATTCAGACCTAAAAGCAATTTTCAGTCTTAGTTCATCGGACGGGGAAGACGGATCAGACGAATATTGTAACCAATGAACGAATTAAAGGAATAAGATTTATTCCTCCAATTACTTCAATTAGCTTTGATTAAGCGCACTATCGCTCAATAAACCCAATTCCAGTCATAGCTGGATCATAATTAATTAGAATATTTAAAACATTATATATATACAGTAATCAGCCTGTTAATATTTCTAGTAAGTGAATCTTAAGTAAGTAGTTCACCAGTGTAAATCAGAAGCACAAACCTACAGAAGTACAGACAGATAGACTCGTAGCAGTATAAACTTTATAAGCAGCTGACCCCGCAGACGTAGACGTGACATAATTTTAATGTACCCGATAGCTAAAATATAACTGGACAACCTAAACGTGTACTTATGCAGCTAAAAAACCTTATCGTTTTGAAAAGAAAGTCGTTTTACAAAAATTGTCGTTTGAGTAACACTTTTCATGATAAATCGTGATTTAGCGTTACGCAGAACGACCAGCGTTATACAAGAAGACTAGGTATCACCATATTTCAAATTACTGAATGATGTGGTGTTGACTAAAACTGGGAAGAATCTGCTCAGAATTTCTGTAAATAAAGAACATTAAATACTTCAAGAAGATTTTTTTTTTAATAAGTATTTGACTGCATGGATGGCGTAGTGGTTTAAGCGGTCGCCACGCCGCTTTATTCTGCGCTGAGTGTTGTCGATCCTCACATGGAACAACACTTTGTGAAATCCATCGTTATAAGTCTGGGTGTTCGTTGAATACTGACGTTTAATAAGCATACATGAAACGGACAGTTTCATGTGTGTTTGTAAGTCTAAAAAATAAGCAAATAAGCAGAGAAAAATAGTAGTCGCCGTATTAATTAAACGCTGTATCAGAGGGCCAATTCTTGTAATAAAACTTCGTTTTAGATTCGGTTACGATCTCTTCTCGATCTCACAAATGTCATAGAAGGTATTTTCGTAGTAAAGAATTAAACATCCAACGTTGACTGTAATGTGATATATTACGTATTGTGAACGAAAATTTAATCGGTAATCTGCTTATTATGACATTTGTGAGATCGAGAGTATATCGGAACTGAATTTTAATCAAATTTTTATTACGAGAATTGGCCCTCAGACGTCTCTTAAGTGTTATAGATAGTTACCCATCGCTCTCAGCAAAGATGACTAGTATGTTTTGCTCTGCTCTACATAGTTTCTGCAATGTCTTCATCCCTAAATCCTTCTGCTCTTTTGTTTACCTTGTGTTATAGGATTTATGAATGCTTCCCTTTAATTTTTTACCGTTCAACACTGCATAAAATACCCGCACATTTGCTGCCAAATTGTAGTAAATCTAAATTAAATACTCTATTTGTATTCTGCAATTACTAATTTATATATCGATATTTCAAGATATAATGCCCATTTCTCAGGTGGAAGTTGGCGATACTCTGCCGTCGCAGCTATGCCTGCAGTGTGTGCATCAAATATCCCGCTGCCATGCCTTCAAAGAGATGGTCGAAAGGAATGACGTCGCACTGCGTGAACACGCCAAGACTCTTGCCGAACAAGCCTTCAAAAGAGAACGGGAAGAGGTATTATTGCCCAATAGGATCAAAATGTAGATAATATTTTTATAATATCAGTGAAGGAAATAGAATACTATTACAATGATAGTATATCCCAGGTCTAGTTATTCTGGATACCTACTGGATACCTGGATACTGTGGATATCATATCCAGATTAACTAGACCAGATAAACCTTCAAGAAGTAGGTATAGTTAATGTGGAGACGGTCGTGTGTACGTCACACACGACTGTCTTGTCAGTAGGCCTCGATTTCTTTCAAATCTTTATAAGGTCTAAATTGAGAAATAATAATCAACATAATAATCCAAAAACGATCAGATGATCGGAGCTCCAAATATGAAATCGTTTACCACAAATATTTTAGTTTTTTATCTGTTTACCACAAATGGTAATAAATAATCCTATTTTTACCCACCATAGAAGGAGAAACTGATAAATATAAATTGTTCGGAACCCTACATCCAGTACATGGAGGTGCCTATCACTAATACCAACCAGATACTCGACGGGTTCTTTAATACCGATTCGGCACAAACACCAACACCAGCATCCGAACAGGACACTAAAGAGGAATTTGAAGAAAAGGTACTTACGTGTTTTATTCCTCTTTTTAAGGTTTCCGTGCCTTAAAAGGACACCTTAATTTGTAATCTATCTGACTTCCTCTATCAGAAGACGGATCTTAGACGTTAAGAACGGTTCACTTGAGAAAGCGTGTGTCAGAGGAACATGTAGCCTTTTTTATGCCTTAATGATATTCGATATTTTCAGCTTGAATCCGCATCTAATACCCCAAAAGAAAAGGATGGTTTGAACTCTGATGAAGAGAACTATCTTCAATTGGTCGTATTTCAAGCTACGTCGACGGTGTCTCCTGGTCGACACGTGTGCAATCTCTGCCATAAGGAATTCAAACATCCAAGGTGGTTGAAGCAGCATATGAGATCTCACACCAACTGGATAAAAGCGAATTGCAAGAAACCACCAATGTGCCCCATTTGTGAGAGAACTTTTAAGGTATGTATTGAATATCTTGCTTTTCATTTGAGGGTAGTCTTCAACCGGTAACCATTACCCCTTTGATAAAAAAATGGAACTTTTTGGCCCATTAAAACAAGACAAGGTATTTTATGTCACTACTTTTGAGTTCAGTTATTGAATGTCGTCTGTTACTTACCACCAGACTTTTAGCAAAGAAGTTAAAGTTAGAAATAGCTTTTTTGGATACTATTTTTTAACCGAATTCTGTAAAAGAAGAATTCTGTACACTTTCAACGTTACGCTTGTGTTTGATTTCGCTCCTTAGGTAAACCTAGAAGTACGAACTAACAAGTCTACACTTATCAGAAGGGAGTTCTCAATTCGGCATTTTTTTATGTTTGTTACTCCAGAACTCCGTTATTTATGAACTAAATTTGGAAAAGTTATCAAAGAAAAAATACCACACAATAGTGGCAAATTAAGGAACGAAGTGTACAGATTATTAAAATTCTTTAACATTAGGTGAATCGAGGTCGATGATACTGTTTAATCCTGTCCATTATATCATTGAGGTTTGTAACTGTCTTAGGCTAAAATTAAAACTCCTGTTACAACTATTCAATAGTTATTTGTTTATTTATTATATCCAGGGTCCAGGGATGCTAAAAATGCACATGCGGACCCACGAGCAACGACCTCCTAAACAGCCAACGTGTTCTGTCTGCCAACGCACCTTTCCAAGCAAAACCTTACTCTATCGGCACAGACAAACTCACTTCGAGCAGAAAACCCATCTATGTACTGTATGCGATAAAAGATTTTATAGCGGTTACGCCTTGAGGTCTCATATGGCAAGGCATCGTGGAGAGAGGCCTTATGTTTGCTCTACTTGCGGCAAAAGCTTCTACAACCCAACGGATTTGAAGGTTAGTTACATTTTGATGATGTCTATTACCAGATAATATGTTATCCTGGCTAGCATATGTTACTGCTACAAACAAGGGATTATATCCTTTATTATGTTCTTATAACAGAGGGGCTCGTGGCTAAGTGGTATCAGAGTAGGTTAAAACATTGCAACGTTAAGCAATCCTAGCCAGGTCAGTCTATGGATGGGTGACAATTCTTAACACATTGACCCTTCCGTGCCTTGGAGAGCACGTTAAGCCGTCAGTCCCGGTTGCCTTTCGTATGGCATCTGTGGCAATCGTTACGGGTAGTTGGAAGCCTAAAAAGTACAACAGTCTTTCTACAGAACTTCGATATCGGCCTCGTACTTGGGTTGTGGAGGTCTGATGGCAGTAAGAAAATCGAAGTTCATCCGTATCGTAGTAGACTTAGCGCTGACCCCAACTTAGTTTGGGAAAAACGGTCGGAGGACAATGTTCTTGTAACAGAGTAATTATATAATTAGTACTCGTATATATTGCCAGTTTACCTACTGTAAGGCTTTACTGGTGCGTCGTTTTATATATCAGGCCAGAGTAGTATAGTAGGCTAAAACCTCCTTTCTAAGGAAAGGCCTATGTCCAACAGTGGACTATTAAAGGCTGTTGATGTGATACGATCTCTGTTGATGTGAGTTTTTATATATATATTGAGAACGGAGAAGACGTAATTTACAAATATGATCTAATGTTTATTATCCTCGAATGTGACGTAAGTAATAAATACAGCAAACTCTAGATAAACTCTTTAAAGAATCTCGTAGATTCCATACCGAATAGCTACAGGTTGTTAATTTCAGCAATTCATTCGCATTAGAATTAGAACAGAAGTTGAACTCCAGAAAGGGTCAATATTTCCGACAACTTTTCTCGAGACAGTTCGTTTTAGGTCTAAGGTGTCAAAATAGACGAACCTTGCTATTGCTAATAAATTTTATACTAAACATAATCTAATCACTGTCAGATAGTGACCCGATAGGTATTGTACCACATTCTAAATCCTTGAACTTTAGATCCTCTTCGTCTCTCACTCTGAACGCTTCTTCAAACGCTTTTTTGGTCTTCTTCGATAAATACTCTGGATATGTAATATTGAATCGTAGGATCAAATTACCCTTTGCTTTCGTGGGACACGCGGGCAGTGGCAGGCCCTCGTCTTCTATAACCTTCTCATAAGTCGGAGTAACTACGTCAGTTATTTTGACTCTGAGTATTCTTCCATCTAAAGTTTTAAGTGTTACCATGAACCCGCATAATGCCTCCTTTAAAGATATAGTCTGAGTGTAAAGTAAGTTACTCAAACCGGATCTGACGAAGGTGTCGTGAGGGCGGTCTTCCGTAATAAATATAACGTCAGCAGGAATCCTCGTTGGGCCCTGATCTCCTTCTTCTTTGAACCTCACCTCTGTGTTAGAATATATCCCGGCTTTGATCGGTATTGACAGAACTTTCTCCCGCAACTTTAATTCTGAACATGTTTCATCAGTGAAGACAAGTCTTTGAATTTTCATTTTCTTCAGACACCCTTTGTATACCTCTTCGAGTGATAAGGCAAGGGGTCGAACAATAGATACGTCTTTTTCCTTATATCCTTTACCCAAAGGAGAATCGAATATAGGTGGAGGGTTTTCGTAATAATCCAAGAGGTCTGCGTAAGGATTAGACGTGCCGAAGAAGTCGTGAAAGGTTCTTAACGGTTCACCATGGTAGACGTACGGCTGTATGTACTCAGTAGGTCCAGGAACACCTTTTTTGAGACCTTCTTCACCATATTGGTCGTAGACGGCTCGTCTCTTGTGGTCTACTAAGACTTCGTACGCTTCTGCAATTAGGGCGAATATCCGTTTCATATTTTCATCATTATCATGTCTTTCGGGATTATACTTTAGGGCGAGGCGTCTGTATGCGCGTTTAATTTCTAGCTGACTGCAGGATCTCTTTACGCCTAAAATGCCGTAATAGTCGAAACCCATTGTGTAAGATTTATTATTTAGTAGTTTATTTATTTAGTAATATAAAGAAAAACCTTGATATAAAATGTGCAATATGTAAGTTACGTCAAATTTGACATCTATTGCTCAAATGACATCGTCAATATATTTTTTTTTTTTAAATTTTGAAGTAACGTAACTAACGTAATGATATAGCAGGCGAGTCGGAATCTTATTCCCCATTGCAACCATGACATGTTTGACTACACTCCTTTGTATAATTTCATAATAAATAAATTGGATCAGTCTTGTGTGTTTAGCATAAGAAGATAATTAAAAATGTTAAAACTCTTCAGGTGCACTTCCGACTCCACACGGGAGAAAAACCACTGAAATGTACAGAATGCAACAAAACATTCCGCCGGCATTCGACGTTGTGCCAACATATGAAAAAACATCGTGGAATACGAAATCATGTATGCACAGTGTGCAATAAAGGTTTCTATGAAGTGTCCAAGCTTAATGCCCATATGCGAGTGCACACTGGTAAGTAAATTCAGAAAATAACATTTAAATCAAATATTTTATACACAGATGCAAATCATTTAACTAATCAATGAAATGTTGAATAATTCAATTTTAACAAAGCTCGAATAACTTTTAAATGAAATTAAAAAGACCTTCGGAACTTTTACACTTAAGAGTTACCAAAATGCATGTCTTGTCAAAATCACAAGACGAAATCGTTAGATCCCTTCTAAAAGAAAAAAATCATGAGAGCTCGAGTCACGGCTCCAATTCCACAAGAAATTCATGGTGGGTACGCAGTCCAGTAGAGTTGGATTGGGAAATGCTAGAAGACAGACCGACAAAGGGATAACAAAAATTCCTACAACAAGATGAAAACGAGACCTACCAGGTGCTCGCAATGAACCTAGAAATGCAGAATGAATGGTTAACTCTAGGAGAATTTTGTATCCCATCAGCTTTGAAATGGCGCACACTTTAATACGATTGGTCACCTGCCCTGTTAAAATTTTACCTCAACGCCTTTTAATTGACTCTCTCCGATCAAAGTAACCTAGTAAGGTGGGGAAAAGCTAAAGAAAAGGCAGTGCGAAAATAGGTACAGCCAGGCACTTACTGACAGGTTGTAAGGCGCTTTTAGACCGGTGTCATTATTCACGTCGCCATGATACTCGTATGGTAAAAAAAAAAACTGACTGGACTGGACATTATTAGTGGACACGTATGAAAATCATAACAGAATACCGAGGGATATCTGTGCCTCGGCGTCCAGACCAGACATATTTCTTTATGCAATGCTATTAAGCGTGTAGTACTAGTAGAACTCGCGGTGCCGTGCAAAACATCCCTAAAGACCACGCTTTAAAAATAAACAAGTACTTTGACTAAACCAACGAAATAACTAAAAATGGTTATGTCGCTGCGTTGTATGCCGTGGAAATGGGTTCGAGGGGTATACCAGCTAAATCCCTCTGTAACCTGCTTAAAGACCCTGGATTGCCAAGAGCTTCAGTAAGCTCTTTTCTTGTACGAATATCCAAAGCGGCATTGCTAGGCTCGTATCAAATATGGTTAGATAGAGGTGGTAACACAGCAGAGAGTGAAGGTGAGCGCTGACGCGTCGCAAAGAGTACTCCCTAAACCTATACGTGGGTCGCAATTCCCAGGCGCTGTCGAAGTCGCATGTGTTGCCCCCATCTATCATGCGATGGACCTGGCATCCGCACGGTGAATCCATAGAACGCTAAGAAATAGGTCTGTGCACTGTCGATTTTGAGAAGCATTACGATCCAAAGATCAAATTATACCAAAAAAGAATTGTTTGAGGTGGTTAGTATGCCAAAAAATACCTATTCTTAGCTGTATTAACTGTGGACCTTGCAATGCCATTTAAGCTAAAATCTTCAATGGGCAGTAAGTAGTAATTTAAATTTCTCCAGGCGAACGTCCGTATGAATGCCAGTTCTGTTCCCGTCGTTTCGCCCAACAGTCTGCCCTCATCTACCACCGACGTACCCACACGGGGGAGAAGCCGTACAGCTGCAAGCTATGCTCAGCTCGGTTTACTACCTCCTCCGCGAGGAACAACCATATGGTTACGCATACTGGTAATAAAAGGTAAATGTTTTAATATTATTATACATCCATCTACATATATTGCCGATACAAACAATATATTTAGAAAATGATACTTTTACAGTTTCTCTTTTTTTTATTTAGGATTCCTTAAGCATTAAAAACACAATCAACAATCGAAATTTCTATAAAATACTATTTTACATTTTAGTTCTGAAAACATGATAGGTATTCATCCATTATATTCTTTAATGTAAGATTCCTGTTGTACTCCGTCCTTTTTGGACATTGAATTACACAGGGAGACAGAATTTCATGTAATTTAAGCACATGCACTACGTACTCCTGATAAAATTAGACGTAGAGTAGAATTTCCCAAAAGATGAAGATGATGCACTAAAGTACTGGGAATCTCTGCCATACCATCATAACATTTGTGAGATACACCCGGTCATTTCCTTGATTAATTTCGTGTCAGTAGAACCGCAACCCTCTGTAGGGCACTGTGGCCCAGTGGAAGACCTGAGGTACTAAAGGCGAGCTGATATGTGGTGCGTGTGTCAGGTTCGTGTGCCCGGTGTGCTTCAAGGGCTGCACGTCGCGCACGGAGCTGCGCGTGCACACGAGCAAGCACACGGGCGAGAAGCTGTTCGCGTGCGAGCAGTGCGACCAGCGCTTCAGCTCCGCCTCCTACCTCGCCGTGCACCGCCGCTACCACACCGGCGAGATGAAGTACCAGTGCGTCGTCTGCGGGAAAGGTACTAACCACTCGTTCCCTCCGTTCCACTTTCTACATGTCTGACTCAGACGTGGGATACGTGGAGCGATTGACTATGTTATTAATACTATTTATTTGATTTGAGAAGCTATTTCATTACCTACTCTTCTCTCCTCTGTTTGTCAATCTATTTTATTTTGTTTTTGTTGTTTAAGATCTATTGACGAGTGTTACCCATGAAAAACAATTAGAACATTTTATTTAAAATTTCATTACCGTCAACTTTATAAAAAATTTGATCTTTAAACATTCGCTTATCACCTTGTACCGCTCACCAAATAGGTAACTATGCAGTTTAATTAGAAAAATATCAAAATCAAAAACCACCACTTAGAGAATATCTACATAGAAAATATGTTTACAGGTTACATAGAATCAAGTTCATATAAAAAGCATATGAAGACCCACGACGTGAAGTCTGAGACGGAGTCGTCGAATAACTCCGAGAATAGCGCCGAGAACCAGTCGAAGGGTGAATCCTGTTTGTCCGAAACGCAGCAGGCTGTCTCCGGTAATGATGAAAGCGGACAGGTGCAGGCACAAGGTATGTTTGTTTCTCTGTATATATAAATAATACTATTCAGATGTATTACTTTAACCATACGTCACTTTGATTTTTATTTGTAACTATCCACTTTTAAAATCAATTTTGTCAAACATTTAACGTCACGTTAGTTCATTAACTAATATGACGTTTTAAATGTTTGAAAATCTTCAATATCGTGAAAAAGTTAAGTAACAAAGAACGTTAGATTTAGAGCTGTAAAGTGTTTTATAAAGTTACAGTTTTCAAATCACATCAACAGCCTTTAATAGTCCACTGCTGGACATAGGCCTCTCCTTAGAAAGAAGGTTTTGGCCTGCTATACCACGCTGGCCAGACGGGTTGGTATAGGGTTTGTGTCAAGTTTTCCTTCTTTTTGCAGTGCTGGTGCCCTTAGTCGGCTCTTACGACACCCACGGGATGAATTGGGGTAGTGACATTCCGTATTCTTAATCTGTCACTACACGGGCAGTAGTTTTCAAATGCCAATTTTAAATTTTTCAAAAACTTTGAGCAAGCAAACTGTTCAGTGCTATGAGTGATATGAATTCAGTTGCATAACTGAATCAAATTATGAAATAATTAACAGTAAAATTGCTTATTAAACTAAAAAAATACTTGTGAAATAATCATTTCAATACGGCCAGGTCATATCTCAATGCAGATGTGTTTTACACAACATCCTCTTTTTCAGTTACCACCGTTCAAGGTCAAGTTCATATTCAAGTACAAGGTGGCGACCAAGCTTTGCAAGTTCAAGGTCAAGGAGAAAATGGAACACCACAGAAAAAGTACAAGTGCGCTTTTTGCGTTAAAACCTATATGTACCTACATAATCTTAAGAAGCATATGTTGTTACACACACAAGTAAGTATTGTTATGTGTTACGTTACAATTAAATCGCATACTTTCCAGGCATTTCGTTGCCCTCGGTTAAAACAAAAATATGTATTTTTTTCAGGAACGCGCTCGGAATTCGGAACAAATTATCTTTCTCCAACAACAGCAGCAACAGCCCCAACAACAGCAACAGACTCAGCAAGCTCAACAACAGCAGGTGCAGCAGCAGCAACAACAACAGGTGCAGCAGCATCAACAACAACAACATACGCAACAGTTGCAACAACAGCAACAAGTGCAAGTACAGCAGCAACAAGTTCAACAGCAACAGGTGATTATACCATGTGTACTGCCACCACCAGCTTATGAAAAGCAGGGATTTAGAATTAATGTTTTCTAGATGATTTATCAAACTTTGGTATCTGTACTAACACAAAATTAAGAAAATCAGTATAGTTTTATAACAATTAACACCCTTAGGAGATAATATTGCCTTCCGAAAAGATATAAAAACATTTTGTTGACCTTTTATAATTAAGCCTTTTGTTCTTTCTCGTACCAGGTGCAACAACAAGTTCAGCAACATCACCAGCAACAGCAGTTGCAGCAACAAGTGTTACAAGTGGGTAATGTGCAACAACTCGCAGTACCGATACATGCGCAGCACGTGCAGCAAGGGATAACGGTTTCGGGAGTTCAGGTAAAAATATATATGCTGTTTAAAAATAATAATGAGTAATTAAAACAGACCAAAAATTTTAACTCTTAATTGGCCTTATTGTAATTTTTGAGGCCTGTGTTCAAGTATTCAATATTATTGACTGGTCTGTTGGTCTAGTGGTTAGTGACCCTGAGTCCTGCGCCAGAGGTCGTGGGTTCGATTCCCACCGATGACGAATAATTGTGTGATGAGCACGGTCATTGGTTCTGCGTCTGGGTGTACTTTATCTAAAATATGTATGTATTGTGTAATTTAAATATATAAGTATGTTTATCAGCAGTCTGGTTACCATAACACAGGCTCTTCCTTCTTTGGGACCAGACGACCGTGTTTGAGATGTGCTAAATATTATTATTATTATGTTAATTGTGCAGGGCCAGCATCCTTATCCGGTGATCTCGTCAGTGCAGTCACTGCAGTTACAGCAAACACAACAGGTAAACACGGTATATGTTATAAAATGCTAAGTACCGTGAAGTCACGAGGGTTATATAAGCTTTTGCGTCTGCTTGTCCTGGCTTAGGTACTGTTAATGGTATGACTATGGTACAACGACGACGGGCCTGTTTCTCTAGTGGTTAGTGACCCTTACTGCTAAGCCGGAGGTCGTGGTTTCGATTACCACCAAGAATAAATTATGTCTAGTGTCAGGGTGTAAGTTATCTTTAATATACACACATCAAAAAAGCCCAATCAACATGTACAATTTTGGACTTTTGAACGATTTTTACTTAATAAAGAAAGCATTATTTGATGCATTAGTGACTAAAGCAACAATATCGTTTATTCAATTGTTTATTTAATCACAATAATTGTACCGTAATAGGTTTTGTTGCTTGATAAATTTGGTATTTATCTCACTCTATATGTATTTAGAAATATTTAAGTATGTTTATCAGCAGTCTGGTTACCATAAGACAGGCTCTGCATAGTTTGGGATGAGACTGCCATATTTGTTGTTCGAAGTTTGAATTATGATTATTATAAAATAGAACATCTACTTTCTTGAAAAAATATCATAGACAATTAATGATTTAAAAACAGTATTCCAGTGTTTAAAGAATACTTTAATTACGTCAATCAGATCTATACAAAAAAAAATAACTTTATAAACGGTTCCAGCAACAGCCGCAGCAACTTCAAGTACAAACGATACAAATACACCCGCAACATCAGCCGATACAAATTCATGTAAGTAATACATTTCCTATTTTTTTTCGTTATTAAAGACCGATACCCAAGGAGTTATGACCGTGACCTCGTGTTCGCTGCAATAATTACCATCGAATACCTATTGCTGATTTAGCAAACTAACGCGGTCGCCTTGAGTGCGCGGCGACATCACTGCATATTCGGACAGCAAACCAAACATAGCATTTTAGCATAGCTTAGTACAGTTATACATCTCTCTATCTGACAGACTGATTTTGCTTCACCTTACGTTTTTTAATGTATAACAAAATTAAACAATTTCATATGGTCCAGAAATTGAACGACATTGGCAAAGCTGGGATGAACGTTTTTTTATTTATATTCTAAGAATTTCCTTGTAGTGACTCTCCTATATTGTTTTTAAAAATTAAACATTAATTTTAGAATTACAAAGGGTGTATGGGAGTTGAAATATCTAAAAATGTAAACGTGTTTCACAGCACTGTGCTGTCAACATTTAGCAGCGGTAGTTTTTTTACTTACTCTCTACACCAGAACTCAAGATAACATATTAATTTTATCCTTTTGTACGCACAGGCGGTGGGGGTACAACAGGTTCAACAGCAACAATTACACGTGGCTACTTCCTCTTGCCAGACAATGTTACCCAACATACTGCAGGTATGTCGATGTCATTTATAACTTACTATAGAGGATTAAGGATAATTTCGACGTGAACTATAGAACAAAAGGAATTTTATACTGCATGGTCAAAAAGACCGCCCCACCTTGTCGTCTGCGGTGCGCCTTATCGTCCTTAACTATTGTTTTTCCATTATCAAGAGGATAACTCATTAATGTAAGTACTAATTAGTCGTAAAAGCTCGGTTTATAAAATGAGGTTGTTTGTATCACCACAGCTCCAGCCCGGTACGGTGGCAGTGTCGGGTCTGAGCCAGCCGGAGCTGGGCGGAGTCACGCACCGCATCATCCTGCAGCAGCAGCCTTCCGCCACGCACCCCGCCGTCTACACCATACACCACTGAGACCTGTTCAGCTGCCTATTAACTATTCTCTAAATCTCTTTAAATTTTTTAGAAATATAGAACAAGACATACTAGTTTTCGCATTACAATTGGTACACTACAGAAATATGAAATACTTTATTCCGTCAGTCATAAATACGAATTGCCAAATACCGATTTTCAAAATTCCGAATATAACAACTCCGATTGACCATTCCTCCTACTTTTATAATTCAAAAATTTCAATATTCCTAACGTTTATAATTACTATGTTCAAAATACCGAGTTTCAATAGGTCGAATAACGAAAAGTCCGACTTAATGATAATTCGAAACATCTAAAATTCAACAGTCACCAACAATAGAGCGCATAGTAATCAATCTGCTTCCAAAAGATCCCCACTCTCTGGCGCCTATCTGCGGCTGATATCGCTGCCGACGTCCTCTTAGTTCGGAATCAGCTCTCTCCCGATACCGTTCAGCGGTCTCTTTCTAGAGCATTACAGCCTCACAGAAAGAGACCAGCGCCCAGCCCTCCTTACCCGTCAGCATAGCAGCAATGATTGCTGTCGAGGACAGCCACTATTCTAACTTTACCTAACCCAACGAATTCAATAACAGTAGATGGTACGCAACGCGTTTGTGACTCCTGAGTTGTAGACGTTCATGAGCGGCGATGGTCACTTTCTATCAAGTGACCCGTCTGTTCGTCTGCCCCCTCTAACATAAAAAAAAGGTATTAGAAGAAAATACAAGAAAATATATTAATAACAAAAGTAGAGGTTTTTAAATTACATTAAACCTTACTTATAGATTTTGAATATATATGTGTAACAGAATATTATACTAACTGAATCAGAATCAAAATTTTAGCAGTTTATTCGAAGTATTGAAAATCGGTATATTGTTTTCGGACAGAGAACACATCGAGCATTTGATTCTTCCGAAAGTTTAAAAATCGAAAAACAAACAAATCGCATTTACGACATAAATTTTGTGAATTTTAATAATAGACATGATAATTAAGTAACTTAAGTATTATGAAATTCGGAACATCGAAATTCGGAATAAAATATTATTTGGGTGTTCCCCATTATAATGTTTGTAACCAACAAAAATTATGAGTACGGAATAAAGTCGATTTCCAACTGATATCGCCTAGTACGATAATGCCTTAGGTAAAAAGCTCAAGCCAAATATGTCTTTAAGGTATATAATAAAAATTAATATAACCCGGCAATCTCGTGCGCGACCGTCCCGCGGGGTGACAGACAGTGGCGGGGGCGAGGTAGCGCGTCATTCTAGCACACGGCTACACACGATTCCCTTCCCCGCTACACCACCCGCTACCCGCTGATATCTTGAGTACCTCATCCCCGCCACCGTCCTTCACCCCGCAGGATGGTTGCGCACGACGTTGATGGACTATAGTACCTAGCTGAATTCACTACTTGTCAATTTTGCTAGAAAACATTTAAAAGATGACACCACCACTTGTGGCAAAATCTCTTCTTGTTCGGTTAACAATAGTTAATAGCACTTGGGAATCTCAGCTAGGAGGTGTGTTATACATATTTATTCAATCAATAGAATGTGTTGGAAGATGTTAGTGGTGCTATCCAGTGTAAATATGATTATAGTTAGTATGTAGTATTTAGTTTGAGTTCTTTTTAATATAGCAATCTTATGGTGCCTAAATATATCTAGTATTGTCGAGATGTTCGAATTTATAGTATATCTATACAAAGATGTAACTTCCAATAGTCTTTTTCTCCCTTTAAAAAGTTCAGTACAGGTATCATATGGAAGCAATGAACTTTCATTACTCTTATATGATAGCTCATTAAAATGTATACTTTTGTTCCAGACGTGCATATATTGATAAATAAGTGTATTTTTCTTACCTAATGAAATCTCTCCTGAATGTATTATGGAGGCCTCTGCGCGACATTACTACTTACTTCGTATGATATTGTGTCTTTTGAAATGATAACTTCTTATGGGAAGGTAAACCACTTACGGCGCCAGTCTTGTTGGCTTCCCTTTCTCTCACGCATACGGCAGCAGTAGGCATTCTCCTCTCTCACTCTAACCCACAGTGCTAGCCGTATTTCGGACAGACGCTACATAAAATTTAAGTAATAACCTAAGCCTTTCTCAAGTTAAACAATTTTAAATATATAATAGATAGTTCAACTTAGATTAGTTTAAGTTATCACTTCTATCGGGCGTCCCGAGACGCACACGTTTTTTAATTCATATAACAGTCATGTTTCTCTTTGATCTAGAACCCATTGTAGAAGCTGTGCTTGGTTTGGGCCTAGAAAGCGAAGAGTAATTTGTACCAAAATAGTATTATTACTCTTTAAATGTTAAACAATTGATTACCAACAGCTATTATTAACAATTACATAAAGGCTGCTTATTTCTTTGCAATTCTTGACTCGACTTATACTATTATATTCATGAAGTCAATAGCAATAATATGTAGACTGATGATTTATACATTTAAGTAGATTATACGTTATTGTATAAAGTAAGAATAAACAGATGTGTATATTTACGATGTTATTTTTCAATTGTATTATAACTCTACTGTACTTTTTCGCTTTCTAGATAATCTTCTGAGGAAAGTTAATGACAGACGCTCCTTGATACTTAGTCTGAACTTTAATAATATTTGATTTTCCTACATAGTTTTACCGCCCGGTTGCTTGTGCTTGTATCCAATGATTTTAAAACTTGTAGTGGCTTATTAAAAATCAAATCAGAAATCTGGGTTAAAAATTTGATCATCTCAAAGTAGAATAGCATAGAAATATCAATACAATGTATGTATTCAAGTATATTTAAAAATGCAAAAGTTACCAAAAATAATGACTAATGTTTTTTGTAAGTAGAATATAAAAAAATTGTCTATCACGGACGTGATTTACGATATTTTTAATAGAACTCTGTCGTTTAAAAAAAAAGGATTAATTCAACGCTTTTTTATTTATCAATTTATTAGGGGTGGAGTTTTATGAATACAATACAATTATCTGTTATAATTGTTTTTATCTCTATCAGATAAGCAATATACTTCACTAGATACGTTTTGTTTAAATAAATAAAGAACTATATGTAATCGTTGTATATATAAATTCATTTCAATATATTCTGGAAATAATGGAATACAATAAAACAACAGAATAAAACTTACAATTAATATTTAATTACTTTTTTATTAAAATAATACTTAAATCAAATTAATTCATTATTAATAATAATATCGACTAACTAATACACGGTGACCAGATATTTGCCACTATTTAGTATCGTTTTCACAATGACTGTTCGTTCGTCCATGTTAATACTGAGAGCCAAGTGCAAGTTTATTTCACATCGACTAGCCCTCGACGGCGAGCGCGTTTAGCGTTGCGATTGGTGGAGATTTCAGCGCGGGCCAATCATAGCGCCGCACGCGGTCACCGTGACGATCGAGTAGAAGTGAAATGAACTTGCACTTGAGCCTCTGATAGTCCTGAGTTTTATATGTAGAAATAATTTACATACCTATACGAAAATTTTATATGCAGTTTTCAGCTGGACGAACTATACAGACTAAACTACAAGAAAAAGTTCTTACTGTTTTAACGACTATGTTTGTTCTTAATATAAGTTTTTTTTAATGCTATAAGGGGCAAGTGAGCAGACGGGTCACCTGTTTGGTAAGTGAAAACCGCCGCCCATAGACACCTGCACCTCTTGAGTTGCAGGTGTCTAAGGGCGGCGTCTCTTGAGACACAGTGCGTTGCCAAGAGTGTCCCACAGCATTCGGGTGGTCCTCCGGTACATTCACTTACTAAGTGAAAAGCAAGGTTTTCTGTGAGGCCCTGTCATTACTCCGGTCGAGCTAATTGAGAAACACACACAAAAGGACTGAGACAATTATCAAACTTGTAGCTTAGTATTCTTTTGGCACATAATATAGTCGACATATTTACATCAATGCGTATATCTGACCACCGTGTATAGAATAGAACCTAAAGAAAAACGCACACAGTTCAACTGGCATTCAATGAGATGAAACACATGAAGAGCAAAAGTGAAAACGTTAAAAAAATATTTTATCACTAGATTTGCCTCCTATGTAGTGAAGAACTTCAGACCTCGACCAGGCGGCTTGTAATGTGTAAGGTATCGGTATCTACAAACACTCAACCTACCAAGAAAATTCCATAACACAAGGTGTATTGTGCCATTAGCTAGAGATGATAAATAAAATCTATAGCACCAGTATTTAATTAATGATTTTAAGTAATTTTTATTACTTGAAAATTATTACACGAGTGCTAAGGTCACTTAATTTTATTAGTAATTCAATAGAGAGATACTGTGATCTCGTTTTTTTAATGTACGAGGACTATACCTTATCTATACATAGATCGGCTTATCGTTACACAAATACAATAACAGTCTATCTAGGCTGTAGACGCATTAATAGCTACAGCTTGGACTGGAGCCACCTCAGAATTTATTGAAAAACCATACAACATAAAGAATGTTGAAAAATAAAAGATATTTACGACCATCCATTTAAGACCTAGACGAACCGAATCGAGTAAATACCATATTACATTTTATTTACAAAACACACATACTTTGTAAAAAGGCCACATGTTTCATCATATGTACAAACTGAGGCACTATGAGGTGAATTGTCGTGTAGTCAAGTCATTTCCCTGAGAATCCCGCTTACAGATAAATTAAGTTGTAGGATATATTTCGATTTCAGGTGTAGCAAGTCTAGGATATAAAAACACCAATAATCTAGCAATTACAAATCTATCAGTTATGTATAATCATAGACGTATAAAAAAAGTCGGACGGAACTCCCGCTAAGACAAAACGCGGCATGGGCGGCAGCTCTTTGTGTGTGAATGAATTTTGGGGTTGCCAAGTTACCCAAATTTATGCCATAAAACTCACGTCAATAAATAAAAATATTATATTTAGTTGTCATTGCTCTCTATGTAATCTAGATCTCTTTCAAAATCATGCATTACGATTCTTGATCTGTCAATAAAATGTTACCGTGTCAAATCAGTTTATTTACTTTTTTACAAAATGTTCACAGTTAATCTAATCGATTTGAATAAAAGTTATTAGTACCTATCCTATAATTTAATTGATTTAAAATAATTATTCCTTTATTACTTCGTCTAATCTGTACAGTCAACATTATTCAGAAATATTTATTTTTAACTGCTAAATATACCTACTAGTGCTTAGCTTATTCATTAATCTCGATGTAAACATATCGTTTTTTATGTAATTTATATTTTAAGCATGGCAACTTTTTTTAACAACACTTGGACGTTTAAGTATTGCATTTGTAACAGTTATTTGATAAGAATTTATTTACTTGTAGCAAAGTTCAAAATTATTGAATCCAATCTTTTCTCCATACTCCAGTTTCCTTAGAAAATTTAGTAAAAGAATATGAAATAGTATACGTAATAGTAACTATTAAACAAAAAACCCTAATAAATAGATTTTAAAAACAAATCAAAAATATCCTTTGTTTCGGGTAATTATTTGAACACGTGAAAATCGGTAACATTGGGCTTATAATAAATCTAGCGAATGCGATTGAATTATTCGTTTACCTATGAAACGTTATTCATGGATTACTTTCCTTTCTGACTAATGTGTGTAAGTGTGCGTACGGGCCTGTACGTACAGCGAGGTGGCCGACTATGAATGACACAGGTTTTTGTAAGCGAGACTGTCCGACTTTTTTATACGTCCATGTGTATAATATATGCTTTTTTAATTTTACCATTTAAATTGTTGCTACTAAATGTTGGCAAGAGGTAAGTGTTGAGGACAGACACGCAAATGAATTCGGAATTGGCGGGGTTCCCCGACTCCTTTTCTCAGTCACTACACAAGTGTTTTTAAAACTCGTATGTAATCCCTGAAATATATGCTCATGGGCCAGCCACTAGCGTCCAACCTAGCTTGGGCTCTATGCTGAACTATGCTATGCTATTTTGTTTATGATACAAAGTCAGACCCAGACTAAGTGATACAGTGCCTAGTGCAGCAGTGATGATTAATAAAGTTGATTAAAGGGTAATATATAAATATCTAACAAAAAATGAATGTTTATAAAAACGCAACCTAAGTTGATGGGCTGATCATAGTTAACAGTACTATACTCTTGGGGTGCTTTAGCTTGTATCATTATAATTTATGGAAACTGATTTATTTCTTTCGAAAATTCTTACAGAAACGAAATCTCTTTAACTAACCTGATAAGTTTGAATCATGACTGACTGTCACAATAGGGGTGCAAGTATAATTAAATAAGTTTGTTGTGAACTAACACCAGATAGCGTAGCGAGGAACGGGCGGCCAAATAGCTTAACCTTTATAGATGTGGCCCTTCCTGTATGACGCAGGTAATGAGGCCTTGTCTATGTAAAGTAAGTTTCTGCGTGAACCTTGCCAGTTGACAGTACAAGGTATATTCCACAAGGTGGGTGGTCACTGGCGCGTGTCGTTGGGCTGGTCGTCCCAGCGGATGTAGGCGGCGTGCAGTGACAGGCCGGGCGGCAGTTTCACGTCGCGGAAGAAGCGATGCCGTCGCGCCTCCTTCGCAGAGATGCGCTTAACCGGATCATACACTAGCATCTTCTGGAGCAGGTTCATACCCACCTCATCTAAGTTTTGTACCTAAAAACAAGATATTTTTATTTTTACAATTTTTATTTATTTATTTATACATCTTTATTGTACACCCTTACTTTATATATTTTTTAGAATACTGCATATAATTCTTGATATTGTGTTGAATAACTTTTGGTGCATATAAACATGTAGTGTTTTTACTTAGTATTTAAAAAGCAACCTTAAGAAGAAGAGTGGAAGAGCATATAATCTTGTGGTAAACTCAAATAAAGGGAAGGTTCTTCTCAAAAACTAGGAATTCAGTGCCTCTTAAAATAGAATCGAGTTTAGCAAATAACCAAAAAACTCACATGATTATACAAATTGAATGTAGTCCAGTTAGGGAATGTTGGTTTGTAGTCTGGTAGAGAAGAGACTCCGGGCCAAATTTCTTCAGTAGGTGTTCGCAATATTCTGAAATAGCGAATAATATTTAATAGCAATAATAATACTCTGTATTGTGAATAATAAAACTGTCTTGTTACCATAAGAATAAGATAGATGTTTTCCGTTTTTTTAAAAAGACAACTCCTGCACTAGGAATAAATTCTGTGTCAAAATAATATTTGCAGATAATAGACACACAACGCTATCTAGTTTCAGACTAAGCAGAGCTTGTACTATGAAAGCTAGAAGAATTACTGATAGAATACTTTTATACTTTGTTTTTCGTAAATACATATGTTACAGAGTCGTGGGGATGGGACCTTTTATTTGCAGAGCAACGATTGATAGTACTCGCTTTGCTTGGCTAATAGGGAATATGCATGTATTTTTTTTATTTTTTTAAACGATTCTACTAGTTATTACATTACCAAAAATAAATATAACACATCCGAAATATAAACCGTTAAGCAAATAAAAATTTATTAAAATCACTATCATTTTGGGGCAATTTGAACACGTCCATTTTGGCGCGCTTTTTTTGTGACGTCCGATTACACTTTCAGGCGAATTCGATGTCAACAACGGAGTGAAGTTCACAAAGTTTGTGAAAGTTAAAAAAGTGAGTGATAAAAATTAACTTATTACGACGGAAAAGCCAATAAAAACTTATTATAAATATTGTGCCGTTCCTTTGTGCCCAAATAATATCAAAACTGCACCTGACAAAGTATATTCAGTCATTGTGTTGAGTCTTTCTAAACGGGAATTTAATAATTTAACACTGACACACAACTTGTTGACACTCTTGACAGTGTAGGTTGACGTCACGTTTTATTCAACCAATAGCGTTGCGTTTTAGAAATTTGCGAGGGAATCTTAAAAAAGCCAATTTTTGATGATTAAATTTCACTATTAAATTATAATAAATTTCAAAAATAATTGTATGGGTATCTTTTTTTAGCAATAAAAATTACAAATAAAAATATTTTGCCCATTTTGGTGTCACGTGCATATTCCCTATTGTCGGTAAGTTTGTCCACTTCCAAGGAAGCGTAATGTGTAATGATAGCAAGCTATTCAATAAGACTTTGGCTGTGACTATTAAAATGCAATGTATTTGTTGTTTACATTAGTGCGTAAGGGACTAAAAACTTCAAGTTTTGTTACTGAAATGATTTAGATCATATATTTACCTGAATATGCGGAATAGCTGGTCGATTTCAGAATCACCCTGGAACAGAGGTTTCTTGGATGACATCTCTGAGAAGATGCAGCCAATCGACCACATATCTATTGGGCAGGAGTACCTGAAATTAATAAATAAATTGTAGTTTTACTTGTATATATTTAAATTAGTCTAATTTATGTTAAGACAAATCACTAGAAGAGATGTTGTTAAATATTAATTATATAAAAATATTTAGGTTACCTACTTTTAATGGACAAAATTCTTGTCTATCATAAATAACAATATGGTCAATCTTAGACAGATTTTAGTTTGTTCTCAAGTACTTCGGTTTACTCTAAGTAAAAGGTAACAATATCTTAGTAGTAAGAAGGATTCCAGTTCTCACCTTTGGCTGCCCAACAAAACCTCAGGCGCTCGATACCAAAGAGTGACAACTTCATGGGTATAAACCCTCACTGGAACTCCAAAGGCTCGACCCAAACCAAAGTCAGCCACCTGCAACATCACATAATAACAAAATATGATTACTGATTTTTATTGTCTCCCTATTCACATAATATTCTTATACAAAACGACCCGTCGCTCAATAAAGACAAACGGAGAAAGGGACATGTTTGTTCAATTGAATCCTTCAACAGCAAACTTTTGTAGAAATTTTATTGTTTTCTTGGTGGGTATCTGTATAACAAAGTGAACACTTCTCTCACAATATACCCCATGCATAAGATGTAAACTATCCATATCTAACTGGCTCAAAACTCTTGACTATGCTGCAACGGCGAGTTTATTGATACCAATCCGCTGATCTAAGTCAGTCAATTGTGTAAGCACATAGAATTTTGAAAAAACCTCAAAAACACATACATGAACTCACACGAATACATATCAGTTAATGCTGTATATCCAGTATTCTCTATTTTAATAATTTGTATTTTTTGGTTCTTATTTTTATATTATCTGTACTCATCACACTGTGTGTGAGAAATCATAAGTTCATTCTTTAGTACTGGGGTCCTGGCAACCCGTAACACGTAACCTGGTATTTCTATGCCTATATTGGGTACCAGTCTCTCACAATAACAAACAATACATGTTATATTATTATGTTATATTAAGCAATGATACTGTGTATATGCATTAGTGATAAGAAATATAAAAAAATAGACTTAATACATTTTTTTTACCTAGTGTTTTTAGCAATTCTGACAGTTAACCCAGAGGTTTTTGAGGTTGATATGTGATGAGTATGTGGAGGAACGGGTGTCATGTCCCTCCAACACCAAGAGATCATCCTCCAACCAGGTGATCATGCCTGGCGGGGGGCCGTTGATGTTGGGAAGTTGTATATATGCTAATTGGCGAGAGAATTCTTCCTATCGCGATATAGGATTAACAATTCTCATTTAGGAGTTACTCCGTAGTTCGGTTATTGTTTCTTTGTATGTGGGAGTCACTACAAGCCTGTAATTTATCCTTAATATTTATTTAGAAATATACAAGTACGTAAGTGTTTATCAGCAGTCTGATTCTCAGGCTCTGTCTAATGTATTAAGGCACCATTATTAAATTTGTCAAGTTATTATTATTACTTACTATAAATTTAAGATAAAGTAAGTAAGAATTTGAACTTAATTCATTACTTTAACAAGTGAAACTTAATTGTTGAAAACATTATTAGAGTTTACTTACTTTTATAATTCCAGTTTTATCAATCAGCAAGTTCTGTGGCTTGAGATCACGGTGCAAGATCCGTCGCATGTGACAGTAGAGGATGGCATTGTTAATCTGGTACAAGTAGCTCTTCACTACAGAAGGGTCCATAAACTGAAACAAATGTAAAATTAAGTGTGGGAGGAAGTTAACACAGAAGTTTCTTCTTCATTAATAATAATATTTCTGACATCTGCACATTACGCCATCTAGTTTCAAATTAAGCAAAGCTTGTCCTATGAAAGCTCACTTACATACATTATACATAGAAAACACCCAAACTTCAAAATAAATATTTGAAGATCATACAAACTTTTGGTCCGACCTGGGGATCGAACCCAAGACCTAGCATATGCACCGCAGAGGCAGTCAATAAGAATGAATGAATTTTATTGAATGTTAAAGAATAAATATTTAATTATTAAAGACTAAATATATATTACTAGCTGACCCGCGCAACTTCGTCTGCGTCTCTCAATAGTAATAAATTTTCTCCGTTTTTGAAACGTTCTTCATTGGTGCTCCGCTCCTATTGGTCTTAGCGTGATGATATATAGCCTATAGCCTTCCTCGATAAATGGGCTATCTAACACTGAAAGAATTTTTCAAATCGGACCAGTAGTTCCTGAGATTAGCGCGTTCAAACAAACAAACAAACAAACAAACTCTTCAGCTTTATAATATTAGTATATATTATTATTATATCAAAAAGGTAGTAAGATAACCTCTGACTTTGACATAGGTCAAATTACTTCAAGTTGGTTTAACTAACAACCCTGATTGCTGCTGCTCAGGGGTTGGGTTCAATTCCCACCATAGACAAAATGATTGTGGAATGGCCACAATCAATTATTTGTTGTTTACATATTTTTTATCTATAATATGTATTCCCGTAGAAATATTTAGGTGTGTTATCAGCTGTTTACCATAACACAGGTTCTGCTTAGTTTGGGATCAGAATACTGTGCGTGAAATGTGAGAAGTTATTATTATTAAATGTCCAGTATATTTATAGCATTAAGTATAAATTTTACTATTATCATAACATCAATAACTCAATATTATGTAGATTAACAGTATCAGCTGAGTTATACAGGTTTAAGATATAATACGCAAAATTTACACACCTATATTTTCATACGCTTAAATGTATCAAAAATTGAAGTGATAACTACACTGGTGACTCAATTTTTATCTTTTTGAAGCAAGATTACAATTGTTATTGCTTTAAACCACTTTTGTCCATCTATTTATAAATGAAGCAAGAAAATATAAAATTTATCTCAATATATATATTGTTTATTATTCATAATTTATAAACAACTCCCGCACTAGCAATATGCCCTGTGTCACAGGGGACAGGGGGATACATGAAAAGAAAACACAAAGTCAGAAGGACAATTTGTGGATCACAAAAAGTGACATGCCATGTGGGGATCGAACCCTCAACACTCAATGTAGTAGGTAGAGGCGTTACAACCGCTTAAACCACTACGCAATCCATGTAGTCTGGCAAACAACACAACAAACAATCCCAACATAGTATTACAAAAAAAGGGCAGAGTCAAAAGTTCTTCCTCATAGTTAAAGATTATTAATTCTTACTCATAGATTATTCTTATAGGGTAGCAATACTAAAACCAATGGATCCTGTGGCTCTATTATGTACTCTTAATTATATAGCTGAGCAATAAAATGTGCAAAGCGAATGACAAATGAAGAATATAACATACATAGAGTGTGAACGTTGATATGCACCAGGGAATTGATTTTATTTATTTCACACTTAATAATCTAGCTTGGACACTACCCATTTGTTAATCATGCTTAACGGGATAGATGGATTGATAACTAATACTAATAATGCACAATATTAAAAATGTCTTACAAAAATTTCTTACCTTCCCTGATCCCAAAGAGTCCATATATTTCTTTAAATCCATGGCCAGGAACTCAAATATGAGATACAGACGACTCTCCTCCATGAGCACATCTTCTAATTTCACTACGTTAGGGTGGTTTAACTCTTTTAACAACGAAATTTCTCTGGGGACAAATATGAAAATAGGTTATGTTTGGAACTTGAGGTTGTTTAAACTACAGTTTATGGATGATTCGAAAGTTGATAACATTACAAGTGTGGTAAAGATAACCAAGTTTTCTTTTACCTGATGGCTGTAGAAGGAATACCTTCATCTTCAGACTCCAAACGAATTTTTTTCATGGCCACAAACTGCCCAGTAATTTTGTTTTTTCCTTTGTACACTACACCGTAAGTCCCTTCACCGATCTTTTCAATTTTTAAGAAATCATCCATCTTGTAATTAGAAATTTTGTTCAATTTATCAGCTCAAAGCAGGATGATACCTTTTACATTAACTACGAAGGTTTCTTTTGGTAGAGACCTTCGTTTTTCCTTTACAAGTTATAATGTGGATCGAACATTTACATTTCTCTTAATAAATGCAAATATTATTGTCCTTTTCAACTAAAATTATTAATAAATATCGTTAACGTTTCACAACGGCTTTCAAAATAAGTTTTTTTAAATATTTGAATTCGGTGTTGCCAGTGTTGTCACGTTGTTTATTATTTCGAATAGGCTTGTTATGTAGGTATGTCTGTCTAGGGCCAGCTTACGGTGAATCAGAATTGCAAACCATTTACAAAGAATATTTCTCGTTTGAATTAATATTAAGAATTGTTTTGTTTGTCAAAAATACGGAGGAATTATTATCAATATTTCGGAGTCGAAGCTTCGCATGCAGCCGTTTTGTACTGTAGTGGCTTAGCTTGATTTGTCAGTAAGTTTCTTTACAAAGGCAAAAAATAATACTAATCCTACATAATATTCTTAAGATTCTTTCAACCAAATAACTAAGACTTAAGCCCAAAAAGAAGTTTTTCTTTTAAATCAAAAAGGTTAGTTAGGTACCTCTTTTTGACATTAAAATTTTAGTCAAGACAACCTAAGTTGTTTCATAATTTTTGGAAAGGTTCACTACACGGCCAACAAAATATAAATCTTTATTAATACTATAAAGAGGACAAGTCTGGGCAGTTTGGATGTTTGGGTTAATCTCATGATCTACAGCGTAGCATAGCCTTTTTATCGTATAATATAGTATAGAAATAGGCTACATACTATTATATGCGAAAACGGGGGAATTTATTCCTGTTAAGAGAAGCAGACGAAGTTTTTATAAAAATATTACTGAACTACAGATTTTAGGTTTCTTAAGAAGAAAATAGTTAATTGCTTAGATCTAAGTAGTATATTGCTTTATTAGATGCATTATACTTTGAATACTTGATTTGGAATCTAGTAACGAAAAATATCGAAAAGTACTTAATATTTGTAAAAAAACACTCCCAAATACTTAAAATACCGCTTAACTAAATATAAAAAAATATATAGGTAAATCTTACAATGAATTATTATTTATATTTATTTATTTATATTTATATTATTTACAGTCGCTTTGTCGCTTCATTTTTGAAACCATAAAGCAACACAGGCCACCTGCTCACCGGAGGGAAGTAGCTATAGCGTCTTTTCGCGATACAAAATAGTCTGTCATTTTTTTGCGGGGGAAATCTGTACCACGCACATGTTTTCGGACTTCCATACAAAAACAATTGGCTGTCACTAATGAACTCACACATAACAGCTAAAACAACACATCATTAATTTGCACATTCCGTGTAATAACAGTCTAATGCAGTGACGTGAGTGACGCACTACATTGACCTTAAAAACAATGTGGTCGTAATTCACACTCAGTAATTTTAATGTAATGTGTTAATACTCATAAGTATTGTATTATGTTTGATTGGACGCAATTTTAATATTAAAGTATATTTAAGTAAAGCTCACAATCCACATAATTATATTAGAGGACATAATACAACTTATACAATGAAACTGTAATTTGATTTTCTCATGTAAGTGAATAGTTTATGTTATTCTTTGTGAGAAATAAACGATCTTAAACCTGAATTTGACCGATCGCATTTTTAAAGTAAAAACTGAACAGAACGGGATTTTTGTAGGTCGGCTACTGTTGTCTACTTAGCAACTAGATTTAGTCTATTGAGCAGTCCAGTGACAACTAGTTTTATTATAATATGCATATGACTGTGTGGACTTGTACTTTGGCAGAGAGGAACGCTTGCGTATGGCTACTCCCTACCGTGTTGCTCTATGTATGGAAACCCAGTCGGGCCGTCACCGCGGAGATATCCTGCATAGATTAAATTGATAAAACATTGGTTGCCTGTAAGAAATTGTTTTTCACCGATAAGACCGTCATTTGTATATGTACATTTATAGGGTTCAGAAAACGATATAGGACTGAATACTGCTTTCAAGCTTTAAAGAAACAACTTTTAATGCAATCGTAGTCGTAGGCAAAAGCTAGTATATCACAAATAGTTGTTTGATAACCAAACTCAGAAGCAAGTTAACATTCCAACACTCTTTGTGCAGCATCGTCATCTTTCATCAGAGGCGTAGCGTGGACTAAGTGAATATCGCCGCCCATGAACGCCTGCAAGTCAGAAGTCACAAGCGCGTTGCCGGCCTTTGAAGGTTTAAAGGTTGTATCGGTCCGGAAATACCTCAGACGAAAACTTGTTCCACAGGTTGCTTGTGCGAGGCAAAAAGCGAGCGAGCACTCCTTATAATAAATATGACAAAAAATGCAGAGTGAAACTATCTCTCTACGTAACGCCATCGAGCCGATCGGAGGTCTTTCGACGATTTGAGTTTTTTTTTTGATATTGGTATTGGTTGTAGGCTTCGGTTGCCGCATTTAGACTCAAGAGTGGTCCTTTATGCGATGAGGTTAGCTGGTTAGCTAGGTGAGCCAACCAAGGTCCTTCCAGAAGCGCAGAAGCCTCCTGGGGCGTTCACAGGCTTCTAGAAGCGATTTTGTATCAGGAATGATACTTGCCCGTTCTGTGGCCACTCCCTCGCGTTCCAGGACTACGTGGGCGGACGTTTCATCTGCTTCCAGACATCCCCTGCACAGAGGGCTGACCGTCGCATTGATGATGAATAGGTGTCAGTTCAGGGCTAGGTGTCCTGTTATAGTACCGACAACTATTCGGATTTCCAGTCTGCTAAGACTAATCAATCTGCATGTGAGTCGTGGTGTGACTTGAGTCAGCACCAGTTTGGACTATCTGCAGCCGGGTGAGTTTTTCCACCTCCGGTTGTGTGCTTCACGAGTCCGTTGCCTGGCCCAGAATCGTATTTGACGATTTGAGTTGCTCTTCGTTGGATTCGGTCCAGACGGAAAAGCTGATATTGGGGTGCCCCTGCTTAAAGATGAGAACAGTATTCGATATGCTCGCGCCTTATAGAGTTAGAGGCGGTGGGCCAGAGTGAATTACTGCCACGATCTCTTCAAGTGCAGCGGGTAGCGGCTATTCGGATCGTACGTGGATACCGCACCACCGCCGTCGGAGGCGGTGGCAGTCCTGGCATGTTTGGTGCCTTTGGATATCCTGATGGATACGGACACAAGGGTCTATGACCAGACTTGTGCGATCCGCCGGGGTGGCAGGAGTGAGGTTCAGAATGGGCTCGAAATACGGCGAAGTACTCACTCATATGCACTGATGCAAAGGCGTGCGGCTGGACTAGGCGTGGAATGTGCGCCAACAAGCTTTTGATGCCGTTCTGCCTAACTTCAAAAAGTGTAGGGAGTAGGGAGGCAGGTCACGTCACCTGCAGGTACTTATTTGCTTGGTGAGTACCTGAATTCGATCGGACGTGAGTAGACAGCACAATGCCTGCACTGCGCTGGCACTAGGACTCTGACCATCATGCGTAAGAGAAATGCCCCGCGTGGTTGTCTAAGCGAGTGGTCCTGGTAGATAAAATCGAACGAGATTTGTCCCCGTCAGCAATTGTATCAAAATACGGTCGGGCCACATTACATGGGTAGTGATTGGACCAAAAGGCGGGGCAAGCCTGCGGCTTCTCTCGAGATGGCCCGGGAGAGACCTGAAATCACATGGTCCGGGTCCAGTTGAGCGGCTGAGGCCTTAGGGTGGGTTTTTGGAGGAAACACCATATACTTCTACGTCTCCAAGGCGCTATAGATCCAAATCGATTATCCACCCCGTCAACAAAACAATGCCCCTCATTAGTAGTAGCGTAGGGCCCCAAAAATTCAAGATCCGCCTCTGCCTATAGCTTACAAGTCTCGTATTCCGTCAATGTAACAGTCGCAGTCTTTAAAGGTCCCAAAACAAACACACTTCGAGCGTAAATGTGATAAAGTTAATCATTTGTGAAGTCATTGGTGGTGAAGTCCCGGGGCCTCACATTTAAAAAGCCTCGCGAAGCTCTCCTAAGTGCGAGGCCGTGGGCGATGGCCCACTTCGCCCACGCCTAGCTACGCCACTGTCTTTCACGATGATCCTACACAAAGAGTGTCGGCAGATTATCTAAAATTTGTAGGTTAACACAAACAGATTCCTGATTTATTTACAGAGTACTTGATTATTTTTCACGTATCTACTAATCACAGTTCTCGTTTAATCTTTACAAATATACTTAATCGATTGGTGCAAGATTGCCAACATTAATAATAGCATAGCAGTTTGTGTTTACTTTTGGCGGGCTAAGTATAGCCCGCCAAAAGTAAACAAACTAAAGCCTTGTGTAAATAAAATAGAAAATTCTCGGCCATTGAAAATCCCATGTTTTTGGTATTTTTGGTATTCAATATATTAATTAATCTTTTTTTGTTTACTGCTAAACATAGTGTAAAACCTCATGTGGTACAATACTAGGTGGTTCGCCTTTCGCATTTAATACATCTTAGTTTTTTTTTTCTTGAAGTCATCAAATCAGTCTGCCTTTCGTTCGGTCACAAAATTAAGATGATGGTATTTAACCTTATCCCTAGAGATTAAGGATGGCCAATACGTTATGGAGATAAATAAAAACCCATATTTTTTAATTTAGTTTTATTTCTTGTTCTTGCTTTGTTCTTAAGAAGGTAACTCAATAGTAGTGACAGATGAAGCTACCATTTCCACCACGGCTTGCTTATCTCCGAGCTTTATGTTGACTGTCTTGTTTCCACCACTGTGTATAGTGAAATTTATAATTTTTATTTATGAACATATATAATGTATGTCAAATATTAAAGAAATAAAGGGATGATACCAATTTCAGATTGTTAGTTATTTTACTTTAAGAGTTGCCATTTTTTTTAAATACATAAAAAAACAATGCCTTAATTCTAACATTAAAAATATAATGACACCTCTTAAAGTAAAATAACTAACAATCTGAGTACTATAAGGTAGTAAACCAGGTAAGGTACGGTTTTGCAGATGCGATTTTTATATGCATATCATAGATTAATTACAACCAAACACAGAACAAATGATTATGATCATCAAACAATTATTTGCTCTAGTTCGGAATCGAACCCACACTTGGACACCCAGGGCCATTCGGGCCACTCAAAAACAATTATTTGTTTCACGTATCTTGCAAATAAAGATTGACAGAGCATTTTAAATTCCAGAATTGAATCTTTTTCGTTACAATTTAAAATAAGTAAAATATTTCTTACTTGTTGTATAGCACGGCTACAATTGTATTACGCGGTGTTATAAAAGCCACATTTGAAATAGAATCTCTCCAACTACAGGATCCTGAGACTTTGATTCTCTTAGATCCTCGCGGGACAAATTTAGAGAAGTGGCCCATAGCGTAGAACATGGGCTGTTTGATAAACTCTCCCTTTTCAGCGAATACTATGATTGGAGAGTCGACGTAGTTCCGAGCCCACGATGGACCACCTTGAGCGTTCAGGCACAAGTTCCAATCTACCCAGCCAACTACATTGTGATTAAGATCCTGAAAAAATATTGGGAACATTGATGATTTTTGTTGATAGGTTTATATTGTTTTAGTATTTTTATATCTGTTTTGGTAGTAAAATGGTTTTTAAATACAACACTATCTGGACGAACGATCTCTAATATACTCACTTAAGGATAATGTCATAATGCAGCTACATAGTGGTGAAAAAAATGCAGACTGGGTTCAGTAGTTCCAAAAATTACCCCCCCTCATACAAACGAATGTTACCTCTTTATAATAGTAGCATAGATAGATTATGACTGCTCATTTTAACCTTTTACTTATTTTCATTAGGTAGATTTTACATGTGAATGCTTCTTAGAGTAATGAATCATCTTCCTACAATACGGTAAACTTGTAATCATACTTGAATGCATATATTTTGAAAATAAAAACTACCTTACCGTTATAATGTCGAGTATATAGCCTTTGGCTCTGTCCCAGGAGCCTAAATCTACATGTTTTTCTATTAACCAAATAGATCCTGAAAAATTAACGTCAAATGAAATCTACTTCTCCTGTATTTGCTTGATGAGTCCACACTACGATTACACACAGAAGGCCAGTTCCACTCAATCTCGCAACTGTCAACTGTCGCAATAAAAGGTATTTTAGTAAAATAGTAAAGTAAGATATATTTAAAAATGAAATTAATATGTATATATATCCGTGTGGTGACGGATTAAGAATACGGAATGTCACCACCCCTATTCATCCCGTGGGTGTCGTGGTATAGTAGGCCGAAACCTCCTTTCTAAGGAGAGGCCTATGTCCAGCAGTGGTCTATTATAGGCTGTTGATGATGATGATGATGAATTTAATAAAGAGAATAATAATAATAATAGCTGTCAGATCGAGAGTTGATCGAAACTGAACTTTTATTACGAGAATTGGCCTTTAGAGCACTAAAATTCACAAAAGCATTGAAATAGCTTATGTCATTGTTTATAAAAGATGGTAAAACTATTAGAATAAATGCAGTGTCTTGAACTGTAAAAAGCTATTTAAAATCAAAACATCATAAAAATTTCAGCCGTGGGAGACCCAAGAATGCTAATACAGATATGGCCCGGCTCAACCGGAGTGATACCACGGCATAGTAAAACCGGTGTTAAGCAGCCCTCCACCCCCCCTCTCCTAACTCTCGGAGAGGGGGGATTGAGGGTCTCTTGAGTTGCAAGTGGCCATGGGCCGCGGTAGTCGATTTACGAACTGTGACCCGTCTACTTATTTACTTTAAAACACTACAGCTTTAGATGCATATCTTGTATTAATAACTCTAGTCTTAATACTGCTATAAACTTACTTACCTTTGCAGCCTTCAGTGGCAAGGATAAACTTGTTGGGGTAAAACTTGGACAGTTCTGTGAGTAGCGCGGCCGGCGCTATGAAGTCGGTATAGTAGTGTACTGCTACACCGTCTATATACTTGAGTGCCCCGGGATGTTCCAAGACCATCTGGAAAAAAATGTTGTCAATTAAGTCACGATAATAATTAATCCCCAACGGCACATATAGTACAGCCACTGGAAACGATTTTTTTTTATAATAAAAGGAGACAAAATAGCAGATCGGTCTACTGATGGGAATGTGATGACCACGGCCCATGGACAAAGGACAACCAAGTGTCGAAAATGTATGTATATCCATTCTGGTGATATACTTTTCTTACTGTTCCTGACCCTTCGTATCTGGGGTTTCTTTCAATATTCACCCAATATTTCTATCTAAGCAGTGTGGTGACTGATTAATCATGATATTTAAGTATACGGAGTGTCACCACCTTGTGGTGTATAGAGCACGTATTCTCAAGATACATCTATTTCTTATAGCTCGAACCGTACAACCTCTATTCATCCTGTGAGTGTCGTAAGAGCCGACTAAGGGAGCAAAAAACAGCACTGCAAAGAAAATGAAAAATTAAAACAAACCCTGTAAAACCCGTCTGGTCCGCGTGGTATAGTAGGCCATAACCTGATTTCTAAGTAGAGGCTTATGACCAGTAGTAGACTATTAAAGGCTGGTGATGTGATGTGATTTTCATCTCATCATTAAGGCGCAATTGACGGCGAGAGGCTTGCCTCTACTGCCTATATGGGACTAAATTTATAGTCAGCAAAGTGCGGGCATTCAATTCACCTCTACTTACCCTTTTCGGGATACAGCTTGAGTATAACGTGTTATAAAGCAACATATACATAAAACTTAAATGTATTAATAGAAAATAAGTCTGCAAAAACGTTCTTTCAACAGATATTTTCATTTTCGCTTTAATACAGTAGTCATGATGATTATAACTATGACATCATATTTAAGTACGGTGATAGGATGATGATGATTAAGTACATATTTTTCTTACCAAATTCATCCAGTACGGAATCGTCAACCTTTGGTCATCTCCAGCCAGGATTTTGACATCTTTAAATTCTGAATTACGTATTGTTGGTCCTAAAAAATACTGGATCCATTTGCCCTGAAATACAAACAGTTAATCTGTGAATTAGCTTTTGTTACATCAAAGGCTTAGTTCCTTTGAGAATAGGAACATACTGTTGGTAAAATTTACTCAAAATTGAGAAGTTCATAGGAGTTCATATACCGAAAAACATTTTTTAGCATAACTATGTAAGGTTTGCCCAACTTTTTACTCGAGACGCCAGAAAGAGTGTTTTTTTCCCGAGCGAATGCGTGTATAATTTTTAGGCAGTCGAGGTTTTTGTTTTCAATAATTTTACACGTTACTGTATTATGATCAGATTTCGTTTTTTCAGCTGTATGATATATGATAGTAGGTACCTACATAACTAGACTGTAACCCTCAAAGCTATATTAATCATAGATATTAGGAATCAGAAAGACTGCTATTATCTATGAATGAAAATGCATCGTTGTATAAAAAAAAAAATAGTCGAATTGAGAACCTCCTCCTTTTTTTGAAGTCGGTTAAAAGCATGTTTGTCTCATCTTACCATATTATTCGCAGTCCATCCCAGACAATTGATGAAGCTCAGTCCAGTTAATCCATTAGTAGGCTCATTGGTTGTAGTAATGGCCCAAACTGGTATGCCTTCTGCTTTATATTTTTCTAAAAACCTGAAAAACCCCTTTTAAAGCTTTGCCAAAAAATGTTCATAATGAGCAGACGGGTCATTTGATCATCGGGCAACTCGAAAGACTAGTGCGTTCCCGCTTTTTGAGTATCCTTCGTCCCAGAAATCTTGGAATTTGGGGGAATGGGGATTTGCGCTCCACATACCACTTAGTAAAATAATAATAATAAAAATGCTTAACATAGGTTTTCTGTGTTTCGGCTATATCTCATCAGCCTGCGAGCCTTTGCCCAAACTAGGTTAGTGTCGATTTTCAGTCTACACGACATATCTGAACATTTACGATTAAATATCTGAATTAATTATAAGCTCAATGCTCTCTCTCAGTCTCTCTTAAAGGTCCCTTTCGAAACAGTTTGTTATGAAAAATAGTTTTAATTTTGAAACCGAAACCGAACTTCGGCCCTTGTTTCACTGTGAAACCGTCATCGAAACCGTGTATAGTATATTGTAAATGTATAGTGAAATTTAGTGTATTTTTTACCCATTTATCTGGTTATACATATTCGTATGTATATACCACCTAAAACAACAGTAATAAGGTGGTAGACACGGCATTAATTTTAGAGAGAAAATGTATTTAGGTAGGTAGATAAAAAAATACGTAGGTAGGTGCTAAGTACTTGACAAAACGAAGATCTATACCTAATAATTGCTTTTGAGATAAAACAATGTTAGTTACAAGTAAATACAAAATGAGTTAGTCGTGGAAGAGCCATGCCTCGACACATTTGGGCCATGCTCGACAGGGTAACACTTTGGCCTCACACTTGTGTTGAGCAGTTCTTTCGTTGTTTTTAACCGAGTAAGGTTACTAGAGCCCAAAGCCTCGCCTTTCCCCTGACTCTGGGTAGAGGGACTGAAAGTGAACACTGAGTTTCGGTGCGGCCGTAAGTTTCGGTCAATTTTGGTAGAAACCGAACATACAACTAAATATTTATTCTTACTTTAAATGGTAATTGGCATATGTCTGGTAATACTCAGGTTTGAGACGGTTGTATCCTGAGTACCCATTGTTCGTCTTCATCCAGGGGGGCGGGGACCAGGTTGTTGCTACAATTTGTATTGGGGTGCTGGCAACTGTCATACCAGCTTTGATCATTGGAATCTGTGTAGAATAAAATTAACCAAGTACCCTATTAGTTGGTGGTTAGGTGATGGGTGAAAATAAATAATGTCATAATATTTTCACTGTTCTGTGGACACAACACTAATATTTTATTTTGTTACGTGAGATTGAGGAAACAACAAAACACGCGGCTAAACCCTATTGACCTTACTAAAGACAAGATTACTAAGTATATGAATTACCATTATTTTGAATTTGCGTCTGACAAGATAACTGTTGTCGAAGCTAAAACGCAGTCGATTCTTTTAGAGGCTCATCAGAGCTAAGGATTTGACTTGTTATCAAAGTGGTGGTATTTTGTAACCTATTAGGAATGAATAACGGTTACCTTATATTGAAGATCTTCATAAGCAAGAGTGTAGTTTGTAAGGCGAGTATCATTTAATGGGTATTCATTGTAGGCGTATGGATGCGTAGAGAAGTCTGTGCCGCCGATGGGGACGCGAATTGTGTTGTATTGTAATCCATCATCACTAAAGTACGAACTGCAAAATAAATAGAAGAAATTTTAAGTTCATGTTAATTTAATTTTGATGACAGTAGGAAAGGAATTGTAATTGTGGCTTTCTTAAATGATGTCTTCTAGGGTTGCTAACAGACGGAGACCTAGTAAGCTTCAATGAGTGTCCTCTCAATTGGGTATTTAAATTCATAGTATAGGGGTTCCGATGTCTTTCACATTGTAGTGTCCAGTTAATTTTTAAATTTTTCAATCAAATCTAATCTTGTTCCAGTTAAGTTAGTTCGATATTAATTTATTTCCAGCAGTTCTATGTCTTTCTTCAGTATGGATTCCATATTTGAAATGTGTACTTCAAGAGCAGACGATATACGTTTTGTAGATTATATAATAACTAATTATAAAACAATTTTTTTTACTGTACCTTCGTTCTATGCATATGTATAATGATTACCTTTTTTTCTGATTTTTTGCGAATGGCTGTACGTGTATGCCTATTTCATCTTGATACTTACTTCATCAACAGCCTTTACTAGTCCACTGCTGGATATATGCCTCTCCTTAGAAAGGAGGTTTTGGCCTACTATACCACGCTGGCCAGACGGGTTGGTGTAGGGGTGGTTTCAAGTTTTCCTTCTCTCTGCAGTGCTGTTGTCCTGCGTAGTTTGCTTCCTTAGTCGCCTCTTACGACACCCACGGGATGAATAGGGGTGGTGACACTCTGTATTCTTAATCCGTCACCACACGGACAACGACGGACGAATACTTACTTAATTAGATGCTTCTGAACCTGCTCAGGTAGACTCCTCCAGTTAATGCCCGCAGCGTCAGTTATGGCTCCCCCAAACCCTTCTATAGTTTGATACTTGGTGTCAGGATGTAGGACCAAAGTTTCAGCACTGCATTCACTTTCTAAAACAAATACACAAACAATAGTGGGTCTGACTCAGTCTAAAAGCTGTGTAGTATTGGTCTAAAGATAAATAAGTCATTCTTTATTATTTCTAGCAAGATTAAAATAGGTATTTAAAAATCTCGACAAACTGTTCATGACTATAACATAAAAAAAATGACTTTTTTTTATGGTATGTGTAATGCCACATAATAAGCTTGAGCGACATTCAAATCTCTGCATCAGGTTTATCTTTAGACTACGCAAAATATGAGCACTTAGCCGAATATCGGAATACGATCAAGGAGGTTCCCTCATAACTACACTTTTCGGAGAATACACATATTCTTTCATTCTTGTACATTAGTTATACTTTATAAATATATTACTTGCTTTAGTGTATGTGTATTTTATTGCGGTAAAAAGTACTCGCTGATAATATAGCTTTCCATTGTTGGCAGAATTTTTAAAATCGGTTTAGTGGTTTGTGTGAGGAAGCGTAACAATCAAACTAACTTTTAATTATAATATACTTAAGTATGGAATATATACTTTGTGAATGGTGACCTACTTAGTACTATAATGTGTTTATTGTTTGTTTTCATATTCGTGTTGCTTTGTTCAATAAGCATGATGTGTTTCTGTTTGTGTATTTGTATCTTTATAATATTCATCTGCAAATAGTTAATGATTCTACTAAGTATTTCTAATTAATATGTAAATTTGGGCTCCTTATATTGTACACTGTGGTCCATCTTATCACCTAGGTTTATTGCCTAGAAGAGTTTGCAAATTGCGATAAGGACGTCAAAGGATGTACCATTAGCTAGTAACAAGATACTTGTAGTTAGTGATCTTAACAGCTTTCCCTTTTATTTACTACTTATTTGAAATTAAAAAGCGCTGACTTGGAGGTGTAGTATGGTACGCGACTGCAGTCCATGAGGCCTCGGATTCGATTCCAGGACCAGGCAAAATTTATAGGGGTTTTTCTGAGAGGAAAAATAGCCTAAGTTGCTCCTCATATAGAAAACTACCTGGTAATAAAATATTATTAAAGTCGGTCTAGCAGTTTTGAAGCCCGTTACCCGGAAAAACAGACGTACAGACAGACAAAAAATATTTAAACTAGTTTTTAGGCATAGGTATCATGCAAATAACCGTGTAAGCAAGAAAACACGGCGTGAGGGGTCTATGAACGAAGTTTCTTTCTTGTTACACATTTTTCGGTCTCGCTACCATCAGCTCAGAGCGGGTAACGTACGAACTTCGTTCCAAAACCTAGTCACTTGACATTACAAACAGAAACTTCATTTGTTTTATTTGTATATATTAAACATAAACCTAATCATCAGTATGCTGTTTATATTAAAAGGAATTAATTATTACACAGACAGTTTACTAATCTTAGGAACATTATAATGAGTCAATGCAGTAGTAATTAACTAGCTGGTGCCCGCGACTTCGTTTGCGTGGAATTTGAAAAGCGCTGCCTTAGTGAGTTCGATTCCCGGACTAGGCAAAATTTATAGGGATCTTCTGAGAGAAAAAATAGGATAAGTTACTCCTTTTATAGACATCTACCTGGTAGTAAAATATTATCAAAATCGGTTTTGAAGATTACCCGGCACAAACAGACAGACATACAGAAATACAGACAGACAGTCAGACAAAAAATATTTAAACTGGTTTTTAGGCATAGGTGTCGTGTAAACCAACCAATAAACCAACAAATAACCGTGTAAGCATGAAAAAAACCAAAAAAATTTACATTACAAACAGACACTTCAATTTTATTTATTTCTATAGATAACTTACCGGAATTTCGGATTGTTTGCAGCGTTTTGATGGTCTTGTTAAAACGTAAGCCACTCTATAACAGAAAAAAAAACACTTTTTCTACCCAAAATATAACTTTGAGTCTTCATATAAAGAGATTAGAGAGAAACTAGTTACATGCCATTAAATTTCCAGTTTCACACAAAAGGATCGCCTACTTCGTTCTACTTCTCTCTTCGTACTACTATTCGTAAGTTGTTCATCTTTTGAGACTGGACTATATACTTAAGTACAGTTTTAAATCTAAGTTGAGATGATTGATATACATATTATATTGGATATAAAATTCTAGCGGCTTTTGACCTTTATAAGACCAAGAAGTATCGTTTGTATATCGTAGACCTATACGTTATAGGGAGTATTAACTTTTAGGAATTTTCATTTTTTAAATCGAAATTATGCAGCAAAACTGTAGCACTATTTCGCAAGAAGGCTTTATTCTTCAAGCAAGTTATTCACAATTTAGAAAACATTTAAAATTAACCTTAATTAACAGGCTATGGCGACTCCTCGTCTACTTTGGTATTGTACGATTTTTTAATAACTCGTTACATCCTGTACTATCGTACAAACACATTATTACAAATAAATTACACACAGATATAGAACCAATGATAGTGTTTCACACAATTATTTGTCCTGGGTGGGAATTAACCCACGACCTCTGATTTAGCAGTCAGGGTCACTTACTAAAAGACCAACGGGCCAATCGAATACAAAACGGGGAAACGAGAGAGTGTACTGTCCGTATTTTTATCAGACATCAAAATCAAGTTAAATTGAAGACTAAATTTCAGTGCTCTGTTGGTCTTTTGGTTAGTATGTTCTGTTAGTTAGTTAATATGCTTTGTTGGTCTTTTGGTTAGTGACCCTAACTGCTCACCCAAAAATCGTGGGTTCGATTTCCATTAAGAACAAATAATTGTGTGATAAGCATGATCATTTATTTTTATTTATTTATTTAAGTTTCCTTTATGCACAAATGTTTCAAAAGTGGACTTAAAGTCGTAAGCATTTTCTAAGCGACAACCTTAGGGCGATGCAGAATGTGTTTAAGTGATGTTTCCGCAACATGTATTTAAAAGTTTGCCGATCATTCATTCTGTGTCTGGGTATAATTTATCTATAATATGTATGTATTTAGAAATATAGAGGTATGTATATCAGCAGTCTGGTCACCATAGTATAGGCTCTACCTAGTTTGGGATCAGACGGCCGTGTGTGAGAGGTGTAAGGTTATTATATTATTGTATTATAATTATCTATCTAGGTTCTTAAATATAGGTTTTACAATAGCTATCTTTTGGGCACCAAGATACTAGTATCAATTATTCGAGTAAGTGTGCCACATATTTCGTTGGCTACTTTATTTTATTATTTTTGTACATATGAAAAGACGGGTGTGTGAAAAGACCTTACCTCAGAACTAGTGTAGACAACGTAGGTATTTGAGCCTGGAGGAACTCTATTGATCGTGTCGCAATATGTAGCGTTACATACACAGTTGACGGATTTATTTGGGACCTGGATGGCTGCACATGGTTTATCTGGAAATCATTAAGTCCTACGAGCTCTAAAAAAAGCTATAAGTATTATAGTAATTTAGATCATAGAAATAAAGTCTAGGGTTTAAGTTGCGTTGATTCCTATCTACACACACATATACTTATATATATTTAGATAGTTATAGGTCTATTAATATGATGAAAATTGAAAATTTTCACCCCCACCTCTTGGATAATTGGCGCTCAACCACTGTGACTTTTCAAAACACTTTTTGCCTCGCACTACCAACCTGTGGAACAAGTTATCGTCTGCGGTATTTCCGGACCGATACGACCTTCAAAGTCGCCTCCTCCTTCCTCATAGGCTGGCAACGCGCTTGTGACTCCTGAGTTGCAGGCGTCCATGGGCGGCGGTAGTCGCTTTCCCGCCTGCTCGTTTGCCCCCATTCCAAATGATGAGTATGATGATGATAAAAATGTTAGTACATTTTTACAAGCTTTATATTAGCTTCACTTGTATGTTTGTAACCGACTCCTTTGGGCGTGATTTTGACTGTCTTTAAACGGTCAGAATTCGTTCAAACTTTGTAGATATATCGAGGACCGATGACAATACACTAATTTGAAAAAAATTGTTTAAAAAAACTAACAGGCACCAAACGCTTTTTTTCAAAGTTATTAAAATTTATTTTCTGTTTTTTAGTTTGGTTTTCTAAAATAGCGTGTTTTTTTGCTTTTTTTAACTATTTTTTTTAATGTTTTTTTTTGTAAAAAGCAGCATTTGTTAGTTAAAAACTACTTCGCTTTTTTTACTTAGTTCTTTGTACACTGCTTTGTGTGTTTTGATTCTAGTACTTATAAATGCGTAAACATTAAACTTTGTAAACGTCGGTTTATTTTCAGACCTATCATCAATGGTTATTTATTAACTACTACTTTATAAACGTGTGTAGAACTAATGGAGTTTTCACAAATACCTTCGCTATGTTGTGAATGTGAACGCCCTGTACAAAGTAATTGCAACTTTAAGTTTAACTTAGCTCACTATGTATTAAAAATAATTGGATCTATGAATAACCATGTCACACAATCTTTATTAATATAATGTGATTATTAAATTAGACTCTAAGAAAATATTTATTGTTTTGATTTTTTAACTGATCTGTTAATGGCGAAGTATAAACAATAAATGCATGAATAGCGACTCTCAGATCTACGCCTTAAAGTGCAATTTAACTTGCACGCCAAATTAGAGATAAAACATTTTAAATCATACTTCATCCTTCACTTACACATTGTTAACAAAAATAAAAGTTATTTAATACCTGCACACGTGTTAGCAAAGCTCCACAGGAGTAAGACACAAATTACATTTTTAGCCTCATTCATTTTACAATCCACAAAGAATGAATAACTTATAAAACAAACAAGTAACTATTCTTTATTGTTATTGGCGCGTCTGCACGTAATCTACTGACTGACTCTGATTACGAGAAGTAACCGACTCTCGGGTTACACAGGATGAAACCAATTTCATTAAAGGTTCCTGTTCATACTCCAACATGTCCAAAGGAAGTATTTTTTTATGCAAAGGGCAGACATTTAGGGTCTTTATTGTTTATTTTATATGTAAACGATTTACCGAATATGACATTACCTAAATTATAGAAGATAGCGATAAAAATAATTTAGAGAAAAAGATAAACAATGAACTGGGTAATATTATTAATTGGTTAGAATGTAATTACCTTAAAAATAATTTAATAAAACGAAAATGATACAATTTAATATCTAATTTAATGGGTTTACTATTCTATAGTAAACCCATTAAATTAGATATTAAATATAATGTTAATGTAGTTGAAGAAGTGGATGCGACCTCATTTTTGGGCATTACAATAGACAAACACTGTAATATGAAGCAGCATATTCAGAACCTTTGCATGAATTTGGATAAATTTGTTTACGATATATATCGCCTTAAAGAAATATCGACTCTGGGCACTGCTTAAGTGCATACCACGGCTATGTGTCGTCAAAACTAATAGGGCTAATAGGGCATTTCTTGTACAAAAAAAATTTATGCGAGCACTATCCAACTTCCAGCAAACAGATAGTTGCAAAGAGCATTTTAAGAAATACAACATACTACCACTACCTACTCTGTATATTTACGAGATCTGTGTTTTGTGCACAAACATAAACGGCTATTTTGTAAACATAACGACGCCGTCGCCAGGTCAAGCAGAAATACACATAAACTCTTAGTTCCCAGACAAAGAATAAATATGTATAGTAAGAATGTATACTGTATGGCTATACAGATTTATAACAAGTTAAAAAATTGTAAACGACATTTTATTTGCACAACATTAAATACCTTACTTTATATTTCACTAAACGTGATTATTATGAAAACACGGGAATTAATGCATTTTTTTAATTTTATTTCATTTAATTCTTTATGCACAAACCCGATTTGTACAAGGACTTAATGCCACAATCATTTTCTACCAGTCTATCTTAGGGTAGTAGTACGAAAAAGTGTAACCAGGCTATACATTGATACATTGATTGTGTAAAGTAAGAGAAAATTATTGAGAAATTATTGGTGTGGTGATGAAATAAATATGGGACAAAAGTTCGTTTGGAAGTTCGTCGTCGTCCAAGATAAAACGACGATACGGCAATTTGCATGTGCGTTATTTGCAAAATAAATATAGGAAATTAGAGTTGTGTCATATTTGTGTCAACACGGGCGAAGACTTATGCCAGTGTATTAGTTTAAGGAAAATTTAAAGGTATTGGTAGGTAAGGTATATTGCAGTAGTAACAATTAAATATTCCTGTTCATGCTCCAACATATCAAAATGAATTAACCTAAAGACTTTAACTACTCTATGAAATTACGGCCAATTTCGGTATTTTACATTATAAAATAGAATCAGGTTCTATCTTATGTGAAACACTTACCTATTCCTGTCTTTTTCAAAAAAAACTTTTACAAAGTATACATTAAAATTATAAACTACAGAAACTGATAAGAAAATCGTTATCTTTTGAACTTTACCTTCTCAGAAATAACTTCAGTATGATAAACATGTGTTTTCTACCGCATTTAAAAGTTAATTTATGTTTTGAAGCGTATGTTTTTGACGTTTTAACGTGATGTCTAGCTGTTTTACGTAAAAGCTAGACATCTGTCTATTTATGCAACTTGAGGTATTTCAAGAGATAAACATTAAACTGATACAACATAAATGTACTTCAAAAGCGATATACTTCAAATATATCAAACCTCAAAAAAATTCATACTGTTTTAGTGTTCTTTTGTTAACAAATGGATAGAGCAGTTCACGAGAAAGATTTAGGTGTATTATTTATTCAGGCCTGGGGGTGACAGGTGAGGCCATCTGTCACCCTAGCAGAAGCAGGCCGGGGTGGCGGCAAGCGCGTTGCGAAGCGCGCTCGCTTCCAGGGAGCACCGGGAACATGGGGTTCCCACACGGGGGGGGTCGTCTACTCGTCTGTAGATGACCCGAGGTATGTCGGGGTACCAGGGACTTCCTTTCTAGGGTATACCTGGTTCCCCGGCTATTAGTACCCGAGACGGCGTGCGGTTTTAGTCGGTTCGAGTCCGACATGCCACCGACAGGTGGTATCCGAGGAGATTTCCGCACGAAAAAAAAAAAAAAAAAAGGTGTAGGTATTATTTACTATAGTTTTATTATGGTTATTAACTAATAGAGCCAAATCGTAACTTGTCGCCTACCTTTGTCCCAAAAAAGAGACTAACGAATAAATAAATGGGCCTTTAGTCTTGATAAAATTCGAATAAATATACTTTGGTCAAATTTGGGATAGATTAAAATGTAGAAGACTTGTACTTTCAACAATAAATCACATCTTTGATCTACAAACTAGATATTTTCACCTACACTGATACCATTTTTGCTAAGCGCAGCAGTTCCGTCACGTTTGAATAAGTCGTTCAATCGGCGCGTGCTTTAATCTGCTTTCATTATCATTGTCAGATCGGTAGCAATGATAATATGTAAAAAAAATATTAAATAATAACGTGACATACAAAGAATCGAATTCATTTGCACAGCTCGATGTGAGTTCGAAAGATGTGGCGGTGGACAGCACTAGTGGTATTAGCAGTGCTTCACAAAAACGTAAGTTATTTTAATTTTTTTAAAGATTTTTCAAACCTTGATATTGTTACCTTAACCACCAGTTGTTTGTCGATTATTTTTTGTAAATGGACAGGATTTATGGAAGCAGTAGATTTACCTAGTTCTGCTAGAAGTGAAACTTTTGGTTTCAATTATCTATATCTATACAAATAAATAAAATTGGAGTGTCTGTTTGTAATATTAAAATAACCGCTTTTTACTAAATGCATATGTATGTTTACACGGTACATATGCCAAAATAACATTTTTTTATACAATTTTTGTCTGCCTGTCTGTCTGTCTGTTTGTGCCGGGTAATCTCTGGAACGGCTGGACCGATTTCAACGGGACTTTCAATGGCAGCTGATGACATAAGGAGTAACTTAGGCTACTTTTTCGCCCGCTTCGCCCCGCGGCGTTGCCCTCGGTTATAACAACAAACGCGGGTAACACCGCGGGTCTCAGCTAGACTCAAATAAAGTTATTGATCTAATATTAAATTTCTACTTTGGTTTAACTTTATTGAAGGTATTTTATGTATTAACAATAATGAATATTAATAATAACCTTACACATCTTACACACGGCCGTCTAATCCGAAACTAGCCCGAGCCTATCCTATGGCATACTTCACATCAACACCTTTAGTAGTCCACTGCTGGACATACGCCTCTCCTTAGAAAGGAGGTTTTGGTCTAGTATACCACACTGGCCAGACGGGTTGGCATAGGGTTTGTGTCAAGTTTTCCTTCTTTTTGCAGTACTGTTGTCCTGCAGAGTGTGCTCAATTAGTCGGCTCTTACGACACTTACGGTATGAATAGGGGTGGTGGCACTCCGTATTCTTAATCCGTCACTACAAGGACAATAAACATACTTATATATTTCTAAATACATACATATTATTAGATAAATTACATAGAAAAAATATCGTACTCATCACACAATTATTTGTCCTGGGTGGGAATCAAACCCACGAACCTCTAGTTTAGCAGTCAGGATCACAAAGCACTAGGCGTCACCCGTTAATGCTTAGTATTATTTTTGTTGTATTATTACAATGTTGTATGTTTATAGTTTACATTACTTATTCTATGGTATTTTGCTGATCCAAGGGGGCATTAGCCAAGTCAATGTTCGCGTCACGTTGTCTAATAACACCGCGGGCAAAAGGGCCGATATTCTCGTTGTTATTTATTCAATATCGCAACTCGATCGATATCGATCGAACAAAATCGATTCGATTCCCGCGTTGCTCCGGATGTTCGGTACTCAAACGTCTAAAAATAACAAGAAACCCGAGTTTGAGTTGTTCCTACGATAGAAGTTGTCTTTACCTAATCATAGTATTGGCCCAAATTATCTACACAATTTTGTCATTTTAATGGCAGTTTGTTTATCCTTTTACTGTGGAAATCTGCTGCATGGGAGGCGGTGAAGTCAGCCAAAGCTTTTGAAATCCCACTTAAAAATTGTCTAAATTTTTAAAAAGTAGAAATGTGTTGGAGCAAGGTCCGGTGAGTACGGTGGGTAACGGAGAGCTTCGAGCTGTAACTGTTGTAGTTTTGCGATGGTTTGTCGTGAAATGTGAGGCCCCGCATTGTCATGGAAAAGCAATGGGGAAGAGAGATTGACCAGTCGTGGTTGTTGTTTGCAATTCTTGGCAATAGACGTCTGCCGTCACTGTTGTGCTATTCGGTAAGAAGCTGTGATGTACAAGTCACTAGATAGTCGCATTGGTTCACTAGATAGTCACCATCATCCTCCTATTGGTAATCTTATTTTGAGCGCACTGATCAGGAGCTGTACCCGAGTCCATCCACTGAGTCAAACGCTTACGTTTGTCGTACAAGATCCACTTTTCATCACAAGTAATAATTCGATTCAGAATTCTCTCAATTCTATGACATATAAGATTTATTTCTTCGACATATAAGTATCGCTGATGGTCGCATAGTTCGTATGGCACCCACTTATCTAGCTTCATTATTTTTCGGATTTGACGCAAGTGCTATTGTTTTGACACTAACTCCAAACCCCGGAGCAAGCTGAGCCGTAGATTGAGTTGGTTCCGCTTCCACTATCGCCTTCAATTCGTTCCTATTCAGGGGAATAGGGATAGGGCTTTTAGGGCGCGGCGTCGATCCGGGGGGGATCTGAAATAGCATGGTCCGGGTCCTCCTCGGAGTAGGGCGCCTGAGTCCAGCCGTCAGGGTGGTTTTTAGTGGAAACACCACATACTCCTGGCTCCTACATCCCCAAGGACCCGGAGATCGAAGGGATTTTCCACCGCGTCAACAAAAATAAAAGGCCCGTACTCGTTAATGTTTAGTGTTGTTTGCGCAGCGGTATTTCCATGTAGGAACTCATATTCGAGGATTTTGCGAGTTTTCAGATTACAATCTGTGTTAAGCAATTATTCTTTGCTGTTTTTCACCGAGTGAGTGAGGTTACCAGAGCCGAAATGCTCATGTAACTCTTCATGGTGAAAGTTCTTTGAGTAACAGAAGTGTCACAAGGTTGTTGCCCTCCCCCCCTGGCTTGCAGGTGTTCATGGGAGGCGGTAGTCATTTACCACCAGGTAACCCGACCGCTCATTTGCCTTCGTATACCTGCCACAAAAAAAAAGAACGTTGCAAAAATCATTTTTTTCAATCACTTTTCATATTCAGTACCTATGTGTAAATCTAAACTAAAATAGGAAAAATAATGTAATATAATAATAGTACTATTTTCGGACATCTGACACACAACGCCATCTAGTTTCAAACTAAGCAGAGCTTACTATAAAAGCTAGATTGACTGATAGAATACATTTATATTTTTTTTGTAAATACGTACATATTACTCAATACAGAAAATACTTAAACTCCGAAACAAATGTTTGCAGATCATCCAAACATTTGGTCCGAACAAGGGTATCGAACCCGAGACCTCAGCACAGCAGTAGTCTCATACGCTACCACGGCACCACCGAGGCAGTCCTATATAAATCCTATGAAAATAACTCCAAATTTAATAGAAAAAATAAAAATACACCTTACATTTTTTGGTTATCTTTGGATAGCAGTTCTGAATTTGCATACGAGTATGTACTTACTTGTATAGTAAGCGTGTTAAGAGACCTACTTAGCTTATTTGATTTTCAGGTGTTTTAAACGTATTCATTCTAATAAATAAAGATAAAAGGAATCGATTTCAAATGAAACATGTGATTTGTAATACCATTTAGTCTATGCCTGTGTCAGATAAAGCGAAACTGTTGTACAAAATAGTTTATCATTTAGGTTTTAAAAATGGATGAATGTTTCTTAATTTTCAGATTTCATCACAACCAATAACAGATAACAGTAGCGATGATACGCCTACAGCTCATCTGGACTTAGAGGAAAGTTGCTCTTGTGAAGACCTTGAAAAGAGCATCATACGTCGAGATGTGAGATACGATGATGCAATTGATGCTAGTAGTAGGGACGTGGATGACTGTTCGTGTCGTTTTCGATACACCGATTCCCAGGGAGCTTCATCACTACTGTTTCCAACTGCAATGCGCTCTGCTGGGACTGACTTGAGGTACGTATTCTCAAATTTCTCATAACATGTAAGGAAACTTCCTGGAAAGTGACGTTTATAATTATTGCTCTGCGCATTTAACATCGTGACAAAACTTTTTGATTTAAAACATGTAACACGGTCTGGCGAATCATCGCTATTTTCCTTTCATAAGCTATCCTTTTACACTTACGAGTATTAATTCTACAAAATAATTTCGATGTTTCACATCTGCCAGACGTCCCGCGGCGGCTCAATTTTTATTAATCACTAACTGTACCTTGCCACGCTTAGCTGTGGCTCATTTTTGTAGCATTGATGAGAAATGTGGAACAAAAGTGACGCGAAAAATTGATAAAAGCCATCTCTGAAGGGGGTGGTTTATCGTGTCAAAATTTGAGCTCAATCAGTACAGAATGTTTTGAGTTTTTGAAGCATACACAAACCAACTTAACATTTTTATTTATAATAATTGTTAAACACGACGTTTTTATTATTTTTAGGGTTCCGTACCTCAAAAGGAAAAAAGGAACCCTTACATACAGGATTACTTTGTTGTCCGTCTATCTGTCTGTCAAGACCCTTTATCTCGGGAACGCGTGGAGGTATCGAATTGAAATTAAAACCATATACTTAGTGGTCCCTTGAAGCTGTAAAATAATCAAACTCCTCAGTTAACGTAAAATTTAATAACAAAACGCATATTTCGACACTCTCAAGGGAATCAAAATTCATAGGCTCCGTTTGGGCACCTTGTTATTGCGGATTGTTAAGACCCGTTATTGAGGATTGGCTCGAGTGTCGAACCCTCTCACGGGAAAGGATGCTTCGGAGATCACCTATGTCTGATCCGCAAGGAGCCAACGCCTGAGTGCCACCACTGCGATGGCCGGACCGTGGACACAGCACTCCACACGCTGGCAGAATGCCCGGCGTGGGTGGAGAAGAGGCGTTGCCTCGTGGCGGCCATCGGAGTGGGAATTCTCTCGCTCGGTAACATGATTGCCGCCATGGTACGGAGCGAGAGTTCGTGGAACTCTGCCGTCTCCTTACGTTAAGTTATGCTTGCAAAGGAGATGGCGGAGCGGGACCAGGAGAGGTTTAGAACTCTCCCGGAGCGTCAGGCCAGGTAACGGGCGAGGTACCGCAGACGACTCAGGCGCCGGAGGTCGTAGAATCACCTCCGTCCTCTATAAGTGCAGGCCTGGGGGTGGTAGGTGAGGCCATCTGTCACCCTAGCAGAAGCAGGCCGAGGTGGTGGCGAGACGCGTTGCGGAGCGCTTGTGCTCTTTCGGGAGCACACAGGAGGGGTACATTTACACGCCGTAGATGGCCCGAGGTACGTCGGGGTATCAGGGATTTCCTTCCTAGGGTACAGTTGGTTCCCCGGCAACTGGTACTCGAAACGGCGTGCGGTTTTTGGTCGGTTCGAGTCCGACATAACTACCGGTGGGTGGTATCCGAGGGGATTTCCGCACAGAAAAAAAAAGAAAAGGGTACTTTCCGTTGACCTATAACTCTGAAATTTGCCAAGTAACATCGTCTGATACAACAAGTACAGGAAAAAAATATAAAAACTATACATTTGTAAATTAAAAAAAAATATATATTCTTTATTTGAAGTATGTTATCAATCATCGAGGTGCAATTTCTCTTTCTCAAGAATATAAGTAATTATAGGTTTTGGAAACTGAATTTCGGGCAAATCTCTGATAAAAGTGTGAGATTCGATTCCTAAAGCATTTATTATATGTATCTACAAATATGTACGCAACCCTCAGTGGGCGAGTCCGACTCGCACTTGTCCGGATTTTTTTTTAAATTAGTACTTGGGAGATTTAAAGTAAAGTAGGTTTAAAGACCCACTATGGTTGCATTGGGAGGCAAAAGAATAGATTAGATATAACGCTATATTTTTGTTGAACTTGCCCGGGGTGTAGGCATCCAGTAACCTCATTGACTCGGTAAAAAGCCATGGAAGAAATGTTTAACACTGGTGGCCGTGGAACCACTCTGGTAGTTGCACCAACCCATATTTGCCGAAACACAGCTTTTGAATTCTGCATGGATCCCTTACATAATATACTCGTAAATTAGCGTCGATAAGGTTCAAAGAATATTTCACTTTCTCTGTTTTTAATTTATTTGGTTTATATTTGTTTTTAAAAGCATGTCTAAAACTCCCGATAATGACAAATGCGTTCAGTGATGTATGGTGATATTTCTGTAGCTAAATATTTTTTTTATTTCTACATCGATTTCTATATAGCATATATCTACCCACAAAAGTGGCTAAAGCAAACGTCAAACTTCCAACTCGTCTCATTTTTAAATTGACTGTATAATTTAGAGGTTTTATTAATATATAAATTACAGGCCTGGTGATAAAAAGGAGCCAAAGCCTCTTTTCAATCCAGAAGTGGATCTTGCTTCATCTGTACTAGAACAATTACGAGTAGCTACGGACGAGGAATATCAAGAGGCTCTTGCAAGGGACGCTGCTAAGAGTGCAGGAAGAGCAGTAGAAGATGTTGTATTTGAAGATGCTACCCCCCAGGAAAGTGCTAATATGGTTACTATAGTAGTCAATCCAAAAGCTGCAGACAGCGATAATGTTATACCCCAGGCATCGAACATTAAACAATCCCGTTGTGTTAATCCACTTCAAAGAGCGTCAAGTCCGAGTCTTTCAGATAGACTTAAATTATCCAAAAAGAGGCCTTATTATAAAAATTTACAAGACCTCGATAGTGAAGTAGGTGCCAGCATGATTGAAGAACAGAAAATATCAGTTAAAAGTCCTTTAGAGAATAATAATTTAAAAAGTATTGTTACAAGTAACGACATCGAAGATAATTGTAATGTTCCTGACTTGAGGTCTACATCTGAAGACCCATATCAAAATAAATTCGAAAAATATGACAAGACATCGAGTTCATTACTTCAAAGTATAAAAGATAGGATACGCCCTTTATCACGTATACCAAAATTTAAATTACAACGCTCAGAATCAGCAACAACCACCAATGACCTTAGTCCAGCTCCCTCTACAATTTACGAGCAAGCCACAAAAAAGGTTCCATATGAAAGAACCAAATCACACTTGGAAGATATTAAACAGCAAAACAGACCATTTAGTATAACAAATTTATTGAATTTAAAAGATGTTGAGTTAATACCACTAAAAGATTTATTTAGCAAACAAGCCAAAACGAGTAACTCCTTAAAATCTGGTAAATTACTGCCTTCTATGTTTGAACAGGATCATGGTGAGATTTCAAATGAAAGTGAAACTGAAGTTGCAGAAGATTGGCAAAATACACGCCCTACCTTAAGAAATGACCCCTTAGATAAGGTTATTACTAAACCAAGATCAACTTCTAGTATTATAAATCTTAAAAGAACTCCTGTGGAGACAAGTATATATCGTGATAATTGTAACAATGAAAAAGAATCGATAGAGTTAAATAGAGAAGTGCATAGGAATGACTATAATAAACCTACAGAAGTATTGTCTTCTATACTTCAATATGATGATGGTGAATTCTCAATTGAAAATGATGAGCAAGACTCTGATTCAGGAACAACACTCTATACAGAAATAAATGAATCAACTACAGATAGCATTAATGATCCTGAACCAAGTCCCAGTCATATAAATTTTGAAATAGGTCCTAAAGAAACACTCAACATAAACGATGGTTGTGACAGTGTAGGCCTTACAAAAGAAGCAGATACTGAAATTGGTGAGGGAAAGCCAAGGTCAACAGAAATCCTAGACACAATACCAGTTCTTAATGATGCTTTACCAAAAGCAACATTTGATAATTCTAATGATTGCGTAGGAAATAATAACCGCCAAGATTTAATCACAGATGCAAGCAATACAGTAAGTAATACAATTGACCAACTGGAGACTCGGTCATCTGAAATTCAAAATGTGGAACCTGATTATTTTAAACCAAACAATATAGAAGGAGACGATGAATCGAAAATGACCAAGGAACCTAGACCTAAATTACTAGATCCTATCGCAATCGATAAAACTATATCAAACATCAAAAGTTATATTTTAAAGAAAAAAGAGGATTTAAACAAAATTAAAACGAGCATAAAAAACCGAAACATTCCTAACCAAGAAAGTGAAGACAATTCGGTAACTAGAAACATAAACGAGGATTGCACAAATGAAGCGTCGGTACTTATAAGTACAGTTAATTCCATAGATCTTAATGATAATTTCGAGGTATTTACAACTACAAAACTCGATTTAGCTGATGATAGATTGGAAAATACATCAACAACCCCATTGCCAAATGTATCTAATGATTACACACAAGATACGTGTGTGTCTGCTGAAATAAGCATGCAAGATTTGCAGCAATTGTCTGATTCAATATTACAACAAGAAGAGCGACAGTTAACAAATGTAGAATGCAATAAATCTTCAAATGAAGAGGAACTAGACTCTTCACAAAAGAACAGTGAAGGTTCAGATTTTCTAGATTCAGATAGTTCTGCTAGTACCCCTAACCAAGCTGTTGTGGAACCTGAAAACTTTGACAATATGCAGGACGAATCTGAAGGAATAAATGCTGCTTGTAATACGGATTTTCCTTCACAAATAGACGTCAATGCTCAGGCCAGTGAAATGAATATAAGCACCATTCCTAAAGCAAGTGAAACTCTTGGCATGCATTCAACCTTCAACCAACCAATAACACCTACACTTGATTTGTTCAAAAACTCACTTAAAGACATAAATGACGTTTTAAAATTGCCTCCACTGGATCCTTTAAAAGAAAAAATCGCAAAGTTCTTTGATAAAAATGAAAGAAATACCGAAGATATTTTTCCAGTGGCAGTAAAATCGAAGCCCTTAAATATTTTAAATTCATTTAAAACGACAGATTTGAATTCGCCTAATTTTCCTGTGCAAACGCCATTTTTGAGGCTTTCAGAGGATCACGATTTTGATCATTTGGAAGAAACGCGTAAATCCAGTTCACTTCCTAATATGCCGAATGTTGATCCACAATCATATAAATCAGAGTCATCGGTGTCAAGAGGTTTACAAGGTAAACCAGTTAATTTAAAGTCTGCTCTGGAGGATAACAAAGTTAGCGAAAAATATCTAAAAGCAAGCAATAACCTAAATGATCATCTTAATCCACTCAATGACTTGAGAAGTCAATTAACTGATTCTTCAGTTGAAGCATCGAACAATATTTACTCCTCTTTAAGAAATACTCAAAACGCTGTTGAGTCGAAGCTTAGACAATTAAAAAATAATAACATGAATTTATTAAAAACTCCAATTCAAAGTTCATCAAGTTTGTTAGATACTTTGACGCAAAATCATGAAGATATGAATGATAAATTGAGATCCCTTCATGTGGATTTTAATGATAGAGTTGAATCAATGAGAAATGATTTGATTGATAGTTCGAAACGGTTAACTAGTGGATACGGCGGTCCTAAACCAAGTTTGAAATCACCTAACATCTTCAATAAACCAGGTTATGAGAATATCAATCATAAATTGAGAGCCTTACATATGGATTTTAGTGATAGAATTGAATCAATGCGAAATGATATCATTGATAGATCAAAACCATTAACTGATGTATGGCGGGGTACTAAATCAAATTTAAGGTCATCGAGTAACTTCAACAAGCAAAATAAACCTAATAAACCTTTAAAGAAAACTTGGAAAGCTTCGAATACAAGAGAGCCCCAATTATCTTCTACTAGGAAACAAATGCCTTCGAGAACCAGTTTAGCATCAAAAACTTTAGATCTAAAGAAGCTTCGAATGCCAGCCGCTGCGAGTGTGCCTGTTCCCAGAACTGTACAAATACCTGAACTTAAAACAACTTCTTCAAAACTACCACCATCTTTACGAAAAGTATCTCTAAACAATGATAGAAATTTAAATGAAGATGTTTCGAGAAGTTTTGGAGGACAAGCTAGTACTTTACAACTACCCAGCACGTTGAGAAACAGAATTAATTTGAAAAAGGAGAACACGGTAACGGTATCTTTTTCCACAACGCCTCGACCAGAAAAGTTAAATATACCTAATTTCCGAAGTACTATACCACAAAATACAGCTAAAGGTAGAACAAATTTTGAAACGAGACCAATCTACGAAGATCGCAATAGATCACCAAGTATATTAAAAAAATCAAAAACCTCAGTTCTTAATTACGACCAGCCAAACAAATATAGATACTCAAATAGAGAAGTAAATGAGAAACTTTTAACAAACCCAATAGGACTTAAAGAAAAAAGTCAGCTAAAGGTATCAGAAACTGCCTTGCAGTCCTGGCCTAAGGCCTCAGAAAGTGCCTTTTTATCTAAAGTCAAAGACGCGGTTAGAGAAAGATTATCGTATCTTAACTCAGCTAAAGCTTTAAAGCAAAGCATGCAGGGAGATAAAGCTAAGGATATGAGAGAACTGTCAGTTCTGAAATCTGATATGACACGATCAGCATCAGAGAATAAGGAGATTGTGCATAAGCAGATGTTAAAAGAAAACGTTTCTTATAATTGTAAGATGACATGTACTAAAGACTGAGCTTGAGTGTGCGACAGAAAAAATATTAGTCAGTAAAGTAAACACAAATATACTCGACATCAATCTAGAAGGAATTTCAGTTTTAATTTTACAGAAGTCGTAAATGACCTACAATATTGTCATTTTGTAAATATATTTATTTTAGTATTAGATTAGGTATGTTAAATGTAAAAGTAGTGAGATTTTTGTACGAATTTACTAATTAGATATAAATTGTAAATGAATCTAAGAAACATGTTAATGTTGTTTTATTTCATTTCTGATGTTGTTGACTTAGATATATACAAAACTTTGATCAAATATAGGTACTGAATGTTACAAGGTAGGCGTGCTATTGTTTATGATTTGACAGGTGATCCGGATTTGTCATTCGTGTACCAACTATACAATTGTCGAATCCCGAAAAACAAAAAACAGCTTATGTCAAGCACTTGTACAGTACATGTAAAGAGTCTTTTAGTTTGTACACTTGTGTAAATGTTTAAAAGCAGCCAGCAAAGGTAATTGATTACGTTTTATTCTTTTGTGAAACATATTTTGCAACGCATACCTAGAGAAAAAGAAGACTTAAACTTGTAAATAGGATTTCACAAAGGAAAAGAAAATTATCTTTTTAATTGTCATAGACATTTTTCGTTTATTTATATATTTAAAGGCACATCTTTGTATCATCCAAGTATTTAGCCTGAGTGGTTTTACATGAGTATTTTGATTTAAACTTAGCTTATATAACTAAATGCATTGTCGACTTCCATATTGAGTAGTTGATATATATTTCTTCGTAGTTTATTTGATTCACACATACCTACATACTTATGATATTACTGAGTACAAACCTATCTACGTGCGATAGTTTATTTTCACTTTGGTAATTTTATCTAGTATCAGTCACATCACTATGTACAATTTTTATGCACAATAGGTTGGAATTTTTTTTTTTAATAGTTTAAAGGAATATGACGATTTTAAGGTAGCCATTCAGCGTCGTCCTTTACTGAACGTCCGTTTCCTGGCGCTTCTGTAAGATCCTCTTTGCTGCTAGCCACTTTATGGTATACAGTTTTGCCAGCTTCTACTACATATTCAACGCCGTCAGCTGAAATTATAATTAAATTAGATGAGTCACCATATAATGTACTATGTGTGTGCAATATCGATACTGTAAAGCTTTTCATAGTAATTCTACACTATTTAACTAAAGAAAAATAATCCTTAAATAAAAGGTGGTTTAAGGTAAAGAAGCGACAGGATGAGAAGAAAGAAATTAAAATACATTTGCTCAAATTTGAACCGTTTCATAAATAGGATAAAAACTGTTCTCAGAATTGACTAATCATCTCATTCATAGATCAAAGTTCCAAATGAGTTGTTTCTTTTTATAGCATTGTCTTGATATTCTTCTTATGGAGTATTTGTTACTATTGTCTATTCTAGATTATTTAATTCTAATTAACGTTTGTTCGAAATACGACGAAATATTGGTAATAAAGGCAAATTCTCGGAATAAAAGTTCGGTCACAAATTTCTGATCTCTCGATCTCATAATCGGTATAAAAGGTATTTCCGTAGTAAAGTGTTTAACATTCAACTTTGACTGTAATGTGATTATATAGTATTGTAACTGCAACTTAATTTAGTAATCTGCTAGTCTTAGTAATACTTTACTATTTACCTGGCAATACCTTTTATGACTGTTGCGAGATCGAGAGTTGATCGGAACTGAATTTATTCCTTCTGAGTGCATAATCCTTCGAAAGAGTTTTTAAAGGAGAAAGTGATTTTGCTAGAAATGAATTCTAATCGCTGTTGCCTGATGCTTCAACTTATTAAATAGACCTATTAAAATATATGAATGTACTAACCTATAGCACCTCCAGTCTTTCTCACGGCTTCTCCGATGTTATGCGATGAAAACGTTTCGGGATGAATATTAATATTTACTCCTTCAGTTCCATTAAGGTGTTTGGGACAGTCATTCTGAGAGATAATGGACAAGTCGTAGGGGTCGACGCCGAAAGAAGACAGCTTGTTGCGCATCTAGGAATAAAAAAACATCGAATTAAAATTTCTTCTTTAAACTGGACCTCGGTGTTTCCGTCTTTTTACGGAAACGAAAGAGGGGGAAACTAGCAGGCGAATCACTTGATGGTAAGGGGCTGCCGCACCACCTATTGTCCCCGAACCATCTACGACCTTAAGAGTTTCAAGTGCATTGTCGGTCTTTAAGGTAGGACTACGCTCTTTTCTCAAGGTTTGAAGATAAGAAGATCAAGATCTCAGAAGTTGAAAATTACTTCCACAGGTTGGCTGTGGGATTTATAATAGTGTATAAATAAAATGATAATAATTCGTGTAGTAAGCTATAGCGTTTGCGTAGAGCAACAGTCTTTCCCTTTGCAAGCAATGAGTTAGCATCAAAAAATGCCGAATAATACGACCAACCACTAGGTATTTTTATTAAATACACACATTTCACATCATATCACTCAAGTAACATAATGTATGTATGTAGGTGTGTATATATTTACTTAAGGTGTTTCTTGGTATGTTTATCCGCGTTATAGTCCTAATTTCATTCTCCCATATAAAAGAAAATACAAAAAGAAACGTATAAAAAATTGGTGTAACTGACCTTTTCGAGATAAATCCTGTCGAGTTCCTTAGTTCTAGAAAGGATGGTGGCAGAGCGACGATGCGCGAAGGCGAGCTTTTGACAGGTGAACACCACTGCGTGGGATGTGTAGTCCGTCATCAGGATCGTGTAACTAGCTGTACCCGCCACACCTGGAGGTAGACGATAGGTTTAGAAGTCAGTGAGTAATTATTTTGAATTTGTTCTCTCATTTTTTTACTCCCGCACTAGGAATATATCCTATGTCGCGGGGAACTTTACAAACATACATGAAACGGACACAAAGAACACCAAGACTCAGAACGACAATTTGTGGAACACACAAAGTGACTTCCGGTGTGGCAATCGAACGCACAACACCCAGCGTAGGAAGCGGCGTGGCGACCGCTTAAACCACTACGCCATCCGTGCTGTCTCTCAGTCATTTATGTTATGGTTTTTTGAAATAACCGTGGTAGAGACATGCTTCGACATAGATGGGCTGGCTCCACCAGTGTGATACTACGGCCTCACAGAAAACACGTGTTAAGCAATTCTTTTTTTGCTTTTCACTAGGAATGGAATCAAATTACAATCACATGTGTTAAATCATATGATTTACTCATCATATAATCACAACTGTGACTAATTTACAAAACCACTGCGATTTACTATTGGCAACCACGTAAATCTAGATCTCTAAATCTAAAAAAAAGTCGTAATCTTTCGTAAAAAGAATTTTGATTGATTTTAATGCCATTTATCTTTGTCTATGACGAAATCACAATCACATGTGATAATGTTGTGACTAAAACCAATAATTTGATTAAATGAATATGCTTTAAAAGTGGCTATAATTTCCATGTCTACTTTTCACTGAGTGAGTTAGGTAACCTCCTGCTTTTAGAAGTCAGTTATAAATAATTACTACTTACTAAGTGGGAACCTCACTTTCATCCGGGCGGGCACTGCTGGGTCAGGCACTGTTAGAATACCTTTGTACCTGAACAGGTAATAATATTTTTTGTAACATTATGTATATTTAATTATTTATATAGATTTTTAAGTGAATAAAATTAAAAAAATAAAGTGAAAATCTCTGATTGCTAATTAACTCGTATTAACGACAAGAAAAAGTGAAACTGTAATTTAACAATGTAGAGATGTTATATGTTTATTTTATGTTAGTAAACTCAACTCTCTTTTATTACTATGCTTTCCGTGGCAACCTGTAATTAAGGCAGCACTAATAGTTGTATATCACTGCCATTTTATCTCTTGCTTTTAAGGTGTATGTTATTGTTGGTTGTCCAAATAAAATAAATAAATAAAATTGCCTGAAATTTTCATTGGGCTTCTCAAATGTCAAGTAATATAATAATAAACATTTGTACGTATATAATGGAAGGCATAAAAATAATTAATACCTGTAGTCGTGTTTAAGTGGAGTGAGTCCCAATATGAAGTGTTGCGACAACTGTTCGAGTTCGTATTTGCCGGGCTCGTCAGTCTTGGTGAAGTTGTAGGTTATGCAGTTAGATGCTGTTGATGTTTTCTGTATCACGTACCATACTCCCAACAACTGTAAAGAAGAAGAACAATATTAAGAGTTGTTAGTAGAAAGGAATTAGAAGGCGGATGTATTTTAAACATCCACATTTTTTCATTGTGATCATCCTTTAACAGTCCACTGCCTGAAATAGGTCTCTCTTTAGAAAGGAGGTTTTGGACCACAATAGAACCCTGGCCAGGTTAGGGTAGGGTTTGTGTCAAGTTTTCCTTCTTTTTGAAGTGCTGCTGTTTTAAGTAGGTTGCTCTCTTAGTCGGCTCTTACGACACCCTCGGGATGTTTAGAGGTAGTGATATTCTTAATCCGTCACCACACGGATAATTTCAAAGTGTCTTATATTGTCCTTTTTTCTTAGTCCCGATTGGGTCAAAGGCGGCAAGCCTATTGCAGTCCACATACGGGCATGCCAAGAAATAAAGAGGGTAAGATTGGGTTTGGACTTTTTGAAAGAAAAATGTAGATGAGAGGGAAGATGATGAAAGAAAAAGAAATTGTTTATATCGATAGAATATGGACCGTAAGGATTAGATAGATCTGCAGTGCTATTCTCTAAGGAAACAGCATCGAGTTTAAAGTAAGTTAGTTTCAAATTCTACTCTGTGGCAGCGCTGTACCGTCGAATTTTAAACGAACTTAATTTACTTGGAGAATAACACTGCTGGTCAGGGTATTTAAGGATTTCTGTATATCAGAGTGGCTGTTGGGGGGAATTTCAAGGCATTCCTAAGATTCATTGCTAACCTGTTGTCAATTTTTTTTTACTGTGTGTATAGATTTAACAATAAATTATTGATTTTTTCTTGTTGAGTGACAGACAACCAATTATAAGTACATCAATTGAACAAAAAAGTTTGGCAACGTTTTTTTTAAATATAGTTCATTGTTAGACCAAAACGTGTTTTTGTAGTGTGACTTAATGTTTACTATCCTCATATATTTAGTTCTTTAATGGAGAGATAATCTCTAGCTAAAACCTTGATTTTACAAAATAAACGAAAAACTAAAAACTCACATTCCTAAATTACTTATATGTAAGTATAGTCTTATGGTTAGGAAAATCCGATTTCTTAATAAAAAACAAATACATTTTTTTTCGAATTTTTGAGGGCCATTTCTATGGGTGTATTCTATTCAATTAAGGAAGACGTCAACATTCAGTTAAGAAAACAGCTGCGATGGGAATATTCTTTTTTTTGAACTCACATCGACAAAAGAACGAATAAAATACGTTTTTGAGTGAGTGTCGTCAATGAGATGATAAAAATGAGATCAAAAAATAATTGACAGCACGTCATATTAATTGAACATTACCATTAATTATCTATTACCGTCAACTCAACTGGTTGTCAAAATCAACAAAAGAGAAGTAAAAATTAAATGACTCATTGTACGTGTTATCGGTAAAAGACGACGGGGTCAAATTCGGACTATTGACATAACATGATACAGTACGACAATACGGTACTGTAAACAAAGAAGCCATGTTAGTAGATGCTCTAATTATAGAAGCTGTTATTGAGACGTACCTACGGTTTCTTGCTGTCATTTTATCCAAGGAAGCGTTATGTCGTAAAAAAAGGACTGTCATCTCTATAAAGTTATGTATAAAAAGTAGACACAGTAAAGTATTAGACATAATTTGTTTTAATTATTGTAATGCAGGAGTTATTACCTAACCCTTATTCACTTATTTACAAATTAAGAGCTTGACTGCATTGTAGATTTGATTAGATTTAAGATCGTTCCTTAGTTTTGTTATCAAGCATAAAAGGAATAAAGTTAGAAGAAGAAAATACTCATTAAAGAAACTAAATTTATGAGACTATTTGAAAGTACGTTGGAGTTAAAATTAACAAAGAAATTAGTTGAAAGAATAAATAAAATCAATAAATAAAGTCGTCGGAATCCTTTGCGGTGTGCAACCACTTTTTCAGACCCAAAAACCAATCGAGATGTTTTTTTAATTACATATAATTTTATAAAAAAACTGTAAACAAAAATAATGCTGTAAATGGTACAACCATTTATCGCATTATCCAAAATATATTCTTTTTTCTTAGTTTCAAATTGAAATTGAATCAAAATTGAACACACGCACACACAAAAAAAAATATGTCGAGTTGATTTAAAATGAACAATGTAGTACATTGAATGATAAAGGTTATCCTTTATTACATGTTTATCTTGCATCTTGCTATTATACGTAAAGTACCATTGTTCTTTTTATAAAAGCTTTAATTTTTATCAAAAGTTTTCAAGGTCGATGTTTACTAGATACAGGTCTCACTTGACCGTGTACAGTAAAATTAGTTAATTTATGCACAAAAAAGTTTATACGGCGTTATTTTGGGCGTTTTGTGTGTAGGTCTGCCTCTCTGTGTTATTTTCGTTGAACGATATTGATTGGTTGATGTTGTATCTCTATCATAACTTTGTGATAGACGTAGTAAATATATCAAGTAGCTCGTAGGTCAAGTGATAACATAAATTTACCATATCGTCTAGTTTAATACTTCTTCATATAATTTACACATTGATTTTTTCTTTAGATAATAATAACAGCAAATTTTACTTCTCTCAAACTCTTTATTATGCTAATATTTTGAGGCAAACGTCACCAGCATCAACCCAAGGTTTGGCTGCAGCATCATGTCAAGGTTAATATATCACGGAAGTCCAACCGTGTGGTGACGGATTAAGCATACGCAGTGTCACCACCCCAATTCATCCCGTGGGTGTCGACTAAGGGAGCAAACTACGCAGAACAACAGCACTAGAAAGAGGAGGTAAACTTGATACAAACTATACCAACCTGACTGGACAGCGTGGTATAGTAGGGAAAAACCACCTATCTTTATGCACAATCGCAGTTGAAAGTATTCGATTTAAAGTACAATAGATTTACCTATACATATTTACTACTTTTGGTACCTGTTCAATTCTACAAAATGTCCATAAATCCAAAAGCTTACAAAATATTAGTCCAATGGCTACCATTGATCGAATCCTATTGTAAGATACACACCTGTCCTTTACAATACCTTTTTATTTTTTTTACTCTGTGAACAGCTCTACTTGTCGATTGTACAACCTATTCATACTTCACAAGAGTAAAGAAATAAAAAACATAATCAGTAATTCAGTACGCTCCACTTTCGTTTACAGTTACTTGCTCTTCAAAAGACATTATGAAAAAGAGTTCAATATTTACAGTGCGTGATATTTTTTTTTTGTATTTTTTTTTACGGTTGTTTGCTACATTAATTTCGTGACCCTATGGAAGGGTCCATAGAGTTATGTATTGATGTATGTATTATTTATTTATATTAAGATGGATGCGGACTGCCTAAAACGGGATAGTTGGCGCTCCATACTCCATACTCCATAGGCCTTTGTTTAGCAGTGGACGGCGATAGGCTAAATTTTCATTTTTTTTATTACGTCCCATATATAAAAGTCCCTTAGTCTTAGGCCTTAAAAGTCCAGGCCAGGTGGAGTGACGATTTGCGCAAGATGGCTGGCAGGAGCTGGATGCGAGAAGCCCAAAATCGATCTAAGTGGCGTGCAATGGGAGAGGCCTATGTCCAGCAGTGGACTGCGATAGGCTGATGATGATGATGATAAAAGTCCCTACTTTAGGCAACAATCTAATATTAAACTTTGTTTTAGAAAACGATCTTTATTTGTCTGCATAGTAAATATAAATTTTTCAAAAACACTATTTTGTTTCTATGGAAGATTTTTATGGATATATACCCTATATGGCGCCTTGGTCTAATAAGCGGGTATAAACCAGAATCACAGTCTTTTAAACCTAAGGTACCTACATAACTATTTTCTTGAACATAGTTCTTAATTACAATATGATATAATCGCAGAGCTTTTGTGATGTTGTTTGTCACAGAAAAAATGTGTTAACAGTTGATAAATTTTTAAATCGACAAGCAATATAAACTTGACCCATGGTGTTACACCCGATTGAATTAAGCAACAGAAAAATTATAATTTTTACCTTATTCATTTCGAAGCCGTGCATCGGCTCAACGGTGGGACAGGCACCGAGGTGGTAGGTATGCCCATACGCACCCGCTATAACAACGGCCAACAACCCCAACACCTTGAAACTCATGGTTGTCTGATTTAGAACTTATAAGAATTACTCGAACACGCACTCGCCTCAACGGTCTGACGGCTACTGACTGAACGCAGCGCTACCGAAGAATATATTTGTATATTATCACAAACAACTGGACTGTTTTGACCTTTTACCGCTGCGCAAGTATAGTCTCAGCCCGTAGGCTTCTGAGAAATATTAGTCATTGAGTTCATTCATAAATCCTGAGTAAATTATACAATAGATAGTAGAAGGAAATATTAAGTGTTATGGGACTGGCGTATTTGTTGTTTTCGGTTAATTTGGTCAGTACAAAGTGCCTAATAAAATTTGCGAAGTGTTTTTGTAATCATATTATAAAGAACACAAACAGTTTTAATTAAAGTTTTATTTGAAATTCAAACGTAGCACGAATTACTGTCCGTCTCATGTATTTTCCTTTTATCCTCATCATTTTTAGACCATATCAACTCAGTTTTAGGCAAACGACGAAATTCGACTATCAGAATAATGAGGCTTCGGCCTTGTAAACTTATCTATCCGTTATACCGGTTATAAAAAAAAAAAGGTTTAGTCTAACAATCGTAGGTACTGTTTTGAGAAGTTCCCTGCCAAAAATTGTTTTTGACACCAGTTGGCGAGAAGTAATTAGTATCACTTTAAGTGTTTGGTTGTTATAGGTATTTTTCTTTCTTTTTCTTATAGGACCGGCACAACTTCATTTGCGTCTCCAAAAGAAATATTTTTTTGTAAAAATCGGCTAATATTTGTGACATTCATGCATCGTTTTGAAATACTTTCAAAACGATGCATGGTACAGAACTTAGTTCCTTTACATTTGTCATCATCATTGGCTTTAATAGTTAACTGCAGGACATAGGCCTCTCCCTAGAAATGAGGTTTTAGCTCGTTGGCTGGTTACATCGTTGGCCCTAGCGACGGGTTGGTATATGGTTTGTGTCAAGTTGTTCCTTCTCTTTGCAATGCCGTTGTCCTGCGTAGTTTGTTCCTTAGTCGGCTCTTACGACACCCACGGGATGCATAGGGGTGGTGGTATACACTTGTAATTCTGATTTATCTAACCACCGCCAACACCTAGTATAGTGTTGGAAAAGATACCTAACTTAAATGCTATTTTTTTTAAATTTCTTGCAACCTTTTAAATTTGCAAATTCTTTTGAACTCAAAACAAACAAGTAGCAACAACTTTCTAAAGCAAAAGAGAACGTCTCAAATGACTCACGTTTCAATTTAACCATAATATGTCTAGAAAATAATTATGATTACGTATTTCCACGAACATTTTAAGAGTATGTGGATTTATAGTTTTTTCTGTCGATAAGGGAAGTAAAAACAAGATTTTTCTGTATTTCAAATAACACCAATTATTATGACATTAGTCATAATAATTGGTGTCATCATCATTAACAGCCTATAACGGTCCACTGCTGGCCACTGTAGGCCTCTCCTTAGAAAGGAGGTTTTGGCCTACTATACCACGCTGGTCAGACGGGTTGGTATAGGGTAGGTTTCAAGTTTTCGTTCTCTTTGCATTGCTGTTGTCCTGGAAGTTTGCTCCCTTAGTCGGCCCTTACGACACCCACGGGATGCATAGGGGTGGTGACATTCCGTATACTTAATCCGTCACCACACGGATATGACATTAGTAATTTAGCTACACTTAGTGGCGGTTAGGAGATAGGAAAGTTGGATAGGTATATTTAGTTATACCAAAATTTTGGCACTGTGAGCGTAGAAGTATAAACAAAAAAAAAATTGAATAGAAAAGAGATATAGTAAGCCAAAACCTCCTTTCTAAGGAGAGGCCTATGTCCAGCAGTGGAGTAGTAAAGGCTGTTGATGAAGGGACATTCATCTATCGACCCAACTAAAATAACACGATTTAGTCAGGGGTCCGAGGGTCCGGGTAATTGCCGAGGCCCGGCCATAAATTAAGAGGGAATCCTGGAATTAGTTACCCGGTGAACAATAGGTAACTTCCTAACTCGGTTTTTTTATTTTTTTACCGTGATCGCATTGTCCAATATCATTACGAATATTGTGTATAGCAAATCGACGATCTTGATAGTAACGTAGTATTGAGATATGTGGTACTTTCAAATGTTAATTTTTATGAAAGTATCATAGAAGGTGCATAGTAGGTTACCTACTGATTGTTTATAAAATTTTCAGTAGCATAATATATAGGTAGATGTGTAGTTACGACATATACCGACATTGTAAGTAACAATTATTACAATATTTTTATAACACTGACATATTAAGTTCAACAAATTTAAAACATTTTAAAAACATGTTTCTTGAGTGTTTAATAGTACAGTTTACATAAGTATGTTACTCATCGACCACCGCGAAGTGACTCAGTTTCAACAAAGACGTTGTATTGGTCATACTGTCTTCCACTATTTAAGATAACAGCTTGGTTTCAGAACGCTTTGTTTGTGCAATTTTGTATATTTTGATGAATTAGCGTAGGTAGGTAGGTATCTAAATCTATTAAATGAATATTGTTACGGTCTATTCAATGTTGTTTAAAATGAGTCATAATTTAATCGATTCAGCGTTTTATCAAATTTTCCACCATTGAACTATTAATCCTATTTCTATCTACGGGAACTATTGCTCTTGGGAAGTTATATATCGACATAGAATATTCATTGCACGATACAGCATCAGTGTTCACTATGTCGTTCAGCTGGTCATCGCTAGATCCTAGATATACCTAGCTTTTTTTTATATTTTACCACAATCAGATAACGCCATCTAGTCCTAATCTAAGCAGAGCTTGTCCTATGAGTGCAAGACAACTGATATAAATTCATAGTGTGCTTTTTTGCAAATAACACAGAAACCCTGATATTAAATCAAACATTAATTGTTCATGTACACATCTGTTTGACTTGAGCGGCACAGCACTACGCCATCCGGCCGTTTCACATTTTGATCTTGGAAAATTGTATAATTTATATTATCTGTGCGATAACTTTCATAGCGCGATTTGTGATCAGTAATTGCTAAGCAGTTAAGATGACCTGCGTTTAAAAAAAAGAAAAAGAAAAGTAATTGTAACTATATAGTTCTTTATATATCACTCACTATTACCATTTATTCAATTAAATTATCTGTTTCTACACATATTGTATTTGTAAATAAATCATATGCACGACTTGACACACAGTTGTTTATTAGCTTCCATTGAATGTATCAAAGACAGAATAATGTAATAGAAAAAACTGTATGTACCCGTATATTTAAAATATTATTACATTTTAGTAACAATGAATAATAGGCAGATAGATATCTATTAATATTAACATACAGTAATGGATTGGATTGACTTATTATTGAAGATCGAAGTGGACCCACTTCGATCTTCAATGATAAGTATGTTACACTGAAGAAATTTAACCTGATTCTGCAGGTAGTAGCTTAACTACCAGCAAAGTAATAATAATAATATTCTACCACATTCACACAACGCCATTTAGTCCCAAACTAAGCAGAGCTTGTACTATGATTACAAGACAACTGATATAAATACATATATTCTTTTTTTTGTAAATACATTCATATTATACATAGAAACACCCAGACCAAATCAAACATTCAATGTTCATGCACACAAATGTTTGACTTGAGCGGGAATCGAACCCGAACCTTTGGAATAGCAGTCCGTTACAAAAACCACTACGCCATCCGGTCGCCGAAAGTATTATTGAATGTGTAGTAATATGAAGTGTAGGTGCTCGTGGCTAAGCATTAACCGAGTTGTAACAATATAACACTGTACTATAAGAATATTGAAGTTAAGAAATGTTGTAGCCTTATTGTATTGTAAAATGTTGTTAAGCAGAATAACACCATGGTAACAATAAATGGTCATATACAGAGACAATTATTCTCCCAGTAAATAAAAATAAAAGTAATTAAAGTAGCGGAAGTCCAGGCTAAGAAAGAAAGGTGATGGGTGCAAGAAAGATATAGTATGAGGCATGTTAGTGCGAGAGGCATACATGCGAGAACTGGTATGAATGTGGTAGAACAATAATATAATAGAATAATAAAGGCAGAAAAAAAAGAAAAAAAAAAGGGTAACCGAGTGGCGAGTAGGTTAACACATTGCAGTTTATCTTAGCCAGGTCAGTCTATGGATGGGTGACCATTCTTAACACATTGAAAAACCTGCGTGCCTCGGAGAGCACGTTAAGCCGTCGCTCCCGGTTGCCTTACAAACATCTGTCGCAATCGTTACGGGTAGTTATATAGATATATAGATAGGTACTCTTTATTGCACACCATAATTAGGATACATACCATGATACATAAAAAAAAACAGTGATACAATGGGCGGCCTTATCGCAGTCTGCGATCTCTTCCAGGCAACCTTTAGATGGACTATATGTAGCGTGTGGTGCGCATTTACAAGTTGTTGGTTGGAGCCGTAAAAAGTCAAACCGTCAATAGACACTTTCCATCAGGTGACCCGTCTGCTCGTCTGCCCCCTCTAAAATAAAATAAAAAGTCTTTCAACAGAACTTATATATACAGATATCGCCCGGGAGCTTGGGTAGTGGAGGTCTAATGGAAGTCGCTCCGCATAAAAAATCGAAGTTCAGCCGTATCGTAGTAGATTTAAAGCCGACCCTAGCTTGGGAAAAAGGCTCGGACGAAAAACCTTTTTAAGTATGTATGTGTGTGGCTACGCCTAACAAGTTCTGTCCTGACGCCTGTCATCCATATCAGAATGGAATAATCAAACTAATACGTAAGTAACGCTATTAAACATCATCTGTCGCTCATTTGTTTAGAGTTAAATAAGTTCCTCATCCATCAATATAGGCCCTTTTTTATTCATTTATTTTCCGGGCCTGTTCGGTATGTTGTTATGAACGTGTTTCAGTACTAACTGCGTGTAGTAATGAACATTTAATAAAGGGGCATTGACTTTTAAGCAGCTTAATGACGCTGAATAACTGTATTCTTCATTCCTTATC